AATGGGTGTGACCATGTGATGTCATTGAAGTAAACGTATATTACTCATAATTTCGGTCGTATTTGATTTCAAATCCAGTCTAATTTGATTATTTGCAGGCACAATTGTTAGATGAAAAAATCAGAATTTTCTTACCTTTACAAGCGAAAGCAACCATGCATTTGATTTTTTATCATTTCGTTATAATTAACACGAAACATGATTTGCATATTTTACGTGGGTTTTGATCAAACTACAAACTTTTTCAACATTTTACAGGAAATAAAATTTGAAAAATGACGAGTTTTAATTTCAGTGTCTCTGAAGAGTTTTTGCTGAGAAAGTTGCGTAATCTAGTGAATTTTCTGATTAAAAAAGGAGAATTACAACAACTATATAGTAAGGAATCAATCTTTCAGCAGTCAATGGCAAACCTCTCCATCTAGAAAGTTCTTGATTATTTGACCTGAGTGTAATTAAAGTCAGTCCAACTGCAGCAAGGATTTTGTTTTTTCCAATTTTGTTTGTTTTATACGATTGAAATCCAACTCATTAGAGCTGTTTTGGTGACAAAATACATCCTGTCCCTAAAATAAACGTATCAGAAGAATCATTTAGTAAATTTTCCAATCAATCACACTATGAGAATTGCTTGCCAAGCGTAAAGTTCATCAGTTGCACACTTGCACTGTAATGCAATGAAGTACTAATTGTCTTTTCTAACTGTTATTCATTTAAAAATGCCTATGAAATATTACAGAGTTTATTTTTAACAAAAATATATAAATGGTTTGAATTTGACATAAAGATAATAAGTTTGCAGGTGATTGGAAAGATGGCAAAACTTGCTGCTGATATGAAGTATGTAATTTTTAATATTGTCTATGGTTATAGTTGTTTTGAGAAATGAAAGATATAAAAACTAACAGTTGCAGGTCATATAATATTGTAAGAAATTTACGATTGAAACTAAGAACAGTATCACTATTTATTTTCTTAAAAGTATTCTTGGAAAATTGTTTTAGAACTTCATAAAAATGCATACGTTTAAAGCAACTACTACACAAATTTATATAAAAGCTCAATGCATTAGACGAAACACAATGTACAGATTAATCACATTAAATTATTCTTACATTTCTGGATTACTCTTGTAAAGAAATATGCTGTGGCTTAATCGTATCTTTTTAAATCAGTTGTACTGTATCTGTACCTTTGAAGAAGCTCATTTAATCTCAGACTATACTTGATTTTGAAAACTGCAAAAAATATTCTCTAAATTTAATTTTTGATAGGAACATTAGAATCTAAGTTATGAAATGAATCAATATTAATTAATACGACAGCCCAGGAATTATTTTTAACTTATAGCCTAAGCCCAAGTACCATGAATTCATTCTTGTCTTTAAAAGATTTGGTATTAGTTTATGATCCAATAATTTGCATTATGATAGCATATACTTTTTATAATTAAGCTGGTTTTTAACTTCCTAGATGGTGCATCCTGTATGAAATAATAACACGTCATCTGAATACTTTTAATGTTTGGTTGAGTCAGCTTTATTCCATTTATTGTTTATCAACTGGCTTGAATCGATTACCACTCTGTTTTGTGTTGTCTCCAGATAAAATCCTTAAAAGGAGAGATTTAGGCTTTTTTATAACTGCCTAACAAAACCATTTCTCTACCAAGGTCATTTCGTAACCATGGAAAATACATATCATGTATTTTCTTTTTAAAACATGACATATTTATTTAAAAACATAGATATTCAGAGCTTTTATAGTTACGACTTTCGATGATATCAGCTTTAAATGATCGATAGTTTATATTTTGTAGACACTTCATAATAATTCTAGTCAAACTTGAAGTCTTGCAGATTTATAGCCATTGGTCTGGGGTTTTTACAAGTAACATCCATCAATTAATGTATTTGTGAGCTCATTCGTGATTTTCGTGAGATCTTTCCAAGCACTTTAATTCGATTATTTATAGTTAATATTTTTCTCATCTTGACTTTCTTGCATTTAATTAGCGCATTAAAATTATCTCTTCCTTTCATAATTAACACCGACATACAGTAATGACATCAAAATAAGAACGAAAGACTTCAAATAATAACTTCGTTCTTTGAATTCATGGGTAGTTCAAGCAAGGAAATTTTTGTTTTCTTGAATACAACTTCAATCAATATCCAATCCTTTTGTAATTAAGTCATAAGTTAAACGTGGTCTGACAGAAAACCACGGCACCACAAAAATCCTCATCGAACATCTTTCTCAAACAACACTCTTTCCTTTTCCACTAAGCAACCAAAAGCTGGTTTCCCATAAGCAAGAATATGTGTGTGTGCCAACATTTAGTTTTGGAAATTCACATTTTAATGTTTTTTGATTGTATATTCAGAATTCTTCAGCAGAATTTGACGTAAAGTTTGAATTTGTGCGAGCATTTTTGCTAGTGTAAATCTTAGGCGTAATCTGGCTTTTAAAATCCCTTGCTTTAAATTTCAAATAAACACGCATGCAAAGGCCAACAGATTAGTACGTTTATGTGTTTTGATCGAATAAAAATACATTGATATTTGATAACGCACAAAAATTGCTGATCTCTTATCTCTATACAAAATAAATTAAAGTTGAATTAACTGCATATTAATTACTGTTCCCAGACAGGCAGTCAACAGTAGTAGGGAGCCTCAATTGATAACTAAACGATGAATTCGTGTTCAGTTGTTTGTATTAAAGGTTGTAAGCTACATGTTAAACTTAATGAGCATTTTAGCGTCATTATAGTTATGGTTGGGTTGGACAAAGACTAATTTATCGTAAAGAAATTGTACAAATAAATACCAAATCGCACATTTTCCGTTGCGTCAATCGCGTCATTCAATTAATGAATTGTTTGCATACAAACAAAGTCAATCACTGCAATGACATTCAACTTCTATTATGACTTTAGGATGATAAATATGTAAGACGAGTGTTCAAAACTGTTAATCATTGAAAACTTTGATTTTGTATTTGTAGAGTATTAATCTCATGACAATGGAATGCAATAATGATTTCATTTGTTTTATTTGCGCGAACAGTTTTAAGTGAAATTAAATCAAACAAAATGGGGTCTGGCAATTTTTCAGATGAGATATATTCAAAAAACTTCAAGTATAGAATTTCTTCCTCTTTCCTCCCTTTATTTAATAAAAGTTTATTTCAGATTAATGAAGTCAATGAAACATAAGTAGACAAGTTAGACAACTATTGTTATGGAAAACTTCAGCAAAATTCATATAGAGATATTTATTCTTTTCATATTTGACTAACTTCCAGAAAGCTCATCAGGTATGGATGATCGTTGAAATTAACGAAAGGGGGAAAGAATCTGGCAGAGTAAAAAATGAACTTTCATGCCTTTGAATCATATGATTTGTCATTAAAAAGTTTTTTGTCCATATTCGTTGGTACTGTTACGTGAGAAGTAGAACTTGATGATCACATAGCCAGGACACAGTCAAAGTAAAATTAAGTCAATTAATTTTCAATTCATAATACTTTCACAGTTTCACAACAGTGCTATCAGTGATGAAATTCCTAAAAAATAAATCACATAAAACAAAACCTCTTACGTACTATGTTGTGCAATTAAAAGAAGGAGCTGAGAACAAGTAACGGGAAATTTAAACCCTTTTATTAATTGTCCTAGGGAATAAAAGAAAGGTGAAATAAGTTTTATTTATCTACTTCGATAAATGAATTAAAAATTGCATGAATAGTCATTACATTTAGATTTTGCATTGCTAGTATCAAGCCAGTGAAAAGTTTGTTTTTCGCTGAAAGCTTTATATTTTCATAATTTATTGTACTTATTCATTCATTTTCCCGGTATTAAATTGATGAAGAAATTGGAACTCAGCTGTATAGTAGAGTTATTTTCAGAACAATACTCAAAGTCCAGGTAAAAAATTTAAGGTGCTAGGGAAGCACGTGCAAGTTTTTTATTTTTCAATTAACAAGTCTACTACGTAAACTGTCCTGCTTTGGATTAAGTTTATATAGTTTTTTGGATTCTAAATAATTTGCAAATGAATTAATGTTTTTGTTATTTTAGTCGAATGATCGGTGTTTAAAGTCTTATGATTTTTCAACGTTCATCTTAAAATTAAAGTTTAAAATATACATAAAAATTTCCTGGTGTGATGTGATATTATCTATAGTAAATTACAGTGCATCTATTTACCACAAGTACTTGTGAACTGTTTATCTAAACCGTTAGATTTTTTAAGGACTTTATAGTTATTAGTGTTCGGGATATTTTGTTAAAGAAGGATGATTAACATAATTAGTGTTTTTGTATATATGTTATTAAATATCATTAGAGATCTTAAAGTCTCACTCAAATAGTTCTAAGGGACACAAGAACTATAAAGTAAATAATTTGAGTTCAATCTTTTTTATTTTGTAGTTTTAGAACTTTTTTTTCCTTTTTTAATTTAATTTAACACACTGGCGAGAAGATCGTTTTGGTGCACACAGAACTATCGTGAAATAAACTTTCTTTCCATTCTGAGAAACAATGCATAACTGGACGAAAATGAATATTGAATATAAATAGCTGTATTTTGCTTCATGTCAATGTTTTACCTAAAATTAGGACTTGAAATGCTTCGATCAATGTATCATGAAATATTCGACCCAAGGTGATTGCCAGAACATTACGTCATGAAGTAATTTCTCCACGGTGATTCTCAGTTGTTCTTTCAGATGACGAGATTTTTTTGTACTCAAAATAAGGAGTTGTGCTAGAAGTTAGCTGTGTGCGTAAATTGCAATAGCTACAGACGTCGGCACTTTCTGACTGACGAAGTTTAAGACATTTGTAAGAGCAGCAAAGAATTTTAGAAAGCACGAAATATCGGTTTCAATGTTTGTAAAAATACATAGAATTCTGTGTTGTGTAGTATTCTTATGACACCCTTGAACGCATGAACTATATAGCCAAGAATTTCTCAAAAATCCGTGCGTTTGGTTTATTACAATTGTTATTTATTAACATATTAAATGAAAAGAGGTTACACTCAATTGGTTACACTAACTAAACCTGCCTTTCTGGTAAATAGAACAAGGATTAGAACATTAAATTTATAATTAAGTACCCTCAAACTGGAAACTATTTCACTACCTTAATGCTTTCAAAGAAATGTTTTTGATCCAGCCAAACACTTCAATCGAATATGAACTTTCCCGTACGTTACATTTATTGTAGATGTTGATTCGTGCATATGACGTGCTAAATAAAACTTATTTATATGTATACCTGTATAATACCTATGCTTCAAAGTCTCGATGTTGCAAATATTTTTACTTGGCATATGATGAGTGTTTCTGATTATGCTAGGCGTTTGTAACCACCATTTGATCACATTGAGTACTATTGCTTGTTTCAGAGTTAGAGAAAAATAAACTAGCAATGCGGCGATATGGTCTTACTCTTTCAAGGTATTCTGCTTTTGTATGTATCCATCGTTTCCATCTTGCCCTGACAACTTGTCTCACTTCAGCATTGAAGACAACATACACAAGGCAAGCAAGGGTTCCCTAACGGTACACATAAACACTTTACTTATTTTACAACGCAAATGTGCTGAAAAAACCTTAAAATGATCTGTTTGACAAACTTTGTTTATCATGCACATTTAAAACAAATATCTTTGCAAGTTTTCACAAAGAGTTGGCAAAAAGCAAATCCAATTAAGATATCGAAAAATCAAAATAGTTAAATTGAACTAACCTGCATGGGATATAGTATTCTAATAAGATAATTATACCACGTGGGTGCAGTTGAAGGAACATAAAGTATCATTAGATATATAACACCAAAAAGAGGCATCAAAATCAGAGCAGCTTTTATTCCTTTCCTAAAGACAAAAAATTTTACAAACCAATTTTTTCAAATTATTTGTTTCAAAGAGGACGTAGTAGCTTAACGGGGGCGGGGGGGGGGAAGGGGGGGGGTCACAGGGCCACGTAATTTCCCTAATATTGAAATTGACAAAATAAGGGGCAACTGGCCCTTTCGAAAATTTACTGATAATTTGTTATCTTTTTTAAAAATATCTGAAATTTTAATTTAGTTATAAACGGGACTAAATAATTCTTTGCACTGTAAAAATCATGCACCTGCACAAAATTTATAATCCGCATAGAAAAAGGCTGTCGAAAAGGTAATGTTGATTATTTATAAAATGGCCGTTTCTAGCAGTGTATAGAGAGTTTGAATTTACAAAATTCTCTCTTGATTTAGTCCTAACCTTAAATCTAATCACCACCATCCTTCCCCGTTAAATTGAAAGCGTTTCGACGTCCTTGATTTCAAAAAGTACCGTGCTTCATAACGTGTACAATTAATTACAATTTCGTGACATATGAATTGCAACAGTATACAATATATAACCAATGTACTGAGTGCCAACAGAACAAGAATACACAACTTTTCTCATGCACCAAAATTCTAATTCACCAATAAGGAAATCGTAATGGCGGAGCTAAGCAAGACTTTTATAAAAGTTCTTTAGACTGGTTTACAACATATAAAGTACATGACCTTCATTTTACAACGCGCAAATATTTCATTTTTTTGTCTCGCAGTATTTTGTCTGATTTTTTCTAACTTTGGCACTTGCCTGATATAGATACTTTTTTGTGAAAATCAAAGATTAGTCTATCAACAATGTTTCCTAGCAGATCAACTGAATATCCATTTAATACGCTTAATGCAATTCGTTTCTGAAACAGACACGCTTGCACATTGCTTCAATATGTACTACTTTAAGAAACATACAAATAAAATACGTTTAAGACTGTAGAAAATTAACATACCTTAGTCTAAGGAGTTCTGAGCTTGATCTTTGATGACGTAATTTATCAAAAATCACACAGATGACATAAATAAGTGTTATAAAGTTCATCTAAAAGTTAAAATTTCAGAAAATAAATTAAAGTAAAAACATAGTTTATAAAAATCTATATTTATTTTTGTCACATAACCTAAGGCAAGAAATTCCATTTTCACACATTTTTATTGTTTGCGTGCTCAAAAGAACTAAATCAGTAATTTTTACATGAAGTATTAAGAACGTAAAAACAATCAGCTATTTAAAGTGCATTATCACTAAAAAAACGCACAAAACTAATAATTTTATATCGATTGACATGTCACATTAACTGATTTACACGGCTGTGCGAAAGGTTTCGTGAAAGATTTGGGAGAGTGCGAGTTGAGACACGTCTTCACCTCCCCCCATATGCAGTTCCCCCCGGGTAGTCAATTTTTTCTCAACAATGAAAGCATCAACTACAAAATATGAATGCATGGTTTTTTAATTAGGTGGTTCAAAAATAAAACGACAACAATTGATTACTTTCTCTTAAATTATTAAATTTTAAAGTGTGTCGTACTTCATTGTGTTTTGAACCAATCGGAAACACTGATGATATATTGGTAGATATCGACCCAAATCTGATAATATTGGTAGATATCGACACAAACATAATAATATTGGTAGATATTGACCCAAATCTGATAATATTGGTAGATATCGATCCAAATTTGATATTGGTAGATATCGATACAAACGTGATAATATTGGTAGATATCGACCCATATCTGATAAAATGGTAGATATCAACACAATTGACAAATAGTGTTCGATAGGTGGAGTGTGTTAAAAAATTTTTTGTTACGAAGCTTTTTGCAAATGTATTATAAATAAAAAAAATAAAACAATTATTGCAATGGAATTATAATTTATTAAGATACTATACCAGGAGCATCAGAGTCATTGGGCCATATAAGATAAACATATAGTAAGATTCTTTTCCTTTAGTCCAACATCTAAAAAAGAGAACAGATAAAATGCTCTATCAAATTAAAGTAAAATAAAAGCCTGTTTTATGATGATGGTAATGTAAATATTTAAGTGTTCACTTCCAGTAATAGACAATAATTTTCTAAAGAAATACAAGATTACAAAATCTAAATTTGCAAAGCCGGACGCAAATTTAAATAAAAGCTTGCCATAGACGGATATTTATTTCAATACTCATAACGAAGAAATTTTTCTATTTGATTAGAGATTAACTGTATTTGACGTAATTCCCATTTCCTAATATATCGGCAAAGCCTCCAGTTATTTGTCTACTAGTCTCATAGACCATTTTTACGGTAACCTTCTAAAATCTCATTCATGTAAAGCCGCTTTATTTACTCACAGTTTGTTTGCACCGCAGACAGTATATTTGTAAATACATACAACATAGTAAACATCACATCCTTTAAAATTAAAGCATTGTACAGCCTTCTCAATGCTCAGATATTTTGATGTTCAGTTTGGAAATACACTCGTAAATTCACATCTTTTTTCTCTATTTTTAGTACTATCATTGAACCACATTACCATTACAAAACTTGTATTATATTTAATACTAAAGATTTTTGAGAAACATGGCAGGAGGATGTCTATGCACATTAACTTTATTGTTCTTTTATGCAGTAATGTTAAAGAAATAACAAAATAACAGTAAGTGACGAGAATTTTGTAAATTCCTTGTTTTTCCTCTTATGCATTCCTTACTTGTCTATTCCACTGTCGTAGAAATACACCATCACGGGGATATAAACACCAAAGACCAAAACAGCAGGAAATCCTAGAAAACGAAATGAAATGAAAAACTGCAGCATTTCGTTTTTTCAACACAACACCAATTTTAAAATTATATTAATAATTGTATGAATGCTTTATAAATGAAAAGTAAAAATAGTCTTACCCCATCCAAAAGCAAATAACCCCCAAAAATAAGTCTTAGCATCAAATGTACGAAAAAGGAGTTTCATTAAAAATGCAGCTTCATTCAGCATCCATGTTATCTCTGACAGGGCAAAAAAGCGATTTAATACCCAAAACACGTTGCACTGGGTCTGAAGAAAACAACAAAGTTTGCAATTAAAGCATTTTCACAATGGACACCAGATAGATGTTTCGTATATGTAAAGCTTAGTTTCATTTTAAAAGATGATCTCTGTCGTTATATATGCAACTGCTCAAACGTCAATAAAGTGCTATTCATATTTTAATAAAGAATGGATGTAATACGTCACACGCAGCAAGTTACAACGCATGCGTCACAACGTAAAATGATTTATGATATCATTAATGAAACTTACTGTATTAAGATCACCATAATGGGCTATAAAAAATGTAATGAGTCGACACAAGAATGCCACAATGAGATTCTTGTGCAAATTAAAGCGGATGTTTTTCTTGTCCCTACAAGGCAAGGAACAGAATAAAAAGATTTTTGATTTCTTACTCTAAAATATTGGCTTGAAATTTTGATAATGATTCTTACAAAAAACAAACTTGTTTTACTACAAGAGTAACAGATCCGGGTTAGGCAAAAAATACAATGTAGTCACTAATATCAAATGTAAAAACTTTTACTTGAATGTTAATTATCAATTTCTATAGAATAAAATACAACCACTCAATGGGTTGTTGTGATTTTTTTTTTGCCCAACAATGGATCTGCTACCTCACTAAAACACAGGTACAAAAATTTTATAATTCTTACATGAAGTAACACAACATGAAGAGTGAAGGAATTATAAATGAGAAAGAAAGCCAGCTAAATATGACATAAATCTTCAAATATCGTTTCTTTATCAAATCCTAGAACAATAAAATTTGATAAAAAATTATCATTTTTGCTGCTGCATTTTCTTCAATACAATATACTGTGAAAATCAAAAGTCTGTACATATGTACAGTATATACCTCATTATCAATATTAAACAAACTATTTATAACAGCACTCCGCTCTGTAGAAGATCGTTTTGTACACTTTTTCTTCCATTGCAATCGCGAGAAGTTCCACTTTCCATTTTCATCACAAAATGCCTTCAAAGAGACTGAAATTGAAAAAGTGATTAATTCAAAAAAATTGCACACACATTGTAGGTTTAACATTCTCTTTTGTAAAATACTGCCACAGCGCATGGGCGTTAGAAGATCAATAAATTGCGGAGGGCTCATGTTCGTATATGCATGATATATGCAGTAATAAGTTCTTTAAAATTATTGTTTTCAGCAAAATATATGATGAGCGCCCCTCCGACCAATCTATATATAAAGCATTTCCTCCATTTCACCCAGATCACAATATTTTATTAGCGCATGTTGCTAATTTCTGCAAACTATTTTACCAGATAAAAAGCGTCGTTTTGTGTATCAATGTAAGAACCTATCGTATATGAAGATGGTTTATTTCAAATATACTTTCTTTCCACAAAAAACTTACTTGCATATGAAAATGTCAAATAATGATGTAAATTTTCCTCAAATCTTAAGAAGATAAAAATATTTTCATTATCTTACCATTTGTATAGAAGAATATCATTGGACATGTAGACGTAGCAAATTCACCGGCACATGTCTTCTTCCAACAATCAGTTGTTTCTCTAAATAAGCGACGACAATACAACTTTCCAACGCCTTAAATGAAAATTTCAGATTTTTTGATGAAGTGAAACATAAAGTTTTCAGCAAGAAATGAAATTAACCTATAATGTCTAGGCATATGTGTGTACACAGCTCATTGCATGCTTTAAATAGGATGAGTGAATGCTGTTAGTTTAGCCTGCAGTCTTATAAACAGGACGTGAGGATGGTCATTATTATCCTCACTCTTCAATCCAGTAGTTGTCGCTAAAATGAACTGATTGCCTAATGTCATAAGTTCTTTGTTAATTGTACAATACATGTAAAGCAACCTATTGCTTTATGCATTAACACTCACATTGTTCTTCATCTGTCTTTAGATTATATTTGCTGAAACATGTTTCGTTGAGCAATCTCTTAACGGAGTCCCAAGGAATGCCGTGGCTACGAGTGGAGAACTAAAACAGAACCATTTTTTTAAAAAAACAAAATAAACATGGCGAGTTTAATAGAATCTACTTAATATAATACAGTTTTTCGAAAGCAAAACTTTCATGTTGAGAAAAAAAACTTTTACTTCGCTCACAAGATCTCTTACGGTAATCTTCGAAAATCTTACAAATGCCGAAATGCGTAAAAGGCATTGAAAATTTTTAATAGCAGCATTATAGTTTCTGCTCCCATGTTCAATTGTAGATCTTTGAATTTGTTTCATTTAACTGATTTAAACGTGCAAATGGTCATTTAAAGGTTTTAGGGTTAACTACATACAGGTTATATAAAATATGAGGATCTTTGGAAGTCAACTTTGTTATTGAAATCTATTGTGAAAATATTGCAATAAGCATTGCACAGGTGGACAACAAAATTAAATTTGAAGGTAGAAAACACAACATAGGCAGCCATATTGCAAAGTCAGCTTTGTTATTGAAATCTATTGTGAAAATACTGCAAAAAGCATTGCACAGGTGGACATCAAAATTAAATTTGAAGGTAGAAAACACAATATAGGCAGCCATATTGTAAAGTCAAATTTGTTATTGAAATCTATTGTGAAAATACTGCAAAAAGCATTGCACAGGTGGACATCAAAATTTAATTTGAAGGTAGAAAACACAATATAGGCAGCCATATTGTAAAGTCAACTTTGTTATTGAAATCTATTGTGCAAATACTGCAACAAGCATTGCACAGGTGGCATCAAAATTAAATTTGAAGGTAGAAAACACAATATAGGCAGCCATATTGTAAAGTCCTACGTTTGACATTGTTTGTTGAGGAACAGTTTTTAGGATTGAAATTTGTCATATTTCGCACGTTATGAACTGTCAGGCTTTAACTGCACTAGGCCAAATGAAACATGTTGTGTGCTGTTTTGGACGCACTTCTTTTTTAGACTGGGCTTCATGATTTGAATATTGTCACCCAAGATCGATGGTTCGTGTTCAGGAAAGTTTCCCTCATAAAAGCGAACACGACACCGATTGACGAAGCAGGACTGAATGCAACTCTATGAAAGTCAGGAAAAGCAAGGGAACATAGATGATTTAGCTTTACAATAAAAATTTCCAAGAACACATGGCCGATCGGCACGTTTATCGTTTGATAAGAGAATGATTATTGCATGTGAAAGACTGAGGTTTCTTTGTCAAAAAAGTGTCAAATTACTGGCAGATTCCAAAGTTTAATGATTTGATAGAAGTTGAATCAATTTAAGACACAGCTTATTTATTATTCAAAATCATTATAAGATAAAACATACTCCGACAAAGACATCTTGTAAACTTTAGATTTATATGCTACCGTCATTTCCTCTACTTAGTCTACAAGAGCTTTAGTTTATATTGATACGTTTCAAGTGAGGGATTATTAAACGAGAGGGCTAAAAATGCGAAATAATAAATTGGTAGCATGTAATCAAACTACACATGCATGCTTTATATCAATTTCTATTTATCCAAATAAAGAAATGACGATTTTTCGACTTTTATATTTGTAAATTTCAAACGAATAAACTTTCATATCAAGAAATATAATGCTTAATTTGCATTTTATTTATTACTTCATCAAGAAATTGACTTCTTTGTTATTTTTTAATTTACTAAGAGTGGTGGGTGAATAGAGAAATGGAGGTTTTTCTTTTTCCTATAACTACCTGCATCAGGGGCTGAATAGATCAAATACAGTTTATATGAATTATATGTTATATGTTTTTATGAGTTATTATGTTTCATCCTTTCTGAAATTGTCTTTTGGGAAAGGGCTAATATTATTCAACAAAATGATTTGATTTCATTCATGGGAGTTGTAGCCAATAGGAAATATTTAAGACATATACTTTTAAATATATATTTCTTAAATGTCTTACTTACAAGAAGCAGATAAATTCCAAAGAAAATGCAAAATTTGTTCATTGTCTTGCAATCTTTCTCACATATCCACAATCAACTAAATAGAGAAGCGAATGTATTTATTATAATAGTATATAGATGCACACACATGACAAATTCAAGGCAGATGTTTTATTGTATGTTGATCGGGCATGTATAATGATTGATAGCCAAAATTAGAAAACAAGTCGTGAAATCTAGGACGTCTAACATTTCTTGAAAAACAACATCCTATGGCCAAGTATATTTAAATCCACGTCATTTTAACACTATTTTCATGACGTCTTAATCGACAAGTTGAGTTTACTAAGCCTAGAGAATTGTAGTGATGGGTGACAAGAACGTTTACAATATAAAGTAAATATGTTAAAATTTTGTAGTTGCAAGAAAGTATTTATGCAGGAATTATCCACCGAAGACGAAAAACTAAGCAATTTTAAATCTAAGAAATAATTATTTTTTCCGCGAGTGCATCGCCGAATCTAAATCATTTACTTTTTCCAAGCAGGAAATATTGTCACATTGTTATACAGGACCATATACTCAATCTTTGCCGAAACGTTTAAAATAATTGTTAGTATTGAACGCTTTTCCTGTTTCAACAGTTCAATTGAAATCAAGAGTATCCTGCTGTTTTTCATTACTAGTTTACTTCACACAGAAAGGGGGCTTATCTCTCAATAAACGTATCTTCCTTTTTGTGCAATCTCTTTATTATTTAGCTATATGGGAATCTCTAGACTTTTCTCGGAAATTTCCGACGACAATGAATCTCACAGATGAATCTCAATTTCGTCCTGCTTAAGGATTTTGAATCAATAAAATATTTAATTTGCCGTATTCTCAGTCCTTGAGACTACAAATCAGGCATTTCTAATTCAAATAAAAACTTCTGATTATTGTAAAATTGAAAGTGTCTTATGCCAAAAAGCTTTGCATCTTGATTTTTAATCGTATTCCAGGAATGTACCTGCACTTGAATGCATTAGTCAAAAATAAATTGAAAGTTATGTGCTTAATGGCTTTTGAACAGAATAAAAAATACATAAGTCAATAGTCATAACTTAAGAATAAATTGGGAATTTCCGCAATTTTTTGTGCAAATGTGAAGCTTACTTGTGCTTCTTGTACGCTGGACGACAGAGAAATATACCGCTAACCTGCCGATTATTTTCAATGAAACATGGCTGTAAAGCTTAAGGAAAATTGCATTTATACTTTACGCAACTGCAATGTTGTATTCAGTACTTAAAGGTTTGAACGATCACATTTCAGTCATAGGGAGACTTTCATTTCCTTTTCCATATTTTTAAACTTTTCCTATATTGAAACAAAAAATCTAAATAGCATCTGCATGGAAGATGCTAATTTGTTTTGTTATGTATTTTACTGCGGTACTTTTATATATAGCTAGTATAATCAGAACTCTTTATCATTAGGGCAATTTAAGTGGAATATGGCATTTTAAATAATAAAAGAGCGTCGGCTAAATAAGAGAATAAGTAAAAGACTAACGTAAAATAAGAATAAGAATAAGTAAAAACAAGTTGAAGAATAAAGTAGACAAAAGATAGAAATTAGTCAAATTATTGTGGTCCTTAGTTATAGTAAATCACAAACTGCATCACAATACGCAGGGACTTACCAATCATGTAGCAGTTTTTTTCTATGAAGACGTCTTATTCACAATTTGTCGGACATTTTCTAAGTAAGTCATACGCTTAAAACTTTTTAAATGAGCTGTTGTTCATTTCTCAGTTCTCATAGCGTTCTTTAACAGATGTTTACAATGGTAAAAGCTTTAGCAACTAAATTGTATTAAATTTGACCGGATTTCCTTCTTATGCAAAATTAACGTAAGCTATGACGTTAATACAAGGAGGCGCAAGATGAACGCAAAATGTTGCAATGTTGCAAAAACGTTCACAACTTTGTTGTGCGGACGATCTCTAATAATAACAAAGCTATGGTTCTTTGATTTTTTTCTAAGAAATGTAGATTTATTTTGTGGAGTAAAATTTACTCACAAACACTTTGTACAACACTTTAAAATGAACGTGTTATAATCCGTTCAACGACAACACACTTTAAAATGAACGTGTTATAATCCGTTTAACGACAACAAAAACTTACACCGCATGTTATATGGGTAGATAAGGCTTTAAACTTTCGAAGAACAAAAATTCTGAATCACTGCAATGATCTGAAAAAACTATATGGAATAATTTTTTAAATTTGAGGACACATACGATGTAAAGAATTTACAGGGTAATGTTTTTTTATAAGTTAATTAAACTTGCATGTCGAATTACTTAACATGTAAATTTAGACTCCATGCAGTAGCTTTAAATTTCTAAGTATAAAGTCTTTTTTGTGTCTAAATAAAAGAGCAAGTTATTTGATGATAGCTGCATAATTACCATTTGCAAAAAGTTTTCTTATTGATTTCAAATACTACTCATGAACAATAGCTTCTTTAATAATGCATGCAAGTAAAACATTAGCTTTATGACAGTTTTTGACAAACCTCGACTTAAAACCAAAGCTTAAATCTATGAAAATGGCAAGTAGCTATAGGTAAAGCGGACTAATACTTCATAAAAGTAGATGAAATTGAGCAACAGCTTTAAAACTATTTAATTTATTATTCTTTACCCCCGTGTCACCATGATACAAACAGCTGAGCTGTGGCCAAAGATTTAGCGATCATGGATGCAGGTGGCAAGAAGAACTTATTTAAATATGAATATGCATATAGTGAATATATAGTTTTATGTAAAAACTCGATCTTCATCAATATAAGGTGAGAACAGTAAAGTTAACCATTGAGAAAAAGCATATGTCATTAGGACAGTTCAGTTCAAAGCGCCCACAGAACATTTATTATAGCTACAATTCAGATTTTATATTATAGAGTCCAAAGATCAAGCGTCAAATTTGTAAATTAACTTTCACGCCTTCAGTTAGTGGCCAATTCACAAGCATCTTTGATCTACCGGTCAATACATGCAAGACATATTCTCATGTTTTTTATGCATTGAACAATAAGGGAAAGAAGTACAGTTCAAACATTTGATATTTTGCTAATGTCAGTATATTAAAATATTGCTTTACTCATGGCGATTGAGATAGCTGGGTCGTTAAAATTAAGACGTCAGCACATTTAGCTACATGTAGGTTCGTCATAGGTATTTTTATACATGGCTAGTATATGCTAAGGCTAAGGACAAATTTTGCTTTTCAAATGGTAAAACGACGTCTTTAATAATTACAAATGACGCGTCAATTTCAAATTTCCTTTAATAATTATAATTCACTACCTATATCTATAGTGTTATGACGTTTTGTCATAACTCATGACTTCAACCTGATTATGATACATACCTGTTATCAAATTGGCACCCACTTTTAGATATGTTTTACTAAACAGGCGTAATAATAACTTATACATTATAGCTAATGGACTGACAAATAAATATGGAAAACTACATATATTGGAACAAATGGAGACACCCAATATCTATTTATACTTATTCAAATATTTGATGCTTTCTCCAGCCAACGTGTACTTAGAAAAAAAAGTTAAACATAATTCATATCTAAAGGTATTTTGACATTATACCGCAAAGTAAGGTAACGCTGCGCAACTGGGCATGTAACGTTTTTATTGGTATTTATTCATTTCTTCAGATAATATGTGGAATCATTGCATGTTATTTTAGCGAACAAACGGTTGCAATGTAAGAGACAAAAACGAATGTTTGGTTTTGTCATATTATAAATGCATTGAATATATGACATTCATGAGATCGCATAATTCTATATACTGAATGCATATGAATGAAAACTGCATTAAAATCAAGTTTCACGAACGAAACTAAAAAAAAACTTATAAATGATCTTTAAAATATATATCAAAAAAAGCAAAACAATAAAGCTAAAAATTTTGAACGAGGCCCGTTTCAAACTTCGCATTTTATTTACCGCCGAATGCATTTAAAACAAGAGAAAATGTGATAAAATTCCTCATTATCTTTTGTTTTAAATGCATTCGGCTCATGTAAAATGCGACGTTTAAAACAGGTCTAAGCGCAATTTCCATTAACTTTATCGTTTTCTCATCGCCGTTCTACAAGTGTGTTTTGAAAACTATGATAATTTGAATACACTATATCTGAACTTTGTTTACCGCTATATTGACAAATTTAGCTAAAATATCTATACTTTTATTCATTCATTGAAAAATTGAGCTTCCATCAAATTTAAAAAATGGGTTCAATGCTTTGCTTCTGAATGAAAAGCAAATACATAAACCTGTACAGAAAGTAATTACTAGGAAAATGCAAGTTCTTAAAGGTAGGAACATATAAGTTTTATCAAAATATATAATTTGTACATGTGGCAAAAGATCTAGAATAAAAACTCTTTATTTTTCTAGTAAACACAAATAATGCCATTGTGTGTTATTATCGACAATCGAATCACTTACAATTTATTCTGACTTAACTAACAAACTAACAATAATGAAAAAGTCGAGTATACCTTGTAAAATTTCTCCGTTTGAAATCATTTCTTACAGCTATTTCTTTAGGTCTGTCTACTGTGCAAGCGAAAATACACACAAAGACTTGCGGCATACAAAGTCAAATGTTTATAATTAAAGAATGAGATTTGCGTATTGATAAGCCTTGTTGGTATTCATTTTTTCAAGATTTAATATGTTTTAATGTTTTAATTAAAAAAGATTTATCAAGCCTACTAATATTTTGAAAAATGTCATAATGAGACATTTTACGATATGATTGCTTTCATTTTTAAGAAAAACCTTTTGTAACTTCCTGATTTGATGATGATAATATACATGTTTGCACTAATGTCTTACGCAATTTTCAATAAATATAATATTAGTAAACATTACTTGTGTTTACAGGCTTAGCTGACTAATGGCAAAAGCGTTAAGAAGCTGAGCCCATAAACGATTTTTCTATAAAATCTCAAGGGAGACATTTTTTGTTAAATTACCAAATTCTAATTTATGGAAAGCTTTCGCTATATTATAATCAAGTTTAGAATTACATAATCATATCTTACATCAACACTAATCTTGTAACACGTGCAAAAGCCAACACTAAGATATTTTCATAATATAAAAGCAAGTCTATTTTTATCTTTATAAAATACACATTAAACGACTATGAACATTCATTCTAAAAATGGATGTTTCATAAGCAGGTAACCATCTTTTTCATTTCACAAGACATATTCCCTATTGTTTACAATAATTATGAGACACTTTTGCGTCACGTTTACGACCAGGTGCTATGCCAGCTGTATATACTTAAGCTCTCGTACACAACTGTCTTCGTATGCAAAAATGATTTTCTAATGATAAAACTCATAAAAGCTTTCTTCGAAAATATGAATAAAGAAAATCAAATGCATGTATAAAATTGGAAAATAAAAATGAATGTAATGTTGTAAGCTTCTGTTGTTGTATCTTACATTTGCTACGAATTCATTAACGATAAACAATTCAGTAATTAATGATTAAAGCAAATACACTTTGACTCATAAGATGGACCACAAATATAGTCACTCTAAACCAGAATAACAATTATGTTACAAGTTGAGAAAACCAAAATTACTTTACTTTAAGTATTTACAAATAATGATAAACATGAAAAGTACATCTACAGAATAACAAAATTCAGTTGACAAATGAATACATTACAAACTTGTATTTGGTAACAAATAACATTGTAATGTATTTGTCCACTATTTGGATACTTTATTAATAACGATGATTCAACTTTAATGATTTATTAAAAAATTCCTTCGTAGTATTATTCAAAATGATAAAAGAGTTTAGAAACATGCAAACTTACAAATACTTAATAAACGACTCCTGCAAACTTCAGCCATAGGAAACAACTTCGCACCTACGATATCTCTGTGATACTAATGATAAGATACATATTTAAATTAAGCGCATGCGTATTGATTCCTCTTATATTACAGACTTTAAAGTGGAACAATCATTAACAGATAATCTGGATGGGGTGTTAAACAACACTGCTGTGGTGACCTGAACTGCCCTTATCAGGAATCGGGACAACAATATACCGTATCTTTTCTTTAGGCTATCGCCATACAAAGAAAATTATATTCCTGCTTGATAGTCACTCTTTCTCCCACTTAAATATTCTCCCAATAGTTTTGTAAAACGTAAAAACTAACATATTAATCATTGCATCGAAGTTTCTTGGAAACAAAATATAATGATTGTAAATAGATTCTTAGAGTTTTAAAGTTATGTCAATTTTAAATGCACAAGACCAAAACACAATAATAAATCTATACTCAACAGGTAGAGCGGCGGACTAGTACCCGAAGGTGCGAGTTCAAATCTCGTCCAAGTCACGTGTTTTTCATGTGCATATTAAAAACCGTGTTAGGATTAATATATAACACGCTTATTAATGACTTGTAATAAAGTTTTTTGTAGTTTGCAGCCAAAAATCAATCTGCGGTAGAATCTTCAATAGCTACACCATTGTCTGCAGCCATTCATACACCTATATCTCTCATAATAGCCTATATAACGGCATTAAACAGACATTTACAATATTGCGTGCGGTGAAAAGTAAAAATAAATGCTGCGTGGTTTTCTTAAAAGCAAGCTGGTCTACTAACTACTGAGTCAAATTCTCCATATCAAAAATCTGCTTGTTTTCAAATAAGACTGAATGATAAATTTTTGAAACCAGATGATTTTGTCGTAATTTTTTACATGTTGCAGGTAACTTTTAATCATTTTGAATGGATAATCCAAATAAGTCCTAGCTTCAAGCTTATTAACTCTATATGAAAAAGAGAAGCCAATAGTATACTACAACTGTTTTAATGAAAGATTTTTATACTTGCTTGCATTTGTTACATTGCAATGTAGCTATCAACGATTCACACATATTTGTAAATGTAGATCGTCCAGGTTGGTATAGTCCTGAGAAGGACTGTTTTTGTTGTTGTTGACTGACGTTTCGACAACCTTAGCTGTAGTCATCTTCAGAGTCAACGTCAGTCAACAACAACAAAAACAGTCCTTCTCAGGACTATACTAACCTGGACGATCTAAATTTACAAACATGTGGCGATGCTCCCGGGTTCGGACCATTTACTTTATTACGATTCACACATAGGTAAGGACATATCTTTTGCACTGGTAGATGAAGTTCAGAAATTCTCTTCATGATATTGGAAAAGTATTTAGGACTTTCAAGCGATTAATAATTAGCTGGAAAATACACAAATGTGGGAAAAGCAGAATTGATGGACAAACAGTGATAGCTCTGAGTTTGGTATGAATACCAGCTCCACATTACGAATGGAACTTTGTATCACTTCATTCCTTCCCGAAAGAGGTGTTGGAAGCTTAACTTTTAATGTTAAAAATTACCAATTGTGGAGTTTTAATATTAATCTCTTTTTTCAGAGATTGTGGTCCATGCATGTGAGGTCAAATAATTACAACCTCCGCCAATTTAAAATTCAGATGAAACAATTTCTTCAAAACTTATGTCTTCATTGAAAATTTAATGGCGAATTGGCAATGTAGCCCGACACTAAAAACAGAAAATTAATACGTCTACAAAATATGAAGATGTGCTGTATATACATAGTGATACATATATATTGCCTGCTTTGTTTGCAGGGCTGGATTAAGAGGAGGGTGTTGTGGGCGGTCACCAGGAGTCCTGATTTTTAGGCCCCCGCCTAAAGCAAATATTTTCAATGTAAATATTGCTTTTATGTGGCAAGAGTAATGCAAAAACCGCAACAAGGAAGATAGGATTTTCATATTACAGACAAAATTTCGAGTGCTTCCATTAGACGACACTTGGTGTTTCATTACACACTATGATTGGCATCAAATTTTATGTTAGTTAAATACATCTTAAGAAATGTTGAGCTCATCATTGTAAGAAAATCATAGTTGGAAAACAACTTTTGTATATAACGCTTTAGCGGGAAAACCCTTAGTAAATATCAAAGTTCTTATTACACTTATTTATTTATTTCTAAAACAAAAAAAAATATTAATTTTTTTATAGTTTTTGAGGATAAAGGTTGTCATTTGGGGAGAGGGTAGCTTTTGGACAGCCAGGGGACCCCGCGAAAGCTTGATCAGTCCCTATTGTTTGCAAAAGCGTGCATTAAAAGTACAACTGCATGTTTAAAATGACAAAAAGTTTTCATTAACGGCAATCAATTAATGTCAATGCTGTAATGATAATCAATTCGATATTTATCGAATTAACGTCTGTTGACTAAAAGCATAAGTCATAATGCCCATAAAAGACCGTTGGCTCTACTTGCACAGAATGTAAGATTAAAGTCACCACAATGCAACTTGCTGACGAATTTGAACGACGATTATTTTCTACTTTGTAAATATTATGAAAAATAACTTGGTAGGTTGCTGTACCCAAAAATAATTCAAAATAAACGTCTAAAGTCCTTATCATTTTGGTAAAAGTTAACTTAAATATGGTAAACCAAAAGTGCTATAAATGTCTTAAAATGAGACGTTTGTTGACGTGTATTTTAAGATAATGCATGCTTCATTTTTTCCTAGCATCGTGTATCGGCATTCCTATTTGCGTTCCAGAGGCATCCATCATAAAAATATCAGCTTACAGCGTAAGCATTTTGTCATACTTCCTTCTTAATAAGCTTTCCTAAGTGCTTTGTATTTGAACTATTTACACTGCCTTCATTTCCGACGTAATTGTATGAAAATTTTTCAAGTATTATCTTTTATATAAAGGTGCGGCTTACCACATCTCTTGAGATTGCATTTCTTTTGATAAAATTTAGTGCTGCATTATTATCATATTTGACCTAATCAACGAACCACTTCATTATCAAATGAATCAAATTTATTCGAAAACAATACCAAGAGTTAGTCAGCATTCACTAAATTTAAATTACGATCTCAGACTTTAACGGCGTCGCAATAAACATTTTGTGAAAACAATCGAAAAACATGTCAACGTACTTTTGATATTAAGTTTCAAAAGAACGTTATTTTGTTGCCATGCATACAGAAAGCAATAGAACAAACCTTTATAGATGACGTATATCTTCAATAACGTCCCTCGACTGACCAGTAAGCGAACAGAAGATGTAACTACAAACTTCGAGTTGATTCATTCATCAAATTGCATCAAACAGTACCGCTGATTAACCTGTAAAGTAAAATAATATAAAAGGTGTGAAATGACGGTGACGCACACAGCAGCTTGCAATAATATGGTTTTTATGCATGGTGAAACACAAATCCGGAAGTTCTAGTAGACTGAGCCTGCTGATCTTGGGGGGGGTAAAAAAGTCTTTCGATCACTACTTCTCTAATTTTTATAACTCTTAAACGCATTCTGTATTAAGTGAGTTTCGTTTTACAGTAATTATATACATGTTTTTAGTTGTAGATGTACATTTACAATTATGTAAACGATACTCACGGGTTAAAACTTTTCACTTTAGTGATTATATAGTTTAAAAGGGATTATGAATAAGACAACTCTCTACGATAGCTGTGATGGTGGTTTGAACGGAACTTCTTATTTATAAAAATCGCTAATAAGCCTTTATTCTTTCAATAAAGAATCAAGCGACACTTCAGAAAAAAAAGTAAAAAAAGGAAATTTGCTAAACAACTGTCATAATGTTACTTTTTATAAAAATAAACTTAAGAACTATAGCAAAGACGTTCGTGGTGAAAAAGTTAACATTCTTTTTTCATCATCGCCCTCTGCTACTATATCAGTGCTAGACAACAGGAAGCTCTTGACTTGAGAAAGGCCCTTGTCTGGCAGGTATAGTAGGAACAAATGAAACATTTTCACAGTAGTGTTCCGCGTTCAAAAAGAACTTAACCGCTACACATCAAAACTAGACGTCTTTATTTTTATTTCTCTCATCGTTCAGCAGCAACCTATTCAAACTTGAATGAATACACTTCTCTCATCGTTCAGCAGCAACCCATTCAAACATGAATGAATACACTTCTCTCATCGTTCAGCAGCAACCTATTCAAACTTGAATGAATACACTTCTCTCATCGTTCAGCAGCAACCCATTCAAACTTGAATGAATACACTTCTCTCATCGTTCAGCAGCAACCCATTCAAACATGAATGAATACACTTCTCTTCAGCATATTCAAACTTGCTATTCAAACTTGAATGAATACGATCGTTCAAAAACATGATTATCAAATCAAAGATTTTAAAGAGAAATTCATTGTCATGCAAGAACTGCACTGGCCATACACGACAAAAATGGCTATTGCAGTAGCGTAAATCAAGTAAATAAGCTCTTATGAAGAAAAAAATATCTATAGCTATAAGCCTATAAATAATTTTATGTATAAAAAAACTTGCCACCTTCAAATGTATAGCTAATGTTGGGTCTAGTTCCCTGATACTACTAAAAATGTTCCTACACATACTCAATTTTGCCTTCCAGTGATTTGTATGCAACCCAAATGTGAAGTTGAAGCAAGGACAGGTACCTTCACATAAACTACTAAGGACGCCATTTAGAATTGTGGCGAAAGGTGGACTCTTAGACAAATAAAACATTTCAAAAACCAAACCAAGACGTTTGCAACTATTTACCGACGGAGAAGAAGCATATTTTAGTCGTACATATTTAGTCGTACACTTTTCAAGATGGCAGCTTGCTTAGTAAATTGAGCTCAACTTTACTGCTTTTTCCAATCGATTTTATGCATTCATACACCAATCGTTTATCAATATTAAATGAAATGCATGAAAAGTTAATAAACCCAAATATCAGTTTCGTTTCAAAATCAAAAATACGAACTTTACCATTTAATGTAATGGAGAGCTGGCTATCACATCATTCTATATCATGTTTATAAAATCTTCGCGCCCAGATTTTATATAACATATGCACTATCATAAGTTTTTTTCTGTATTCCATAAAATGCTTGTATAGAACTGAAGATTGAGAGTGTAAATTATATTCCAGTCCTTGAGAGTTAATTATAACTCTTTTGCTATATCATTTAATTATTTAAAAACTCTTTTGCTTAGTGCTGTAAATTATTCAAAAATTGCAAGAACTATATAAGACAAACAATGAATTTTTCGACAAGACAAACCTGTAAAGATGAGCATTGACCCATAAAGTTCACTGCAGTCAAAATGATCGAAGCACAATTTGAGCACAAAGCAATACAAACAAAGATCATACCAGCATGCATGATATGGCAACAATAAATAATTGTAAAAATTATCAACAAAAAATGCCATAAGAGCATTAACTTTATCAATCATTTTTATGTGTGGCAGCCAGCGTGATAACAAAAGTAACGACTTCTGAAGCCCTTTTAATTGTGTCGCTCGCCTTTGAAAATTTAATGTAAACAGAAACGCATCCATTAAGATTTACTGCAAATTCACACTTCAAATGTGATAAGAAAGTACAAATGAAAATTTCTATAGAAATTATATTGAATAATCTTTCGAATTTTATGAGATAAGAAAACTCAAACTATTTCAGAGGGAGCAGATGCCAAAAAATCTTCGCATCCAGGTGGGTTCTGTCACTGTGCGTACATAATATAGCCATTCATTATCTCATGGATTTTTGACATAATAGGTTTTTTTGACATAGTTATGGCAATCTTAACATGCACCAGGGCTCTGTGTATAAGTAATAATCCAAACTTATTATTTATTATTTCTTTCTTTTTTATTTGCTTATTATATTGATGAGTAAAACCATGGACTTTTTTCGTGAGGTTACTTATTGATTAAAGTAATGTACTCGAAATTAAGGTCAGGGAGGTTAGTAAAAGTTCCTTAGCGTGCCTCCTGACTTTCACTCAACCCCCCCGGCTTTCGAGTACATTTACTTACGCACAAAGAAACCTCACGACGATGGTTTTTTATAATTGTCAATGTCGTAACTCGCCGTGACTATTTTCTAAAAAATCCATCATCAATGATAATAACAGCATATATATTTCCGCAGAGATGATTTCGTATAGAAATGTACTTCGTTGTTCTGCGATCAGTTTACTCACTTGTCTAATGATGTCTTGCGTGAAATAAAATTCTTCGATTTTCAAATGGCTACGTTTAAAATTTAAAACATTACGTTGGGAAATTGTCTTTGTAAATAAAAATCTGTGTCCAGCCTTTTGAAAAGAAAATAGCTCAAGAGTAGATTGTAGTTACGCTAATTATTGGATCGCGCTATTTTTTTTGGTTCCCGGCCAAGTACTATAGGAAATTAAAAAACCGTCTTTATATTTCTTATACGTCTGCATAACAATAAATTGATATGTACATTGCAGAATCCTGTCTAACCTCATTTGACAGTCCATCATCTTAGCAAACAAGAAGTGGCTGTGAGCTAATAAGTGATGCAATCTTTTCTTTAATTTGGTCTCCTCAGTCGTACCTATATTACACAGCATTCCTCACCAATGTATCAAGACGTTCATGCGTGTACTTGTATTACCCCTCTCATATGCTTTCTCCAAATTGACAAACACACAATGCAGCTCCAAAAACACTTTTTGAAAAAGTTCATGAAAATGTGTACGAGTTCATATAAAAAATTCGGAAACTGCTCATCAACTGATGAATAATTGTAACGAAGAAAATATATGCATGTAATGATGGACAAAACAATTTCAATTATACGTGCAAAGCACTAAAAATGTGTTCATTTCAAATATTATGTTATTATAACTTCAGGGCCTTTCAATATACTAGATACTTGAGAACAAAGCATATTTTGTCAAATTATTTACAAAAAACGAACGAAACTCTTCGTTGAACATGTTAACTTTTTTAAATCCTGATTCCTGTATTTAATTTAAATCTTACGTCTCTGCAGCTGAGCTTCTACTTTTGTGAACAGATAATTACATACATTGCAAATAGAATATATTAAGCACTTGCAATCTACAAAAACATCATTCTTCTTCATCTGCATCATAAAATTGATACCGAAGAAAACATTTTATCTCGAAAAAATGATAGGAGGAGAACGCCTTTGTGATGAAATATATCAGTTTGCATATTCATTCTTCATTCCGGCGATCAATCTCACATTTTTACATTCAAACATGAAATATTTGATGTTAACACGGGTGTTAACTACTTAACTAAGCAATAAACTAGCCGTTACTATTTAGCAATAAACTAGTCTTTGCTATTTTTACATATGGTATTTTAATTCATTTTTATGGTTGAGCAATAGATTCATTTGCAAAACGTTCACAACTATGCTCATTCAAAGAAAATAAATAGAATTAAAAATAACATTCGCTATATTGTTCAAAGACCTTCTTGAAATTTTTTGATTCAAATCATACAACAATATAGCCATATAAAAGCCTTGATAAAAACAATAAAAACATCAACACAAGAAGTGGAGAAGATGCGTGCACATCTGCAAAAAACGTCATTAAAATTTCCCTATTTGGAGGCGTTTTAGCATGAATCGTATTATCTCGAAGCGCAAATTATTATCATTTTCTTTTATGTCTGGGGATGCAGATTTTATGATATAAATGTTTAGATAAAGCAAAACTATTTTTGTAAAGACTAAACACAATCAGGGTAAAAAGTAAAAACGATTAAACGGATAAAAAGAAGATAATACGTAAATGATAACGTCGAATAATATGGAGATTTTACGTAACCTTGGTTTAAGCATACATTAAGAATTATCTCATAAGCACACTTCAAAACTTAAACTGCAAAAAAAGCATTCTATGTAAAACTGCATTACAAATCATACATGAATTTTGAAATACATATGAAATGATGCAAACATACAAATTTTAAATTGAAAAAAAAGATTATCATGCAGCGACATGATGCAGCTGTCTTTTATATCAATGATTTCAATTAGAAATCTGTATTCAATTTTAGAAAAGTTGTGGCGGCATCATATCCAAATGAGCATTTTCAGACAATAACATACCGATCTTGTTGTATTTACGAAAAATCTCTAATCGTCAAAGCACTAAAAATGAAAAAAATGTAAAAAAAACAACTTTCAGATTTACGAGGTAAATGCAAAAAACACTTTATGAATATGCGTTTAACCATAAATGCAAACTTTTGAATCAACAAATATATTTTCGTGTAAGTATTAAGGAAAATTTCATATCACACACACCGAGTAAAATATATTTTGACAAAGCATTTCCTCGTGTATCGTAAATGGTTACGTATATATGTGTAAACATAGACTATAGTAGCAACATATAATCCGTAAGAGAATGATTTTTATGTCATTTGCCCTAAACCATGTAGGTTAAATTTTGTTTAACATATTGCTGTTAGGTAATTTATATAGTACATAAGCTGTCAAGAGCTATGCATGATTCCAATATGTATTTATAGAAGTTTCATGTGCATAGCTTACAGTCAAACCAACTACAACGGTATGCAAAAATGATTTGGAATTAAACATCATTTTTGGATAAACATCACTTTTAAATTCAGCGTAGGCACACATTTGATAAAGTATAGATTATAAATGAATTTTACTTTGCCAACTTACCTTGATTGAATATCTAAAACCAGTTTGTTTATTTAGTCGTTTCAAGAAAGCGAAACTGAAATATCTATCAGCGAAAAGAATTTTCATAAAGGATGAGTGTAGCTATGATGTTGATTCTCTTTTAAAAAGTTTGACTTAAGAAAACTCGTCGCAAAACTGCCAATTTACCGTTTTACGTTCAGCGCTACATTAACGAAGGTAAAAGTGATTACGTTATATAGATCGAGGCAGGATGATAATTTACAATATTATACCAATCACATCAATGATTAATGACTTAAGCTTCTTAAGCTAAGTGTAATGATGTTTCTTTTTTTACTTGGAAGTTTAATTACAATAGAATGTTTTCCGCCTTGAATCAACTAATATAAAACGTTTAAAAGCAACTCTTCATGGTGACATTCTACATAGAAGTCGATAATAGACACCTGAAAACGTTTATCACGTAATTTAAACTTGAGTAAACAAAACTTGTATATAATGCAGGTTTCTTATTCATCTCAATGGAACAAAGTATAAATCTTTTACCAAGAAAGCAATAGCTACTGAATACAGTAGTTTTTGTGGAATTAAAGTTTTTATGCAAACATGCAATGGTTTAATACAGATGGCTGATAGCAAAATAAAAACCGATAAAATAGATAGGAAGATATTTTTCAAGTGTTCAAGCCAGAAGGTTCGACATTGGGATTAACAAAAAAACGTCATGCAGAAATAAGATCAGTGTTGCCTTTCGATAGTCAAAATACTGTTGTAATAAAATAGACTAAGAAAAATAATCAAGAGTGGCTTGGCAAAATTAAACCGAGAAACAACAAACATATCGTTCTTTCATTTAAAGGCCGATCGACAAAATACTTCCCCTTAAAAAATATCCATAACTTTTCACGAATACTTATCATCAAACTTAATATCCCTGCTTGTGGTGCCACTGTATATATCCCGAACAAAAATTCTTTGCTCCGAATCGTACACTAACTAAATAAAGTAATATCACACTTGGTCTATTCAATTGGAGCAATTTAAAATTTGCAACTATATAGCTACCGCAAAAGAAATCCTCTTCTTTACTTGATATTATCGATTACAGTGCATATAAATTTGTTTCGATCCTATTTGTGTTGTAAAAGTAATGTCAATGCTTTTTCAGTTGTAAAAGCAATTAACTTTTTAATTAAAAATTCGTTGCTCTTAAAACACCAATTTGACTTAGTTTTTCGTGCGTTGCACTTTCTATTGATTTATAATATTGAACGATGTAAAAGGCAATTTATGCCGTCAATTCTATGAATTTGTTAAGTAAATGTACGTCATTATTGGTTCAAAGTTGTTGAATCGACAATCGCTTATGTCCGTCAAGCTGCCACTGTCGAGAAGGCGTGTTCCTTTTCCATTTTGTCTGCTTTTTCATACTTTTAAAATAAATGCCTTAGAAAGACCGCGATACATCTAAACAGACTTGAGAATGATTTTTCAAAAAAATTTCTCAATAATAAAAATAATTGTCAATATAACTAATAAATAATTGAATCTAAACCAAAAGACAACTAGTATTATTTCATCTTCTAAAACGGTATTAGCCTGTTATTTCTTGTGAAGTGGGAGCGTTTTTGTTTTGTCTGTGAACAGAGACACTCAGAAAGCCATCTCACATATTATGTGGTGCAAATGATTCGATTAAAATGAACATGTAATGTCCATTAAATCCGGTCTATCAAGACTTCAAACAACTTTACAATTCACAATTATCTTTTAATGTAATCCTAGACAAGTTGAAGAGGTGTTGATTTTTGCGGCAACAACACCAAATACAGGTTACATTGAGAAAAATTTTAATATACATAGCAAACACAACATATTAAATATCTCTATCGTAAAATCCGTTTAAATTTAAAATTACTTTGCTCAATAATCATCGAAACTAAAAGGATCATTGGGTGTTAAGCATGCTGAACGCCGTTGATTTCGTTTCCTTTTCTCACCCAGTATTTGTGATGAAAATATCATTTTGCTCGTTGACTTTGGTCGCTTTTCTTGGGCCTTTCTGTTTGTAATTTCGGAAAATGGAAGCCCCACGCTTTTACGAGTTTTCCTTGATTGCTGTTTTAAAAAATTTGATTGGGATTCATAGCAACTTTCATTCTTGCATTTTTTGAGACGAGATATCGTTACTTCAGCCAATTGTTCCTCTTCATGTGTTTCTTTATGAGGAAATACCTTAACCTTAACGGGAAGAGAGGACGGCTGCACTTGCAGCTTTCGTTTACATTGTGAGCTGTTGCGAGACGAAGTCCTTGAAGTTGATGTTGTGGGCTCTGAATCAGAATGACCATCCTCTTGACTCTCACGTAGTGCTCGTAGAAGTTTAACCCGCTCTGCAACATTACTTGAAAATACATCATCTTCCTCTTCAAAAGTTTGTTCAGAACTTGCAACAACCCCATCTGGGTAGAGAATAGTTGATATCGATCTTCTCTTACATCTTGTATTATTATCTGGTTCTTCGCTTCTTTTCCTTTTAATATTCAAACCATCACAAGCAGAATCGTGAGAAAATGCTATGTGATCATTCTTTTCGACAAAATCAATGCCATCCGTACAATCTGTAACAGGCAGGTCTGTTTTCAAATCTGCTTCTTTGTATGGTTCATCAACAATAGTTTTATCAAAATCGGATGTGGGGTTCATCTCATCGACGCCTTTAATACTTTCTATCATTGGACGAATCACATCGTCTTCATTATTTGATACAACTTCTAGAGATGAGCCAAGGAAGAAAAAACCTGGAGTGTAGTACGAGGTAAGAACTCATCATATTCTGAACATGAAGAGAATACACTAATTTGTTCGTCCAATTCGTATGGCTCGATCGGAGAAAGCGAACAATTAGCTAATTCACTATTTTTTCTACGAGCACTCCAAATTTCTTTGCTGTCATCTTTACTACCTGAACACAATTTGTAAGCAACATGTTTAAACTCTTTCTTTACGGGCAAACGACGACGATCTTCTTCAATTTCAATGTTAACCGAGCATATTTCACTTTTATTTTCCTCTAGTGAACTTTGATTATCCTTCTCTTGATTGAAATTAAATGATTTGACAGACGAAAAGTTATTGTCTAATTCAGCGGGCTTTTCGTTGCTATGATCAATCACAACATTTGACTCTAGCTTATTAAGATTACAAACCATAGAATTCGCACTCTTCTTGTAGTGGGAGGTATGGCCAAAATTTATGTTCAACGAAAGATAATTATCTTCGTGAGTTGATAAAGATTTAAATAAACTTCTAAACGGTCCTGATTTTGGAGGACCAAACTCGTTGAGAAAACCATCACTGTTAACCCTCAAGTACCTCAATGGACGAGTTTTGTCCAATGGAGGGACTAAGGCGTGTATTTTGAGATGGAATTTCTGGACTATCGCCATTTAAATTAACAGTATTCTTAAAATTTCAAAATTTCCGTCAAAACTCTGTCCGTTTTCCCATGAGTTAATAATGGACGAGCTCTTTTTTATGTCCCCATCAGATAAACTACAGCATTTGTGTAAATCTTTTGGATGTTTATCTACCTTATTATGACGACTTCTCTTTAGCTTTCCGCTGTCTACATTACTGATGAACGATTGATTCGAAGTTTCATTTCTTCGTGAAAGCCGAAGGGGTGAAACTAAGTTAACATTGTCAGCTTCAAAATCATCAAAATTTTCACAACTATAAAAAACAAAAATAAAATACATCTTAGTTCACTTAATTAATCGATATGAAAAGTTGGATAAATATTAAAGTATAAAAATACAGCTTTAAAATATGAGGTCTAACTCATTTTATTTTTCATTGGTATATGATAATAAAGTGTAACATCGAGTTTAATACGAAAATATGTTATATAGAATAGGTGCCGTGGCATTCTTGTGTTTAGAGCCTATTTTACGTACGTAGAAAGTTTTGAATGAATTTCGTCACCGATATATAAATGAAATATGGTCGTGTAGTGGGATATAAAGCAATATGTTATGGCGAGTAAACGTTTTTGCTGGGTGAATCAACATAAGCATGTACATATATCTCACCTTTAAAAGATGATTTTCATCTCTTTTCATTCAATAAATAGCCTACCTCATTTTGGCTTCTCCGTTTTCTTGAGTGGAACAGTAACTTTGATGGTTGCAATACTTCTTCGTACGAATTTCATTTAGAAAATTTTCAATTGTTGGGCCTTCACTAATAGCTTTGTCCAAGCTGTTATAGTTCGCGTTCTTTTTTGCAAAGTCTTTGTGTTGTTTACTCTTTAAATGCTAAAAAAGAAAATATTTTATCAATAGTTTATGAATGATGCTTTTTGAACAAGAGCCTATTTTGAACAACCGAAAGACGTAACTTTACAACTTACTATAAAATTCGATAAAAACGATAGAAATGTAAAATTCGAAAACGATAAAAACAATGTAGAAGGGTGCCAATGAAAACATGTTTTCAAAGCATAGAAACACAAAGCAACATTGCTTTCTAGAGTAAAATAGCAGTTTTTTTTAACTATATAGCATATGCATGATCAAATTCAACATAAAAATGAAAAGCTCACTAAAAATAGAAATACTTACTGCATCCAAATCAGAATAACGATTCTCACAGCATTCACAGTAACCATGCCTTGGACGTTCAATTGTTCGTGGTCTTCTACAATACGGCAGTTTACAGATATGTTCAGATATGGATTTATGGGGGGGGGAGGAGGGTTTCACAAAAGCGTATGCACTCCTAACCTAAGAATTCTTAATATCAAAATGGCAGAGAAATGTTTAACGAATTGATGAACATGCCTGATACAATGTTTATGCCTCATTATTAAACTCGAAGATCATCTTTAGTAACCATGTTCTCTGCTCAAGAAAAAATCGATTGACGGAGGTCAGTATATATAGCATATCAGTCGCGTACGTACGTACGTAGTGGCTGCCATTCGTAATTGTGGTGTTACGACTGCATGTTTTGACTATAATATCGTATAGTTAATACTGTATTTTGACAGCTCTATTTATGAAACAATTATTTAATCTTACGTTACCTGCTGCGATACGCATTCAGCACTATTGTAGTCAAGTATGGAATCAAAATACTTACTGGGAAATTTTTCTTGGATCATTGTTTAACACCCGTCGTCTATCAAATGGGCAAGTATTCCAGGCATTGAATGTTAACTTTGGCCAATTCTTGAACTCATGAACCAATGGACGATACTTAAAGTTTAAATCCTCCACCTTGATATAAGTATCTCTTAACTGAACAACCTTTGGTTGTTTTTTCCGAGATAAATGTTCAGAAAATTTTGCTTTGTTTCCTATCTCGCAATCATTAGCTTCTTGTAGCAACGATGACAACCATTTTTTACATTTATCCACTTGAAGAACCTTAACACCCCATGTTTCTGCATTTGAGAGAATGTTAGTGGTACCTTTTCTTAACCCAGTCGATCTTTGAGCAATGGATTTGCCTCTCGTAGTTTGGGTATTCATTTGAATAGAATTATTTATTCCTTGTGGAGAGTCTGTACTCAACGGGGAAGCTCCAGCGTAATTTTTTACTGATGAACTAAACAATTGATACGGACAAACAATGACTATGATACATCGTACGAATTTATTGTATGAAATATGGCAAAGATAATAAATATTATAATTTAAAATAAATTTACTGGTTAACCAACATTTACTTGCAGGAACATCGACGAATTATTTGAAGCAATAATTTGAGACATTTGTAATTAGAAATTAGTATGGAACACAGGATGTCGATCTTTTTTAAATTGTACGATAAATTTCAAATTTTAACCAACATGGTTTCAGACGACTCAAAGGAAAATGCTTTTAAATTTAATACATACGGTATGCAACAAAATTTTTTTTGTTCAAAATTCAACTTTTGTGTTTATTGGGATTATAAAGCCCGCAAACTTGTGACATAGTTTTTCTCTTCTAAGATTAAGGTAGTCTTCACAAATTTTAAGATATTTTGTGGACTTAATCAAATATGTTTGTAGATCGTCCAGGTTGGTATAGTCCTGAGAAGGACTATTTTTGTTGTTGTTGACTGACGTTTCGACAACCTTAGCAGTAGTCATCTTTAGAGTCAAATGAGGAGTAAACGTCAGATTAGCCGTATTTGTTATCTGGTTCTTACGTCATTGTATTTTGTGTACAGGAAATGTGTATTGTCATTGTGAATTAGTGTGAAGTGAAATGTTTTTAGTTGTGAAGTGTGATTTAGGTGTGATGTTTTTAGTTGTAATGTGTGGCTGTCAATTGTGTATTGTCATTGTGAATTAGTGTGAAGTGTAATGTTTTTAGTTGATCGTTTGTTTGTATTGTGAATAAGTCGTTTGTAAGGTGCCGGTAATTGCTGTGATCTGTTCAGGGGGGTTTGTTCCAAGTTGGCATACCAACTTTCTAATGTAAGCCATTGTCTATAGTCAGTACTGTAAGTAGTGCATTTTGCCGAGTCCCAGTCAATGTTGTGCTTTGTGATTCGGTGATGTTCGGCAATGTGATTAGTTTTGTCTTGTTTCTTAGTAGCTCGTTTGTGTTCAGTAAGTCTTATGTTTAAGTTCCTGCCAGTTTCCCCGATATAGGAGGCGTGGCAGTCGGAATAGTTTATTTTGTAAACTGCACCTTGTCGTTCGTTGGGTTGTTCTTTGTCCTTTATGTTCGTTAGTACTTGCCGTAACGTTGTGATTGGTTTATGTGCGACACGTATGTTGTATGGTCATAAGATACGCGAGATAGTCTCAGACGTACCTTTGATGTAAGGTATCGTTGCTGTTGTCACTTAGTTGTTCGTTTCGTTGGGTTCGTTGGGTTTGTAAGTGTTGCGTTTGATAAAGTCAGAGTTATAATTGTTTTTGTCAAAAACACGTTTGAGATTGTTGTTTTCGTTGTGTAGAGCGTCCGTTACAAACCCAACGAACCCAACGAAACGAACAACTCAGTGACAACAGCAACGATACCTTACATCAAAAGTACGTCTGAGACTCTCTCGCGTATCGTACGACCATACAACATACGTGTAGCACATAAACCAATCACAACGTTACGGCAAATACTAACGAACATAAAGGACAAAGAACAACCCAACGAACGACAAGGTGCAGTTTACAAAATAAGCTGCTCTGACTGCCACGCCTCCTATATCAGGGAAACTGGCAGGAACTTAAACAAAAGACTTACAGAACACAAACGAGCTACTAAGAAACAAGACAAAACTAATCACATTGCCGAACATCACCGAATCACAAAGCACAACATTGACTGGGACTCGGCAAAATCATTACTTACAGTACTGACTATAGACAAAGGCTTACATTAGAAAGTTGGTATGCCAACTTGGAACAAACCCCCCCTGAACAGATCACAGCAATTACCGGCACCTTACAAACGACTTATTCACAATACGAACAAACGATCAACTAAAAACATTACACTTCACACTAATTCACAATGACAATACACAATTGACAGCCACACATTACAGCTAAAAACATCACACCTAAATCACACTTCACAACTAAAAACATTTCACTTCACACTAATTCACAATGACAATACACATTTCCTGTACACAAAATACAATGACGTAAGAACCAGATAACAAATATGGCTAACCTGACGTTTACTCCTCATTTGACTCTGAAGATGACTACCGCTAAGGTTGTCAAAACGTCAGTCAACAACAACAAAAATAGTCCTTCTCAGGACTATACCAACCTGGACGATCTACATTTACAAACATGTAACGATACTCCCGGGTTCAAACCATTTACTTTATTAATCAAATATTTTAATAATTTTAAGTTCTTAATAAATTATCATTATTTTTACTATTTTCACTCTTATGTTAGAGTTGATCTCAGACTGTTGCAGTATATCAAAATATTGATAAATATCGTTGTTTTATAATATCTGTTTATCGATATTGGTTTTTTCAGACCTCAACAAGCCAATTTCGCATGTACATATGTACAAATATATTTTTTCTCCCAGTATACTTACAACTAGTTGAAGAAAATAAATCATAAAGACAATCATAAGTAATCTACCCTACCTTCTGGACATAGAGCATGGACTAGGAAGACCAGGACTTGGTAGAGAACTTGCTACCTTTACACAATCATGTGTATTGACATCAGTAACTAAATATGTGATTTCTTTACGAAAAAACTCTTCAATTATCTGCAAAAATAATGTATTAATATATATAATGTATCGTACTAAATGAAAACTAAACATATATTCGCATTGATTCCTTGTTTTATCATGAAACAAACAATATTTTCTTCCAAAACCTTAATAAAATACCTAGTAAATAGTAAGTATGATGTGTAACCAGCTACTTACCCCACCAAGTTGTTGAATAGTTTTCTTTAAACCTGTGGTATTACTACACCCATTTATGTACAAATAAAACAATTTTCCAGATAAGGGACCTGGTTTTTTTCCTGTGAAAGGAAAATCCAGTTTTCGTTTTCCTTTAGGACTGCACTCTATAAAATGAAAGCAAGGAAAATCTTATATTTTATAGATAAAACAAATAATTTAGAAAATTTGATGAAAAATGCTTTGAAAAATATCATCTTCTAAATGCAAAATTCTTCTCGTATAAAACAAATATAGTGCACTAAATTTCTTTCTCTTATGCAACTCAAAACTTGATATTAAAAGATAGTGCAATTCCAATTACATATGTTTTACTCTATGTTTTTTAAAGTTTATTAGCTGGTAAACATCAAACAATGTACAAATTGACATAAAGCAACAAGTATCTTTAATCAACAGTTTATAACTATCAGTTTGGGGAAAAAATGCTCTTTCCTGTTGACTTATATTTACAAAAAAACTAACACAGACATATTCATATACATTCATGACATTTCTTTATAGTTCATGAGTTGTGTTTTACTTGAATCATGTAGTTATTAAAATCTTGTGTTTAACCACTGCAGGCCAATATTTGTTTTGTAAGCGATGCATAAAACCTCTATTTATTACAAACAAACTTGCTCCAATTTAGCCATCTATGAGAGGCAATAGTATATTCATCTTGACATTTTGACAAATTGAAGCATAAATCAAAGACAAACAAATAACAGATATCTTTAAGGGGATAGAAAGATGTCCAGAATATAATTTCATTATTGCCCATCAGTCAAAACTCTAAAGTACATAACAAATAACACTGGCAATACAAAGCAAAGATTTTTTGATTTTGTCCACCCCCCTTTGCATAACATAGATTGATATAGAGTTGTTGGAATGCACAGTTCAACAAATATTTATACTATATAACTATAGATGCTGTATACATGTTTTATCTAGTTTTTTATGACCCCTTTCTAGTTTCTACAATACAAGGAAGAAGAAACCGTCGGCAAAGGCTTCTTTAATAAATAAAGTATCCACATTGCACAATTTTTAGGTAACGTATTTTTAAATGTGCTATGACATGTGACCGATAACACAAAAAAAGTGTATAGCCGAGATAAGATGAACACATATCAATGTTTTTGTATACTTACTATATTTATTTTTAAGTTCGTTAATCGATGGTGTTTTTGTAGGTCGAGGACTCCTTCGTTCAGGTTTGCCAAAATTTGATTTTGTTTTCATGTTTACATTGCTTCGAAGATAAGACATGACTTTCAAAATTATTACACCAGGCACATTTGCTAACGTTTTTAATGACAGGATAAAATCCTAACCAACAAAGATGATACATCAACGATGCACCAAATGAAATAAAAACGATAAAAATTAAAAAACAGTGATGTTCTCGGTGATTGTGTCCATGACTGTTGAGAATATATTTAGATTGAGGCGGGAAATACCAGCATTCCTTGCGGTCATGCTGGTATTTCAGAGGATCCGATCTTTTTGTTGATAAACTCAGAGCCCTCTATAGTATAAAACTATAGTTATACTATAGAGGGCTCTGGATAAACTTGATATCTATATCATATGTGAACCGCTTCCTTTGATCTTGTCGAATGAAAATAGAGCAAGTTCTATTCCCATCCGATTTATTAGATTGACGGATCCGCTACATGGGAACCGCTATCTGAAGTAAAAAATTGAAGTCAAATCTTACACCGAGGCGCGCGTGGGTAGTGTTTCGAGATTCTGAAAATTGATTGACTACACACGTGTCTGGGTGTAAGATTTGGCTTCATAAAAGCACTAGACTTTTCTATTACAGGTAGCGTTCCATGTATTTTAGTTCAATGGCTCACTTACATGTGTTCACACGATCCGTGTTTTAGGATCCGAAAAAATCGGATTAAGATCACTGAAACTCAATAAAAGCAAGGGAAGTTTTTTATTCTCCCAGAATTAACACGATGTTTTTTTGTCACCATCCTTGGTGTTAAAGGGTTATGCTACCATGTTACGTTATATTATATTCTAGTCATCTGCACCATTCGAATTTCTCGTAATAATTTCTAAATAGAAGTTAATTTCCACATTAGAATTGATATGTGATATGTAATAAAATGAAAAGTGGAAAAGGTTTTATTCGGTACTGCACATGTTTGTTATACTATAGTGACCAATTTTTGTTGATCTTCGATATTTTGTCCAAGCTGCTACATTGCATAAATATTGCTAATTGTTTTCATTTATTAAAATACATTTATGATAAAATTATATACCTTTTCATGATCAAAAACAAACGCTATATATATCAAGAGAGGTATGTTTTATAATTTATATATCTAGAGATGTGTGTTCTATGACACAATTCTTGCAATGTTCCTGTATAAAATCATACGTATCCAGCGTTATACTACAGTCTTCAACATTCAGATAATGTAGTAAACAGCATTGCGCAACAACAGAACGTATTCCGACATCTGTAAGATGACGACAGCCTTTGATACTCAAACGTTTCAGCTGTGGACAATGAATTCCTAAGGCACTCAATGTAGTATTAGTTATCTCGCATTTTCCAACATCCAAAGATCTCAGTTTAAGGCAATTTTGAGCGACATATACAACACCAACATCAGTAACACCAGTACAACCTCGTACGTTCAAATAACGTAAGTTGCAACAGCCCTTCGCAATTAATTTAATACCAGTGTCTGTTACCGAGCATCTCATTAAACTGAGATACCTCAAAGCCGAACAATATCTAGAGATTTCCTTCAAACTGAAATCTCTCACTTTATGACAATCACTGATGCTCAGTTCGCGTAACGAGTTACAATTATTTGCAACATGTTGCATGCCCACGTCAGTTATACGGAGACAACGTCTCATATGAAGTGTTTCGAGGAGTTTACAAGTAAAACTCAATGTCCTAAGACCTAAATCATCGACAGAAACACAATCACTGATATCCAGGTAAGTAAGAGAAAAACAAACGTCATTATGAGACTGAATGTTTGTAATCGTGCTATCACAAACGCTACTGATACTCAAGCAGCCACGTACATCCAACCAAGTCAAACGTAAGCAATTTTCTAAGATATTTTGAATACCGTGATTCATGACACATGGGCATGCTAAGATTTCAAGCTTTTGCAAATCAATGCAATATTTTGCAATGTAACTGAGACCTCTGTCAGATAGACACTCACATTGAACAATTCGTATATACTGAAGTGTTAGACACAGGCCTTGAGTGCTCATAGCCAATCTAGAAAGAATATTGTAAACAACTTTGTCAACGTTGCTTTTGGAGTATTTCGACAGCTTCATAGTTTTCCAAAGCTGTGGATCCCAACATGAAGCACGCCATCTTCTACACACTCCCGACGCCAGACAAAGATACTTTGTCGACAAAAATGAAAATACGTGCAGAAGGATGTGCTCTGGCAGACTATTTATATCAGTTTTATTTTTAGAAATAGAAGCATGTTCGCTGTGGAAAAAACTTAGACGTTCACGCAACCTTTGTTGAAGCGTTTCGCTTTCTCTTCTAACAACATCTCTTTCAGATCGTCTTTGCATCGCAAAATATTGCTTTCCTGGATGACGAGGGTTTAAATACATCTGTTCAATATTATTAAGGTTTCCCAGGTCCCCACTATCATTACTTCTCTCGCTATTTCCTCCAGCACTTGTTGAGTAATCACTTGACCAGAAACTTTGATCTGATGAAAAACGTTTGTCCTCCTCTTGCCTGGTCGTTGAAAACGATGATAAAGCTCCACATGGACTTTTTGAATGTACTTGAGCTAAAGTTTTTTGAGTATTTACAGGTAAAGAAGGAACATCATAAACAGAACATTCGACGAGTTCTTCGTTAAATCCATTAGTGTTTATAGAATCAATATTTCTTCTTTGAGTTTCATCATTTCTTCCAATGCCAGAACGCAAACCTCTTTGATACGTTCCTGAAAATTTTGGATGAAATTCATCAATGGATTGACGCCATTGTCTTTGATGGACATTTGTGGTCCGCTGAGGAATATTATGTGGTATTTTTCTTTCTTCGTTTTCATTTAAAGAACTTCCTCTCTCGAATGTAACACGATGTTTTCTTGGAGTATTAACCTGATCTCGACTTTTCAAACAACTCGCAGCGGTTGTGCTTTTATTGTATACCTCTTTTGAGCAGCCATTGTTCGAATACCCTAAAATGATGATAATAACAAAAGTTTTTTGAACATACACTCAGTAGGACGTAGCGTGAATGAATAAATATTGCATAGCAGGCCTTCCTTATCTATTAATTTACAATGACAAAACAAAATAAGAGGTAAATTGCTCACTAACTAATCTGAGTTAATTGATGGACCTTTCATCATTTTCATATGTACGACAAATTTCATTTAAGAGTTGCTACAGCCCTCAATTTTAAAAAAATTATTTAAAGCTCATAATAGTAGTTAGAAATTCAATTGTAGATAACAGATGTATCTACTTTTTCACTCATAACCAAGGAGTTGTCTCAAAATAGAAATAGACTAATTTCTTTAGAGTTACTTCAGGCTTTTAAAAAATATTTTCATACATGAAAGTTTGGCTCGGCAAAAGCTACTTTTACCATCCCACACACAAATTTGCCTGTATTTTAAACAAAAGCTTTGAAAAAGAAGAAACTAGAGCATTCTACAAACTTTCAAGTTGCTATGTTTTTCACAACATTCAGTACATGTAACTACAGTACAGAGATGTGATGGATGTGTTCATGTCATTTCCTGCATTAACCACTAACAATAACAACAACCTCGCTCCCAAAGTCTTTTCCTAGGGTTGTTTTCCCCAGGTCACCCTGGTCTTTTCCACAGTGAGAAGACACCAGGTGACCGTGGGGAAAACAACCCTAGGAAAAGACCCAAAACGAGGTTGCAATAGCACTTGGGAGCCAAGCTCAGGTGGGTAAAAAAACTATTATGCAAATGAAATGAATGTCATTAAAGAAATAATTTTATTTGTGCTATACTACACTATATCAGCAATGCCTCTGAGAAGATATTCATAAAAATAGATCCTGGCTGTGAAACAATTATACTTTCTTCAAAGTAAAGGAATTTGTGTATGCAAAGAGACTTCACTTTACATTACGAAAAGAATATCATTAATACACTCACACGAAATAAATGATTTAAGGAAAATAAAAATTACGTAATACGTAACATAAGAAGTGTTTTACTAAAGCTTCTTAAAAACTATAGAATACGTGTTTGAAATCTTCTAGTTTGTACAGATTCCATAAGAATTTAGGCAAACAGTATCAATCAGTATTTCACAAATTCGCACTTTCGAACAAATCATTTAGTTTTACAATAAATCACGCTTGAATTCCTCCTAACAATTAATTCTGTGCTGATTGATATTACATCCTACCGACATGGAAACCATGTAAACAAGAGTTTACAGTAAAAACATCCAAAGTATGAAAAATAATTCATAATTCAGCATTGTAAAGAAGCCAGAGGCTATCATCAATGCATGAAACAAAATTATGTTAACTGAATGAGTATTTTACCGACGTATTTTGATTGCTTGCAAATATAAACAGTACTCGCTCTATTATGGACAAAATAATCAAAATAGAAATACACGATAGTAAATTCCACTTTAAAACATCACATAACAATTAAATTGATATACAATGCTCTAATAGAATAACAATTTCAAGTAAGTCTTTGCCATTGCATTTCAATTTCTAAGGTTGTGAATTTCCAGAATTGCTATTAAAACCATTCAAAATATATTACACAACAACGTATTTAAGGTCACCTTTTACAGTAGAAAGTTTCTCTTGACTTTGTCCCATAACGTTGAAACAGCTTCTTTCAAAAGAGCATTTTATTTCGTCGGGAATACTGCCAGTGAAAACCTGCAAGATTGTGAGTTAAAATTGGTTAAAATCGCCCGCAATGACCGAAGTTTAAACTCTGTTGTTGTCAACACGCGCATAATTTATTCACAGTTATATATTAACCATGTAAGCCGATAATATTTTAGCCTTCTCCTGTTTTGCTTTTCATTTTTAATTTTCAAATCTTTCGAAACTCAAGGTTATTAAAAACATTGATTTTATTGACAAGGCTGGAAACGTTCCTGTTTAAGTCAAAATTGCTCCCATAGGCTGTTTTAAATCTTGCAACTATTTTTCAGATGTGATGATTGATATACGCGCGTACATATGACATATGTTATGAATTAAAACTGAATGAGATTTATGAAAAGAACTATGAAGCCGAAGTTTATCGCAGCTTGCCGTCATATGGTGTTGAAACTTATCAGGTAAAGCGCACTTCATGAAATAATTGTTGAAACGTATCTTCGTAATGATTTTTTGTTGTGTTTAATTCTTTTATTAGTGATAAATATTCTGCCATTGCCATTCAAGATTTTCAACAGATATCTAAATCAATGGCATTGAAATTTGCACAGTTTTCAAAATGGCTGCTATTCTGATTTCCTAATGCAGTCTTACATGTTCATTCTTGGCAGATCACATATTTTACATAGTGGTGATTATGTGCGATACCGATTAAAGATATTGATTGATACCAATTAAAATACTAATTGTTTATACGGTCTCAATTGGATAACATTTGAAGGTGATTATCATGGATGGCAACAGTGAAAAATCTGTTGTCTATAGTAAGTTGTTTTAGTGACCAATGAAGATAAATATTTGGCGCACTCAGACTGAAGAAAAAAAGATCTAATGCGTTTTTTGAACATGTTGAATAATTACATTTAAACTTGATATTAGTTTAGTTGTTAATATAGGATGCTTGGTAAGGCCCGTTTAAACAGAATATTAGCTGTAAAGAATTTTATCTCATTTTCTTGTGTCACTTATAAATGCAGTTAGCGTACGTAAAATGCGACGTTTTTTCTTTAACTAAGATTAAACAACAAAAAATTATGAGTCACAACCAATGGCCACAACTAATACACGCTGGCCTAGACTGCGTTAAGGATAAACATATTTTTCAATGTCGTATTTTGCCTAGCGGTTACAAATGTATATTGTAAACGGATTGCAGAAACAGGAGATTTTCAATGGTATTTTTTATGTTGTATGTAATAAGAATGAGAATGGACATGAAAGTTCAAAGGTAAGTGTCAAAAATCACTTACAGCTCAAAAGAAATAATTTGATACTAGAATTAATATAATTTCTATAATTTATGAAAAACTTTCTAAATATATTAAAATTAGAAGTGTACTACTAAATTACAATTAATATTCAATAAAAATGTACAATATATGTACTTAATGGTCTAATTGAGAAAGCTATATTTTGCCATTACTATTCATTAAAAATGTGCTACATATGTATTAAATACCCCAATTAAAAAGTTACGTTAATTATTCTCGACTAAATAATAATAAACATGCGAACGGACTTTCGATCAAGATGGTATGCAAGATTACAAAGTCTTTCAATACGGCATTCTTGTGGTTTTCCTGCATTGTACACTCGGTACAAATGGTAATTATTTTGCTTTTCAAATGCACACTTGATTTCCTGTGAGGATATCTCAAGCAAATTTTTTTCAGAACTTGCGGTACTTTTTACTTCAATGAAAATCTGTTCACCGTCCACGATATTTTTTATATCGTAAGGTGAACCTGACTCCTTAATTTCATTCATCCAAATAACTTCATTTTTTGCATTTGCTTTCAAAAAGGCATAAACAAAGCTTTCCCCAATGACCGATCTCTTCAGCATTTGCATTTTGTGTTAATATTTTTAAATCACTGATATTCACTGCATGAGAAAAATCTACTTCCTCAAGCTCAACATCTGTGTGGTCATACATGGGTGGATGAACATGAAAAGAAGTCTTCTCACTCATTGCTGAGGTAATTCTGGTCTTTTGGAAATTTGTTGTGTTGTCTTTCAAGTTTTGAATTTCATTGTTCAAATTTTGTTGCAATGGAACTTTTTTGGTCGAAGTTTGATCACGGACTTGACAGGACACTTCTGAAGATAAGCTCTCATCCTGCGTAGCTAAGTCAGGTGTCGTCAAGAAATTTTTTGGTGATTTACCATCATAAATATCTGTAGATGTTTCAGGTTGTGAAGTCAGTAAATCTGCAGGTGTATAAGGCTCCGTAGGTTTAGGATTACCATGTTGCTGGCGTCACTTACGTCATTTGCAGGTTGAATATTATCATAAACTTTAGGTGGAGGTGGCGGCTGTTCGGTAAGCAAAGTTTGTTCGATTGCAGGATTCTTGCTTCGAATTTGATCATCACGTGCCATAGCTGATGATCGCGGAGGCCAGCACTGAAGACCCACAGACTCACTGTCTGTGCCTTGCGTCATAGAGGGACGTTCCATGGACAACGGGTCACTTTCATAGGAAATGACTTGGGGCATTTCATCAACCGTCGTCTCTGATGTCAGCACTGTATCGTCTGTTAACATAGGCGGAGGTTCCCGAACGCACCACGCTATGACGTCTTCGGGAAGATTGTCTGCATCCATGGACTGCATATAGTCTTCAATGGAGTCATCAGATCGTTGTGTCACGACTTCCAAAAAATTGCTAAATTCTCCTGTGTTTTGTGATGGCACAAAAAAACGAGCAATTTCTTGAAAAATATCCTTGTTACATTTTAGATCATCTTCCGTCACATAGACAATAAATGACTCGTGCTGGTGATCAATGGCACACTTTTTCTTTACGGAAACATTCACGTTTGGATGTGTTGAAAGCCGATGTACCACTTCTATTTCGTTCACGCTTAAAAAACATTTCAAATTAGAAATAGAACTTGGAAATTTTGATTCTTGCAATTCTTCGTATTTGTCTTCGTGTTTATGGTAGATATATCTTTGGATGTAAGGAATCCAACGAAAAAAAAAACGCTGTAAGTTGTGACATTCTGAAACCATGTTGGGGATTATTTCAGTAGAGACACACTCTGAGACATATTTGATTTTACAAACGTTATAGAAGAACTTCTCCACACTTTTTCGAATGTCAGCATTTTCTTCATCGTTTGATAGATGATCATTTTGTTTTTTTCGTGCACGACGTTTTGATTGCAACCCCATTTTAATAAAGTGAACTTTTTCACTGGAAACTTTTCCGTCATTCACTGTGTCATTTGTCTCTTCAGAATGATCTTCTTGAAATATCTTCCCAACAGCTTTGTTATCGCAGAATAATGGTTTCTGCTGCAAAGACACCCATTTCTCTTCTGTAGTTGCAAATACATTCAAATTTGATAGTTGAATCTTTACAAAGTCTGTATAGTTTGCAGGATCGTTAGCTAATTGTTTTGCAATCACGTAGAAAATTCGCATCATATTATCAACAACTGGCCCACTAGCTATCGATTGTTGTGACGCATTTGCCTCCAAAAGCTGTATATATTCCTTCAACGTTGGATTGGAGTCAACGCCAAGCACAGAAATCATAAAATTTTGAAGAATGTTCGGATAAAGGCTTTCCAATACCTGTCTATGATCGTTGAACGGCAAATCGATGCTTAGGAGATGCATTAATTTCGTTGGATCTGACCAGTATCCGCTTTTACGAGGCAAAAACTTTCCAAACGTAGGTACATCTAGGGATATTTTCTTGTCATTTGGAACAAATATAACTGGCTTGTTCTTCGTGGCGTCATCAAAGTATTTCTTGTTGCTTTCATTTTTCATTGTTTGACTTTCCAAAAATATGTACACGTTGATCATATGTTGAAGACTCGTCATGAATTCTTTATCGTCATCAACACTGATTTCAATCCATTTTAATAGCTCAGAGACAAGAAACTCGAATGTGACATTATTTTTAACACCTAACGCTTTCTTGAAATTTTCATTTGCAAGTTCAACGTCAGCGTAGAAGGTAAAATGTTTCAGCAAGCGAATATTTTCTGGCGAATTTATAAAAGCATCCCTGGGCAAAGATTTTGATGGTTTGGCATTGGACTGAGTTGAGAAAACCGGAAGCCAAACCTTTTCTTTCAGATTGAGACAAAAAGAGGAAAACGTTACTCCAAGATTTTTGCCATTTTCATCAAGATACGGCACTTCATTCATGTATTGTTGATACATCTCATCCCAATCTTGATCCAGGATATTAGCCAGTTTTTTTAACTCTCAATGGAACCAGTAGATAGCAACATTTCCAACTCACTTGAGGCATAATCTTTGATTATATAACTTCCGGTTACTTGCTCCCAAAATTCGCTTATCACAGCCCATGGAGATTTCACCTAAAGCATGCAAAATGATAATTTTTGTGAAATAATAGAAATCTATCACATTATCACTCAGGGTCACTCGGAACTGTGGTAATCCGGGTGTCCATTTAAACACACTTTTTAACCTGAACAAACATTAACCTGATTTGACACTGATTAAATCTAATTTACTTCAGAGAACTTGTTAATAGTTCTTTCTCAATGCTTTATGTTTTTTCACGGAAAATTCAAGTTGTTTTATGGAGAAGGCTTAGATCTCTTACATTCACTAAACTTGAATTCGGAAGAAATGAGCAAATGACATCACTTACAGTTGAAACCAGTGGCGTAACTAAAATCAGTGTCGCATCGATAATTGAGGGGGGGAGGGAAATTATCGTGAATAAATGAAAATTCCTCCCCCCTCCTAATTAATCGAGCTGGCTACGCCACTGGTTCAAATAACTTTTTTTATTTTGTAAAATGAATGTGAAAAATAAAACATCAAATACTTTGTGTTAAACATACCAATTCTTTTTTGTTCAATGTCACATCTTTCTTCTCAATAGCGAGAAAATGTACGACACCAAGTGATGTGAAAAATTGCTTCCATGTAGAACGAGATTCTTTGTTGGAATCACCATAGCTATTATCGACAACAGTCCAAGGTACACCTGGTAAAAGAAAAAGATTCCGTAATGATGTCAAGTTTCAATCACATTAATTCACCAGGCTTGCTTAATAATATCAACTTACTTGGAAATTCCTTTTTAAGATTTATTTTATTTCCATATTCTAAGGAAAAATGAACAGGTTGTGTACTTGGATTGACAAAGCCTTTGTTAGTTTTCACCAATGCACAGGAACGGAGTTCACCCATATCACAAGCACCTGGATCCAATTCAAGATTCTCTTTAATGTAAATCAAATAGCTGTGGATTACATGTGGAGGGTCACCTGAAATAAAAAATTTTAATCCATATTAACTTTTCAACTCACAGTATTCACAACTTAAAGCACTCCGAAATATTTGTTCGAAGTATATATTCGACAACTATAATTGATGTTTAAACATGCCGTGGACATGCGCAGTATGCTATGCAATTTTAATATAATTTATTAAATATTTAATGTTGGCATTACCGATTTGCTGTTAGACTCTTTAAGGATAGGAATGATATGATGCTTGATCAAATCTCTTGCAGACAAGCATTTCACTTGCAATCTTTCCAATAATTTTCTTACTTGGGATCGCTCAACATCATCAAGACATTCCAAAATCATAGGATGAAGTGAACGCAGTTCGTTGTAAACTATATCGGCTATTTTTTTAGATACTATGAATAAAAATTGAGAGAAGAAATTAAAACCAAGAAACTACATTCATTACATTAACAATAATTTATATTCAACATTACTTGGTTTTGATCGTTCTTTGTTTCGAGCGTCCTTCAGAGGAAGAAATACGGCTTTGTCATGGACTGAACTGAGAGTTTGGTTGCAAAGAGGAAATATATTAATCTCTGCAATTTTTTGCAAACTCTCATCACTGCAGTCTCTTTCACGTTCCAAACATCGATAAATACAGCAGAGCCACTTCGCCACCCAACAAGCAAATTTTTCGAAAAAATTTCACACTTTTTCAGATGATTGTTTTCAATTGTACCTTCCACTTCGCTTGCGATCGCCATACCAATGTCGATCAAATGTTGAGAAGATACGCTTTCAATGCCGAGAATTCTTCGTAATGGACCATGAAGATATGGCTTCAGTTTGGGATGAAGAAAGTGCTTGTTTAAATAACCATTCAGGATACGAGGAGTAATAACTTCTTCTATTACGTAATCTTCAGCAATTACAACTTGAGAGGGGAATGCCCAATTTATCATTTCGCCATTATTATCATCAACTGCAACTGTCGTGTTGTCATGAATTATTTCTGTGTCGAACAAGGATTCGTTCTCCGTGCGTACGGTCATGACTGGTATGCATTCTTTTCTAGTTATACCATCAATAACTGTCTGTGATATTGGTTTGAAAAAATCCAAGATTTCATCCTCAAGTGGTACAAATTGTAAAAGAAGAATTATCGAAGCAACGCTATCAAAACAATCGTGGATCTACAAAGATATAAAAATTAAAAAGTTTAATTCGCATCGTCAACACAATGCTCACAACATCTGCAAAAAATATTCAAATTGCAGGAATATTGACAAGGATTTGTACAAGCAATACACTATAAGGTATCAATCAATCCATAAATAAATAGTTTATGGTGGCATTGATTGAAATATGTGTACCAATGAACTAAAACATATGGAACGCTACCTGTAATAGAAAAGCCTAATAATTTTTTGAAGCCACATTTTACACTCAGACACGCGAGGTTACACCAAGACCCGCGCGTGTAGTTCATTCAACTTTTTTCTGTGAGATAATCTCGTAACACTAAACACGCGTGTCTGGGTGTAATCTCGCGTGTGTGCATGGGTGTAAACTTTTGCTTCAATTATTTGCTTTAGGTAGCGTTTAATGTATTTTAGTTCAATGATTTGTACTCAATGTATTTTGAAGGATGCATACTGAATTAACGAAAGTCATCAGTAAAAACGAAAATTCTAGAAATATTGGAAAACGTATAATGAATCACAGATAAATGATAAATTTTTCACCTTAAACTCATCAAATGCTTGCACAAAAAGAGTGCCAATCTCCTGACGAAGCCATTGGTTCCATGCACTGTCTTTGTCTACGTCTTCCCTTGATGATGGAACGTCAAAATCAGCTTGAATGATAAAACGAAATCCGTAGCTCCGCAACGGAAGAAATGCAAACACGGGTTGCTGGACTAACGACTGTTGAGAAAAAATTGAAAAAATACTAGTCGGGAGTGGGTTAACTATTGGTCATGTATCATTGAAATTTTCAAGTGATGACATGGTACTCGAGACATAGTGTAGATAGTGCAGTATAGCTTTGTATTGCATTGTCAATTTCTACAAATACTAAATAAGTAATCACATGGTTTTATCTGGTTCAATTTTCAATGGAACAAAGTGAAGATGGGCATTAAGCATAAGCATATGGTACCTAATCGCATCTTCCAAATAGTGTACTTTAGAGCGTCAAAATTAAACGTTTTCATGGCCTTTTAGCATGCATTAACAAAATGTAAGCTGCTTCGATGTATAGGGGCTAAAAAGGCCTAAAGCAATCTGATATTGAGTAATCTGGGCCTAAACATTTCCCGTTGTCTAATATCCACGTGCTGTTTTAAACACAATTTACAAAAAATTATTGTATATATAATTCCATAATTTTAATATTGTAATGCTCAAACTTAAAACAGTAGTACTAGTGATATTATAGGACAATTAATTATTTGATTAAACCACTGTTTCTTTCAAAGACACTTTTTCTCAAAAATAAAATAGTGGCTTTTTACTATTGTATGATTAACGTACTACTGTTAAGATTTTTAATCGACATTTGAATGAGTTTAAAGAGAGTAAAACTAGTATCATTACCTTGTTATGAATAAAAGATATTATGTCATGTAAAGAAATTTGTGAGTTGGCATTTCGAGGTGGAAGTGGGAAAGCCAAAGCTATTTCAGTACTCTCAATTTCTTCCTTTATCTACAGAAAGGAAAAAGGTAGATGAACGTTAAACGAAAAAGCTAGCAATTTTCTATCTTATTTGACAAAGTTTTTAATAACTTCTCTTCAACATTTAACTTTGCTTGTAATAATTTAGCATTTTTTCTCACGAACCATAGATGCTGGTAGTTCCTTCTTTACAACAAACCAAAGATCTTTGCCATTTGAATGTTTGATTTCAATCAATTTATCACCACAATCATGTCGAACCATTTCACGTATTTTGCCTGAATCCTGAGACAATAAAAATGCTTACGTCAGCTACGTGCGTTCATACACAATACAATTAGCCATGTTTTATTATGTAGGATTTATGAAAGCCTACTTATTTTCTCGAATGTATATATTACTAAAACGATTTTTGGAACTTCACTGTTAATGCGCAAGCGCACTGAAAATCTTATTAATCAGTCAAAAAATCCCTGAATTCTTTTTTGCTTTTAGTGCCTTTCAATATTTTCAATACCTTTAGAGAAATCGGAAAAGTCAACGGTTGTAAAAGATAATATCCTTCAAAATGGTTATAATACATATATGCTATGAGTGAACAGTAAATTTAAATAACCCTAAAAAGGCAAAATTATATACCTCATCATTTATTGTAATCTTTTTCAGTCTTCTAAGAAATAGCAACAGAGACGGTTGAATATCGTGAAAGCGAGCAATCAAAGTCTTCTTTTGAGAAACCTTCATGTCGTCTTTTAATGGTAATAAAATGCGTGTTGTCCATCCTTTTTCAAGGTTCCACATCTGTTTGACTTTCGCACCAATGAGGAAGGATAAAACCAGTGGGGCCACTTTTTGCATCAAATTTAATATGATAACCGTTTGAATGAACTTGAGGAGTATCAGTAACTCGAAATACTGATTTGAAACCAATGCCTTTCTGACCTGTTTTTAAATATATTTATATGACGGTCTTTAGTAACAACCAAGCTGTATTCAGTGATGTTTTTATCAGAGATTCTTGAAAATATACTTTTAGACTCATAAATGAAGTCTTTTGAAATAACTCTTTGAAATAAAAAAACATTTTCTTCCTCCAACCACAGCTAATAGCTACAATGAATGCCCATAAATATACTTTTAATAATTTGAAAACCAGAGTGTTAAGCATACAACCGACAGACCTGATTATAGCATCACTCAAACTATAGTGAAACTATATCCGAATAAAATGAAAATCACACCATTATTTTTGTGGTTAACATAAAATGGTAGCTCATGTGGAATACCGAATGGCAGTAAAAATAAATATTACACTAGAAAACAAAGGATCAACCCACCAATGTAGCCATATCGCTGTTTTCCTTTTGTGCTTTTACCAACATCACATAATGCCCGTATATTTTTTTCCTGAAACCCAACCTCGTTATTGAAGACCTCGATCTTTTCGACGTTTATCACAAAAAGAATGGAAGGAAGAGGTAAATTATCAGGATAACAATTATCATCAGCATTTTGTACTAACTCCAACACAAAGTGAGTATCTTTGGAGTATAGCTCGCTTGATAACCGATGCAAACCGCGTCCTTCACGTGATCTTTGATTTTCCATCACGTGTTTGTGTTCAGGTGGCAGCTCGATGCCTATACCAAAATCATCTCGACGAATTGATTCAACCACTGCTCTGCATTTATCTTTGTCTTGGGTAAGATCAGTTGTTATTTGCTCGTTTTCTAAATTTGCAATTACAAACATATCCTTTGTAGTTGAAAACTTTTCTCGTGCAATAATGCTATACCGACTAAAGAAATAATTTTTTAGCTTTAATACTATAGTGTTCCTCAAGGAAAAACTGTAAAACCTATTACAGCATCAAATGCAATATATTTTTAACATGCGACTGCAATTAAAAAGTCATTAGAGTATGATCAGTTCACAAAAATTAACGCATACCTTGGATTTCAGTATAATTGTCAATCAGCCCTGTATTGCTACTTGTTGGTCCATCTTCATGTTCAAAATCATCAGTTGGCTGCTTTAAAATAAATATTGCAAGCTGTTGAAAATTGACTTTCCGTGCTTTTCTTCTTCTCATCAAAGATTACGTATTGTGGATTTATTTTAATCAGCTAAAGAAAGCATTTTGACTAACCATTGCAATTTTTTCGTCTTCACTATTTAAATCTATAGACTGCAGTTCATCGTGTGATTTGTCAAAATCCACTTTGTTGCTTTCTAATGGTTTTTCAACGGCTGCCACTACGGTGGGAACATCAAACTTTTTCTTGAAATCTTCTTGCCACTCTGGGACACCAAAGTGAATTCCAAGATAGTGAAGTGTGCAATTCTCATCAATTGTCTTGCACCAATGCAAAAGCAGACTTGGTGTTTGGCCATTTCCAAATATTGATTTTAATGGTTCCACAAATATCTACAATTTAAAATGATTGGAAGATATAATTTAAGGGTACGTTTCTCATGGTAAGAATGGAAGATATATTTAAGGGTACGTTTCTCATGGTAAGAATGGAAGATATTATTTAAGGGTACGTTTCTCATGGTAAGAATGGAAGATATAATTTAAGGGTACGTTTCTCATGGTAAGAATGGAAGATATTGTTTAAGGGTACGTTTCTCATGGTAAGAATGGAAGATATAATTTAAGGGTACGTTTCTCATGGTAAGAATGGAAGATATATTTTAAGGGTACGTTTCTCATGGTAAGAATGGAAGACATAATTTAAGGGTACGTTTCTCATGGTAAGAATGGAAGATATAATTTAAGGGTACGTTACTCATGGTAAGAATGGAAGATGTAATTTAAGGGTTTCTCATGGTAAGAATGGAAGATATATTTCATGGTAAGAATGGAAGATATTATTTAAGGGTACGTTTCTCATGGTAAGAATGGAAGATATAATTTAAGGGTACGTTTCTCATGGTAAGAATGGAAGATATTCTTTAAGGGTACGTTTCTCATGGTAAGAATGGAAGATATAATTTAAGGGTACGTTTCTCATGGTAAGAATGGAAGATATAATTTAAGGGTACGTTCTCATGGTAAGAATGGAAGATATTCTTTAAGGGTAATGGTAAGTTTCTACATGGTAAGAATGGAAGATATAATTTAAGGGTACGTTTCTCATGGTAAGAATGGAAGATATAATTTAAGGGTACGTTTCTTGTGGTAAGAATGGAAGATATAATTTAAGGGTACGTTTCTCAAAATAATAAAGATAATAAATCATAACGGTGATAGTAGAGGCGAAAGTAAAACTAATTTATACGATATTTTTCATCCATAAAAGAATGCAAAGAATACAGAAGTCATTGTTCATAGCATGTTTTCTATATGTCTTATCAACTTACTTTCATCGACAAGCTGTGACGTAGAACACTTGGGACACGGCACAAGCATCGAATAACAAACCTAAATAAATCTGATTCATTCTTATTTTGAACACTTAGATTCAAATATGCTTCTTTCATATGACTGGCTAAAAGAGAAAGAGGTGATTTTTCAACTGCTCCATAATGACATACTAATGAAATCAAATGACCAACTGTTCCTATAACATCACAACACTTTGCACAGTTTAAAAATTGACTCAAGGAAGTTATGCGTGTTATCCTCAACAATTTTCCAGAAGGTGTTTCCATGGCAATAAGGTCATTTAGTTGGTAATGATCATTCACTTCATTGATCTGTTGCGATGAATATTTTTTGAGGAATGGCTTCAGTTTACCATACACTGGAGCAAATACACTATCCCATTCAGACCATATTGCAAAGTCTTCCAGCAATGGTGTTTGGTGCAAGCAATTTAAGACATTCTGCTCATCTTGATGTCCCAAAAGGCCAACTTGACTTGAATCGTTGTTTAAGGGACTCATCTCTAAACAAGCTTCATAATATATTGAAGGCTTTCCTGTCTGTTTCGACCTCTGTTCGCTTGCTTGACTAATTAAATTTTCCAACAGCTCATCATCAAGGTTAGCAGCAAGATCTCCATATTGTGCATGGATTGCTCTTCGAAGTTTAATCTAAGTACAAAGCACCACCAATTTATTAATATTTATTTTCATGGAGCATTTCATGAGTCATAAATTATCATGAGCGGATAGGTTAAATTTTCGATAATACCTTGTCGGAATCAACACAACAATGTCGTATAAAATTTACGATCTCTGCCTGCGACACACCAAATCCAATATCTTTCACGCGATTTGAAAAAGCAACCAGATCATCTATTTCCTTGTGTTTTGTTAGAAAGTGCAAAAAAGATCCGTAACCAAAATCTTCAAATGCTACAAATCCTTTATAATTAGACAAAACGTTTTCTTCAACCCTTGCAAGCAGCTTTAGATCTTTCGGTCTTGACGAATTTCCACTGAGTAGCCATTGCTTTATTTCATGAACTAGATCTCCTATAAATTTATGTCAATATTTACTGTGTAAAGATTTTATATAATAATCTACGAAGAATGAAAAAGTATGAGAGAAATATGCTTGTGATGTGAAATATAAAACAAGGAGAATTACGAACGTTTCATTATATTCAAAAAGATCTCCCCGTTCATAATATTCAGAAGCTTTTTGACAAGAAAAATTTTTCCTCTTGAATGCATGTGATGAGGGAATTGTACAATTGATATTTTCAATGATTGAATTTAATCGATATTAAGGCAGATAATTCAGTTACGTACATAATTATGCATGCTGAAAATGGTTTTCCACTGAAGTTGTTTTTAAAAGATCTATAAAAGATTGTACATTTTGCTAAGAGAAAAACTCAAAGCAAAATGTGCCATCCGGATTTTGCTCATGCCAGAAATGACAGCGGCAGGGAGCAAGCATTTTAGTTTTTAGTAGTACTTCAGCCTTGGAATAGCGAAGAGCTCAATTCAAACAGTTTTTTGATGCAAATAATAAATATCTCCTTGTTACCTTCTTTTGGAGTCATTGAAGATGGGTTTTCGTCTGTCATTTCCTTTGTCGAGCGTGTGTCAACAGAGTGAACTGTTGAAGTTTTTGATTTTTGAAAATCCTCAGGAGGTTTAACCAAGTCATAACAAGCATGATGTAAAGCAAGCTGGAAAAGTTTACGACTCGGTTTATCAAAAGTGCAAATTGTAACGAACTCTGTAATTCTAGTTTTAATGTTTCCTTGGAAAAATTTTTCACAATATCCGAATAGCCTCTGCAGAATTTCCACAGGAGACAGGCCAGTCAGTTTGTTAGCCAATGCATCGGAATTTTTTGGATCATTAGGATCAAATAGTTTTTTCTTGATTCGTGACATTTGCTGCTCAATATCATCGCTGATTTCCTGCATCAACTTTTCCTCTGCATCTCTTCTAACAACACTTTCTGTAGAACAACATCTTTTGACACTCTGGTAAAGAAAATGTCGTTGGATAAGCGTATGATCAAGTCTAACTAGGCGGAACAAAATCTATTGCTGATAATTATCTTACGCAGATTTCATTTTAATTCTCTTGAGATTTACCCAGGATTTACCAAACAATGTTACCCGCCCACGTCGGCTGGTGCCAACAATAACACTGATAAAATATTCTTTTTCATCAGACCACCAAAATGGCTGAATTGCAAGTCAAGAATACATAAACAATTTTTGTACGGGTTCCGTTTTTTTTGGAACACCTTGTATATCGCGCAATCAAGCTGGCCAAACTTCTATAAAGTTTTCATTCTATGTTCATACCACACTTCCACACTTATTATCAAAGACCATTGCATGAGATTATAAACGGCACTTGGATGGTCTGTAAAATTTATGCAAATGATTAGATTTTCTCAGTCACTTTCTTATGCATTCTCAACCCAAAAACTGCAAGTATTCGTCGATCAGTCGATGGAGTGTTATATGAAGTATTTTGCCGCCAGTCATTATACATGATAACATGAATCAGAAATCTTTCGTGTCACAGTGGCGCTGGAAATGGGAACTGAGAAGTAATAATTATTTATAATTTCAGTCGAGGAAGGTAAAATGCACAATTTTTAAATTGCGCTGAAAAGTATCAAACAAATGTATGAACTTTTTGTAATATTTTTAAATCTCTCAGCCGTAACTTGTGGAAATACTTGTAAAAATATGTTTATGTAAACAGTAAACTTACCTTGATTATTAAAGCAATGCTTTCAATCTTTATACCAAGATCATATAATTTTCACAACTTAATTGCTCTCGCAAATATTCGAGAAATTCTGACAAGTTACTTTGTTTGACCAACCATTATTATGCATGAATTGCTTTAAATATCTCATAACATTTAAAGTTGTAATTTCTGGAGGCTCTAAAATTGCAGGAAACTTAAAGTACTCATAAACCAGAGGATGTTTAACCAGGGGACCAAGTTTTATGTCCAAATAACTTCGAGCTTCAGGAAAAAGACTAGCTAGATGTTTGTCCAATTCATGGATAGTGCAGACTGAGCGAACTACGACAAATGCTTGAATTGAGGCATTCACCTAGAAATGGAGAACATGACTTTAATACAAGTGTTACAGAACTCTGTGTTCCCAGGAGACAGAGTTTTGATGAAGCTATGCTGACAACTAATGTTGAAATCTAAACTTTAACTTTCATCATCATCATCATGCTCAAAATGTATTTCAAAATTGTTTCCTTAAGAAAAATGTACACAATCAAAATGCTTTAACCAACATATTCAGTGAAATGTAACACATAATGACAATCAATCAGTATATACAAACATTTTTGTTATGTTATACTTCAACTTGCCTCACGATGTTTTCTTATTAGATCTTTAATTCCAGGAATTTCATCCACCTTTCTATAATATCCTAGTTCTCGAGGGCTCTTCACTTTGTGTTTTTGAAAAAGTCTATCCTTCACTAGATCCACATGAACAAAATGATCTTTGGATATTTCTTCAATTATTCTTTCCACCTCTAATTTGATATCAGGCTCTGTAGTTGGATGAAAATAACTGGGTGGGTTAAACGTATTCATTGGCATTACATTGCCAATGGCACGAAAATTTGCAGTCTGGCTAGTTTGGGTATGACAGAGAGGGGAAATGTGCAATGTTTTGGATTGAGCTGCGTTTTGAAAGTTTGTTGCTTTCAATATCTAGTGCTGCTTTCACATTTAAAATTTTGTCGTCAGTTTGCACATTCTGACGAGAATGGAAATACGTTCATCTTCTTTCAAATCATCGTTGCATTTAACTGTTGCTTCACTCGTCTTTGTATCAATGTCTTCTTTCTTTTTTTTCGTCTTTGATTTTATGTAAGTCGTACTTCCTTGTTGAACGACATCAAAATCATTTCCCATTTCCTGATTGATAAACGTTGTAATTTTAATTTGTTTTGGAATCTCTTTGCCATAAAGGGTTTTGTATTTCGATCTTATAAGGCTAGCATCTACAGCTCCAGCTTCGCTCACTACAACTGAAGCTATTTCTTCCTTAATTTCATCTAATATTTTCTTTGAGACACTAGCCATGTTGAAATAAGCTAATGAATATCTCTGCAAAAAGAAACACAAAGAACATCCGGTTTCAAAAATCATATAATTCTGAGAATTCTAATGTTTGTTCTAGGAATTTTTCATTTGATAAACAGATTACTCTTCCTTCAGTTCCTTTATAGCCAATCAGAAAACAAATATCAGAATTTTTGGCAATCTTTCTCAATTCTGCGTGCTGATAAAAAATATGGATTTCAAAAAATATGTTTGCAAAAATGTCATCTACGTAATGATTCCATCATATTTTTAACAATCCTAAATCTAAACTGTCCCCTTGTATTCACAATGTTCCAGTAAAAATTAATCCCATAAGTTTGCTTTCAAGTTTCAACGATGATGCTTGTCTGTCTGTTTTTGTCTGTCGTCTATTGAATGGCTTGATTACAAGAGACTTTCCATATTGGTGTAAATACTGGAAGTATATCTTCTTCTTCTGTTTCTTTAGGATATTCAAAACGTGTGAGCTTAAATTCTCCCAGCTGTTCACATCCTATATCAAACTGATACTTGCCAGGCCCGACAGACAAGTCATCAAAAAAATTGCCAACAAAACGATTGTTAGGATAAATTATCTCTCCCGATCCTTGACGTTTTCCACGAACCCACATCCCTATAGACAGTGAATAAAACGTATAAAGAATCATGTAAACTGCATTTTAAACTATCGGTGTGTGTAAACGCAGAAACTGCCTTCAAACTCTAGGAATTCAGGGTGAAATTGAGGTGTGGTCTTGGCACGCTGCATGAGATCGTTGTTTCAGCTATTTACTGATTAGTTTTACGTTCATTTAAGTTACGATGTTATAAAATTTCAAACTAAACTTCCTTACTATGTCATCCCATGGTTCAACTCAAAAAAGAGCATTACATGTTTTGTAGATGTTAACTGTCAAAGATATTACAGTCTTGGAAAGTACTGCTGATGTGATTTTGGTATTTCCCGTATAGACTGATTTTTCGATATCCTTAACGTAACTCAAGAAAATAACCAACAGTCTATTTTAGGACTGGAAGATCAATATTCACTAAAATACTTGTGATGATACTCCCAGTTTCAAGACATTTCATTTTAAATCACCTTTATACATTACAGCACTTGATTTATACGTGTATGTTCCTTGACCGTGTCTCCGGTGCTCGTACCAGTCTCCCTCGTATATATCACCGTTAGCGTATTTATATCTTCCAAATCCATTTCTCTGGTTGTCAATCCAACTTCCTTCGTAACGTGATCCATCTAAAACAACAAAATTGTTTTTCATGTTTGACTCTTCAGACAGGTACTTTTGATTGTTATGCATTTCAATACATTTAATGCAAATGAATAATTACAAAATAAGTATTTTTTATTACATTATTCTTTTCTTCTCATAAATCTTTGTACAAGAAGTACGAGCATGAAAACTTTCATTCAATAAATCATGTCATCTACGTGGTCATACATTACGTAGGTTGTCAATCATGTCATCTAACAATTAGTCAAATATCTACGCAGCTTTCATTTGAGCATGAAAACATTCTTGTTAACGAAGGCATGTCGTTTGATGCTGAGTTATGGGTAAACTTAACATATTGTGTCCTTATTCGGTTGATTTCTTTATTGCTAATTATATTATTGCAACTATACTGTCACAGTGGATGCTGCCATCAAGGATTACAAAAATACATTTTAGCAACTCAATTTCAAATTCAATATAAATCACAATGTTATTTCTTGTACATGTTCAGAGAAAATAAACTTTGTAATGGAGTTGCTTATGTAGATTTTTGAAGTGTAAGTTATATTAGAGAGCAAGCAATTGTAGTTTATCTTGCCTAACCCTGGACACACTGGCAATAAAAGAACAAAAAAATAATTACAATCCCAAACTGCATTTTAAGTAAACAGATTTTATTTCGTTGCGAATTGGACTCAATGTAAAGGCAAATACTAAATGCAATTTCATATAGAAATACATATATGACCCAATTATCTGATTTCGTATTTTTCCTATCCTAAATAAACTTATATAAACTAAACCGATCCTAAAAAGAAATACAATGTCAATCTGGTTGCTGCATGAATCCTAGATTTAACGTTGTTACCTGGATACCAGAATGTCCCATATCCGTGCCTTTGTCCTCTGGTGTACTCACCAACATATCTAGCATTGTTCCTAAAGCAATAAGTACCATGCCCATGTTTTTTACCATACTCGTATCTTCCATTGTACGTATCGCCATTAGGAAACGATGCTTTGCCTTCACCATGTCTTTCGCCATTGCTGTTACGTTCTCCCTCATATTCCTAACACGTGAAATCAACGATTGTGATTTGTAGCAATCACTAAAAGTCTTCGTCATATAATAAAGAAAAGTCGGCAGTTCCTTTATTTAACTTATTCTCTGATAGAAATTCGTGCTCTCTATAACAACTTTGTGCCATTAAAACGACTACTATTGAAAGTATAGACGCCTGTTTTGGCTGTCACACTGGCTTTATGATGCCGGTTTCTGTACATTGAGAAGGTCAATTGCGCTAATGGAACAGTTAGAATTGCTGGTGCAGATATTTCTATAAGTTTAGATTAGACTTTGCTGTAGTTAATCTTTTTTTCATTATTTAAAAGAGAAATTCGGTTTCAGTTTCGATGGCGAATGATCAGAATGATTTATATTGATGGACGACGGTCAAGGTCAGCTGTTCCAACTTCCAAGCATAGAAAAATTATCGAACGCTTCGAAAAATCAATTTTAGTTGAACTTTAAACTGTCATATGTATGTCAGTAATTAGGTATGGCTCAATAATTATAAACATAAAAATCATACTCCATCTAATCATGGACAAAGTCATTTCTCCATCTTTAATTTGGCAAGATTTTCTCTTAGATATTTCAAATCAAGCAGTGAAATTGCGGTCTTTGAATAATTATGAAGTGACTTAGAAACCATAATCATTGAGTGTGAGTGAGCTTTTTGAATACGTGCGTTAGACCTAAGCTGTTGATCATGAGGTATGATGTACATCAATGACATTGAAAAACAGTTATTTCAGTTGAGTTGAGTTTTGCTAAGTATTTTTAAAATATTTACTTACACCAATTGCAGGCTCTTCTTCAAATTCACGAGACTCGATGTCAGACATAATTTTCCGAGCTTTGTTCGAATTTTAAACTGGCGAAATTGTTAGAACATTACCATGACAACATTGTTCATAAACAAAAATCAAATTTACAAGTTCAATAATCCATTTTTTGTAGAAATAAAAGAAAAGTCGTTAATGTTGTTATTGGGGGCGTTTTAATGACAAATTTGAAAAAATTTATTTGCGTTGTCCAGTATAGTAATTGTTATTTTTTGGAGACTGACGAGAAAGTAAGAGATTAACATGGTATATATATAGATTTAAAGTTTAAATAGTAAGTATGAGTTGTAGTATAAGATGCAAAAGGTCAACTCCAATGATCGCTCTTTCAATGCTTAACGCCATTGACTCGAACAAAAGCAAAGCTGCAAATACTATCATGGAAACATTCCGCTTCGTCTTTTCCTAGTTACTATGAGTGCTGCTTAACTTCTCTTATGTTTCAAATTTTTTCGTAAAATCAGAGTATTTAGTGAGAAACGTTTGTTAACTGATCATGCTTTCAAAGCAACCTTTATTCAGACTACATGTTTTGTCAAGATAATCACATGATAGATAATTATTGATGTATCCTCAAAGTGCCCAAGCCAGTCTAGCCAGTGCTTACCTAGCGCCCGTACCAAGCCCGGAAAAAGTTGTGTTAGACAAGGCATCCAGCAAGAAAAAAGCTTTGTCAAATTGAATATGTGAATCAGTTTTAAGGCTTGACGAAAAACTATGTATGTCAGTGAAAAAGACCCAAATGAATAAAGGTTACCGAAGTCAAAATAACTTATAAGTGAAGAATTTTACTTTTTTGGGATTAACAGTTTAAAAAGAGACGAAGAAAATTGTGCTGTGTGACAAGAGCATCAAAATAAGACGAAAAGTGAAACAGTAGTGAAACCAGCAGTCTTTATGGTGCAGACAGTTTCACAGATGACGCATGGAGGACAGATATGCTGTGATAAGAGCATCAAAATAAGACGAAAAGTGAAAAGGACAGTAGTGAAACCAGCGGTCTTTTATGGTGCATATACTAGCACATTTTCACTGGAAATAAATTTAAGATGGCGGCTAATGGAAAGAACCAGCTGGACTGGTGCTAGGTCGTTTTGAGATGGCGACAGTTTTAATATCAACATGAAAATATTTACAGATAAATGTTACAGTTTAAATCATGCAACCACCTTAAGTTATAAACTTATAATCCAGGCTGGAAAATATGTCGTTTTCGACGATTGTGTAGTGTAAAATATTAGATTGTGTAAAATATTATATTGTGTAAAATATTATATTTCAAAGTAAAGGGTGGTTTGCTGGGTGGAAAATAGTGCTAACAGTTTCACTGAGAGAGGGCAGTGACGCATGGAGGACAGATATGCTGTGTGATAAGAGCATCAAAAATAAGACGAAAAGTGAAAAGGACAGTAGTGAAACCAGCGGTCTTTTATGGTGCATATATAGACAGTTTCACTGAGAGAGGGCAGTGACGCATGGAAGCGGAATGATAAAGATGCCGAAGTTTGCTTACGGTTGGCTGTTTTAGAAATAAGGATATTGCACTCTATGAAAGTCAGAATAACAGTGTTGATTACACATGTCTTAGGCATAGTCAGAGAGGCTAGGTTTATATGGTTTGGTCATGAACAGAGAAATTATTGTATCTAAAACTTGTTCTCGTATTCTAAACTCACTCTCACACTCACTATGCTACACAAAAATAGCGCTCTCTTCGATATTAAGGCATTTTTATAAAGTGACTTGGCCCTCGCGTATATGGTGATGTTGGTTGATCTAAAGTTAGTGTTTTATCAATGTTGAAAGGTTTGAGCTAAATAAACTATCGTACAACTATGTGACACAAGATACCTGCCTTTTATCAAAATTGTATTTACCAACTGTAGGACATAATTGTGCAATAAAGTGTTCAAACTAACCTCACCTCGTGCATGAGAGGACAAACTGAAAAACAAATAACATCACTACGATAACAAAACTTACTTAGTTTAATACACGCGACCGCAGCACACGATAATGTTAACGATCACCGAGATGAAAGTTTATGAGTATTTGAAAGTTTGACTACGATGCTTCTTAGAGCAAAGATACGCTGGTGAAAGATGTTGTGAGATAATATTTACATAAATACGAAAGAAAGTTTCAAGCAATGCCCATGGCTTTACTTCATTGCATACTTTGCTTGCACGAGGAAAACATTAACAAAGATCTTTCAAATGAACACGAGTATTGTAATTTGTTCCAAAGACTCCCCCCTGTTCCTCCATGAAACTTTTTTACATTTGTTGTGTCCGATACATAGTTGGAAGAAAGAAATCGTTGTATAAAAAAGAATTCACGCCCTGTAGGAACTTCTTTTTATAGCGCTTTTTCAAAATAACAATTGAGTAAAATATCACTAATCTGTCTTGCTAAACTCCAGAACAATACAGTTGTTTTTGATGCTAGTAAAGTTCTCTTCATGCACATTGGACCTTCCAAGGAAAAAGATTGAAGCACATTAGAAATTTACAAACTTAACTCCTTTAACATCTTTTTAAACACAACGCTTAAGATAATATAATAATCTTTTACATAGTTAGAGAAGAAAATGAAACAAAAATAAAAACATTGTTGTATAATTTACACCCAGTATAATTTGTCCATTATGTGATCACACACATGATGGAAAAATTATACTGGCTGCAAATGTTCATAACACATAGAATCATCAGTGACTCTATCAGCTTCGCTTAAATCCATATAAATCTCCTCTTCATCAACTACGCTCAAATCCATATAGATCTCATCCGTTGAAGGCATAGGTTTTCGAAATGATATTAATCGAAGTGGAAGTGGAGGAGGTTGTTCTTCTTCCTCTCCGTGTATTTCGTCTGATGATGAAATGACCGATGAACCTGGATTATTGGATTCTCCAACAGGTGGCGAGGCTGACTGTGATAAAATAGCGGAGAATTTTTCATCGTCCGCATACTCAAGAAAAAAGGCCTCGTCAATTACTGGCACATGATAATCATTGCTTTGATTTCTAGCACTTAAATTTTCCACATTTAATGACGAACCATTTTCTATTGCAAATGTTTGCGACTCTTTTATTTCAGATGGATCATCTGATATGTCGCTTGATCTGTATAATAATGAATCTACACGTGGATTACGTGTTGTGTTCCTGCAACAACCCAATGTGTCAACTCTAAGCTCATCGTATTCTTTTTTCCAAGTTCTAGGAATACTTTGGTTCGATTTTTGATCAGGTTTTTGCATCTTGAGTGAGTCAGAGTCACTTTGCATTGCTGTGACAGGCACCTGATAATGTGCAGGTTTATGATATTGTGCAGGTACCTGATAATGTGCAGGTTCAAGTCTCTTTAATTTAATCCTTACTGCACCAATGTTTGTCCCTTCTAACTCGCATTCGCTGGAGGTGTTAAATGATTCATAACTGTTGTGTGGGACAAGTCCTGGTCCGTCTTGCACACTTGAAGAATCATTGGAGATGGTTGACCTAATGAAGGGTATTCATTTAAAGTGATCTTTTTACCTTGGTGGACGCATCAATAAATGGATAAATGTGTTAAAATGGTGACTGAGGCAATTTAATAATTCCATGTTCTTTTGTGTATTATGAAACACGGAATCAAATATTCGAGCATTTCACAACCAGAAATGTCCTATTATTCAACATGTCAATCAATTATTCTTTGATAAATATACAATTCACCAAAATATAAGTAAATAATTAATGATACTGCATACTAACTGAATTTGGCAATTTTTAATGAGATCATTATCTTAATAATAAATGCTTAAACTAAAATTCGTACAACTTTCCTTTGGGATAAACAGTGATCTTATCCCAACCCATGTCGTCCAAAATCATGACTTACTTTAAATCAAAACTTTTTGATGAATTCAAGTTGTTCGAAGAACCAATTTCTTGATAAAATTCAGTCATTTCCTGTTGAGATGATCTTGCTGCATTGTTCGCCTCTCTCTCTAGTCTTCGGTGTTTCAAAATACGAATAGCAAGCAAGGTAGTAATAATTCCTAGAAGAACTCCAGCAAGCTGTGGCGTTACAATAACATACCAATCTCTCATCCAATCAACACATTTGCACTTTGCTAAAAACGGCAAGTTGTAATTAAACACTCAAGTCAAAATTGACTATACTTGTCTTTTAGGAAGCAACACGCATTTTTTAGTCGACATAGAGACTGCAAAAATTTGTTTGACATTTTTGACATACCATTTCAGTCGGTGCAGAAAGTAGTGGTTCAAAAGTGTTTAGAGTAATGTTATGTATGTACTATAACATGCTTTAAAAATGTATAACACAAACAAAACATAATGGATAATTTTTACCATGCACTTAACCTAAAAACAAGAAAATGCACATCAGACGAAAAGCCTCTCTAACAACACTCCATGCACACAGAAGAAATATGTGCATTACACTTGGAAATTTGTTCCATCGCATACATTGCATTTAATTGTTACTCATACATAATTCCTCCTCATTGGACATCGAACAAACGCAAAACCTGAAGAATGTCAATCATCATTAACATCTTTGAATTGATTAAACAATCTTGTTTAACATAAAAAGCACATTTTATAGTGTCAAAAAAAGTGAGTCTGCAATCTTGATTATACAGCGTCATTTAGTTCAGCTAAGTGCTCGCAATTCATGTTATATTCACCCAATTCATCAAACTTTAGAAATTGAGCATGATTATTGAGTAAATCACTCAATTACTTTGCGTGTATTAAACATTTTCATTAGCAGTAGCGCCAGTATCCATCGTGCAAAATAAACTCATTGATTATTGTACGATTTTTCTTCTCAATGACTATTATACGTAAAATGTTTCATTATTTTATATGGAGTAAACATTTTGCATCTCTTGCTTCAAAAAATGGTTCATTTGACGGGCTAGCTTATGTCTAACGTTTAACATAGTAAGCGATAATGCAATAATACATTGTCGCAAGGACTTGCAACGCTACATGTTAACACTGCGTACCTATTTTTAGTTACCGTAGTTTATTTTTTGTTGCTTGGGATTATTTGAAGTGTGTGTGTGTGGGGAGGAGGTACTAAAAGAAGCAATAAATATTCACGAAAAATTGCGCATACTATAATTCAAAAAACGCAACACATACACATACTCAGCCTTTTCTGTCAGCAAAATGAACTGTGAAATAAAATCCAACAGAAAAAAAAAAAAACTTGACTTTAATTTTATCTGAAATTCTTACACAAAGACAGTGCTTACGTTCATTTTTACAATACTGTATGTTTTCTATACTGTGGTTCTATCAATGAATAAACTTAATTGGCATTTGTATTTTGTTGTATGATTTCTTCATGAGATTAACTTCTCTGAAGTTGGTTGTAAAACACTGGAAAAATGGTTTATTGATAATATTTCTGCTAAGACTGTGAAAACGCCTACTTAATTCTTCGAAGCTTGAACTAACAACTGGAACGAGCATTGCAGAGATGAATTTCAATGTTTAATCATAAATGGTTTTGTTGCAATAAAAAGCCTTTTCGATACAAAATGGTAGGGGTGAAGATATTTGAATACGGCGGAGTTTCTATATTTAGGGACCGATTACATGGAGCAACTTCAGCCCTTGCCAGTCCTATTAAAATAGCGTACGCGATTACATGAGAAAAATTCTAGCCTGGGCTGGAACTCAGCCCAAGCTGAAATCACAGCTGAAATTATTCACGTATGCGTAATTGCGTACTTATTGCTTATGACGACAACAAATTAACGACAAGTGGCGATTATGCCTCGGACGGGCTTCGTAAATGGTCAATTTTAGCCCGGTCTACGTTTGTCACTAGTCTAAATAAGTCGAATTTCATACCAATGACATAATTTAAGAAATGGTCATTTTAAATGTTGTGAAAAGCTCTAAATATTCATCTAGTGGTTTTTTGCTAACATATCCTTGGTTAAAGTAAATGGTTTGAACCCGGGAGTATCGTTACATGTTTGTAAATGTAGATCGTCCAGGTTAGTATAGTCCTGAGAAGGACTGTTTTTGTTGTTGTTGACTGACGTTTCGACAACCTTAGCGGTAATCATCTTCAGTAGTCAACTTCATTTTGGTTGGGCCAAAAAGTTCACTCAAAAGTTGAGACGTATTTTGATACAAACACCTAAAACACGCCATTTATTTCCCGGAAATAAATTCAACAGTGAATTTTTAAACTTAGCAAGATTCATTACTAGCCGATAATTTTATGAAGTAAAGTAAGAGAAATACTCCGAATTAAAGGTTCATGTTCAACTGAAATATTGAGTTGAAAATGAAGCTTTTATTCGCAGTATGTTTCTTATGTAGCTTTGCAAGTTTTTTTGTATTTTCGTTGACTTGGCTTCAGTTTTGAACTCAAGTCCGAAGATTTCCAAAAGGGTCAACAACTATAGTATAATATTAGAATATTTCCTTTTGGTTATTGCACGTGGAAAGTGTTGATTCCTTAGAAAACAAACATTCTCCTGTTCCATTGACAATACAAGTGAACAGTAAAATAACTATGACAATTTAGACAGCACAGATAAAACATGTCAAAAGCCCAAAGCTCTTAAACCAACAATATAACGTATGTGAGATTATAACAGTTGAGATAATCATTTATTTTACACAAAAGCTTGTTTCTTTTGAATAAATACATAAAACACACCTTCGGCAGAAAATTTTCTAAACTCTGTGTTTGCGCTACACGGTTATCACAATTGTTATTGTTACCTTCAATTTCTTTGGCCAAAAACAGAAGAAATACTAAATTCGGACGCATCATCTGATTCCGTTTGTAAATTATCGTAACTGCAACATTTGAAAACAAAAGATCGCCAAATTTCATGTGAACTAAAACCAGTGATCGTAAAATTCGTAATCAACAATCGTTCTTGCCGCCATCATGCTAGAACTATAGTTGTAAACGTAAACATAGTGATTATTTATAATAAATGGATGGGCACGGCTATTGGCTCTCCTTCCCACATGTCAATCAAAACAACATAAAAATAATTTTAAATCAAAGTCCGCACTGCCTCTGTACTAATTTCACAGAGATTTTAGACACTTACTACATTTCACAAAAGGCTATCGTGAAAAGAAACAGGAAAAAGAAGAAAAACATAAAAAGTTGAAAACTGAGAATGAAAAAAAGGAACAAGTAAACCAGAAACGGAAAAAATTAACCAGTCTAAAACGAGAAAATATCTTGTAAATAGAGTAGACCGAAAAGCAGGATTTTTTAAATTTTGTATTAGTGCTTTGATACGATTTTTTATGGGCCATTATGGACTTTTTTACTAAATGATTTGTCAAACTTTCTATTTGAACGCTATTGTGGTTAACACAAACAGCTTTCATTGCTGAATTCTGATTAAAAATAGTTTAAGGAACTAGCGTTTTGTTATATTATGGATGCAATGAGGTTATACATAATAAATAATCCACTAATCCAGCACCTTCATGATTTGATTGTTTTCTGTCGCGACATTTTGCCATATCTTCAATAACAACATCTTCATTAAAATTGTCCTTTACTTTTGGTTGACCCAAGGGATCGTGATTGGAGAGTGAAAAGATTGATTTCTGCTCGCTGTCACTATTCTACTAAAAACTACACAACAAGTTAAGACTGAGTGCTAATAAAAAGCTAAACGACGAAAAAATACAAATGAATATCGCTTTCTTCGTATAATCTTCGCTCGTGATTAGTAAAGGTTTATAGCTAAAATATCAACATTATCAACATCATTTAAAGTATGTATGTCCTAATGAAGAATATAAAGACAAGATAGATACATACTTATATGCATAAACTATTAAAGATATATTTAAGACATAACACAATTACACAATAAAGAATTATTAACAACATTTGTACACAACATTTAAGACTTATCGAAGAAATGTGTTTTAAAGACATAGTATCAAAATTTAAATTTAGCCGTTCACAATATGAAATATAAAGGATGAAGTTTTTCTTCTCTGCATTGGGCTGCATGGTTCTGTGGTTACTACAAAAGTAACGGGAATTACAACAAAAATCACGATTTTCTCTCTGTAGAAGTAAATTCTGACTCTAAATGATGAGATTTTCTCTCTTCCTTTTGGATTTCATGATCTTTTAGTACATCCTAAATTTTAGCAATTGTTTTTAGTGTACATAGGGTATAAAATGGTTGGGGTGCCACTTATTGTTACAGATTCTTGCACTGCATTATGGGCTTGATTACGTAACTTGAAACCAACCAATTACAGCCGACTGTCATTTTCTGCAATATTCAGTATTCACTATATTATCAATTCTCCATTATTATTATCACGACATCATTTTTAAGTTTCAAGAGCTACAGTATTTTGTTGCGAAAACAATAACTAACTTACTTCGACATCACCAAGAGGATCCATGTCCAATTTGTGATCTGAGTCAAAAATATCCTTTACTTTTTCATGGCTGTTATAAAAATTTATATGAACTAAATGCGTTTAGACTGAACCTAAAAACTGTTGTGCGAGTATAAAAAAGTAGGAAGTGAAAAATTGCTTTAGCTAACATTTAACCAAACACAGGACATGCATGCAAGACTACAGATGAGAGATCTGGCAAAGACAGTGAAAGTCCTAATCAAAGTTAAATAACATAATTTGTACCACACATACATTTCGTCATAATTTCTTTCTACCAGAGGAGTTTTTTCAATTTTCAACTCTTTAATATCTTTGTCAACCTACACATTATCAGTACCTTAATCAGCTGAGGTTACAAATGATTTCTGTCAAATGTCTAAATTCCGAAAAAAACATCGACTTTTATGTACATGAATAATAATTTAAAATCTCATTTCGTAGCTACAATTTAGTAAAATGGAAATTCAGGCAACACTGAGTTTTGCGCCCTCTATCACATGTACATATGTAACTACGTTACGACTGTTAAACGGTCGTTTACGGTAGAAATTCTCCCAACATAAAAATAAACCTACTATTTGCAACCAAAACAAAGTTTAAACAAACGCATGAAAAAAAAATCATGTTTCAAAAAAAGTCTTGAACTAAAGGAAAACACAACCTGCCACGTTTATGACTTATGTTATTAAAGTTAAAATGACCAGTACCTCTGACGAATATCCAAAGTTTGCCCAATCGTATTTCATAATTCTAGTGCCATTATCTCTAGAGATAAGATAACAGAAAGAGATATCTCGCAATATCAATTATATCCATACCAATACAGTTTTAATTTGTACTTACTTCAATTCATCTAACAATTTTCCATACTGGCTGTGTAGATTAATCAGATACTGGATGGGAATATTCATTTCAAAACTCTAAGAAAATGTAAAAGTTGTTAACTTGTGTCTGAATTTTATTCTCCTGTTACAAATTTGTTTCAAATACAGCATAAACCAACAACTAAAATGTACAATAAAAGAAGTTAGGTTATTGGTTTTAATAAACGTTGACAGAAGCAATTGCTAAAAGTGCACATTTTTCAACAATTTAATGGTTTGTACTGGCAACAATAATGTAACAGTTGACATAGAACGAAGATCATTAAACAAACGCAAAATTACTCATTTAAGATTTTCCAATGAAGAGGACCCATATAAACACGTCTTCAACATTAAGAGGAGGGGGGTTGGACAAAAAAGTGACGACCTAAAAAATTACTTGTTTACTTTAAGACATCGATAAATGTACGTACGTGACCAGAATAAAAAAAAATTTAAGTCCGCACTTAATCTTTGAAAACGAAAGCTTATACAAAACATTTTATTGCTAAAATGTTAAAAAATCAGTTTTTGTGGTCGTTAGCGTCCTCACGACCACAGGGAATTCCAACAAAGAATCACAAACTATTTTATCCATTGTGTTATCACTGACTGTACAAGGATACGCGCTTGAAAATTACAAAAGTATCTTTGGCGTAGAACATTCGTTTCTTCAGCGTAATTGTAATTGATAACGTCGCAGAACAACAATAGAATGAAGTCAAAAATATGCGTGCTATTTCTAAAATTCTATTCTCCTTTTAATTGAGTGATTAATGTTTTAGTTCAGGATTGTCAATACTACATTTTTGCTCAATTCATTCATTCTTCAACAGTACGCCTTCATTTCTATAACATTTCTCCAAGAACGCCGTTTTCTGGTTACGAGTTACAGACCTAAGACGATAAGTTTATACGTGGGGCTACTTTTCTGTCCATCGCCTCAAGAAACATCAAAAATTTTAATAAACTTATTGAAAGAAATACTTAGAGTTTGTGAAATTAGCTACCCTTCCTCTGTCCATAATTCTCTTATGGCATTCTTCAGGGCTAACATCCAGGTAAATAACCAATTCTGGAAATGGAACCAATTGCAGAACTTGATGCCTTAAATTGCAGTAGTGCTGATATCCTAACAAGTGCAAGAAAATTATCTTTAAAATGTTTTAAAACCAGAAGTAAAAAGTAAATATGTAAAGTGTTGCACATTCCATAAAAATTGTGGATGGTGGTGTTTTAAGTTTTGGGACAATTTTGGTGTCCATATTTAAGAGAATTCCAAAAATATTAGCCAGACCTACTTTTCTCATCCTCTATCAGTTTATGGGCAAACATTTTAGACATATTTCATAAAAAATAGGTGTGGCACACCCCACACCCCGTCCCTCCTAATGCAAGCTCCCTGATTATAAAGCAACTGAAATAACTGGAGAATTGAAGTTTGCATTCATGCATATGTGCCCAAAACAAACTTTCCAATCTGGAGTGTCGACATGCAATAATTTTGTAGGTGTATTTTTTGGAAAGGTGCTCCATTGAACACAAATCACAATTGCCTGCTTGCTTGGTATTTTGTAGGGAAATTGGCATTCCTCCTTTACACCCCTTAGCACCTCTTCTTTAGATCCCTCTGCACACCTTCTTTAAACCCCTTAGCACCCCTCCTTTACACTCCTTAGTCCCTCTTCTTTAGACCCTTCTGCATCCCTCCTTTACACCCCTCCTTTACACTCCTTAGTCCCTCTTCTTTAGACCCCTCTGCATCCCTCCTTTACACCCCTCCTTTACACCCCTTAGCACCTCTTCTTTAGATCCATCTGCACACCTTCTTTACACCCCTTAGCACCCCTCCTTTACACTCCTTAGTCCCTCTTCTTTACACCCCTCTGCCTTAACAGTAAATCTGCCAGAAATACAAGATAAACATGCATTAACCTCTTTGTTATTCTAAAATAATCAATCAAATTTGATTTCAAAAATTAGACAAACCTTTATCTGATATGCTACCATCGCCATGACAAACAGTAGCAAATACATAATCACTGAATAATGAGCGATCAAATAAAACACTTTGTCCTAAAACATAAAAACACAAAATTAAAAAATCTTTGTAAAAGATAAGAGTCATTTCTGCCATTTTCTAACTTAAATTCAAATGTTTTGAAAATCATTTTATACCTATGTCTTATATTTTTCATTTTGAATCAGTTTTCACAATACCTGACTCAACTGCATGTTTAACACCTTCCAAGTACATCATACATCTTTGCCTGAACAACCACATTTGCATTTTCAATGCATATTTTTTGGGTTCCTCATAAAATTTCAAAAGATAAGGGTTTCTGATGTCGGTTCAGGAAAAACATGACAGTTCAACTTTTCGCCAAGCTGATGTGTTAGACTTGTCTTGCCAACACCAATATTTCCTTCAACAATAATCAAATGGCCTCTTCTTGGTGAAATTTGAGAATTTAATTTTCTTGCAAAAGATACCATGGTACACTTTGGACCAGTTAAAATTTTCTGTCCCAACCTGTAGTGATATGGAAAGACTATTTGAAGACTTTAGAAATAAAATATGCTTTTGGCATGTTACATTTGCCAGTTTCCAAAAAAATAACATTCCGTACAAGGCCATAAGTGTCTAGCTAATAGCTTTATTTGAAAAGTAAAAGCATGGAAATAAAAGTAATCAAAATGAGTAAATTAAATAATTTCATACAAAAGTGTGCATTTAGAGCAAAATATTCCTCTTTTTCTCAAGCACATATATATTACGCAATTTTGTCCTATTACTGTCCTCAAAGCAAAATTGTCCTAGAAATCAATTGCGGTTGTTTATTCAAGTAGTCTAGTCAAAAAGTAAATGTCTTTTCAAAAGAAATCAGTTGGGCACATCTGAATACATATAAAAAATAAATAAACATTCCCCACCTCAATATTGCTTTTTCATTACACGAAACACGATTGCAATTTGCAAATTGACAGATTAAGAAAGTTTAAATAGTTGGTGGTATAAATCTTCCACTAACCTCACACGATGAATCACAATTCTCTTTTCCAAATCAATTAGAAAAGAGCGCCATCGCGCCAATGCTGAGCAAGTGAGAGCGTTAGTCATAACATTTTCTTCCTGCTCCATTCACATCCACAATGATTCAAAATCTTACGAATGCGAATAAGAATATGAATCTTAAGAATGCGACCTTGGTTTTTATGAATTTTTATGAATTTATTAAAAAGCTTATTAGCAAATAGCATGCATGTACTGTGGGCTCATTGTATGTTCAAACAGTGAAATTGAATTCGACTTGAAAATTACAACCCATTTAAAGGTAAAAAGTTTTGAGAAGCAAGAAAAAACATGTTCACTTACAAGTTTTCTCTCAAAGTTACCATTGAACTGTGTTATGTCCACAAGTGCAGAACAATGCTTTTATGTTCACCATCAAAAATGCAATACACATAAGAACTACTTAAAATCCATTTGAGGCAGAAGAAAAATGTTCGTGGTGATTTTGATAATTCTCACTAACATTGCTCTTCAAATTCTCAGGTATTTTGGCAGTTTTTCAACGACAAATCCTATTAACGAACTGTTCTGTCTTATATAATCGCAAGAAATAGCTGAGAATAGAAAGAAATATCAAAGTACGAAAAAAAGAATTATGTGTACTATCCGAAATCTTTTTAGAATCGATAGCAAATGGCAATATCAATCAGACAGCAGTAGAATATGGCATTCACTTTCATACAATCAATATTATTATGTTAATTCATTAGCATCAGGTACTCTTGTACCAAAAGGAAGGTGAATTTCTTTTGCTGGGGTCGAGTAGGCATACTAAAATTTCAACATCTTTCTGGACACGTTTTCTGACAACATATAACAATTCATACAAACACATCAATGCCTGTATTGGACCTATATTTATTTGATATATACATATAAATTACTTCTTATACTATTACTTAAAGATTTTCAAAGCCTACGTAAATATTTAAACAAGAGACTTGAGTGTTTTCCATGGTTTTCTAAATCGTTCAAAAAGTGCTTCGCGCACAGTCGACGTAAACTTTCTCATCAAGCAAAGAGCCGTTGCAACTTCAAACCATAAGTTGTATAGTAGAAGTAGGTACAAATTTCCAAGCCAATCGAAGCGACCAAATTCCCCCAGTAAATCGAAAGACGTAATTCCTGCACATGAAATTAACCGATAATTAATCTGTTAATGTTTAAAGTATTTATCATAAATCTGTATGAAAATAGAAAGGAAAGGAAAAATGAAGAAAGCAATATGTCGATTTTACGTTCAAGGGTATAGAGGTAGCTGGAATTGTTGATCATGCATCGATAGATATTCTGAAGACTTTACAAACCGAAAAAAACACGGTGGGCAAAAAAATCATTTATTAATCACTTACCTAACATTCTTGCTAAAACAGGAAGGGCCGAACTTAGTACAAGTAGTACTATACAATTCGCTATGACCTTAAAAATAGGAAACTACATTTGAAAAAAGCACATGCGATAAGCAGAAGGGAAAAAGTATTTCAAAGGTAAAAATTTGGTCTCTTGTTTGCTTAATGCTTTATTTTTAAAAATCCAAGCAAGTCGTCATTCACATAATGTTTTACACATAAATACATGTTACAAATATAAGTTACAATGTTTGAAATGCACTTTGTTGAGTCATTGCTCTCATTCGCTCATAACGTTACAAGTAGATAAGAAAGTAACAATTGTGAAGTATGCTCACTTTCTACCATTTTTCCAATTATCTATAAACGTCCGACCTTTGACCTCCTTAACACTAACGTATCTATGGTACAGAAATACTCACCTTGACCCTCTCAACACTTATCAACTTGACTAATGTCTAGTCTCTTTCACTTCCTTAAGACTTGTATAGTACGTTTGGTCGACAATATGAAAGATCGTTCTAATGTGTAATGACATCCATTCCTTCAAATTATTGAGGTCAAAAATTTTGCATTATTTTTACCTGAGTCATAGGAGTGTTGTTAACAAGAGGCGTAAGATTGACAAACCATGGACTTGTATATATTCCTATCACCGAAGCAACCATCAGATAGCTACACAATAAATTGTTAAAGATATAATACAGAAACAAAATTGTCGATAATATGTTGTTTGATCGTTGAAACATATCTTTTGATTTGATTTGACGTTTGTGCTATTGAGAGAGTTCTATATTAAAAGGCAAGGGAGAAAATTAACTGCTATACAATGAATACAAATGAAAGGATACAATATAAGTATTATCTCTAAAACGGCTCCAAATTTTCCCATTGTAGAAGAAGACACTTTTCCAATTACAACTTCCTATGAAGAAAAATTTACAATAAGAAGACTAAAAAATATTTCTTTTCGTTCATTTTGTGGCCAATCAACTCACAGAGGCTTTCACGGGTAACGCTTCGTCCATAAGCAGCAAGCTAAAAAAATTCAAAGCAACCATCGCCATGGAAATTGCCTGAAATATAGGTATGAATGAATGTGATGACTTACAACAGCATGATTACAGAATCCTAGTTTGTAGACAGATATTTCACATACTGTAAGAAGTAATAAAACAAGAAAACATAATGGATAAACCAAATTTCTTTGCCAAGATGAAGCATCACGGCGACGTTCTAATTGACAAAAAAAAAAGAAGATTGATACATGTTTAACTACAGAACCATAGAAAGATGAAGCATCACGGCGACGTTCTAATTGACGAAATAAAAGAAGATTGATACATGTTTAACTACAGAACTATAGAAAGATGAAGCACCACGGCGACGTTCTAATTGACAAAATAAAAGAAGATTGATACATGTTTAACTACAGAACTATAGAAAGATGAAGCATCACGGCGACGTTCTAATTGACGAAATAAAAGAAGATTGATACATGTTTAACTACAGAAAGTTAGGGTGGGAAATAAAATTCTGTTGATTCGCTAAATAGCACGATAATGCTGGCAACAATTCCCAACGAAAATTTATTTAATGTTTCTCTCATTGAACTTCAGTGAATTTGGAGTTTGGTTTAACATCATTGAATTTATACAAAGTACCTAGCTTTTTCTCCTCTTTGTCCATTTCATGTAATTGTTTAAATGATTCCTCTTGGTCAATTCTTGCCCTACCACCATTCATCGGCGGGCTTTCTAAGACATTAACAACAAATAATATTACGTAATAGACGCAACAAACTTAAAAAGAAGTTTTCGAATCCCGTTTGATGGAGCATACAAGGAGATATTGATAAAAGAACTGCAGTTCATGATAGAATTTCATTTAAAGGTTCTTCTCCTCTCAGGACTCATGCCTAAGTGTCACCTACGTCTATGTATATAACAACATGTTTTTAGTCTATAGCTAAACAACTATCTTAGTTCAAAACTTAGTCTCCTTAAGCAAGTGGTAATTTAAAGAGTTAAACATCGGCACCAATGCCCATCATAACCAACAAAATTCATATAACGCATACGTAGATTTTTACTCACGTAATATTCACATCTAAATTGTTCATACATTTAAAAACTACACTGTTTGGCTCCATCTTTGATTTATGAACTGATCTATGACTTCATATATCACGCTGTTCTCCGGATACGACATTCAAAATGTTAAAAAAGTTTTGAAAATTTTTGTGATCTTAGTAAAATACGTAAACAAATTTTCAATATAGTACAACTAAATCTGCATAAAATAACCTTCGATGCATTGACGAACTAAAATCAACGAGGAACATAAATTGCATTCACCCCCCGGAACGTTTGACGAACTAACATCAACGAGGAACATAAATTGCATTCACCCCCCGGAACGTTTGACGAACTAACATCAACGAGGAACATAACATTCACCCCGGAACGTTTGACGAACTAACATCAACGAGGAACATAAATTGCATTCACCCCCGGAACGTTTACACTATTCATGACTCGCTTGAAACTTCATTACTCGTCACAATATGAAACGACATAAAAATACGATAGTTTAGTTTTTGTGTAATACCTGAACCTTTCGGATGATTGCCTGCCGAACGTCTTCGAGCACTTTGATCCAATTTTTTATTGATGATTTGCTTCTCCATTTGTATAATATACAATTCTTCATCAACATCACTAAGAAACTTAAAAAAAAAAAACAAAGAATTAAAACAACAAATGGCTAAAACAAAAACGCTGACATTAAAGATTCAAAAACAATGTTTACCACAATAAAATATGTAGGACATTTATCGTAGCTAATAAGTATGAAGTCAAAATGAAAATTCTTCGTTACTTTTCCAATAAAACAATGAATTCAAAATTGGATTATAAAATATATCATTATGGACTATTGGAATTAAAAAATACACCCACATAACTGGAAGAATAGAGAATACATATAAAGCTTGTAGTGAACAAGATAATCTAAGTGGTTAGAAAATTGAAAAGTATCGATTGTTATCCAAGCCTAATAGCAATTCGTGCAAGGTAAACAAGACTAATTTAAACCTGTTTCTCTTTTACAAAAAAAAATAAAAGTAAATTTATTAAAAAATTACACAACGATTCCATTACGTTCAAAAGCATCTTCAAATAATCTTATCACGTGCTAAAGAATCAGCTCACGTTTATAGAAACATAAAATGTACGGAATAGAGAGACATACATGTACGGAATAAGACAATATACAAAACTTAACAGAGAGACATACATGTACGAAATAAGACAATATACAAAACTTAACAAAGAGACATACATGCACGAAATAAGACAATATACAAACTTAACAGAGAGACATACATGTACGAAATAAAACAATATACAAACTTAACAAAGAGACATACATGTACGGAATAAGACAATATACAAACTTAACAGAGAGACATACATGTACGAAATAAGACAATATACAAACTTAACAAAGAGACATACTGTACATAAACGGAATAAGAAAATATACAAAACTTAACAGAGAGACATACATGTATGGAATAAGACAATATACAAACTTAACAAAGAGACATACATGTACGAAATAAGACAATATACAAAACTTAACAGAGAGACATACTGTACATGTACGGAATAAGACTTACAGAATAGAAAGACATTCATAAAATACAACTTATAAACTTTAAAATCATCGACTAAAACTATTATACAAACCTGTGGTTTCACTACATATTTTTCAAGTACAGTAAACATTCGAGTCAGTCCAACCGGAGTTAACACTATAATAGAGAAGGATATTGTAAATGATAAACACAATATTTGACAATGTTCGTCAAAGACCTAGCAGCCATTACATGAAATACAAGAATGAATACTACATTTAGACACTTACTAAGTAGAGAAAAAACACCAATACATGAAATACAAGAATAAATACTATTTTTTAGACACTTACTGAGTAGAGAAAAAACACCAATACATGAAATACAAGAATAAATGAACGGTAAATAAGGCAACCATAAATCTGCATAAAGAAATAGTTTAATGTACAAAATATGACAAAAAAAGGCAAAATTCAGTAAATGAAACACATGACCAAGTATAATTACTAATTAAATGATAAATGTTGAAATATTTATTATAAAAAATTATACAATACGAAGTATCGCCATCCCACGACGTATGTCCAAGATGTACGCTGGCTTAAAACTTACTGTCTTCATTGATGGGACGAAAAATGTACACACTGTTTACAATGCTTAATCCAACCCAAACGATACTGGTTACAACAATGACGAGTAAAGCAAGAACAACAAACGTCTCATAAATTCTTGCTTTTATACCCTGTATAAAAAATAATACGAATTAGGCTATAATATAGCCATAATATGAATTATAAATTACCTTCTTTGATCCAGCAAATCCTTCGGACTCGATGAAAAAATATGCAAATGGTATAGCAACAAACAAAGAAAGATAGGATCCCAGAAAAATTAAGTTCCAAAAGCCTACATGAAAAGAAATCAAAATTAGTATCAAACAATAAAATAATGGTCATTTCGTAAGTACCAACAACAAGAAGTGCGAATATAAAAATCAAGAAATAAATTTTTAAGACTCTTCTAACAGATTAAGTTGTAATAAAGTTCGCGTGCGCAGTACTCACGATCGTGTAATTTTTTAATAAGGGAGTTATAATCAAAAATTTTGAAGCATTTGTATAAAAACACATGTTTTAAAACTTTTAAACACCATTTCCATCTTCATTTATGCTGAAAAGATTCACAGAACATGAACAAAAAAAACAAAACATAATCTGAACCAAAATGCAATAAAAAATTACAGTGCAAGACATCCAACATAGGCCGTAAGTCTACGTACTTTGAAACAATCGAAGTATTTTAAATAAAATTAACTCACCATGAATAAGAGAACTGTTCAACCATTTTACATAATAACTGCTTTGATACATCAACATAAACTCGTTGCTCACGATTGATATAGGTAACAGAAATGCAGCACCAATTGACACACTCAAAGTAAACGTACATAACCACAATCTGCAATGAAATCATAATAATACATCCACAAAACTACGTATTAGGTCCATAGAAACGACAAAGAAACATGCATTCACTCATAAACCCATATAAACCACAAAAGCAATGCAAAGCACAGAGGATCATACATGAAGTAATAAAAAACCACCACAGCTAAGGGGAATGTAAAGATAGCACAAGGGAGTGTAAGGATTGCACAAGGGAGTGTAAGGATTGCACAGGGGAGTGTAAGGATCGCACAGGGAATGTAAGGATTGCACAGGTGAATGTAAAGATAGTACAAGGGAGTGTAAGGATTGCACAGGGGAGTGTAAGGATAGCACAAGGGAGTGTAAGAATTGCACAGGGGAATGTAAAGATAACACAAGGGAGTGTAAGGATTGCACAGGGGAGTTTAAGGATACGTAGCTCAAGGTAGTGTTAGGGTAACTAGAGGAGTGTAAGGTTAGCTAAAGAAAGTTAATTTTACTAACAACTCGAGTAAGGGGGATGCAAGGAAGGTTAAAGCCCAATAATTTGAAAGATTTAAAATCTTGCGCCAAATCCCTCAAATCACACCTAGATAACATAACTGGGACGTTGAAGGTAACTATTTGATAGACTTCTGTGCTGTTTATGTACCAGCAGACGCATTAAATCTTGTGTTTGTTAGGATATTATGCGTTTTTAGGATATTATGCGTTTGTAGGATATTATGCGTTTGTAGGATATCATGTGTTTGTAGGATATCATGTGTTTGTAGGATATCATGCGTTTGTAGGATATCATGTGTTTGTAGGATATCATGTGTTTGTAGAAAATCATGTGTTTGTAGGATATCATGCGTTTGTAGGATATCATGCGTTTGTAGGATATCATGTGTTTGTAGGATATCATGTGTTTGTAGAAAATCATGTGTTTGTAGGATATCATGTGTTTGTAGGATATCATGTGTTTGTAGGATATCATGTGTTTGTAGGATATCATATGTACGGAGGAATCCTTATATTGAATTTCAGGAGATCAAATTTTTAAAGTATATCAATAGGCATGCCATGGAGTCTCCCTAGAAATCTCATCCTTTGAGAATGAGCCCCCCCCACATATTTCTTATACGTAGCATCCGCCACTACACCTAAGACAAGAGCGGAGGTCAAAACAAAAACGCTGCGGTTAGATTTTAGTAAACGTTTTAACGGCTTAGTCAAAGAGTGAATATTTTTACGATAGAGCAATCCTGAAACAAACCAATGGGTTTCTCCAAAGTTAACGTTATTGATAAAAACCTTAAGTCAAGGCAAACGTCGCAAATTTTGTTATTTCGTATTTTTATAGATCATGTCAATATTTGTAAGAACTCAAGGACAAATGGCCAACACAAATTTGTGGCATTATCCTACGTATATGTCATATCAACCATCAACCCTCAAAAGTGACGATTGAGCAAGTTTTTCTCTCGTAAGGCACGTCTTCATGGAGAAACAGTATGCTCTACCAGAGAATAGAATGTTATAACATGGAACATGGAAAAGTTTCATAAAATTTCATCCACTGTCATTTTGCATCAGTGTTCTCTAGTGCCTTATCTTTAAAGCTAAAACTAAAATATCTTGAATCATGCATGGCGTGACATGTTTGTCAATTCATTAAACAAAAAATAAAAATCAAAAATAATAAATTTGATCCTGCATTTCTTACTCTGACAAAAAGAATTCTTTAATGTTCTGAAATTTCAAGATTTTTCAGGAAAAATTTATGCACGAGCAAAATCTTGTTTAAACAGGAGCTGTCTATTTTTTTCAAGAGTCAAAGTTTTCTTGATTCTCGATGTAGAGGTTAAAAACCCTGAGTTTGCAAAGCACTAAATGTTGTATTTCCCAAGTAAATAAAAATACCTGCCATTGATAAATCTGTAACATTGACTACTTTTTGTAAATAGCATATGTACATATCTCTACTATTGTCTTGTGATGTGATGTCACAGTATGTATGTGAGAATGTACTATAGGTATGATCACTCAATCTGCAGAATTCAATAATTCTCCATGCTTCTTACAGCAGCCCTTAGCCTTTCCTTCAACTTTTGCATGGTTTTAAAATAGTGAATTAATATGAGGCATCTGATCAATGTGCAAATTATCAAATACGTATCATAAAACTGTGAAACATTGACATGCAACAATTGTTGTGAAATGAACGATTGACTTACGAAATTCGATACACCCAAGCATCTTCAAAATCTACAAAAACATAAATCAATTTTAAAATTGACTGAAACAAAAAAAACAATTTCCAAACAAAATACAAATAAATATTTGACTTTATAAGCTAAGATGCAAGACAACAAGATATTTATTTTTAAATTTCGGTACAAAATACATAATTTGTATAACAGCCAAACTTAAATTTGATCAAAAATAAACGTATATACTTTCATTACATAAATATCAACAAAATTTAATTTAAAATATCAAAAGAAGCAAAGTGTGATACATGGCATAATGACATATACCTTGATGATATGAACAAAAGGCTACACAAGTTATGGTTAACCATTTTTAACATTGATTTACAGAGATGTTGTCATGAGCAAAACAATTTTACAACAATTAAATAATTCATTTTCACCATATAAACTATGATAATGAGTTACAGCCTATCCCTCTAAAGTCCTATCACACAAAATCATTTATAAATGAGCATATATCTGAAAATTAAAGATATTCTTCGACAGTTTCTTTTTAGGGATGATCAACATTGTCATTTTTAGACTGTAGATCTTCAAAATTTCAAATTCTAACCTTTCTGTCGCTCAAAAAGAAGCCAACTAACAATTAATGCCTTACCTACAGAATTCATATCCCGCTGTTGTCGAAATACATTTATTAAACAGTAAGACACCAAATAAAGAACAATAAAGGTCAACAAAAATATCTGTTGAAAAAAAATATCATAATTTCAGCATGGATATCAAATCTGATGGCATAGACAGAAATTAAGGCAGTTACATATTTTCATTACTGGTACACTGGAGCAATGATCTTTGAAAACAAAAATACAATGCATGTTTCCTTTGAATGCAAGAATATGGAAGTATAGCCAAGACCAAAAATCACATTTCAATGATATTATCCAACACTGCTGCTTTGAACATTTCCGTTAAAATTGTTTCTAACGTTATATAAACATAACTTTTGATGCTTCAAAAGCAATCAATCAATTATAAAAATGAACTTGTTCTACCAACAGATGTTGGTCAGATTTCATTCTCATGAAAAATAATACTTGAAATGTACGTAGTAGCAATTGCTGAATGAAGGAGGTAATATGAGAATGTATTATCTATAAAATAAGACACGATAAGGCAGATTTATCGTCCAAAATAGGCGAGGACTTGAATACAACTAAAACTTGACTGTAAATTGCCATTTTTAGATTGAAAATCATTCACAAGGAAATGATAAATTGACTATTTATCTATACGTAATTGGGCAATAAAATTATCAAAATCTAACAAATTCTCAAGTAGTTTGTAAAAGTACATGCTGCAATAAATATTGCGAAAACCTGCAGTATTAATATTTAACAGATCGCAATCCTCAAGCAACATACATATCAAAATAATCATACCGTATATTCGCGAACTGTACCATAAAACAATTTTTCTTCTTCACTGCCATCAGCATTATCTTCCATAATTTATGAGACGAATACATGGCAAAATAATTGTTTTAAATATAAAGATGTGAATCAAACGCAAATAAAGCGTCATCCACAAAAAATACACTCATTATTACGACGACTGAATTGCGATAGCCAGAAACAGCGGCAGTTTATTTAAAATGGCCCATTAATCTATAAATTCTGTAGCTTGTATTAAAATTTTAGCTAAAGATATCGCCAGTTAACCAAATGTTTGTGTATCAAACTCGTCGCAGTTAAATATACAGTGTGGTTTTGCAACTTACGCACTGACAGGAAGGTGAAACCAAAATAATTAATAGTATATATGTGGCGACGGGGGGAGTGGAAATTTTTAGGGGTACAATGCAAGACTTAAGTAATGTTTGAAAATGAGAAAATACTAAAAGTAAATACTAGAAGAGAAAAAAACAAGTTGGAAAAAGGTGAAAAGAAGAACAAGAACAGGAAAATGAAGAAGAAGACATGTGACGTCCATGAAGGGGAATGGACTCTGGAAAGTTCTTATGTCTATTTCAATCATAACAAAATTCGACGTCACCTTACAAGAATCAGCTCTTTAAGAGAAACATCCTTTTTAAAAACGTATCGTCAGTACATAAAAATCCAATTGAAAATTCAACCCTGATGTTATAGTTTTCTTCAAAAAAGCAAAGTCAAGAAAATCATTTTAGTTTAAAAGAAATTTTCGCATGAGTTATTTAACTAGACATGCATGAAGGTGCACGGACTGTGCAAAGTTCTTCTGTCCACTACAATAACACGGACACAGACGTCACGTTACAAGAAACAGGCATTTTAGAGAAACGCCTTTGTTAAGAACTTATCGTCAATAATCTTAATCGAAAATGCAATTCTAACGTATAATTCGTTTCAATAACGCAAATTCAAGAAAATTAATTTAAATTTTATGAGCTATTTAACTAGGCATGCATGAAGATGCAACCGTGCAAGGAATCACGAAATTATACAGACACCGACGTCGCATAACAATATCGTTACTATACTCAAATGACGCCCTCCTTTGTGTTATAATTAGCCCGTTGTTGTAATAACCTCAAATAAATACTGAAATCTAAAGCAATGTGTTAACTTAAATAAATGAATAACCTGATGGATCTGATTTTTGGTGGGCACAATCACCAAAACAGTCAATATTTATACTTGAACTATCTACTCGTAAAAAGCGTTCCATGAAGTAAATTTTTCAAGCAGGGAATGTCAATACATATTTGTAGATGTAGATCGTACAGGTGAGTAAAGACACGGTCGAAGGACTGTTGAAGTTGATGTTGACTGAAGTTTCAACAACCTTAGCTATGGTCAATTGACTCTGAATCTATTTGTTAAAAAAAACAATAGTTTGGTTGTAAAAGTATTTTGAATTAAAAACTTGACTAACGATGCATCCCCTACTGTACTGTCTAAAATATGTCTATTCTCGGGAAAAAATAAATTAATCCAAAGTCAAAACATTGCCACATTGCGTTTTCTTTCTGGAGGTGGCTCAAGTAGTGAGACAAGTGGCTTTGCGTACATCCGAGAGTTCCAATTCATGAGAACCATGTCGTTGGAAAACATCCGTTTTTGCCTCGTGTGAAAGGTTATTATTACTGAATTAATAAGAGTGGTGTTTTAAAAGGCGGGATCCCATTTATCAAACATCATTTGTTGTCTTGATCACGACGTTCCGAGTTAAACAAGAAAAACTCAGAAGATCCAAATATTTTTTGCTACTTATATTTTGTGGTGAGTCTATAGCGTACTATTTTATAATTATTTAAATATTTAGGTAACATAGATGTGATACAATGTAGTTCCATTGAATCTATTTGCCCTACAAACAATAACTTTGAAAAACTAACCCGATCGATAAATGCCCTTGCTTACAATGACACGTATCAATAAGAAAATGGACATGCTCATCTCATAAACTATAATTCATTTGAAAAGAATAGTTATGAACATTATAATTTGAAAGAAAAAATTGCTATTTCAAATTTCAAAGCAAAATGTTTATTGCATAGCAGGGATAACTAAATTGTTAGCCATTGCAAAAACAATTTTTTATTAGTTATAAAAAACATTATTACATTAAAAAGAATACTCCACATTGAGTAAACGACCTGAAAAGTTATTTATAGTTGGCTATGGTGACTTTGCAGTTACAATTGATAATTTAGAGCATTTAAAGCACGTATATGTAACATGTTTATTTAAAAATTGTTGAAAAGGTAAACCATATATTATAGATTGTGATAACGATTTTAAAAACTACAATTAAAATCTTGCTTTTGTCACTTCTGTAGCTTTAGTGGATGTTGTAACGTTTTTAATCGATTAATATACTTTCTCTTGTATCTGACAATTGTTTGTTCATTGTATTGAAAATTAATTTTACCAAAAATTTAAAGTTGCAACCAGTCTGCAGATAACTTGTTGATCATTTTTATTAGAATCACAATTTTTATCAAAGACTTAAACAAAGACAGTTTGCTGCTCGGATCAGAAACGAAGGTCTTCGCACACTTACGATTAGACACAATTGACCGGCTCATTCTTGACTAAATCAAACAATTCTCGTCTTCTATTTTGACCAGCTCCATTTGTTAGTGTTACAGCCCATTTTGTCATTTTTATCGCGCTTTTCCTTACATTTAGAGATGAACAAGATGACAAAATGGAATGAAATTCTTCTGTTGTCAATTATTTTGTTGTTGAGCATAGTTTCTGCATTCAAGCTACAAAATCAAGGTAATCTTGTATGTGGAATACAGCTAGTTTTTTTTACAACAATAGGAGAATGATTTTAGAAATTATTAAGAAGCATTCCATGATACAAAAAATGGTTAGGTTAAACACCATTAATTGAAAGTATAAGTGTTGAAAAAATACATGAACTGTTTTTCCAGATGTGAGAAGAGTACTTCTACTTTCGGTGTCCTGTATCGTAGTCAGCCCATATGTCTTAATTCTGCTAAGTAAACTTCAGAACGTTATCATTGTCAATTTCTTTAGAAGTTAATGTTTTTGCATGAAGCGAGAAAAATTTGCATTTTAGCGTAAGGTTATAACATTGAACACCAATTGAATTTTGAAAAGTTTCATGCTAATTTTGAGTTTGTGTGAAATTTTTCTTGTTTCAAGTGGACAGTCGTATTCTTGCCTATCTACGTCATGGTGCGTCAAATTATCGGCCAGGTGTTACTGCATCAAACAATGAAGAATTTGCACAGTCGCTTTTCGACAATCAATTTAGCATAAATGTTCGTAATGCCGTCCTTCAAACACAGTTTTTTCAAAAGATGATAAACAACACCCTTCAGCCAGAAGAATATGGCGGTTACATGGTCCAAGACGCTGCGTATGTGTTTGATGCCATATATGCATTTCAAATAGCTGCTAAGAAAAGTCAAGCAAGCGATAGTTTACCTCGTGATTTTGCGTTGTTCTGTCGTGGCAGGGCAGAAAGTTTCACAAGTTACTATAGTTACTTTAGCTCGGAGTGGAAACTCAGAAATTCCAAAAGCGTCATAATGGGTCCAGCTGCTGCAACTTATGTAGCATTTGAAATGAAACTGGCCAAAACTGACGCCAAGTTTCTAAGTATTGGTATACTACCATGTGACATGTTGTGGCCTTGGGTAGCTCGGGAGCTGAGCAATTTGGTCGGTGAATCAAATGTTTATCGTTCGTGGGTTGATGATAATTACTCTGAAGAAGGATCTTCATCTAGCACTCAGGATTTCGTCAACAAATTTTTTACTGAAGATGACAGAGCAATTAGCCAAGAAATCTTTAACGAAGGCATGATCAATGAGCTTAATTTCTTTCGCTCTGCTTGTGGTGAAGATCCAGTAGATTACGACTTTGGTGACTCTCCACAAGCATGAGAGATTTTCGCTTTTGAACTTTTTGTTAGTTATCTTGTTCTAGCTGTTTTGACGTAGCGTGTACGTAGCTACTAGATGAAATTGGTCGAACTTTTTAAATAAACACCAAAATAAACTTCACGCATCTGAAAAGTTGATATTTTTATATGAACGTTTACGCGAGGATACCTTCAGAGAGGATAGGGTGGCAGGAAAGGTATTAGCAGTAAAAATTGCGAATATGTTCAACTACTTGTCATACAGAATTGGGCGAGTCTGGTCTGTCTGGGCTAAGAACCTCGGCGTCACTCTTCTTTTCACAGTGTATAAATATTCTTAGGAACAATTTTCTGTATTCTACATACAACGCAAAACTGGGCATCACTCGCTTTCCACAAATTAACACAAAAGGAATCGTTCCTATTTATACAAACTCTTTCTATTCAAGTCATTTTCAAAGATTGGTTTCAACCGCATGACCTCAAATGAATGTCTACTTCCATTTCATACACATCTTCAATTGTTCCCCCATCGTGTCACTCATTGAAAGCCATGTCATTTTGAAATAACACCTCTATCATCCAACGATTTCTTGCATTCTCTGTAACCACCGTGTGAAAACTTAGATTTCTGGTACACACAAAATTTTTAACTTGGGATACTCTAGCTCATCTCTGACTGTTGTCTTTAAACCTTTATATAAACTCATCATTGCTATTACATTTGTCTCTGCATTGTAAACATCCCTCAGTTCCTCATAGTAACTACAATAACTTTCTTAAGCCTGGTTCTCATATAGTCATCCAAGTCGTTTCAGTCGTGCCAAAATTCCACAGACAACTCGTGTGACTGTATGAGAACATTTCAGAGGCGACCGGGATGACCTCAAATGACTCCAAAACGACTGAAACGACCAGGGTCGCTTGGATAGAACTTTGCTCTATGCGGACGACCGAAACGACCGTTGAGACATGCAAGCGACCTTTTATGGCGCAAAAAAATTTGAAGAAGCAAATAACTAGCCAAAAGAGTTTGTCTTTCATAAACAGCAGCTGCCATTTCTAAATGTTTCGCGAAAAAATTAATCAAACTCTCGGCAGCGTTAGTACGAACTTTCATGGGTCGTCCCAGTCTCTTTGAAAAACAACGAAACAACTCGGAACGACTCGGAAAGACTCGGAAAGACTCGGATGACTCAAGCGACTTAATGAGAACCAGGCTTTATGAACCTATTAAACATCTTCTCCAAAACAACAAAGCACAGTTTCTTATCCTTGTCTAAATATTCCACAATTGACCCTTTGAAAATGAGCACTGCGTTCATTGTTTCTTTTCTTTCAATAAAACCAAATTTCATCTTTTACTTTTTCACCACAAATCTCAATCTCCATTAAAACACATTTTCTACAATCTTCACGGCATGCTCTAGCAGCGAAAGAGCATGGTAAAAGTTTGTTTAAGTCATTTTCTATCTTTTTTTGACTGTTTTGTAAACTCAATTGAAAGTTTATGATGTTTTTCAACTCTTTTTTGAAGTGCTCAATGCTGAAGTGCCCATTATCCCCAGTGCTTGATAAATGTTTTTCAAATTCCTTTATCTTTCTCTCGGTTTTCTTTCGGAAGTCACACATGGTGTTGTAAAATTCTTAAAAAGCTTCGGAAGGCATGTTTCCAATATTCTCTTTTCCTCCACAGACTTTTCCTTCGTCATCTCCTACTTCAGACAATGCTGTTTCATTATTGTCGACGGAATTAGTGTTTGGCGTTGCCGACTTTGTTGCAACTGATTATTATCTGAAGGAATTTCTGCTGAAGCTCTTACAGATGATTTTGTTGGCAAATAGTTTTCAGATTTATTCATATAATATTTCAGCTTGTTGTTGAGTTTAAAAAGCTTTATTTCAATCTCACTACAGCCTCTTCCATTGTGTGTACGACGCTTGGTTTTTGATTAATGTTTCGCAAGTGTCTTTAAACTTTTCTTCAAAGTTAAATTCCTGTACTTTTTTAACTGCCTGACTTTATATCTTCCAACGTAGCAGTGATACAACCAAAAGTACCTTGTAAAAACCTCGATTCTATCCACAAAATTCGTAGAGTGCCTAGTATTGAATATAGTTATCGTTCCAGGTGATTTACAAATGCAGGTGACTATACAATGACGTACCAACTTTACAAAGTCAAATATTCTTGTGCATGAGATGTATTACCAAGCCCTAGTTTATCAAAATTGACAATATCACAAGTGCTATCAGTAGTGCGAGTTTGCAGAAGGCTGGTTTTAAATCACGATGAATCATACCCTAAAACAAAGAATAAGTCTATATATAATATATTAAGCTAAACAAAAATTGTTCACATTTTTTTATGCTTAGCTACACATACATACAGTTAGCATGTACAATAATCAAAAATTTCTACTTGTGAATGAACGTGAACAAATCCTGCTACAATCTCAAGAAGCCGCCACATTCTCTGTTGGTCCTTGTATTATCCCTCGTCAATAACATTCCTTAGAGTACTCTTCTCACAAAAATCTATTTGCTTATACAAACTTGGCAGAGTAAACTTTGAATCTTCTTGCATATTTCTTTTGGTGATTGCTTCCTCTTCACTTTCCAAATCAGATTCCTAGTCCTAAAGCTTAAGAGTACAAAGAGCATGCCAAAAATATATGATTGAAAATTTGCTAAGCTCACATACAAGCACCAATTTTAGAGCTCCCTCCGTCACAAATTAATTGTGAATTAATCTGAGTATTTAATATAAACGCCAAGTTTTTTGAAAATAGACATGTTTCGACATCTCATGATGCCATCTTCAGTATGAGTGAATTAATAAGTGATACAAGGTTTATATAAAAGTAATATGATACATAAATTACAACAATAAAAAGGAAATAAGATAAATTTATCTTAGATGGCATCATGAGGTGTCGAAACATGTCTTTTTCAAAAAACTTGTCGTTTATATTAAATGCGCATTAGCAATAGTGCTTTTACGAAATTATGGAAATTAATACGAGCATGCGTAGTCAACTCCACCAACTTTCCAAAGCCTATCGCAGGTGATCTCAGGGTCTGATGAGCGGAAGCTTGCTATTGGCATCTCCCAAGTAGGGTAGCGTCGAGGGGCCGAAATCTCTTACCGAAACGTTAACATGCGGCGTTCTAGTGCCTTGCGCTTATGAAGGTATCGGGAAGCATGGACCGAAAACGGGGTTTTTTGCTTTTGAATTTTATCTTTTTGTTTTCTCATAAAAGAAACTAGAACATCCAACTAAGAGAACTAGAACCAAAAGAAACTAGAGCCTCCTTAAACAATATAACTCTCTCATCATGATTGTAAGCATCCTTTCTTGGAAAAAAGGGATTTTATAATAGTTTTTATAAAGATGACATTAATTAATAAACCAAGCAATTTGTATCATCTAAATTGAGCCTCGCTTTAAACCCTTATGTTCTAGAATTTTGATTCATTTTGAATAGTAAATTTCTTTTTACCTTACAATATTTTCATGATTCAATATAGAAAGTAACTTCTCTTGATTAATTTTGTGATTAAACGGTACACTTTTCGGATTCAAACGAATTCCTTTGATTCATAGAGACAGCCGTCCAATTTATTACGTACCTAAGCGTATATAAAGCATTTCCAAATCACGTACAAAACTTCCTTCACACGACCAAATTACCGTCTATTTGAACAATGTATGCAATAAAAAGTTACCTTGACAACTGAAGCAAATCCTACTTTTTTAAGCATATGCAACACCTCAAATTTCTTCCGAACTCTTCAATTTCTCGCAGCGTAGCCGAAAGGAATAGGCATAAAAAAAGGGACTCATCTCCATCATCACAGCGAATTTGATTTCTCCCTTGATCTTTTTCAGGATCCTTTCCAATTAAATCTATGGTGGTATATGAATTCAATGGCGCGGGATGTAATTCCCGATACATTGGCGAAACTTCGCGCCATTTATCCACAAGAATTAGGGAACATACCACAACAGACAAAAACTCTCATATTTACCGACACCTTCTTAAATCTCACTCATGTAGAACCAACTATTCACCCTCTTGCTTCAAAATCATCGACACTGCCGACACCTCATTCACCATTAAAATCAAAGAAACACCCACATTAACAAAACTAACCCTGACCTCAATGTTCAAGTTTTTAAATTCAATAAAATATTTACTTTATAATACGCTCGGAAGCTCCCCATTAAATTATCTTATTTCCTTTTTATTGTTGTAATTTATGTATCATATTACTTTTATATAAACCTTGTATTATTTATTATTTCACTCATACTGAAGAAGTGAAGATAGCATCATGAGATGTCGAAACATGTCTATTTTAAAAAAACTTGTCGTGTATCTTAAATGCGCATTAGATATAGTGCTTTTACGAAATCATGGTCATAGACTAATACTCTTCGATACTTCATGTAATACTGGTGAACTGAGCACGCGAATGGAAAACCTTATGCAATCAAATTATTCAATTATAAATACTTAGTTGCTGCAGTTTATTATGAGTAGAATGTGAAAAGAGATGATTGTGCTCTGGAAATGTATTGCAAGAGAAAGGTTTTAAAAGCAATTGCTTTGTCTGGTGTGCAAGATGTAAACCGATGTCAGAGTCTTCAACATTTCCTATATTTGGCATGTCCTTTCCCAATTTCAGCTCTACAGCAAATTTCTCGGCATAAGTGGTAAAGTGTCTTTATTTGGCGTACTGATAGAGAAATAAAGTTCTTTGAGAATATAAGACAGCGTAAAATTGGTTAGGTCCTTAGAAACAACAAAATTTAATGTATTTGATATTTGATAAATTTTCCAATCTTAGCTGTCAAGACATTTATATTGTCAATTGTTTCTCCAAAATTTCATCAAAGAAAAGCTTATGCTATTCATGCATATTTGTGTTGTATGTGCAAATGTGCATTTGTCAAAACATTTAATTTCACTTTTTATGGTGAGAGAATATTAAATTTTCAACTGTAAAACTTGCAGACATTCCCTACTGTATTTCTTGTTAAATGTGAGAACTACTTGCTTTCAAAGTTGCCTATTTTTATCAACTTCATATTTTTTTTAGGAATTCAGGAGTAATCAATAAGGAAATCACAAAAATTTCAAACCCTCATAGTTTAGTTAAGAATGAATTGACAGAAATTAATACTCAAATAATTAATGTAAGTGATTAATTTAGTTTTGTTCAACTAAATAAAATATTCACTAGAAATTTAGCTTATTTATATATAAGACTATACAGGAGAGGTTTGCATAAAACGCGAGATAAAGTTAGTTGTAGATGTGATTGTTGTTGATCAGTATCAGCTTTCAAACTGCCTAACATAGCTACCTTCTTGGCAAACAAATATTGCATTCTTTGTTTTATTTCCCACTTGAGGATGGATGCATATAGAGTCCGCAAAAGATTTTTTTTTGGACACAGGAATTGTGTTACATATTTTTGATCAGGAATTGAGATGAATATGTTGCAAGATTAGGGAATGCGTTGCAATAGATTTCATGATAAACACATCCAGATAACAGAAATTTCAAATGCATTGGGATTGAGGTGGCCTTGTATGTATCCTCTACTTAAAATTTTTTAACTTTTCTTCTGTAAATATGATAGTTTTTATATTCACTTTTAAAAGTTTAGAGTATTGCATGATTTTGGTTAAAAACTTGACATACATACAAAATACGTTATATCATAACAATTTACATGTATTTGACACGAAATGAGATTGAGCGTTATACAAATAATTTTGTTGATTTGTCATGTTTTGATTGATGTTTGAACATTGGCTCAATATTTTTTGTCAATTTTGACATCAAACCGTCATCCATTTTAGGAGTTATCAACTCCACTGCAACCACTTAAAGATATAACACAGTATTATTTTGACAACAAGGGAAAGCTGTTTCGGCCAACAGTTATTTTATTAATGGCACAAGTGTCCAACACGCACCTGCTGCAAGATCTTCAAAAACGGTAAAGATAATTTTTTGTCTATATTAATCTGATTTCGTTAGCAGTCGACATTCATTCCACGCAACAATGGCCCGAAAAGAAAAAGTTATTTCTTTACATGCGTGCCATTGGTATTAAAAGTTCCCTCAATTCAATTCCGTTTTTATTAATGTGAACTAGGCTTTGAAAAGATAAGCTGACCAAATTACGTAAAAACGTTCAAAAGCTTTCCTTTTTTCACATGATCTGACCGTTATATCTTTACAGTATTTACTTCATCAGTTTTACAATCAAATTAGTTGTGTATCGAGTTGCCAAAAGACTGTAGCTCAAGTGGCAGAAATGATTCACACGGCAAGTTTAGTTCATGATGATATTGTTGATATGGCTGAATCACGAAGAGGGAAGGCTTCAACGCATCGTGTCTGGGGTGAAAAGGAAGCTGTTTTAGCTGGAAATTATATAACGTCACGAGCAACAACTGCGTTGGCAAGACTTGGTAATGTCGAAGTTATTCATTTGTTGGCTAAAGTTTTGGACGATCTGGTACGAGGTTAGGAAGTATACAATTAGATTACTTTTTGAATGTTGACATATCTGTAAATTGTCATGAAGCTTCTTAGAAATTGTTGTCAGCAGTTTCAGACTGATTTTGAATTTAAAAACGTATCTCCTGGAAACAGTTGTAGTAAGCTGTGTGTTGGGGTTGCTGAGCTATGCGGTAGATTGGACTTTTTAGTTCATTTTTGTCGTGTTCGTAACCCGACAATGTCGCATTTCCATTGTTTAATGGCGATTGCAACAGATGCGTAAATTATAATTTTGCAGTCCTTGTTGTAATCTTTGACTAAGCTACAACATGTCAATGGACGAATGTATGTTTGTGCTATCGATTGTGTTTCATCGTTTTAGGTGAATTCATGCAGATGGGATCGCGAGAGAATCCAGATGAACGATTTGCGCATTACTTGGAAAAAACATTTAAAAAAACAGCAAGTTTATTGGCCCATACTTGCAAAGCAGTAAGTACATCACATATTCTTAATTAATGAAAATTATTGAAAGCTGTTCTGTACAACGTTTTACAATAAAGTTACTATAATCTTATTAATTTAATAACAGTATTTATTTGCATTTTTTTAAAAGTTTCATGTCAATTACAATAGCTCTCATCTTTTAAGTTGAGTTTTTACTGTTGCGAAAACTTCATTTGACAAATATATTTTAACTAGAACATTTCTTGTGGCAAATTTGCCACGTGCGTAGTTTATAAAATGCTGTTACACTTACATTTTCTGTAGACGACGAGTTTTTTGACAATAGACGTGTTTGAACATCTCATGATGCTATCTTCAGTACTATAGTGAATAATAACAAATAATACAGAGTTTATAAAAGTAATATGAAGTAATATAAAGTTATATATTAAAGTTATTCACTAATACTGGAAAGTAATATAAAGTTATACACTTATACTGAAGATGGCATCATGAGATGTCGAAACATGTCTATTTTCAAAAAACTCGTCGTCTACACTAAGGGGCTGTTCACAGGATCCCGGCTAACCGGGATTCAGTGAAGCGTAAAATCATTTCGACGCATTGAAAAGAGGCAAAACTTCAAGCGAAAAAATTACAACTGTTTGTTAAGCGCTGCAAGTAATGCCTGTTGTAATTCTCAAATTAGGCCAAATTTGTTGTTTGATTTTGAATGTTATGCGTATAGTTGTTAAATCAGAATATTGTGAAAGTGCTGAAGAACATTTATTTGATGATAAGTATTAAGTCTTTTCCATTTTCCAAAATCATTTAACGCTTGGCTGAATCCCGGCTACCCGGGATCATGTAAACAGTCCCTAAGTGCACAATAGCGATAGTGCTTCTACGAAATTACTTACATTTTTCTTATTGTTCTCATAGTGAACTGCATGCGTGGTAAGTAGTTCACATAAAATTATGTTTTAAATTATGTTCATCATTTTTAAATTGTTGTTTGTTCCCATGTGCGTAGCTATGATTGTGGAGGAAACACGTAAGTTTTTTTTCTATACTCACTTTCGTGCACGAAATGTATTGTGAGGTCTTCAAAGAAAGATAATTATATAGCTATGAGATAGAATTTGAAATACGTAATTTAAAATTCAGTGTTATGATTTTTAGGTTGCTCTTTTAGCAAACGCTACTAAACAGCTTCAAGATGCTGCTTTCCAGTATGGAAAAAATCTTGGAATGGCATTTCAGGTCTACTTAAAAAAATAATACACGCACAGTACAAATACAACTAATTTATCCAATGCACTCTTGGGCTTCGTTTGAAATCAGTACTTCATTACCGAACTTTCTTATTCTGTGGTATAGTTAGTAGACGACATTTTGGATTTTGACTCCACTGAAGAGGCTCTGGGAAAACCAGCCGCCGCTGATCTTCGACTCGGTCTTGCTACTGGACCTGTTTTATTTGCCAGTGAGGAGGTATGTACATTATGTATGTAACAATCGTTTTAGCAGGACAAAAAATGAAAAAAAGACTTATAAAAATATTATTTCAATTGATATTATATATTTCAACGTAATAATTGGTTAGAGAAGAAAAGAAACTGTTGAATTTATCGGTGGAAGTTTATTTCGGACATAAAGTTGTACATTTCAAATTCATGTTTCAGTTTCCGGAAATCACTGCGTTTATAATGAGACGGTTTCAATGTGAAAATGATGTTGAAGAGACGTATCGATTGGTCAGACAGGTATAGATTTGCAGTTGAGCATGTATAATCTGGGGCCTGTGGTTACAATAATACCGCAGTAGTGATTACATACAGTCTACAGTGATACATATTCAATACTCATCATCAGATAAATCTTCTCTGGCAATTTCACAATATTCTGGTTTAATAACTACGCAAAACATTTAAAATTGAAACAACCAATTTTGCGTAATTTGAGAATTTCAACAGGAATAACTCGTGGTACTTAATAAACAGTTGTAATTTTTAAGCTTGAAGTTTTGACTCCTTTCAATACCTCGAAATCATTTCACGCCTCACTGAAACTTGGTTAGCCGGGATCATGTGAACAGCCCCTTAGGCGATAGCTACGATTTGTGATTTACGAATGATTTTCAAAAAGAAAACAAATAACCATAATCTACATTTTGATTTCAATAAAAAAATTAATTTCAATACACGGGAATAATTTTTCAATGGAACAGTCAATTCTAACCATGATGATTAAGACTTCTTTTGTAAACTGTGAGTTATGTCATGTAGCTCATGTCCAACAATATAGATGACCACAAAGCCTACACTTCGTAAAACAATGAACTATGTCAGAACAACATTTTACTTTCAACCCCGATCCCATTTATTTTTTTGGTTTAAATTCAAAATCTTAATAACATCATGGATCGTTAACTTTGCTTTGTGTAACTGTTGAAGCTTTAAATGCAATAAACCTGATATGAAATTCCTCTTAAGCTTCTAAGAAAGTGTTCACTTCTATGGTTCTAACGAACACTATCTACGGAATCGCTTAAAATTAACGAAATAACTGTTCGTATCTGACACTAACATTTAGAGCACTGGTATTGAAAGAACGAAAAGTCTAGCAAGACAACATAGTAATGAAGCAAAGAGACAGCTTTCAAAATTTTGTCCCTCTCCAGAAAGAGATGCTTTAGTACAAATGACGGAAAATCTTTTGAAACGCCAACGTTAAACGAACAATAACTCGAATATCATTTTTCTGTAAATACTTATTCGCGAATGAACATCTTTTGCGTAGCATTTATATGAACTTATTTTAAAATTTTATTGCTTTTATTAAAATTGGTCTAACAAAAGCACGGTTATTTGCAAGAAATATCCTGGCAAAGAAATCGAACTTCTCCGGGTTGGTGCAAGTGCAAATACCTTTGAAAGATTAAAAATTTTAGGGCACTTGAAAAGTCTTATCACAAATTTGAAATGAAATTTAATTAACAGAACAGAATATTGAGCAGCTAAATTTCTAAGATTTCCTTGTAAGCATGCGAAACATAGAACGGAAACGTAAAATACACACAACGACTGTCGTAAACCTAGCACAAAACGATTGGAAATAATTCCTTCATTTTCATTTGAAAATTAATTTTCGCCACTCATTACAATACTCCAAAAACAATGAAGATGGATTATTATATTAAAGATTGCAACTACAGCTATACGGTGTATATGTGCAGCTGCAGTGGTATAATGTTAGTAATGTATATGAGAACCCAAGACGACGTATTTCAAGAACTGCCATGAAAAACTGTTATAAAACACCAATGATAAATTAATACTGAACAGTGCTTCTTTGCATTTCTTCAATCACCGACATGTGATTAAACTGATCGGGATTATGATTGAATGTTTTCAATAAGGAGAGTTTATTGTCATCATCGGTACCATAGTAGAGCTGAATCAAATTGGCAACAAACATTGCTTCGTGAATTGCCTAAAGAAAATGGAAATTTACGCAAATATCAAGCTTGTGTGATGTGTGTGGTAAATAATTCACAGATCGAGCTGAAATAATTTGAAAGAAAAATCGACGTGTCCACTGGCATTAGAATTGATGCGATCAAGCATTAAATTTCTACGAAAGAAGGAACTGCCCTTCGACCGTTGATTGAAGCTTTGTCGATCATTTTTCGACTACTCTCTGTCTAAATACAAGGTAAAGCCTGTTTTGTCTGCAGCAAAAAAGCCAACATAAGAGTATCTTCGTGTTAAGTAAACATAAGCCAAATTACGTATATCTACTTGTGAATATAAAAATTCTGCAGCAAAAAAGCCAACATTATACCTTAACTCGATAAACTGGGTAGTTTTTTGTTAAGTTTTGCGCAGATAATTTTTAATATATGCATATTTGGTTGTCTTAAACGCAATCAATCATAACCCTCTCACAACACGAACTTCCCCTGTACACCCCCTCGAAATATGAGCTCTCCGTGTACGGATACCCCCATGCAATACATGCAGGCTACCCCTCGGATATAAATATATAAAAAATAATGCTGTAGAAGTGGGGGGGGGGCGCTTGGGGAGGAGCCCCCTTTCTACCTTTGAAATGGGTAATTTTTCATAATATCATGGCTTCAGCTTCGTCAAGAGAGCTCCCCCTCTGATAAATTTAGTTCTACAGCATTGATAAAAAATATTGGTAAATTAGCTTTTCAGAATACATGAAATAAACAAACTTACAAGATGATTTGTATCAACTTCACCAGTCATCAAGACAATACCTAAGACATAAACATCAAGTGAAAATTTCAGAAAGTTGAACGAGCAATAGTTTATGCATAAACTGGTGTGATTATATATTTATGTTTATTGGCTGAAAATGATAATTTATTGAATAATTAGGGAATAAAATATGTTGTACCTTTACTTTCTTTAAGTTCTGTGAAATGCTTTAAAGCGATTATCCAAGGAGCGTTCTCCCCTAACGTCTTAAATAAATATAACATAAATCAAATGAAACAAACTGTCTTCCTCTCATCAATTGTGTCCAATTGTTCGCTAAATTCTTTCACCGTGGGGTTTTGTGGGGACAACTACTCCCTTTTTAAGCTCTCGAAGCTCCTAAAGCACGCCTCAAACATTCACTAAATATCCTCATGATCCGTTCTTGAAAGTCCCCTATGTACACACTTTTCTTGTACGTATCCATCCCGAGCCATAAAGTCTACAAGTTTAAACTTTAAACACGGTAAAAAGACTGCGTTACGGACCTGATAGTTTATGACGGATGTTAAGTAAAACTCGTGTTCAGAAAATTCACCAACCATTAATTCAAAACCTTCATTTCGTGGTATAGGATAAATAAACTGTGCAAAAAGAAGCAAATTAATAAATTATTTTAAGCTTTATGATTTCATTTCAAATGTCTAGAGCTATGATAGATAAAAAATTAGAATTGTAAGCTAAACTGAATGAGAACAAAATGTCTCAAGTTGTGATGGATATGAAAGTTATAGTGAATGACAACGATATCGCTAAAGCATTGTTCCAGTGAAGGACATGTAGACTCAGTTTTACTGCATTAAACAAACAACGATATCGCTAAAGCAATGTTCCAGTGAAGGACAAGTAGACTCAGTTTTACCGCACTAAATGCTGTAAGAAAGAAGATGACAGAATTACGAATATGATCACGACAAGATTTTGTTAGATTCGACGCATTTAACGTCTCATAATAAACAAAAAAAAAACGAGTGCAAACAATATTTAAAATTAAATATACTTACGATCGGACATTGCTTTGCGTTTTCCATCATTTTATCATACATTGTGGACTGAAGTAGAAAAAATATGTTTTTCAAAAACATTGTACAAAAGCAAACACCACTGAGAGTAAACATACTGGTATAACTGCTGATACAGAGTCCTTATTTCTGTGATATTCTTTCCACAGCTAATAATAAACGTGAAAAGAATAATAATATTGGTAAACACTATCAACGATGAAAATTTAAGTGAAAACTCATTCATTTTACTTTTATGTATGTGCATATGTACAGCTGCAGGCCCTAAGAAGGTGGGGGGATCCGGGCTACTTAACTTTTTTACATAAAATTCACAAATAATACTTATTTATATAAACATTAAGTCAACGGGACGTCGCGAACTGCTAAATATTTAAACTTGCCGCAGTCTTGAGCTTTACTACATAATATATATACGTAAATGCGCGTGGAGACATGACTGTGTAAATACATTAATCTGTTTAAAATGTAAGAATAAGCCAACATATCACAAATGTGTTAACGAAAATAAATACGATAAAATGTACGATCAGGCCTGCCAAAAGGAGGGGGCAGAGAAGGCATTTTACCTTTGGCTGACAACTTAAACCCCCATAAAGCGAAATGCAAAAGGCCCCATGCAGATCTGTATAAGATAAAAGTTTCCATAATTCCGTAAATTTGTTTATTTAGTTTGAAAGATGGAGTTGTTTTGTAGAAATGCATGAAAATCCTTTCATTGAAAAATTGTTTTTAGCAATTTCTCAGTAAAATATTCTACTTTCATCTCCTTAAAGAGAAGGTGTTCCCAAACCTCTTCTATTATGGCAGCAGTATTTTCCTTGACTTTATCCAAGTGCATAATAGCGTCCAATCCCTGGAAAAAAATAGTAAGAAAAACACAAATGAATTTGTTTTCACAACTTGAAGTGTGAAAATAGTGGTACCCCCAAATATCACTGGCCTGTTGAACATGCCTTAAATGTTACATATGATAAATAGTGATCAAATTATAAACGTAACTCTTACTATTTGTAGGTATGTAAATTACAAAAACAAACATATGATAAATTTGAATTATCCCAGGCACCACTAATCGACTTTAGTAATACCTCTTTACAAAAGTTAGAATGTCTTCTACTCTTTGCATTCTGGTAAATTGTGTGTTTCTGGAAATACAATAATTTTGAAGATGTCAGACATTAACATAACCGTCTAAAATTTTCACTTCAACCATTATTGAAATCTAAAGTGTATTTGTTCGGATGATGAAGAATTGTTTGCTAGGCTACAGAATAAATGTCAGGTCAAAATTAGGGCACTAAAGTTTGACTAGACAAATGCTTGTCTTTGTTGGACATGTTTGTTGACCAGCTGTTATTTCACGCTCTGTCACTCTGATATGTAAGAATACAATTACTGTAGTTAAATGTTATACCTGTTTAAATACATATTCTTCATTACACACATGATAAAAAACCAAGTTATAATGATTTTTGTGATGTATCTAATCATTATCACTTATTTCACAACAATTGAATTTATTTCAAAATTGGCTGGCAGTAGCCAGCAGCCAGATTTCTTCACATTACAACTGATGATGGGACCAAGGAATTTAAAATTAAACACAGTCAACTGAACTGACCTAGACTAACCTTGACGTTTTTTGATTTTTTCTTAAACTCAGCAATTTCATCTTCCAATACTTTCTGGTATAAAAATGACGATGATTTGGAGCTTTGAAGGATACTATTTTTTGGAGAAATCCCAAACAATAATGAATATGTGCAAGTGATGTTGCTTTACATTGTAGTCAAAAAGTAAAACACGCATATTGGAAGAATTCAAATCTATTCTGCTCAAATGCGTATGCACAAACATCCGAAATACAAAATTATTCTCAAATATCAATTGGAATAGACAATCTAACCTTGTACTTTCTTGCATCCGCTGAATTTTCTCAGCATATTTCTCAAAAAATGGATTGGAAGTTATTTCACGTTTATCAGTACAAAAATGAGATGTGCACTTCGATGGTAAATTTACTGGCTGGTTTCTTGTTGTTCGATGTACAAAATGTTTGAAAAACATCCTCACTCCTCTGTTGGCGGCCATTTTGTACCAAAATCGGATTTGATTGAATTTGATTAGCAGATGATCAGAAATTTTAACTCGGTTTTCAGTACTAACTTTTAGGACAACTCGCTGTAATAGATAGTTTATTCATGTACATACTAAGGATAATGAGTATATCGGTAAAAAGCTGCCAGATTAGGGACATTCGTAGAGGAGGATCAAATGAAATTAATTAGTGTGAAACTACTCAAACAACTGTAGAATTAGTGGAAAGAAAGTTAGAAAAACGGAGAGCAAGAGCCGAAAGGACAAAGAGATGATTGAGAGTTATTTTATCTTTATCATTAAAATCATGAGTTCAATGGCAAATTTAATTGCTATTTTCCTGTTCGATGCATCGACGAAGGAAAATCCGATTATCTAAACTCCGAAACGTCTGAAAAACCTCCCCTTCTTCGTTAACAACCATTTCGTGCAGAATCAGATTAGATCAGATCAATGAATGTTTATCGGCTCGGATCACACCACAGCGGATCAAACACACACAGTTAATCCATGTTCAGGATGCTCACTGCAACGATCATTGTACTGGCCCAAGCGCCATTTTCAAAACATATAAAAGTATTTTGCATAATTCTATGATAAACTTGTGACTATTTCGCCAAAATACCAGGAAAATGATTGAAACGGTCAGGCAAAGACAACAAAATGCTGTAAACTTTAAAAATTGCTACGAAAATCTTTGTGCTTTACAAGGCTCTTGCCCGATGAGTGTCGTTACAGCTAACCTCGAAGATGAAGCTGTCGATTTAAATGCTGATAGAATTACGCTTCAAGACTGGGATCCGATTTTAAATGCAACTAAAATCAATAAAAACTTGAAAACAATTGCTGTAAGAAGTTACTGGCAGGAGAAAATGGATCCTAGAGAGTCAGGTGCAAACTTTAAAATTTCGATCCACGTAATCTGTTTATCCAAAGTGATGAAAAAGTGGCAATGAGAAGGGATATTCTGACTTAAATTATGTCTAAGTTAAGAATGTTGCTTTTAGTATGGCATTTGATTTGTTTATGACTGCCAAGAAACGAGGAAACTGTTTTTTTGTGAGTTGTACGTACAAATAACAAGGTGACCTAAAGTTGTAGCAAATTATTTTCTGGTTTATGGTGTTTTATTGACTAGGATCACCAGTATTTTGACAAAAATTACAAAAAATTTTGACCTCTCATAATTAAGAAAGTACAGCCTTTGTACCTACCCAGATTGCTATTGTATCAGTGACTTTACAAAAACTTGTTTCTGTTTTTAGATTCCTCTTGTGGACAAATATATCGAAAAAAGATACCACATATTCGATCAAAAGAGCTAACTTATAAATTATGCAGGTCCAATTGATATAGCTCTTTTACTCATATGTTCCATTTAATTTGATTGTAAAGTTTTGATCTTTGATTATTTATAGAGCCCTAAAAGAATGTTTGTGCTTAACAGAAGCTCTTGAGGTCTTAATATTTCAAAATATACCTCTAAGGCAAAGGGATCTCAAATGTTTTTCAAAGGTTACAGTGGATTATTTTCATAATTACTATAAATTATATTTATTGATTAATAAATTTGTGTTGTACGTATAGGGAATTTCTTGTAACAAAACCTTAAAGCACCTTTCTTTTGAAAACTGCCAAATTGGTGATTGTGGACTTGAAGGTATGTATACACACCTATAAGCAGAAGTATGCAAGCATCTTACTATATATAAGTAGAGCTATTTGCTGGAATTGGTCATTATAGTAAAGAAGGCTCTGACTTTCCCACTAAACCCATTATTTAACACAATATGATGTTTTTGTTGTAAAATGTTCATTATTTTTATCATTGCTATGTTCTGTGTACATTGTTTACCATTGCTATGTTCTGTGTACATTATTTACCATTGCTATGTTCTGTGTACATTGTTTACCATTGCCATGTTCTGTGTACATTGTTTACCATTGCTATGTTCTGTGTACATTGTTTACCATTGCTATGTTCTGTGTACATTGTTTACCATTGCTATGTTCTGTGTACATTGTTTACCATTGCTATGTTCTGTGTACATTGTTTACCATTGCTATGTTCTGTGTACATTGTTTACCATTGCTATGTTCTGTGTACATTGTTTACCATTGCTGTGTTCTGTGTACATTGTTTACCATTGCTATGTTCTGTGTACATTGTTTACCATTGCTATGTTCTGTGTACATTGTTTACCATTGCTATGTTCTGTGTACATTGTTTACCAGTGCTATGTTCTGTGTACATTGTTTACCATTGCTATGTTCTGTGTACATTGTTTACCATTGCTATGTTCTGTGTACATTGTTTACCAGTGCTATGTTCTATGTGCATTGTTTACCATTGCTATGTTCAACATATTTTTGTTATGCTTTCTATAAATTTAGTTTTGAGTATGGCCATCAGAAATTGTTTCTCGTTACAATCATTAAATCTGACCGGATGTTGCATCACTTGGCATGGGGCTGAAATTCTAGCCAAGATTATCAAGGTATATTATTTATCAAATTTTAAATATAACTGCTTTAAAAAGGGTGATTGGGCAGATAATAAGAAATTGTTTGTTTGATGTACTTATTAACAAGCAATTTTGTTTGGCTAATATAAATGTATATTAGCATTAACAAGTTTTTCAGTCCATGAATAGGGAACATGCTAGAATTTTATGATGTATGTAGAGCTATTTTAGCTGGAATTGGTCTCAATGATAAAAACCCAAATCTTTCACTTTGCCAGTCATCGTTGGCTGGCGATTGGGAGTAGGCATGTTTAGCTGTTATCTAAAAAAATTTTTTTGCTTTTTGCTGAATGTGCCTGGTCTCTTTGCACCCTAGTTGATGGACCTCGTGGGTCTCACAATGAAAATTTTCCACAATTTTAGAATCAAGCAACAAAAAAGTGGGGTTTAGCATGGCAAACAGTTTGCGTTATCGTGTGCCTGACCTAGATAGAATGTCTGGATTGAGAAGAATCACCTTGTGTAAGAACAGTTTATTAGGAGATAAAGGTGTTGAAGTACTGACTGAAGCTTTGAAGGATGATTTGTGGCTCAAAGGTAAAATGGTTTATTTAACTTGTGTCAACAGTGACGGTGTGTTTTACCCACCGAAAAAACATTAACTTTTCAGTTAAAGCATAACCAAATGCACAAATACGTTTCTACGTATAATTAAAGCGTCTTTTCTATGTACTATTCAATATGAATTTAAAGTTTACCAATGCAATCTTTAATTTTTGCAGCTTTGGATTTGCAGCAATGTGGTATTTCAAATAAAGGAGCGCTTGCATTTCAGTCATTGTTAAGATGCAACAAATCACTGGTTGTCGTCGACGTAAGGATAAATCCTTTAATAGGTAAAATATAAGCAAAGAAAGGGTCTATGTTTAGTGCACGTTACAATAGAATATACTTAGAATTTGCACAATTTGAGATTATATTTACCTCTTAAATCGGAAAACCTTAAAATCCCAAGTCATCGCATGCGCAGTAAAGCTCCTTTGTAAGCAGTGTGCGAATTAACGGTGTGCAATGTGCAATTTGCACATCGTTTTAGCTAAAATGAAAACAATTGCACATAACTTTTTCAAACGATGTGCAAAAATCAGCGGTTGTAACGAAAAACACTGTCGTAAATCATATGAATTTGTTCACGTTTGAAAATATTAATTTAGCAATTAGCGCAGTATAATAATTAACATAATATCGATTTGATTATGTCTCTAAAGAAACACTTTTGTCAAAAAAATTGCACATCGTTTTTTCTGAACTAATTCGCACACTGTTTGTAAGGAATCAGCATTTCGAGTTTGTGCCATGCTGTTCAAAGATACTGAAATATTTTACACCATATTGTTACCTCATGATAGAAAGAAATAATAATCCCTAAAAATGGCCAAATTTAGAGAGAGGGTCTTAGAACAAACTTTTTCTGTTTGGCCGTCTCTCTAAATGTTTTACATTCAAATTGTTTTCTTTTGTTGTATAGAAAGAGAACTGGTGACATCCATTACACAACATGTTATAGCTAATTCTGGTCATGGGGAAACTGAGGTATGTAATATACCTGCGTTTGTTTATGTCATTTATACCAGTATTTGAGAAAAAGGATGTTTAGTTAATATGTAGGTAAATATGTCTGCATGAACAAACATAAACAAGTAGCTCTTCACCATGTAACTTTGCATTAAAATGAGAAATAAGATTCTATATACAAATGTTTTGTGTTTAAAACACCGAAGAAAATTTGAATGTCTTCGGTAAATTTAAATGGCGAGACACAATAATCAGATCACGTGGTTGTTTAAGAGTAGTATTTTATATCTCGTTGATTATTTTTATATTTTTCGCACATATTTCATAATTGTCTTTTACTCACCCAGTATCCATGGCTTCGTACCAAAGGAACAGACTCTCCAGCAACTAGAACGAAAAAAAATAAAAGAAGAAAATCCAAAAATGGATTGTCAAGAGAAGGCTCTTCAAAGTATGACTTTTGGATTTTTGATCATTTCACAGCAAACCGTAATACTAGTCAAATTTTAAGTTTCTTTTTTATAGGTATAAAAAATCCTATTCATCAAGCAATAGATCTCGAACATATGGCATTCCATGGAGAACTGCAGAGAGAGTAGGCCCAAACAGGTTTGAAATATTTCAATGTTTTCATACGAAACTATGTATGTTCGTATGTTTATAACTTTTTTGTCATTATTTCATGTATTTCATGTCCTCAGAAAGTAAATATTTTTTGCACATACTATTTGTGAACGTGTACGTATTTCAATTTTAGACATAAGAAAAATGAGACTTGCCCATTTGCTTATTTACAGGTACGTAATTTAGATTTTCACGTCGTCTACCTAAATATATCTTTTGAAAGCACAATTTTTCCATCCGAAATGGCTAAATGTGCTCATGGCGCTTTTTATAGGACCTCTCTGCTTCACTAAATACAACTACAAACGTGACTGTTCGGCAAAACTTAAAACATCATAAATATCCATGATGCCTACATACCTACAAACATAGTTCGTATTTACAGCTTCATTTTTTTTCAATAACAAGCTAGATGAGGCTTTTAAAAAATCGATAAATTTTTCAACATAAACATGTTTTGAATCAGGTAACATTAAGTAATCTTATATAGTATTTTATATAAAAATTTTGTCATTTTCTTTTATAAGGCCTCGTTAATCTTGTGTTATTGAGATCCTAACAAGCAAATCTTTATGCCTTAGCTATGCTCATATTGATCACGCTTCCTTTCTCATGCACCGTTTGTCTATTTATATATATCATTTTTAGGACAAACATGACGTTTTGGATAAATGTAACAAAAATAATAATAATACAGAGGAAAAACCTGCAGAAAGTGACGATGAACTGTTTGACTTAGCTGGTATACAGAAAGCTTCATTTTCTTCTAAGATTTATGCATTCTTTTTCATGTCTTCTTATCAATTCTTTTCAGAGCAAACTTGTGGTTTCTTATCCGAAAGAGTGCGACAGTTGGAAGTAAGTCCACTTGCATTTTTATACAAATTTTCCGTTATCATACGTAGCAATAAAGCGTGGTTCCCGGTTATTATATTGTAATGCGTCCTTTTCAATAACGGTTAAAGTGGGAGGTGAGACGATTTAAATCAAAGAGGATACTTCTATAACATACTTGCAAGAATTTAAGTTACAACGATTGAAAATGAGTTTACGTAATTAAGATTGGATAACATAGATCTGAGAAGCGGATAGCATGCCACCATCGTCATGAACAGTTACACTCGCATTATTGCAGTTTAACTCTTCAATGTGAAAAATTCAAAAACAAGGCATTTGATCAATGATTTGTAACTTCGCTCTGTTTTTTATTCATTAGCTTTAGGCAAGCGACTGTGCATGCTGGAAATGTTTCCATCATACAAATTTTCCGTTTTTGCCGTCTCTGAAATTCCGAACAGGACATGCCAGTTTCTTTGTTGTTACAGCAAATCTTTGTTCGCTCTTTTTTCCCGGATTGGCCCCAGAAATCTCTTTTTTCTGTTGCCATTTAATGTACGTATAATGGACTATACAAACATTACATGTTTCAGATTGGGTCATTTAATGTACGTATAATGCTCTATACAAACATTACATGTTTCAGATTGAGTCATTTAATGTACGTATAATGCTGTATACAAACATTACATGTTTCAGATTGAGTCATTTAATGTACGTATAATGCTCTATACAAACATTACATGTTTCAGATTGAGTCATTTAATGTACGTATAATGGTCTATACAAACATTACATGTTTCAGATTGAGTCATTTAATGTACGTATAATGGTCTATACAAACATTACATGTTTCAGATTGAGTCATTTAATGTACGTATAATGGTCTATACAAACATTACATGTTTCAGATTGAGTCATTTAATGTACGTATAATGCTCTATACAAACATTACATGTTTCAGATTGAGTCATTTAATGTACGTATAATGCTCTATACAAACATTACATGTTTCAGATTGAGTCATTTAATGTACGTATAATGCTCTATACAAACATTACATGTTTCAGATTGAAGTAGAGTTTCTTAAACATTGTCTTGAGGAGGAGAATCAGAGAAGACTGCAACAGTCTGAGATGGTCTTAAAGGTATTCTTTCAAATTTAACTTACGTTTTTTCATGAAAAAAATACATTCCTTTGTTGTGAAAAAATTGATATCATTCATTCTACCCACAATAATGATGATGTACTAGAAAACATATACTATAGAAACCAGTTTTTTTTTACCAGTAAAAGCAAACTGACTTTATGTTCTATAGCTTCAATTGGAGAATAGAGGACTTCAACGAGAAATTGAACTTTTGAGAGCGGTCGGCACGGTTTGTGTTATTGTGTTTCATATTATATTTTATTGGACATTGGAAAGCATTTTTTTGATTGTTAGAAGCCTGGAAATGATCATTCTCATAACTTGGCTCCTACGGAGCAACATCAACGTACGTGAAGAGAATTACTTTCTTAAAAAAACATATGCGTATATAGTAGGTACATTTAGAGAACCATTTATTTATAAAAGAAAACATGTTCATCATACGAAGTTATAATGTTTACATTTTATTTACTACTTTGTTGCTAAGCTGAAATCAAGTGTTATACTTAGTTCTGTACTACACGAGTCCTTAAACGTATCTTAAATGATTTAATAAACGCTCGCTTTCTCACGATAGCCTCCATATCACTAATGCCTACTTAAACTGTCTCTCGAACAATTTCTCCCCCCCCAGTTAATAAAAACTCTCTTCCCATGAAAACTACATAAGCTGGAGACTGTTATAATACCATGAATCAATGCATTTCTCTTCTTGTTTAATTAATACTAATGAGTGTAGTAGAGATTTAGGTAGGATTTTTTATGTTCTTGATCGTTGTGCTTTGGATCTCAGCAACTTCGAAAATTTCCATATTTTATACATTGTAGGTAACCTGTTCCTCTATAAATGTGACACAATGAATGACAATATTGTATTTTGGCTTCAAATGGTGCATCTAATACCACTTCTTATCGCCATGATTTGATGGAAATGTTATGATTTTTTTAGTTTCAAGAAATGACTTACTTGACGACAACGTTTTGGAAAGCATCGAAGCATCTTTTAAACAGTTTCACGCGTTTTTAGACATGTTTAACGGATCAGAGTAAGTTCATCATAGCACTGCTGTATTGTAGTCGAATAATTTGCAAATTAAATTGAATAGCAGCCACCAAGGCCGTAACTAGAACGCTAATTGGGGGTAGGGGGTGGTGTGTGTATTCATATATTCAGTTGTGCCTGACTAACTTCTTTTAAAAAGTGATTTGGCTTTCCAGGGCCGTAGCGTTATCTTTAATGGCTGTGGAACAGCAGAAGTTTTGAAACAGGCCATTAATAATAAACTTCTAAACCCCAAACGTCTAGCTTAGGATTATTGCCAATACCCCAATTCTCCCCACAACAAACTTTACACCGTCAAAAGAAAAATAACATTTCCATTTTGTTGGAATTAGATTACAAGATATGCAGAATTTGCTTCATGAAATGCGATTAGAAAAGAAAGGAAATGAAATCCAGCATGCAGGCAAGCGCTCGCAAACGAGCATCTAAAAATGACTAAATAATTCAATGTTATTTTTATAAAATATCGTCAAAAAACAATGGTTTTATCATACGTAACATGATGTGGAGCGTTAATGTTTAGCTTGCTGTGATTGACATAAACAGAATGGTGTATTTTTGACGATGTTGATGTTGCGTACGATAGCTATTCATCAATTTATATCGTTGTTTTTTGCTGTTCATAAATATTGTAGTTTAAAACGTTGTCATTCATATTAAGGGCTACCTATATAGATGAAAAAGGAGACCTTTTGAATTCAACCCATTGCTCATTTCAACGTTCAAAAACAATTTATCCTCAGCTTTATATTTTTTCTTTGCATCAGACCTCACAACTCACTCGGATTTATCGAATAGTAAAACAAATCTCCACATCATCCGATTTAGGATTATTTTCAGCTCCCCGATTTTAATTTTTTTAATTATTTTTTTCTGAATGTTCTTCAACATTTTGTGAGCTTAATTATATCTTCCGTCATATTTGATAAACCATTTTCTAAAAAATCAAGTTAGCCAGTTTTTCGATGTGATCGTCAATTTCCACTATTTATGCTAATAGTAATCAAGGTAATAAGTTACCGTCGAAGTTCTGCTACGGATATCTCTGACATTATTATTACAAAGATTTTGGAAATGCTCCGCGAAGATTGTAGTCATATGCGTTTATTTATATTAATGTTGGCAATTAATAATATGCGCGTGTTATCATTAAAAAAAGTTGCGCAAAGGTGTTGTGATAGACAAGAAAAATCAATGTATGAACTAACATAGCTCGAAAATCTTTTTATTGAATTATATATAATGTAAACATATTTTCAAGAATAGTAAGTTGCATTTACAATGGTAGTCTCCTATGTTATTGTGATATAGTTTGCGTAAATTGATTGCCCATAGTTTACATATATTGGCTAAAAATCAAAATTACAATATTTACATTTGTGTAAAAAATTATGAGTACAAAAAAAGTATGTAAAAAATAATACCAAGTTGTGTTACTGAATTTAAATGTTACAGAAAGTGAAGGTTCTTTATATAAAGTAGTCAAATGATAGTAAGCTGTTTCCATTTTACATACAAAAGATAAAGGTTGAGAAAATAGGAACGTTTACACAGAAGATGATACGATTTTATTTCTCCTGAGTTCGTTTACTTCGTCAGCAACACGAGGTTTTCGCAAGCATCGAAATTGGACATCATTGCATGGACGATATTCAGGCATTGTTAATATTACTAAGACTGGATTTAAAGCTGATCCTCCAAGATACAAAGGTACCCCTATGTGCCATAGTAGTGTATTCAGGTGTTGTCGAGCGTACAAAATTATCAAATGGTGTATAGATACAACACCAAATGTTATCCAACATGATGCAATTAATGCAATCAACAAATATGTGATCCTTTTGTTATTACTAGAATGCTCATTTTCCGAATCTCTTGCAAGGACCTGCGAAATCCTTCTAATGACTGTGAGATAAGCTATTGTCGCTATCAACATTGGCGATAAAAGAAGGCAAACTAGCAACGTCACGTGAACACGCATTCGTAATGGGCTGGTATAATGTGGATCACATACGCCACCTTCGTCAAAGGCATACACACCATCATAAAACGGCACTGTGCAAATAAAGAAGCTTACGATCCAAATGGCTACGACAATTATCTGGCATGAGCGCTTTGAAAACTGTTTTAGTGGATATGTCGTCACTTGCCGTACACGCATGATTGCGAGAGTGGATATGCTTAAAATGACTACTCCCTGGAATGTTTCACGTATAGGTATGATGTAGGTACAGAATGCATTATGAACACCATGGTAACCTTCTAGATACTCGAATAAATGGAAAGGTATAGTAAAAATTATCAACCAGTCCGCTACAGCCATGCTCAAGACAAAATAATTGCTATAATGCTTGATCATGTTTCTTTTATGAATACCATAGATTAAAACCACGGAGTTTGCGAAAAAACCAATGACAATTATAAAAATTAATGGTACAAGTTGATATTTCTTGATTAGCTCGATTTTGTCGTTAGCTGGTTGGCCAGTGGCATTCGGTGTGCCGTTACTCATTTTTGCTTCCATTCCTGCAATAAAAATTACGATGATCATGTTTTTTGGCTGTTATAAATTCGCCAATAACGTTGAGGCTACTGTTACATTTTCTAACTAGTCATCAGAATGCCCGTTTTCTCTTCCAAATGTCACAAGTGAAAATCGTTATGATCTCAAAGACTTTACTTTTATATCTTCGTCTTGATAAAAACCTTATAAACCTGGGAATTTTCTGTCTTGAAAAGTAGATTTCTCGTTACATTAACAACAGTAGACAGCGGTTTGAGCTGCAGAGTGCATTCTTTAAAAAGTGATAAATAGAGCTATTTTTAACCGATCAAGAAAGTTTACTAAATATAATATTCGAGAATTTTCTTTCTGTGTAAAAGGTATTCCGAAAACGACACTAACACTGATTAAATAAATCAAAGGAATCAAAAATATTGTAAGATGTTTAACATTGTAAGATATTCAAACGTTGAAAAATATTGTATTATAAAGAAATCAAAAATATTGTAAATATCTTTAATTATGTTTACATTGCAAATATTTTTCTTGGATGGAATCAATATTAACGCAATTCACCAGCTAATTATCATGTTATTAAGACATTTATAAAATATAAACAACAAAAGGCATGCGCTGGTGCATAGCTGTGTTTGTATTAACCTGTGCAAACCGATCTCAGCTCAACCGATCAAATCAATCAATCAGTATTCATTTTTGTTTTCAAATTGAAGAAACCAGTGAATGTGAATATTTTGAAGTAGAATAAAAATTCAAATCTCATATTTAAGTTCTAAAGACCGTCCCCTTCTAGAATAAACAACAAATCTATGATTCTTCAAGTTTTTGCTATTGCAGGTATTGTGCATTTTGCATGAATTATTAAAATAATTAAATTCTTACACACCAGTGGGACTTCTTTTCTATGTAAGTTGCGGATCATCATTTCCCAGAAAATGTTTGTTTTTTAAGAAACTTTTTATTAAGATTTAGTTTTGATCTTCATGTCATCTTTCCAAAACTTAGTATCAACTTTCGTTATGTGTACATTTAAAGAAACACATTTTGTCACATGGCCATTGCTCATTCCCAAGTGTGTTTGAAACAACTTTTGTAAAATTCCATTAGTCAATTTTGCTGTGAGCGTCCAATGAATTTTTAAGAACACAATGTAAATAATTACTTTATTGTTAAAGTCATGACCAGGGGCATAAATGTGAGGGTGTCACACACACCCTACAGCGATATAACGCAGTCGGTCTATTGGAGCAGTCATGAAATCTGTGTCATACCAAATATTTACGAAGAACCAAATTAAAAATTACAAAGTTAAATATAGTGTTTGTGTCAAAGAAAAATTGCAAAATAACCACCTCTCTCGACTATATACGCGCTGAGAAAGAAATCTGATTGTATTAGAGTTAGCTTCGCAAAACGCCATACTTAACAACGTTTGAGTTTTATGACATAAGACTACGTTTGGTTTTGCTACGGTTGAATTTTTGAAAAGGCGATGGGTCGGTCTCATTTGGGACTATGCAGCACCTCCCAGCCAAACTAATTAAAAACATAGCTTCTTTTTATGAAATATTTTGTACATACCGAGTATGATTATAAATGAAAGACTGGAAAGATAGAAGAATTAGGAGTCGCCTGAAAGGTTAGGTGACCTATAGGAGTATTGATCTATTTGGTTACATAGCAACGCGAAGTGATGGCTTCAGAACTGTTTCATGTCTTTTTTTTTACATTGCTAATTAATTAAAAGAAAACAATTGATTTTTAAGTAATGAACATGGTAATTTTTTTTTGAAGTGATATGGTGAAAGAAAAAAACTCAACAGACTTTTGAAATATTAGAGCTCAGTGTGACACTTGGCAAACATATTGAACACTACCACAAACGGTAAATTTAAAAGCTCATCCGTCAATTTTTCTTGTAGTTTTTCCAGATTGTTCCATCCTGAACATAATGTATAAATTTTAGTTATCAATGTATTTGATTTAATCCTTGTGATGTGTATTGACGTAGGAAATGTTGCACAATTGCCCTTGGCATTTATTAATTATCAATTGGAAAATTACAAAAATTTATTCGATTCATTTTGCCTTAATTACGCGTACAGAGCTCTTTTTTGTGGCGATATTACGATGTATAAAATCAGTCAATAAAAGTTGATTAAAAGTAAAATGTACAAACTAGAGAAATCATGTAAGTTGCGCTTTGTATTGCACAATAGATGTTAAAATAACAAGTGAAATATGGCATCTACTGTAACATCGTAACGTCCTGTTATTCTTTTGTGATAATGAGTCTGGATAAATTTCCTGATTAATTTTTCATTTGTCACGAAAAAAAATGAACTAGAAACGTACACTGCAATTACGCATATGTGAAACAGCGTTAAATTACTTGAAATACGTAAATGGTTCAGTGTCAATTGAGAAATTTTGGCAAAAATTCCAACCTTGCGTTGAATCAATGCTCTCAAATTACATTTGCTATTTTAATCATTTTCTTCTTGCCGATTACAATCTTTTTAGTTATAGTTTTGTCTGAATAAATGGTCAAATTTTTGACCTCGTAACTGTCCTGTACTTATCAATAGAAAAATTACTGCGTGATCATAATGATCCAATATAGACTAAGACACACAAACTTTGCGCAATTGTAGACCACGAACACATAGCAGTGATAGCATCTGAAGTAAAGTATCATCAAAAAGTTTGTTCAGCAAAATCTATTTCCCTCGTCAGGAATATTTAAGCATCAAAATCTGTCAATAAAAAGAATCGTGACGAGGACTGTACACTATACTATATTTTTCTTATACTGTTTCGAAATTTTGGCAAGTAGATTTGAAATTAGTTTTATCCAATTAAAGGATGAAGTCTGAAAGCAAAATGATCTTATTCAATAAAAAATGTGCCGGGAGAACACTAATTTTCATTTAAAACTCTCTCGGCCAATGTGAAACAAAAGAAAATCCTGTACATAACGCTATGATAGACCGTATCGACTATTGATACCTTTACTTTGAAAATGTATATAAAAACAAAAATGTTGCCAAATGATTTTTCATTTTTCATACACATTTTTTAAAAATCGTGTTTTACACCACAAATAATAAATACCGTAAAATTCGTTTTAGTTCATATTATAGTTATCTTGTGGTATTATGATGCGTTTAATCATAATTTGGAATCATGATAAACTACAATTTTGACGACTGACCTGTATAAGGAATTTCCTTTATCGCCGCTTTACGTGATGGAATTAACCTAAGCTGCGCAAAATACTATTATGCATTGTTAAACCTTGAAAAATGCTATTTCGGATAGTTTTACCTATTAAAATAATGTTTGCAGTTTCTACACAATTGCTTGTTCTAAAGGAATATTCCTGTAACTTATGATTATGTTTAAATGAAGATTAACAATCCTGAGCAATGTGGTTTCCGTCTCTGAGCACGTTTATGCGCTCTATAACATAAGCGCATTATATATCATAACGAAAGCACGCAAACAAAAGTCGAAGATTGTCACACAATTGCATATTTATAAAATATAGGAATCTATTAATTCCGGTTTTATTCCTTTAAGGTAAAATATTTTGACTTGGCTGTCAACTTGCCATAATGTGTTTTTACTCTATGCTTACCTTGACTTTTTTTGAAACAGAGATCAGCTACAAGGTTGGCTTAAGTCCACAGATACTTCGGTATGTCACTAATAAATTCCGCACTCCTTACACTGACTTAAAATTACCAAAGCGCTGTGATTATATACGCGGTCAAGTTCATTACACCCCATAGGTCAAATTGAGGAGACCTGTCACTGAGTTTATTGAGTTTGATTACCAGAAAAATGTGGATTATTTTTCAAAACAAAGCAATGTGCGTCAAACAGGCTTTGACAGATCTTGTCACTTTAGTTTCCATGACGACTTACAATATCATTATGTACATTATCTCTATAAAGTACAACAAAATCATGGAAATCCAAGTAAAATGACAAGTCAAGTGCTGTGTTTGAACTAATATATGCTTTGTAAAAAGTCTTATTATAGGCTAATGACTACACATGGATCAACAAAAGTTTTTTACAGACATTGCAACATCAATTTCAGTATAGTTATAACAGATTTTACTAGTGATACTTATTACTATGAGTATTTCCTGACTTCAAGGAGAGTTTTTTGTAATCGTTACATTAATAGGTATTCAATAATGACTTTAATTTTAACACTTGGAATTTGTTGTTCTCACCTTTGTGCCAATTGTAAGGAGTTGAATCAATACTAAAACAAATGAAACAATGTTATTTCAATTTATCATCATAACATATGGTCTTCATGATCAGCTTGAAAACCTCCATTGTATCTTATTTCAATAAAAACTAGTCGAACTGCATAAACAAAAACATTTCACATTATAATTCCGTTACTAAACACGGTAAAACGCGCTTTGCATAAAATGAAATACTTGAGACGATAGTATGAAACTGGGCGTATATATTTATCGGAGGATATTTTACTTGCAAAAGCCTGTGTTTACAGTCCAAATATCTTTGTAATTCGTCCGAATAATTTCAGTAATATGGTGAAATTCAAGAAATTTCAAGATCTCCGAACACTAGATCAACAGAATCAATTCTTTACATTACAGTACATTATGGCCTGCAGCATTGTTTCTACAGAAAACAAAAAAAAAATACTTTGTCTGCCAATGTAGTAAATTTGCGCACGGAAACCAGCTTATCAGTTATTCCTTTTGCATTTTTTCGCTTCTTCAGATCTCTTAATTTTTTGAGTCGTGAAATGCTAAATATGTCAACAATTTTCACACCGACTACATGCATAGTATGGTTAAAATTACAAAAAAGACAGTACACCTGCTAACTGTTGAAAGAAGGTTAAATTATTGAATAGGTTGAACACACAATAATTGTATTAGATTGAAATCTAACTATGTGCAGTTATTCATGGTTTTTGCGTTTTGCTCATTTTATTTCTTGTGCCATCGTATTTTTTGAATCTCATTTATTAATTCAAAATAAATCATTTAGCACTCACAAAGAAAACGTATGGTATATGTATATTTATAATTTTATATATACTTGTATTTTATTATATCCTTGCATTTCCTGCTGAATGGAAGCAAAATTTCCCTTTTTAACGTCGGGGAATTATACGAGTCTGATCTACGAATCTAAATGGTACTTGTAATAACTTGTATTACGCCTGCCAACACCTGTTTGATGTTCAAGTCATTATGCTTTTTTTAGAAAATGGAGATTTAGTTCGATCATCTTGTAAACTGCCATATTATCTGTACTGTATCCTTTCATGAAAAGCCGAATCAAATTCTAAAAAGACATGAATTACAGTTAGTTGCTGCGCTGAAGACAGAAATGATAAATCTCCAGAAAATGAACGCAAATTTGCCACAACTATGCATTACAAAAAAAGACTGGAAAAAAACAAGCCAAGTAGCTACTACACACATTTCAATACGCTCACATTTTTCAAGAAGGTTGAGAAATCTTTTCAAGTCATCTGTTATTGCTGTTTGAATTTCTAAAGCAAAGGAAATTAGCTAGTTAATTGCAAAAAGTAATATAATATGGGACATTATGAGCTAATGACGCTCCGTGTGTCAAAATCTGCTCTAAATTTATGTCAGTGATGAAAATTTGCCAAATTCCTGTGTACACACGCATGCTGATATTTATTTATAAAAGTCTCTCTCTTGAATGTGATAACATTTGTAATTTTAACTATGACGTTGTACATTTGAATAGAATTATGATAGTAAATAGGCTTTTCTTGCTTGCCTCTGTCTAATAGACTGTTTTCGCAGAAAACCTACCTTATGGCTAGACTGTTTTCTTACTGAGTGTTTACATTAGGGATGTAAGTGATACCTGATGGTATTGGAACCATCTAGACTTCCTGAACTAAGTATTTTACGCTTGTTATTACAAATGTTTTGTGCCTACATTTGTTCATTTTGATTAATCTTAAAGGTTAGAATTTGCTCCTATTTGACATTTGTTTTATATTTAAACTAATTTTCAACTTTAAAAAATTTCTCATATTGACACATTCAAGAGGATTTTGTTATCTTATGACAATGCTAATTTTTATAGACTTTCTTCATAAAAGTAACACGACAATTCTCTTTAAAAGACTTCAAGGAGCATTCAGTTATTTATTTTGCAATTTAGAAATCATTTGGTTTTTTTGCTTGAAATAACTTAGAATACCTTCGGGCCTTTCGCATTGTAACCTTTGGTTGTGGATGTGTAAACATATTTTGATAGAGCTAAACCACAAACTTTAACAGTACAAAATGTAATTTATTTAATGTTTCTAAAAAATGCATCAACATTAAGATTCTGCAGTGTATTTAACTAACTCAATATACAAATGTTGAGTCATAAATAATACTTTTGCCATCACTGAGATTGCATGATACATTTCAATTGAGCGAATAGACAACAAAAAGTCTTCTTCTGCTTATTTAAAAGTATATGAAATGTGTTTATTCCATACATCGTCCTTACTTCGCATTTCTATGTCCTCTGAGCAATTCTAGGAGAAGCAGTTCATAGAAATACAAATAAAAAAAAATTCAGTCGATCTTTCTGCTTTGTGGTTGGTTTATTCTGACGAGTCTTTCAAACGGATATGAACTTTTTATCAAGGTGAAAACGATCTTTGGTTAATCCTGGCACTAACCGCCTTACCCTGGGTGAAACGGAAACTTAGATCAGATAATGCGATAAGATTCTGTGCATTTAAATTGCAATTATAGTTTCAAAAAATCTAAGATTAGGATTTAGAGAGAAGATAATAGTTTTGAAAATTGTGGGTGAAATGTCATTTCCCCTATCTTTAAAGTCATGAGTTAAAGTTTTGCTGCATTTGATTTATTAATAATATATAAGTGATGCTGGCACAACTAGGTAAAAGTTTAACCTATTATTGTTGACAATGTTAAACAACTCAAAATACTAGATCCTCCATTGAACATTTCATAATTTAATTACCAAGTGTCACGTTTCTTATATTAAAATTTCAATAGAGTTAAAAACGAAGATTACAGTTGCGCCTGTCAAGAATTTTAATTAGTAATTTTAAGTAAACGCCCAATATATCTGACTTAAATCCAATATAAAAATTAATAACCAGTAATGCCCGGGATATCCAGACACGCTAAACGAATACAAGACTCGAAAATTTTTCTCTTAGAAGTCCATCTCATGATGAAAATTTCTAATATCTTTAATCTGTAAAATTTCTTTATGAATTTTTTTATGAGTTTGATTTGCTTTTTATTGATGCTGTTTTCAGGTTATCCATTCTTAGATTTTGTTGTTTCTCAAATGATCCTTTAGTTTCAGCGACATAGCTGTATATGAAATAGACTTGCACATACTTTAACAATTTGCTCGAATTTCGAAGCTTTTTTGATATTGGCTATTTTTAAGTTTGTCTTTATAATCTAAAAGTGGGAACTGCTGGGTTATTCTTCATAACGTAAAATGAAATTGCTGCTTTTATATCTACCTCATCTACTCATTGTGAGCAAGATTTCAAGCATTTTGTAAATGTAGATCGTCCAGGTTGGTATAGTCCTGAGAAGGACTGTTTTTGTTGTTGTTGACTGACGTTTCGACTCTGAAGATGACTACCGCCAAGTTGACTGACGTTTTTGAATCTGAAGATGACTACCGCTAATGTTGTCGATACATTACATGTAACGATACTCCCGGGTTCAAACCATTTACTTTATTTCAAGCATAAATAAAAAGTTTACCATTTAGGCAGCATTGCACAACTAGGTGTGAAACTAGTTAAGATCTCAACAGACAGTGTTCATTGACATCAACTGTAAACAGCGACAATGGCTTATCGCCATCGTAGAGTTGTTGTGACTGGCTTGGGTAAATTTCTATTTTACTGTAAACAGTGGTTAGAATAGTTTTTAAAGCCCAGAATAATTTTTTTTCAATTTAGAAGCATATTTTCTTTCAGGTGTTGTTTGCTCGTTGGGTCAGGACGTTAAAGCTGTTTGGAATAAGATACTTGATGGGAAATGTGGTGTTTCAAGAATTATTAATCCAGGTATGATGGGAAATGATGTATTTAAGAATTATAAATCTTATTATGATGCTAACAGATAGTTCTAAGCCACAAGTTCGTATTATTCAATCTTTATAATATTCATCATTTATTATTATTTATCAAAATTTGTATTCTTTGTACTTTTTAGTAGTTATTCCGTAATCCATGCAAGATACATAATCTGCAAATTAGTCGAGGAACTTTTGCCAAATTAAATTTGCATGGTTATTAGATGTGAAAAATTGCATTTAATGCGAATGAATAAATTTTTTCGAATCCCACTTCCACGGAAAAAAATAATCATAATATATATATTGTTGTGTGTGAAGTATGATGTTCTAGCTCCATGACCAATCTTTGCCATTTTGCTAAAAGCATATTTTGGTAGTACCTCAGCTAGAAATCACATGAAATTGATTACAATTTATGGGAAAGTGGTTATATTACCATGCATATTTACGATCTGATCTGATTATCGCAATTGAATTAAATATCTGAGTCAGATGACAATCGTAGGATTAAAGAATACAACACCTACTAAAAAACTCTAATGTTTACCAACATGTACAAAATCCCCCTTGCAAATATACAAATACACTATTGAATTACCTTAGACACTGCTAAAACTTTACTTTCAATACAAGTTAAACAATGAAACAATGTTAGTTTTTGTTGAGGATAAACTGCTATAGAATGATTAACATAAGGCCTTATATAAGCTAGGATACTTCTGTTTGCATAGCAAATCTATTCAGTTACAAATGATAGACTAGAAAGTAGGAAAACAATCTAAAAAATTCTTAAAAAAAACCTTATTTCATGTCTGCTTAAAGTCATGAATTTATTTGTATTTTGTAGAATTCAACAATCTTCCTGTTAAAATAGGTGAGCATCATAAACAGGATTTCTGCTAGCTATTCATGAATCATATAAATATAAATATTTTTATGTTTATACCTTCAGCTGATACAGGGTTAGGTAAAATAATTATAACCATTCATTTTAAATTTAGAATACTTATATAACAATGTCATAATATATTAATCCTAACACGGTTTTAATATGCACATGAAAAACATGTGACTTGGACGAGATTTGAACTTGCACCTTTGAGTACTAGTCCGCAGGTAGAGCGGCCCCTTCGGGTACTAGTAGCTCAACAGGTAGAGATGCGGACTAGTACCCGAAGGTGCGAGTTCAAATCTCGTCCAAGTCACATGTTTTTCATGTGCATATTAAAACTATGTTAGGATTAATATATTATATATATTTTCTGATGATGGCTTTGTAACAATGTCATTGGTTGTTAATTTCCAAAATTAACCAATCATTGGGCTGTATTAAATCATTTTGCCAATAGCTGGATCCGCCCCTGCTGTTAATGTTAATTTATTGTTTATAAGAAATAAATAAAATACATATATTAAAAAATGTAGACAGTAAGGGACAGAAACAACCACAGTGAGCTCTTTGGCCTTGCTACACCAAAGTTATAAGAACAATAATATTTAAAACTGTTAAGTCCTCATTGCGAAAACTATGAAAAAAAATTAAAAACAGGCACGCGATGTGTACATGTAGCTACCTCTTTAAAAAAACAGGTACGCGATGTGTACATGTAGTAGCTACCAGTGGTAGCTACCCTCAAAACATAGAAAAACAGGTGCGCATTGCGTACATGCTAAAATAAATTGATTGTTTATAATGACAACCACAACTTGGAATGTCTAGATTTGATCGAAACATTTAATATTCTGCACATGCTGTTTATTGAATTATTAAGATCTTTTGTCAAACAACCTTTGATGAAGCCCAGAGCTCGTTATAGCCGGCGATGCAGGCTACCAACTCTTTAACATTTGTGAGATATTATGCTTTGATCATTGTCTTCTTTTCCATTGCTTTTTACAGAAGAAACTGTGATTTTCCCCTAAAATTGCTTTGGGTCGCCACTAAGCTGTTCAATTTTTTTATGTTCGTGCAAACGTGTCTGCTTTTACAGCATTAGCGCTCCCTTGTCTACAAAACACTTGACTACAAATGTCCCCCTTTGGCTGTAGCTTTCTTTAGACAATTCTGCCCTTTTCGACAATTTTCCAAATTGATTCTTGGTTTTGAACCATTATTTCACATTTTCCATTTCTGTCATCAACCACATAATTTCATAGACGAGATTCTGTCGACGGAGTGTTTCCGATACTAGACGTTGATAAGTTCGACAATTTCTACGGGATTGTGGGACTTATCTCAAAGTTAAAGAAATTATTGTTGGTGCCCTATAGGAGTTAGCCCTGTTTATTATCGGTTCATGCAAGCGGAAAATAACTGTAACATGATCAGTTTTTTTGATTGGGAAATTAAATGTTTCATAATTCACAATTTAATATTTTTCTTATTTTCTAAATAGACCCGGCCACTACGCTATTTTTTCAAATTTTGTAGCTGCTTCTGTATCACAGAGCAAATGGGCAAGATTTGTCCCTGAAGACTGGTTGGCTAAACTTAAGGTTTTATAAAACTTTATCTTTGATGTTGATAATGGCAGGGGGGGTAAACAAAAAGAGATGGGGTTGTCAGCCAAAACATTTACATTTAGAATTAAAAATTCTATATTCTGCACAAAGGCCATTGTTTACTCAATATATAAACATCAGCTTATATATCCATCTGGAATCTGAACAGTCGTATATCATTGATCATGACTTAGTAAATCGATTTCGCAATGTTCACCTTAAAAATCATTGTTCTTAAGAATAATTACTATAAAATTGTAATTATTCAAAATTCATATCATCTCATGTAGCTTACTGCTGACTGTTGATGAAATTAATAAAGAAAAACTATATTTTATAATAAAATAAATAAACAGACCTCTCAACTTAATCGTGTCACTCACGATTTTAAGCGTTATCTCACCATCTCGCTTTCTAGACCTCGTTTTACGCGATTTTCACATCTCTTTTGAAGAAAATTATTTGTTATACTGTCGTTGAACAGTAGTTCCTATTGTCAATTCATGGTTTCGTCTTTTACCTTAAAAGAATAGATGTATTTATTTATAATGATATGTTTTTTAAAACATTTGAGCTGACTTAAAACATTTTGGCATTGCCAAAAATTTCTCAAAATTTCTCAATTCTTTTGAATTAAAATGTTGGTGGGAAGGTGTTAGGATAATATAAAACAAATTCCGAAGAAACAAGACATCTTGAGATTGCAAAATATGAATCAAAACAAGACGAGATGTAAACTGTAAATTTTCGACTTTATTTCAAAGTCATCCTCGGACAGACTGACACTTAAAACCATACATACACATATATATTTACAACGCATGAAATAAGTAAACGGAAATAAGCCGTTAGGATAAGGTTAAGAGTTAGGGTAAGGTTAAGAGTTAGGGTAAGGTTAAGAGTTATGGTAAGGTTAAGAGTTAGGGTAAGGTTAAGAGTTAGGGTAGTGGGTTCTTTGAATTTCGCCTCTACCCGTACTATGAAACCTGTTATCAATTTGAGAAGTGTGTAAATGTTCAAATGACCATTGGTTATCCGTAATTACAAAATTATTTTAATGAAATTTGGCCATTTTCCTTACATAGGGTTTAATACATGCTATCCCATGATGTAGTTCACTGATAATTTTTCGTTAAAGTAGACATTTTGTTGATTGGACTAAATATCAAGATTATCAGATGTTCTGAATGTTGTATGTTGTCACATACCATATCGTTTTCGTACAGGATTGATGTAAGGCTCAGGTCATAATCCTATTATCTTTCAATTGGATTTGATTAACGGTCAGAGTTCATGTTTGAGCACGTGTGGTAAACACGTGAATGTTTACAACATTACGTAATTTCTTTTTCGATTTTATTCTGTGATATCAAAAACAAATGTTGTTTCTTGCGTTTTAAATGTTCACACGAATCGATTTATTTTATGCTTATCGACTGCTGACCTCAATCATAACCTAATCTGTTGCAACGTGAGGACTGGAATGTTTACTAAACTGGAAGGTTCTTTTTAATTGACCTCTTTGTGCCGTGTTTTTGCAGAAATATCTTATTTCTTAATTCAAGCAGTGAGAAATGTTTACTGATGTATCATGTTTTTGAAATAATTCCATTTCATAAATAATGTGAAACATGTGTTCCATCGTTTCATTAATTGTTTTGGCAAACAGAATTACATGCTGGCATTAATAATATTTTGCAATACAAATTGGTTGCTGTGGTATTTTGTCAGATACGTGTAGTTTAAAACCTGTTTATACATACGTACGCTTTTGGAAAACATTTAGGCAAGAAATTGAAATTTTAAACACGCCTACTCTTGGTGGTACATGCAAAACTTCATTTCTTTATCAATATTCATAAATTAAAACTAGGTTTAAGAGATGTGAACTCATTTGTTTTTGAAACTTGACCATATGAGTCAAATGAAACATGATGACGATAGAAACAATACAAACTTGCACAGTGAAATGCTCCGAGGTGCTCAAAGTAGATCTTGCTCAAAAAAGTTTAGATTGTACACATAGAAAGAGCCTGTTTACATGTTTTTGTTTAACTAGAATACAAATCATTTTTAATGTATAGCATCTGTGAGACTGAAAGTATTTATCTCGTTGTGGTGACGTCGTTTTCATTTTTCTTGACGTTGTTATGGAAAATTTAGAATGTCTATAAGGGAGTTTCTTGATGGACATTAGAGATTAACATTCTATGAACAGCTGCGGAAAGCATGGGTAACGTTATACCCTGCACTGTAGTTTGTCAAATGTTTTAGAAATCTCTTTAAAAAAATCTATTGCGTAAATTGTGCAATAAATAAATTGAAATTTTATCTCTAAAGTAGAGATCGTTTCATTTATATAACGCAGTTATTAAATTTTTTCATGCGCGTGAAAATTCGCTGTACTCGTCAGATAACGCTTTTTGGACATTGTAACGCATGCCCCCAGTTTATACGTGTAAAAGATTAACAAACTGACAACCTAAAGCTTGTGTAAATATAAAAATTAATTTGTAGCTAAGATTGTAAATGCTATGTAGCTACTATGTTTATGTTATTATATATTGTTTCAATAATCTCAGGGGCGGAATATATTGGGTTTATAGGAGAGACGAATAAACACAAATGAAGTTTTGTATTCATTTGCTGCTGCGTATCAAGCTTTGAACGACGCAGAATGCGAAGACTTCTTATGCAACTGGACAAGTTCAACTGTAAGCTTTACACTAAGTGTTGAGTTCGTGTTACTCGCCATATTTCTTTTTTGTAGTACACTTTACACTTTCAGTAGCAACTTCAAGTGAACTTAATAAACGAACTGATTTTATTATTTTACAGAGCAGTATTTATAGTATTCATTACAAATAACAAATATTATCATTGGTCAGAATACGTTCTTCCTCTATTTAATCTATATATGGTACATAAGGAAATTTAACTAACGTCAATAAGTGTTTCTTGGCTGTTAACCGTGTGTGAACGGATACACTGGTAAACTAAACTACGTACATGCTATTTCCCTTAACGTATTTTTGTGGTTTATGAGCACGACTCAACACTGAGCCATGAAGATGTTCAGTTGTGTTTTGTTTCCATGTTCATTCGTCAAATGATAAGAACTTGTTTTTTTTTAACTCTGATGTTATTTTCAATCATGGATAATTAACGCTTAATCTTGATTTTTTGTTAGGGCGTGGCAATTGGAAACTCTTTGACAAATTTGAATGGAATTCTTGCTGAAGGAAGAACATTTTATGAAAAAGTACTTGAAATTTTCCTGTACCTTCTCATGTGATGATATTTTATTTCAATTCTTTGAGTAGAGGTTGTGGTAACTCTCGTTTGTGCATAACTTCAAGATATTGTGCATGATCGAGTGTTTGGGAAAAAGCACGAACATAGTACTATAACATTTTTTAACATTTTTTTTGACAAGATAGAACAATTCTTTATGACTACGCCTAGTGACGTGTTTCCTCTTTAGTTATTTGTTGTCTTTTTTTATTGAATTTTAAATGTTTCTTTCAAACTTTTATATTGCGAGTATTCACATTAACTCTCCTTTTATTATTGCTCACCAAAATATCATTACGTATTGAAATGTTTGAAATGTTTGAGTAAAAATTGCAAATTCTCGTTTAGGGACCTCGGAGGATAGATCCATATTTCATTCCTAAAGTATTGTTAAACACTCCATCAGCGATTGTTAGTATGCAATATGGTTTTCAGGTAAGATTATAAATTATTCATTTTTGTGACGCGTCATGCAATTTATTTGTGAAGGTAATGAGTATCTAAGTATGGCTGTTGAAAGTCTCTTTGTGGAGGCATGATTTTGCGTCTGCATCAAAACAACGTTGATATAGTAGCAATATTTGATTTCAAAAGTCTTTTTTATACAACTTGCATCTAATTATGTGAAGCAATTTGTCCTATTTAGTCAAGCTGAAAGTGCACAATCTAAGACTTTAACTCGTTATTTTTCTGGATAAATTCTGCCATCCGTAGAAACCCTCTTGGATTGGCTCTTATTTGGGGGCCTTGTCATTTCAACTGTCAGGGTACAGCCTGAAATCTATACCTGCAATTTTTGGAAATTAGACTAAGAGTCTCTAAAATGCATTTTTTGCATTTGAGATTTCTATTTCACTGTATTCTGTACAGTTTACACAAAATATATTTTTTAGAAACAAGTTAATTTCAAGTTAAATAATTTCTTCAATTTTAGTCCTATTTATTACTATACAGGTTTGTGTGCGAAACCCTCTTGGGGGTAATAAACATTTCAGTGATTCTCTGTAATATCTTTCGTTAGAACTTTTTTAAGTCTGGGTTTTCACTTTTGAAAGGGTCCAAATCTTGCTCCATCAACTGCATGTTCAGCCGGAGCTAATGCTATTGGTGAAGCCTTTCGCCTTATAAGGAATGGTGACGTTGATCGTATGGTGACTGGTGGAACTGATGCAGCTGTTTTACCCTTAGCAATAGCAGCATTTTCAAGGTATTCAAGTCATTGTCTTTTTTCATGTACAATCATAACACAAGATTCATGCATCAAGCATAAAAAAATTTGGTTGAATCAATTACGTTATGTTAAGTTGCGATGAATTTAGGATTATTTGTTTGCCTTTGCAAAGCCCGTCTTTTACTCCTACACTGCAAATATTTTTGCGTTCAATCACTGAAAAAGTTTGAATCGATTTAATTTTTTAAAGAACTAAGTAATAATATTTTTGAAAATTTGCATTGAGGAGTTACTTATGTTGTGCTGAAATGGCAAAAGATTTCTTTGAAAAAATTATGTTAATTTATTGCTCTGCTTTTCTTGTGGACGCAGTGAAAAAAAAATGGGCATGAGCTCAACAAAATTGAAAAAAACTCGCACAATTTTGCTTTACTATATTCTGAATTTTGAATTCAAATACAACTTACGCTTTCAGGAACTCTTAAAGTTTATAATTTCATTCATTATTTCGTTTTTCTTTTTATATAGAATAAATGCTTTAACTACCAAATTCAATGATAAACCAGAAGAGGCCTCAAGACCGTTTGACAAACATAGATCAGGTTTTGTTTTGGCAGATGGGGCGGCAATCTTACTGCTTGAGGTAACCTGTCTGATGGTCCAAACATTCTAAAACAGACTTTGTTATAAAATCTAGCGTAGAACTTTGTACAGGGAACAGTTAAATTATAATATTGACAATCTACGAGGAAACAAATTAGTTTTATGGTTATCACAGTAGCTAACAACTACCGCGGACTCGAGTCTGTTAAACGTGTTACTCGATCCTATTAGCAACAATGGTTATATGCTAAACAAAACTGTCACCCGAAACCCTAAACGGTAGAGCTCTATATGAGTGAAAAATGTCAACTATTGTCACATGTAACGGGTTGTAGATACCATGAATGAATAAATAAGTATCAACTATGGTCAGGTGTTCTGGACATGCGTTGCTGTAAATAAATGCTACATTGTGGTACACTGGCTTTTTTAATGCTCAATTTACCAATAAACTTACTTTTATCTTTATCAGGAGTATGAACACGCTAAGAAAAGAAATGCGAAAATGTATGCTGAAATTATAGGTTATGGTTTATCAGGTAAAATGTAGAAAACATTTTGTCACCAACAAAAACTTTTCAGTAAATCTTCTCAAATAAGGTTATCGTAATATGTCTAACACAAATAACTCAGGCCTAATCCTAATCCTAACTCTAACTCTAACCCTGCTCTACCCTCTTTGAAAATAAGTGCAGTATTTTCTGTGGTTTCGCTGTACTATCAAACAGGCCAAAGCCACTTAATTGGAGTTGATGGAGGAATGAAAAAACTGTATGAAACATTGTATGATTGTTGATTCAAATTAAAAGTTTAAAAGCAGTGTTTTTCAGACATTGTGCACTATCCTTATATCCCTTGTCTGTCTTAAAAATACTGTGTATTTTTATGCGAATTTTTAGCAAATAATGATTGCAAAACCATCGGGTGTTTACCTTATAGGAGATGCCTATCATCTTACATCACCAAGTAACGATGGTAGTGGCGCCATTCGTTGTATGAAGTCAGCTTTACGTGATGCAAATATAAAACCCGAGGATGTCTCTTATATAAACGCTCACGCTACTTCCACTCCTGTAGGTAATTCTCTTAGCGTTTTTTTATCTTGCTGAAAAATAGTGGTTTGTTTGTTTATTATGTATAGACTTATTTGTTTAATCACGTAATTGAACCTTCTGTTGAACATTAACTGGAAGTGAAGATTTTCTAGCATATAGAAATATTTTTTATAGGTGATGCAATTGAAAACCACGCCATAAAGGAAACGTTTCAGAATCATGCTAAGAATCTGAAAGTTTCGTCAACCAAAGGTATTTAAAATGTGTAGAGTAACATTACAATGAATTGTGGTGATTTTAGAATCTTGTTTAAAAATAGCACTAGAATGAATTTCAAAATGACATTAAAACGATGTTTGATTGACTTGAGAATGAAATTACAATGACATTAGAATGACATTAGAATGACATTGGAATGAATTGGAATGAATGACATTACTATAACTTGAAAGTGACATTATTTAGCTGATATAATGTTGCAATTTATTCATTTTTCTCCGTCGTTTATTTGTCCATAGGATCTACAGGTCACTTACTTGGTGCATCTGGCGCTATTGAAGCAGTCTTCACTACATTAGCTGTAAATGAAGTATGTATGGGCATACTCTACGATTTCTGCTTTTCACTATTTTTTTTACTTGTGTTCAGCGTATGTTCCAAATTGTATTATTTTCAAAATACTTTAATTCGTATTTATTGTGTTCTGCGTTAGACTTCAAAATAGCTTCAACTTTCTTCAACACTTTGATACAGGTGTAATATATGAGTTTTTCTACATTCTAATACCTAAATGCATCTTCTTTGTGCGCCTTAGGGTATTGCTCCCCCAACGTTGAACCTACACGAAGTATCGTCTAAATCTGAGTTCAGTTTAAATTATGTGCCAGGTGATTGCGAAGAGTTGGTTGCTTCTTATAAAGGTAAAAGACGGTTTGCGCTATCTAATTCATTTGGTTTTGGTGGAACGAATACTTGTCTTTGTTTTGCTCAGCTTTTGTGATCTATTTTTTGATCAATAATTGATGTCTTTTGTGCTACGTTAAACTTAGTGTCTAAATCACGATGAGAATTTCTTCTCTCCATTTTTCATTTTCAAATGCTACCGAGATACTATAATAAGAATAAAATTATTACTAATTGTTACTCTGTAAATACGAAAAACAACAATTAAAGCAAATAAGAAGCCATTTTTGTCATTGTATAATCGCCACGACTGATTTTAGGAAATATGCGCACGAGGGGAAACACATAATAATAAAGATCAACAAGGCTGTTGTCTTTGCTTTTATAAACGATTGGAAAAAGTATAGCTTGCTTGCGTTTTCGTGACGAAAACGTTTTTAATTTAATTGTGGTACATACAGAAAATGTTGAGAATCGTGTGACAAAATATTTAAGGTTTTATTAGTTGTGTTCATATAGTAATCGACCAATGAAATCACTGTGTCTCAGATTTTAAATTCAAATATAAATACAATTTCTTCATTGCTGTTGCAAATGATTAATGTTTGCTAATTAGAACGTTCCATCCAAGACATTCTCTTTTGTTGTTATCCATTTCAAACTACATGGCAAAACATGTAGTTTTGTTCGTTCTTTTTACATATTTACTTTCCACAGCAAGATGGTGAAGGTGGTGGCATAGGTGGCATGCAGGATGCTTGTGTACATCCAGGTGGTGGCAATGGTGGTGGACATCCACAGGCTCTTTGTTGTGGCATATCCATATGTAAGGCTCCTCCCATTGGTGGTGGTCCTCCCATTGGTGGTGGTCCTCCCATTGGTGGTGCTCCCATCTGCAGCATTCCCATTGGTGGCGCACCACAGCATCCTGCCGATGGAGGAGGTGCTGGTGGTGGCATGCATGATGGTGGGGCACATCCCATGGGCATGGGTGGTGGTGGGCAAGGGCACATTTGTTGTGGAGGTTGTTGAGGTTGGCAGCATGGTAGGGGGCAGATTTTCATGCAATGATGAACGCAGATTGGTGGACACGAAGATGCGGATGATGGTTGACCATTGCAACCTGGTTGTCCTGGTGGACCCATGCATCCTGGAGGTCCTGGTGGGCCCATACAACCAGGCTGCCCTGGAGCTCCTGGACATCCTGGAGGTCCCATCATACCTGGTGGTCCAGGCATTGGTGGTGGCATTGCTGATTGGCAGCACTGTGGTTGAGCTGGCATACAACCTCCTCCACACATACTTGGGCTGGCACTTCGTTTCGCTACATCTTAAAATTTTTCACCATTTAAAATATTCTGGCGAAACTTTTTTGAGACAAGAAGTTTTATTTTTCTCTACCTACACTAACTAAAACGTTTATGTTAACAATTCAAAAAGTCCAGTGAATGAGTAATTCGTACTTACTAAATTTATTAACTTGATTGATTTATCTACTTTATCAACTTATTATTTTGAGCTTCTGCATGTATTTGATAGTTTTCTTTTAAATTTACACAAGATAATGGTGAGCGCAAATTGAATAAGTTTTGCATATTCAGTTTGACAAGTTTTATGTTTTGGTTGATAAAAACACAGTTTGTACGAATCATTTACTGGTTTTCGGCGCTGCATTGTCGTAAAGTGATGATTTTGTAAAACATGTTTATCAAGAGCTGATAATACCTTCGCTTTTGACATCCTTTACAATCTTTATTATTTTTCCATGATGAAGATAAGATTCGGTGACTAATGAAAAATAAGTCATTTAAAAACTTTCCTAAAAAACCTGGTTGAAATGCGATATTCAAAATCTTAGGTTGTGCTCGAAACATTATACTTTTTAACACATCATAAAAATACAGTTCTACGAAAAGGAAATGGACAATTTTTATACATCTTTGTTTCAGAATAATAGCATATTGAGAATAAACGTCAACCACTCACCTCTTTTTGCATAAGTTGATACAAATATTGTTAAAAGGAACAATGCTACTATTCTAGCGTTCATTTTAAAGTACGGCCGAGCTCTAAGGAAAAGGAAAAGAAAAATGGCTAAAAATCAACCTTGTATAACCTGTGCTTCTTATGACGTGGTGTTTTTTGTTTTTATGTCAACCGTGTTACAGTTAATTTTTGACAAAACAGATGTTAGCATAAAATAAAGCTGTGATTAGCCTCATGTAATATCTCACTCATTGGAGCGACAGGGTACTGGGTGGGCACCTCCCTAAATTTCCCTTCTATTCTTTAACAGCAACGCGAGTTGTTGAATTAAAAAAATAAGTATGAGCTAAATCGTGTAAATTATTATACACGCCATAAAACAGAATGTGTTATAATTTTCCTGCTTTGCCTAAATAACCTGTCATATGATCAATAAGCGTAACAGTAATTTAATCTACTTTTGTCATTCTATCGTATTTCTTTAATGTTATTTCGTTCATTACATTGTCATTTTTGAAAACATTTTTAATCGTAAAATAATTTACGATTTATTTACGGTTGTCATGGTGTTTAACTTAATTATTTGTTGATCTACGCTGTTCGGTCATTTTCTTAATTTGTTGACTGATTACTATTGTTTCTTCTAGTTTTACCTGTTTGTGTACACTTCTTTTCAACAAATATTTCCCCAAGTCTCATTTTGTTCCGAAAGTGTTAAACGTTTATTTGTGTTGCCTTTGCTTTATAAAAGTCCATTTTCAAACGAAAAAACGGCGCAATTTGTATGACTCTTGACAATTTTAGTTTTGCGTTTTCAATCAGCGTGAAAAATTAAGGTAATAGACTGCCTAACGCCATTTAAACCGTTGGCCTTTGACAATAACTTCGATGTAGAAACAAGTTAGATTCTTGATGAAGAGAAAATATAATTGTTTCAAATTTGAAATTCTAAAGGACAACTTATCCTAAACGTACAAAACCAATTTTAACATTTTATATAGGACGTTTGATCACATCTTACCACCTGCAATGTAATGTCAGATCAAAAAAACTCTCTACAGATAAATATTGTTAAAATTCTTCAAAATACAATGTTAAAATTCAATCTATAGCATAATTTTGAATTTACCTTCACGTAGAACTCGCCTTATTTTGCTTGTAGACAGAAAATATATTATTAGAAAATAGAAGTTCACGATCTTACAACGCTTGTTGACTATCCCACTTGTCAAAGTGATTTCCTAACCATGGATTATTCATGACGCAAGACTAATAGAATTTCTTTAGACAGGTTCTGTTGTGTTATTTGACACAAAATAGAAAGACAACCTGTCAAAAACTTCACAAACGATTACTCGCCGTTTCATGGGTCATGCTAAGAATTCTGCTCAACATTTTTTCTCGAGTTCATACTAAATCCCCGAATGATCCTAAACGTCGTGTTTAAAATGGCGTGCTTTATAAACTAATTGTTCGAAGCAGCTAAAACATTTCTAGTGTGTATATGTCTTCACATATAATCGTAAGAATTTAAAGAAACTATACCTTACATGATTTGATTGTAAACTGTTTATTTTTCTACATTCAATGTTTGTCTTACACCATTGTGATTTTATAAATAAATCATTGTCTCTTACAAAAAAAAAAGCAAAGCGGCTAACGATATATTTTGCTTTTAATTTAACAACTCTCTGTTCATTGATTTGTTTTGGAAAGAAAGAGCCGACAATATTCCTTCATGGGGAAATCGCTAGCCCACGAATATGTTTGGTAAAAGCAGGCCGCATACAAAAACTTTACTTTAGACAAATTCAGACGTCATAAATTGTAGATGTACAGTGATTTTGTTTTGCGTTTAATTAATATACGTCATAAAAATTGAGTGCAATTAACAACGCACTTTTTCCTAACTAGCATGTAAAATATGAACGAAGATAACAGTGTAACGGTTCTTGATTTGTTAAATCTTTCTTTGGGCACTCCGGAAATTGGAGCTGTGAACTTTAACTTGCTTCATCGTTTCTTACTCGAGTTGATTAAACATTTGTCTATCGCCGGGGAAGAGATAGATGTCACAGACGATCTTGCCGTTGAACGCGCTTTAAAAGAGACGAGAAAATTGAGTTCTGGCCATTCTCACATACAACTTGTCTATGATGACCACAAAACCGAGTCAATGAGTCCAGAAGACTCAAAAAATGCGGAACCATGTACTTCCAGCTCAGATGTGACCAATTCTATCAGTGGGGATGAAGAACGTCAAAAGTTGCCAATCATTGGGGAAGAGGAAATGACTATGCAACAAGATATGGAAGGAGCTAAAGGTAAAAAAGACTATTAGCTACCGTAGTAACTTTAAATAATTTGTTTGTTATCAACAGTTTTATGCAGTAACTACTATTGACAAAGTCGATAAACTACTTCCAAGGCGTTTGTTTAAATAATTACTGAGCCCATTCTTAATAATCTTTCATGAACAATTATTTTCGCTATTATGCGAAACGTCAAAATCAATGCAAATGTATTTAGGGGAAGATGAAGAAAACGATCACCGGGACAGAAAGAACAGTAAAGAAACTACATCACATGGTAATGCTGAAGTCGTGAAGTCAGACAACAAGACTGATGCCAATAGTTATGGTCTTTCAAGACGTCCATCCTCTATTTCGAGCAATAAAGGCGTTCGCAAACAAAGCATTCCTGTTACAGTGCCTGGTCTTCATCAACTTGAGAGAAAAATGTCCATTCTTGAAGCAAAATTTGAATCGCTATCATCAGCTCCAAGAAATCTTGAAACTGCAAACGAGATACAAAACGAAGAGAGCAAAACAACTGCAGCAGGCAATTCTAGGCAAGTTACGAACCTTGTGCGCAGAATCGAGGTTATAGAAGGCACTATTGGCGGTATCACTGCTTCGTTGGATGATGTAAAGAAGCAGTTAAAGAAAATAAAAGACTTTAACTTTGAAGAAAAGTTTAAAGATATTTTTCAGAAACTTAATCAAAAACCTAGCGTCGTGCAAAAAATGGAAGAAAGCTCCGATGAAAAGTTTAAAAAGGTTTCGGAGAACTTTAATCGAAAACCTGGTGTCGTGAACACAATGGGAGAAAGCTTTGATGAGATTAAAATAAAGCTTTCTAAACTCGACGAAAAGCTGAAAAATGTTCTGTATAAATCCGATCTAAAGGAATATGTTACTGGAGAGAAAATGAAAGAAACATTGGAGCGCAGACTTCAAAACTATTCGCCAACAAAATCAGCTGTAAGAGATTCAGCAGAGATTCCTTCAGATACTGAATCAGTTGCAACAAAGTCGGCAACGCCAAACACTAATTCCGTCGACAATAATGAAACAGCATTGTCTGAAGTAGGAGATGACGAAGGAAAAGTCTATGGAGGAAAAGAGAATATTGGAAACATGCCCAGTGAAGCTTCTGAAGAGTTTTACAACACCATGAGCGATTTCTGCAAGAAAACTGAGCGAAAGATAAGGGAACTTGAAAAATGCTTGTCGAACACTGGAAATAATAGGCACTCCAGCACGGAGCACTTCGAAAAAGAGTTGAAAAACATCAGAGACGTTCAATCGAGCTTACAAAACAGTCAAAAAAAGATCGAGAACGACTTAAACAATCTTTTAGAAAATCCTTCTCATTATACTCATGCTGCATCGCAAAATATTCCCAGTGAACTTAATAATTCAACAGAAGACAGACTGCAAAGTATGGCAGAAAACCTACTGGAAATGAAGCAAAGGTTATTCGGATTGAATGATATTAAAGAAACCATCAGAAATCTGAAAGAATCGGAAGATATTGTTAGATCTGACGTCGATAATGTCCATACGGAACTCGCGAAAATCATGAAATATTTCGAGGAAGAACAAGGTAAATTTAAATGATTTGTTTCTCGGTATGTTTGCTCTTCCATATATTTTAAAACTGCTTTGATTTTTTTTAATTCGTTAATACAGGTAGAAGAAAAACGGTACCCAGTGTTGTAGGTCATAGACTCTCGACTGCAGCAGTCGACAACGAGGATTTACATAAGATTCGCTCGAGTTTACACGATGTAAAAAACGAAATCGATAAACATCATGTCGCCATGTTACAGCTTATGGATGACCAAAACAAAAAACAGCTTCATCTTGATGCTCTTTATGATCATGTGGCTCACCTGGAAAAAATGAAAGCAGATACACAAGAAATCAATCTTGAAATCAAAGCGAAAGCAGATCGTAGAGACATGGAAGATAAAGTCAGTCAAGACAAATTTCACAACAGTTTGAGCACTTTGGACCAGTCTGTTCAAGATCTTGTCGAAAAGCTTGTGGGACACGTAAGAAAACTGTGACGTTACATATTATTGTTCATGGATAGATGGTGAAAATGTTTTCTTTATAGTGGCAACTTATACATTCAGTAAACAAGTTCATTTGAAGCTATGATAACAAAGCAACCAAAGTATTTGGAGTCATTGCCATGCAAACTATCTGCCGTGTTGTATTTTTGCCAAAAATTTTTGCTATTTTTGCTTTTTTTAAAATTGCGGAATCAATATTTATAGGAAGCGACCTTGAAGCAAGCCATAAATCACATAACTTTGGACGTGAACTCTAAATTAGATAAGATGGACATGGATACAGTGAAAGATTATTTTGAAGAAAAGCTAAAAGATCTCAATTCCAAAGTTAAACAAAAATCAAATACTGATAAGGCGCAAGCTGCTGCAAGTCGTACTTGGCTTATACAGCCTGCAAACTGTATATCATGTGATAGACCAGTTCACTTATACCGGGAAGGCACCAAGTTACCCTCATTACCTCTAAACAAACCTCTACCTCAGGGAAAGTCGTACCGGCCGTACATGTCACTCGATCTCAACGATTTTAGGTCAAAAATGCATGCTTTACAATACGAAAACAAGAAAAATGAAAGCGACTCCTTGGGTGTAGCTAACGTCCAAAATGAATTGTTGAAATTAAGGTGAGTGTGTTGAGTTGAAAGTTGAACTTTTAAGAGGTTGAACTTGAAGATATTGTGAAAAAATGCTATGACTGAAGAATAACTTTACTCGAGTTATATGTTCAACTGAAGTTTGTTATGAGAAGACGACGACGATAGCACGTTCAAACATTCTTAAATTTTATTCATTTCTTGTTTTTTTTTTGGACGACGTCTTTTGTTTGTTTTACTTGTGTGAGAAAAAAACCCTTTACACTGGTAATTTTGAACATATCCATAGTGGACCACTTGCATGTATCGTGGAAATACTGACGAATATTACTATTGTATAATATGAAATATCCCCCCCCCTCCCCCCACTGCAAAATTGAACGTTGAACATAATTCGTCAATGTTAATCATCTCTATTGGAAACGGCGTCTAGAACGTTCAGTTCGTGCCGCAAGGATCAGATCTGTGCAAAAGGAGCAATATTTAAGCTTCTTCAGAAGTTATCCTACTAATGTATATGTACTACACATAAACTTTACAGGGCGATAAAAGAGGTGGACGATTTTGCTGAGATAAGCAGCCGTCCATGTGGAGGAAACCACACACTCACATGTCCAGAGAAGCGAACAACAATTCGAGTCAACAAAGCTTATCGTGAGGATTTGCATTTTATTGCTCAGTTATCTCAGAAAGATCTCAGCATTGTTGATATTCTTGGATACGATGGTCACGTGTACAAAGGTCAAGTCAATCAACTACCATCAATTCCAGAAATTCCTAAAAGGAGTATCGCAACTCGTCCTACTACCGGCTCAAATCGTCAATGCAACAGTAGTCCTACATAAATTACATCCCTACAGTATTCAAGTCAGGTTGCAAAATATGTCATAAAAACAAAAACATACATGTATAGAGAACGTATTAATTCTTCTGTATTTGAAACCAAATTATATTGCAAACTTAAAGCAATAACTCAAAAAGGCTTTTGTTGCACAGATTTTCAAGAGAAAAGACTGCAATGAGTTATGGGGCATATGAAGAAGTTAGGTTGCTAGAATATGGCTTGGAGATTGTAGTAGATTGTCATTGTTTCCCAACTTAAAATTGTTTCCCCAATTTTACAGTCAAAAAAAGAGGAAATATACGTTATTGAAGTCATGATCCTTACCTTTTTTATTGTGCTACGAATACAATGGATTTTTTACTCTTTGCCAGCCGTTGTTCAATTAAGGGTTCCATTTAAGTTTTAGGGAGTAAGAGAGTCCATAGCTTTCTTACCGCTGACCACTTGTGTTTGAAAGCCCAGTTTAAGGTAAGCACGGGCACTCAGTGAGTCAACAGTGACTGCATATCTCCTCCACGTTTTTTAATGACGCTAACGGCATTAAACTTTGATATTTAACTGATTCAAGCATCAATATTCAACATCCATAGTAACTATAAACGACCTAAGTACGAATAGAATCTTGTTCACAGACAAAAACATAAACAAATATACACAAGTGCGACAATGAAATCTTCAATGTTATGAAAAAAACCCAGTCACCAGTTAGCGGCACGCTGGGTCAGGGGTGGACCACACACACTAGCCTCTTATAAAATAGAAGGAGCTAGCATTCTCTGATCGAAGGCGGTACAATCATTGCTTGAGGTAAGGGGGAGACCTTGTAATGTGGTGAGTTTGAGTTGTAGGGGTACGTACTGAAAAGTGCAAAGAACTGAGGAAGAGGATGACATGCTGCATACGTGATATGGACAGGAAAAGAACGCAATTTCTGTGGTTAAGGATATTTCATGCAAATTTTTACGGTGAAAATGGAACTTTGTGAAAAGAACGCTCGAAGAACGAAAGATAGAGTTATGACAATTGTGAACGAAGAAGCGGCGAGAATTGAAATTTTTAAGATTTGCAAAGTGGCTGAACGAACGGAGAAGAAAGCGATTTTATGAAGATTTGACAAGTGTGTGGGACCTACTCACTGCACAGCGTGGATTAACAAGTATTGGTTATTACTTTAATAAACAGGTTAGGCCACAGATTGAGGGTCATGAGAATGAAGTGATGCATATTACATGACATGAGGTAGATTGGGGAAAGAAACATTAAAGAAAAGACGCTGTTTTCGAATGAAAACGAATCTTATGCTCCAAATAGATTGCAGAGTAAAATGAGTATGTATTAATCAGTGTTATCCAGACCAGAACATGAGAAATGTAGTGCAAAGGAAACTTAGTGGCAACAATTGATGTTAAGTCTTGTATCTATATTCCTATACTAGACGAATAACAAACAATTTCTCAATAATTGTTCAATGAATTTCACATTAGTAAAGTTGATAAAATAAGCTTAAATGTTAAATAAACTTTAATTTATTCATTTCTACATCTTAAGCTAGCATGTAAAAAGTAGATGTTTAAGGAAAATTTTCCTTTATTGTTGGATTTCTTGGATCTACTCCTTCTTTGTGAATCTTCAGGGAGAAATCAACACATTCATAGCCTTGCGTGAGAGAGCCAAGGGATACGACATCAACATGCGGTCCAAAAAATTTTGTAATATTTCCTTCATTTATGCCACCACTTGCCTCAATAGTTAAATGTGGAAATTCATTTTTCAACATTTCTGCAGAAGAGTGTAATAATTCAGATGCAAAATTATCTAACATTATGATATCAGCACCAGATCTCGCTGCTTCTCTAGCCTCTGCAATACTTCTGCATTCAACTTCAATTTTAATTGAAAATCCTCCAGCATGTCTGGCAGCTTTTACAGCAGAGCTAATGCTTCCCACACTCCAAATATGGTTGTCTTTTAACATAATCATTGATGATTGATCAAAACGATGTGTTGAAATGCCTCCAACAAGCAAGGCATACTTTTCAACCAAACGGAAACCAGGTGTTGTCTTGCGAGTGCCAGCCACTTCTCCTTCCCATGATGACTTTCTTTTTAAATCAGCTAGTCTCCTTGCTTTTGTTGCAACACCACTTGCTCTAGTGATACAGTTTAATGCAACTCGTTCCCCAATTAAAATTCTATTGACTTCACCAGATACTTCTGCAACAGTACATACTGGAGTCAATTGATCTCCTTCACTAAACAACCATTTTACTCTGCAGTTAAGGTGTTCAAAAACAGCATCAAAGAAAGGGCAACCAGCCAAAATTCCAGGTGATTTGCAAAGAAGCAAAGCTTTTTCTTTACGACTGCCAACAACAGTCCCACTGTAATCAAAACTTGGCAAGTCTTCGGATAGCCAAGTATGTACTAAGTTATTTAATGATGAACTTGGAAGGATTAATGATAGATTATAGGACTCACAACCTCCATTTCTAGCATTTGTAGCTCTTCCTGCTTCTTCCGTTTCAAATTCCTGGAGCATATTAGGTATGCAAATTTTTTCAAAGATATTTAGGATTATTTGTTCTAAGCTGGGAAACGTCCGTTCTCGTTCGTGAAGTGCCGTTGTTATGATTCATCGCGGTTAGCACTATTTTCCACCCAGCAAACCGCCCTATACTTTGAAATATAATATTTTACACAATATAATATTTTAATATTTGTATAATATTTTATATAATATTTTACACAATCGTCGAAAACGACATATTTTCCAGCCTGGATTATAAGTTTATAACTTAAGATGAAAATTTATACCATTTATCTGTAAATATTTTCATATGTTGATATTAAAACTGTATTACTCGCCATCTCAAACGGCACCAGTGCATGCGGTTTCCGTTCTTTCCCATTAGCCGCCATGATCGGTTATAGTGCTATTCATCGCATCACATCACTCACAAGTCAAAACAATATTAGTCATGGCGCTGCTTCAGTTGCTCAACTTTTTCTGTTTATTTCTGTTGATACATGTTTCATTAGAGATTCACTCGTCTATTCTTAACATTGATGAGCTTCAGCATTCAATGTATGGTGTAGAAATCTCCGCTGAGCCTGTTTTGTTGAATATTAAGGTAAAAGTCTTAATTTCATTCATTTAATTTCGTCCTTATAAATGACAATGTGCGGCATAAAATAATTGATTGAAAACCACTTTATTTTATGTCAAAAGATGTTTTTTAATGATTAATTGAATGTTTTGTTTATAATATTTGTCTTTTTAAACTTTTCCATTTTTGAAAAAATATTTCAGTCATTGTGGAGTAAAATTGACATTTACGCCTAAGAGAGTTGATAAAGTTATTTACCAACCCTTCCTTTGTCTTTTTGTGACAACACTAAGCAAGATCATCACCTTCCAAAGTCATATTTAAGTATTTTATCACAGTGTGAAATGTGCTTCCTAATGTACTCTCAGTCTCAGCATACAAAAACACAGGATGGAAATGTACATGTTTGTCAGCCAACATGTTGAAATTTTTCTTAAATGTAAAATTGTAAGCTTAGTACCAATGCTAGTTTAATGTTTTCCTGTTGTCTATGTGTGTTTTTTGTTTGTTTGTATCCATGTTCTTATGTTTAGGAAAAGTTTAACAAATTAATAATTAATAATCTTTAATTGATTGTACTGGATCTCAAATTTCAAATATTGTCTGAAAAAAGAAGGAAAAACATATTCAAGCCAGCATCATGTTTTTGTGCAATATTTCCAAGCAACTAACAGTCATTGATGAATGATTTTCTTACACACATGTAGAATGATATAAACATCATGAAGATTACTTCAAAACATGGACAGCAATATCAATGCATTCTTCCTGTTTTTCTCATGGAAAAAAATGGACCAAAAGAAGTGAATGTTACAACAGAAGAGATTAACATCTTACTGCAACCATTAAATGACACTTGTCTTACTCAGGTATGTAAATATCATTGCATCATGACAGATAGGCTGGCCATGTTAAGCTCATATAATTATAGCAGTGATTGGATTGCTACCTATATTATAGTTTTGGTGACTGTTATTGTTAAATTTTTGCACCACTTATACCCATACATTTAGGGTTGTAATCTCTGCTCACTTGTATTGATGGTAAATTGCAGTATCAATTCCTCGTTTGGAGTTATTTCATGGCTTTTTTTGACCCAGTATTCTTTAATCAAAATTACCATTCACAATGTATAAATGTTAAAACTTATGATACAGATAAATGGTTGGTGGTCTTACAAAGTTTGCTTTGGTGATTTCATTTATCAATATCATGAAGAAGGTGAATGATGTATTTTCCATTAAAGTAAACATTTTATTATTTCCTATAAACATCCAAGTATTCATCTACTTTTCCTTTGTGCTTACTTCTGTTCACTTTTTATTTTCACAAAAAGAAGCTACAACATAAATTGTGTGTGATGCTGTTGACAAAAGCTTGGTGATGACTTTAAAAATAATCACCGGAACTATAAACATACATATAAACACTGAACTGCTTCATTTATCTCTCATATTTTTACAGGCAAGAAGATTAAAGATGTGATTAGTCTTGGTAACTATACAGGATCTACCATTTGGTCAAATATTACAATAAAGGTACTGAATTTAAACTCAATGCACATGTTAATAAAAATTTATTACAAAGTTAGAAAAGCAGCAATAAGCTGCAAATGTTCCTATTTCATGTTTATCTTTGAAGGGATAGCTAAATACAAATAGTTAACACCTATATGTGCAAATATTGTCATCATTTGAAATCTATTTTTTACAAACATCAAAGTTCACAATATGTCATTTATGTCTGTTAATGTGAACTTGTAAATTTGCCAAATTTAATGATTGTAAGCTTATGTCAGTGTGCGAATTAGTTCAGAAAAAACGATGTGCAATTTTTTTGACAAAAGTGTTTCTTTAGAGGCATAATCAAATCGATATTACGTTAATTATTATATAGCACTAATTTACTAAATTAATATTTTTAAACGTGAACAAATTCATATGATTTACGACAGTGTTTTTCTTTAAAACCGCTGATTTTTGCACATCGTTTGAAAAAGTGATGTGTAATTGTTTTCATTTTAGCTAAAACGATGTGCAAATTGCACATTGCACACCGTTAATTCGCACACTGGCTTATGTTGGATAGTGCCTCTTAAGTTTTCAGTTTACCAGAAACATGTTGAACGTTTTGTTTATACACTTGATTTTTAGCTACTAAAAAAAGAAGCATGAACAATGTGTGCATAACAAACTTCGTTTCGTGCAAATTTACATGGTTCCGCTTAATATAAAATACTACACAATAGAAACATATATTGTTGAAGAATTCAGTGAGCGCTCTTTTGAACTTACTTATAAGCGTGTTTTTTATAACGCATAGCTACATCACTTGCAAGCTGAGTATATACGTAGCTGATGTTGTCCCCATTAAATTAACTTAAAATGCGTTGTGTCTGAAAAACAGTGAAAACGCCGAACATTTTTTTAAAAGTTAATGAAACTAAAGTCAATTATTAAATAAATACGTTAGAGAAAATCGTTTAGTAAAACTTTCCCTCAATAAAGTTTTCTATGTTTTTTATTCAACTTACATACATGGTTATTCTTTATCAAAACACAATAAAAACTGAGCTCATGAAATCGAAAGGCAGTGAAAGTTCAACACTTAATCATGATAACAGCTTTGAAGCAATGTATTCAAAATAGCAAAGTTCTATCTATCAATGCAATTTTCAACTATCGTTGAGATTGCAAGTGTTTATTATATGAATTAACATTACGAGTTTGCTGTTGATAGAAGTCATTTTAAGTCAGTTTTCTATCACACGCTGATTAAAATTTTAAGGCAGAAATTTGAAAGACAAATATATTAAAAAATGCAAAGGTTGAATTTTAAATCATTCGAGGACGAACGCGGATGAAAGAGACAAGATGGAAATTAAATTATACTGAAGTTCAACAAAGAAATATCATTTATCAACGGCGGATAGCTAGATACTATGATGTACATGAAGGAGTTTCAGCTGCGTGCTTTAAAAACACCCCTGAGTTTTATCAATGCGTGCGTTAAATATCCCATAATTCTTACGACGAGTAATGCTCATTCGTTAATGAAAGAAAGCTGCAGTTCAATTTTGACAAAAGAGTATTATGCAGGAGAAACGTGTAGACAGCTATGCGAGATTTGTGATTAACTAGAGTGAATTGAGACGGAGAAAATCGGAAAAAAGAATAGCATCTTTTTGGTAAAGGGAAAAATACAATAGGGAAAAAAACCGAAAACGCACGTATGTTTATACATAACAATTAACATTAATAAAAACATCCGTTTAATGATTATTACCCATTGTTTTACAATTCCTAGTAATTCAAAGAAACAAATATTTTTAGGAAGACTCAAAAGGTGAGGATAGATATCACAGTCAATTCTATGACAATGGTACGGTATGCGATCTCACAGGACAACCACGAAAATCTGAAGTTAGGGTGAGAAATTAACTGATCATGTCGTGCGTTTCACATGAGTATAATTAAAGATATCATTTATTGATATAATTGCGTACCTTGAATAAATCACTATTTTATTTCTTTAAAAAGTTTTTTTGCAGTGAAAGTACCATGAAGGATGCCATAACACGAATTGATGAAAGTTCAACTTGCAGTTACATCATCAATATACACACAAAAAGACTTTGTAACCACACTGTATTTCGACCTTCTAACTTGCCCACAAAGCAAAGCATCACGTGTTCACCCGCTCTAAATGATGACCAGTACTTGAAGTATAAGAAATCTCAAAGTAGATCTCAAAGTAAAGCGTTTCTCTTTTACAATTTCTTCAAACTTAAAATTGTGTGTATTATCCATGACGTCTTGTACGACTGTTCTATTTTACAGAAAGAACATAGAAATACCATAAAATACTTTCTTAATGAGTCATGTAACTTTACTAATGAGCATGACGTTAAAGAGGATTTTTCTGTGCTTAGTTTAAAAATATCGTCAAGAACTTTGGCTTCTGCCCTATACTGAAGCACTATAGCGATCATGTTTATTCTTATTTAGGCGTATGACTTTATTGTAATTTTTATATACGTAATTCTTTGTTAAAATGTTAAAAGTTGGTTTCAAAATTTTGTATTTGTCTTTTATTAATAGAAGATGGCTCAGTTGAGGTTGAGAACAAACAAAATAAAAAAGGCGTCATCGAAGATAAACGTCCTGTTGAAAACGTCATTGAAGATAAACGTCATGTTGAAGACGTCATTGAAGATGAACGTCATGTTGAAGACGTCATTGAAGATAAACGTCACGTTGAAGACGTCATTGAAGATAAACGTGATGTTGAAATTGACAATGAAGATGGAAGTCATTTTGATGGCATATTTTTAAAATCTATTGAAGGAGTAAAGAAACTGATGGAAAGAAAATTTTCATCAAATGATGGTATGACACATACATATGATAATAATTTATAACTTGGGAGTACAATGTATGAAGCGTCGATGTATGAATACAGCACGTGTTTGTCACCGTGTCTTTAAATTATATATAAAATGCACGGCCACTACTGGACTTGAGAACACTGTGATGAATTTAGAAACAATCTTGTGATTACATTCATATTTTCGTTTAGCATATTTTAGTGTTACTCTATTTTTTATACTTTGTCTTACTCTCGAACGTTTCTTCAAGCTTCATCAAAAACTTAGTAAATTGCCTTGCCATTGTTTTTAAATTAAGAGGTCTATTAAAAGCAAAAGCAATAATGACATACAAATCTTTAGGAAAGCTACGACTGAAAAAAACGGCTAAGAAATCTTTTAAACATGTTGATGTGGGTGCAGATGATCATATAAGGATTGGCAAAGAACGTGGTAACGTGGATGTTGATGATCATGTAAGGATTGACAAAGAACATGATAGCGTGGATTTTGATGATAATATGGACAATGATGATGCTATTGTTGAAGATGAATGGAATGATGGATTGAACTTAGATTCGCTCAAGAAAAAACGATTTTCTCGTACAAAAACTGACAGTGAAGACAACACGAGTGATTATTACCACGAGCTGATTAACCATTTGAAGATCCAATTTCGTTTTCATAAGAAATATTTGGATTCTGTGACGAGAAACATGAAAACACGAATTTCTAGACTCGAAAAAGGACTTGGTTCTGTCGACCCTAACGTCAAGAAGTTCTTACAAGACACGAAAAAGAAAGTTCATCAGTTGGAACACAAACAAAGGTAGATAAATACAATACGTGTCCTCTACTTTGTTACACGTATACGTTGAAAACGTCAATTGATTTTCCCGCGCCGGAAACCTATTCTCGTCACACGTAAACATTAAAGCCCAACTTATTGCAAGTGCATGAATAGCCTTTATAACAAAATATATAACATCCATTATAAAGGTTGATAACATAATCATTCCTAAAAAGTTTACTTTCGTCTGAATAATTGCTCTGATGAAAGCATGCATTAAAATTTATAATTTTGAATGGCATATGCTTCTTCTATTGAGTAGTTTGGCCGAGGATGCCATGAGCCGTCTATCAGATCTTTACGATGCTGTTATGGAAGACCCGAATTACCTCAAGGCAAGTGAAGAATTAGGGAACATTAAATCGATTTTAAATGGTTTAATCAACAATGTAGAAATCCCTGAGCAAATTGATGAAGGTAGTTTTGAAGAGGTTGACAGCTTTAAATCTAGATCTCCTGGAAATGAATTTGGTAAACTTTTCAAGAAATCCCGTCGAGGACTAAATACGGGAAAGCCAAATCTTGATAAGGTCGTATCGAGGCTAAAGAAAATCATGACGGGAAAATTTGATGAAGGTGAGAGGCAAGACAATCTACGAGATGATCAGATTAGTGTCCGAGTAACAAAGATTAAAGAGACGTCTGAAGATCTTCATAATAATGAGGACCTCGACAATATAATTAATGGTAACGATGAGGGCAATGATCTTGATCATGTACAAGAAAATGCTGAAATGAAGGAAGCTACAAAAAAGATGGAGAACATTGTTCGCAAGCAGTTAGAGAATGTTGGTGTAAAGCACAATGGTAGTTTTATTTGAATAACTTATATAAAAATATAAATTAGTATATATTATGGAAGTCGTATTTTCATACAAATGAGTAAAATTTTTAAATCTGTCTTTTTACACTAGACGCAATATCATGAACACTTTCCATTACTTTGTTTTTGTAGGTAAAATCAAGGTGAAAATAATCACATCAAGAGAGGCATTAAAACGTGTTGCCGGCGGTAAAGACAAGTTTCAATTACTGTCTCCACAAGAGACAAATCAGTTTAGAGATCTACTGTCCAGCATATTGGTAAGAATATTATGCCTACTTGAAATTACCACATGACTGTCATGATTTCAAATGTTTTACTTACTCTCTTATTACAGATTATCAATATCTATTCAAACATAACTAATAACCGAGATCAAACCTGTGACTTAGACTTATCCTAGTAGTGTAGCTATATAAGATGCCTGAATACATAACCCCAGCCTTACCAAGAAATCATTGGAATCAATGTTAATGTTTAACGAAAGACGTTTTTCTATAATTTGGGCCTCCAGAAAAAATGTTTATAAAGAATTCCGGAAAACACAGCAGTTACGCAGACGTTTTTTTTACCGAAATGTTCTTGTTAATAGGGCGGTGGTCAGCAATTGATGGAGGAACAAAGGAGGCAAGAAATGATGGAGGATAATTATAATCTAGTATGGAAAGAAGATGGTTTTACATCTGTTGCTGCAGGCAAGGATGATAAAGAATCATCTATAGAACAGGATGACCATGATAATAACAGATAAGAGTTTATCATTTATGCCACAAATCCACCAATTTCATGATTGGTATTTATAAAAGCTACAGCACACACTTTTGACTCGTTTAAAAGCAGACTATTTCTATTTTGACAAAATGGAAAAGCTGGAAAGTTCCAGTTAGCTATGTCAAATGTTTTTCTCCCAACAATAGTCATGTACGTAAAACGTTTCTCGCATTTCAAGCAATCAATACGCATGACAATAATGAAATTATAATGGCATGGCGTTTTTTTGCCTGTGAAGGACAGAGTAGTATAAATTGAGAAGCGAAAAAGGAAGAAACATCTTCTTATGTAAAATATGCTACTATTTACTTCAATTGACAGCAAAGTATTATGCATTTAGAATGCAGTTTAGCTTTAGCTCTGAACAATTTAAGTAAAGACATTTGTATATTGTTTGTAATATTTTTCAAAAATATCACCTAGTTCAGTCATGTACAAACATATAAATGTATTTGAGAGCATTTCTAGAAATTATCTGGTGTGATGAGGCACAAACATTCATTTCACTGGCCTGACGAGAGAGCAACAAGACTTTTGAGAGACCAATTTGTCTTCATTTCTGCATTATTACTTCCAGATGTGCGTTTTTTCATTGAATCACTGTCATAGCTGCTACTTTTTGACCTAGAACGTCCTCTTTGGCGATACGAGCTTTTCTTTTTTGAGAAACTACTTTCTTTGTGGTTGCTTCTGTCTAAATCATTCGATGAAAGCTCTCTTCTATCTCTTTTTCTTATTTCATCATTACTACTAAAATTGCTTTCGTGGACCTTCTTACCTTTCGATCGATTTGGTGATGAAGAATTTCGTTGCCGACTATCAGTTTCAGAAGAACTTGATGATTTTCGCGATAAATTCATCCACGTTCTCTTTTGCTGATCATTTTTATCGTCCCATTTACTCGTTATTATTTCATCACTTAACATATGATTTTCATGCTTAGGTAATGATTTTCCACGAGTTCTCTCGCGACTTGCGTCTTCGTGGTTTTTATGAAATGGGGATCTACTTTTTGATTTGTCATCTCGTCTCATTTTTCTTGGACTTCGGCTGACTCGTCTCCTGTAAGGATCACCTCCTGAACGACGTCTACTGCTCGATAATGAACGATTTCTTCGTCTCAATGACGATGGAGACACGGACGGTGTCCGATACATCTTATCGATGTAAAAATAAAATAGTTTCAACAATAATTAGGTCATGCAGAAATGCGACAAATTTAATTATTACCCTTCTTCCACGCCCTTTTAGCACATGACCAGACTTGGATATCTAAAAATAAAAATTGATCGCTTTATCAAAATATTTTTCGTGCAAAATTGGTCAATCACTTAAATGATTGTCGTCTTTCACTCTTCACATACACGTTCAATTTTTCGTTCATTCTCTACTTGCTCGGTATTTTCTTTATTTTCAGAGGCTTTATAACCGGGAGGTGAAGAACGTCTGTGTAAAATAGAATGTCATCTCCTTAATGAATCATTACCAAAGCAACGGTTTTACATTACTCTCCCTAGAGAATCGCAAACAGGCATTGCAAATATCAAATAAGTTCTTTTATGAAACTATAACAGATATTTCCTTAACATACGGCTGGCTTTTTGTACTTGTAACACGTTTAGTAAACATTATAAACTCATTGAAATTGTAATATCCAGACAAGAACCTTAAGTTGATAATTTTGAATTGAATGCAGAAGTTGATGGAGAGTGTCAAAAGATAATAAAATTTTATGCTTTGTATGATTTTAGATGAATTTTTACAGAAGATAAATTTTCAGTTAAATTATAAACATGGTGTAGTTATTGATAGTAAAAAAGCGCAATACATCTTTCAACACGTATACCTTTCTTTCATGCGTTTTTCTCTAATAGGACTAGGAGTGCGGCTTCGTCTCATCAGGAATCTGTTACTTGGAACCTTAGGAATGCTTTCATCTTCCATATTTTCTTTTACATCTTCATTTTCGTCACTTTTTCATCGTATTTAGAAAATGAAACATTTCAACATACATGACTAGTAAATATTGGCTCTTTCCCAATTTTTCATACGTCATTAAATCACAAATTCCCCGTCTTAAAGATGCTTATATCATTCACCTTTCTTTTTTCGACTTCTTTTTCTTCTTCTTTGACTTCAACTTTTCTCTCTTTAACTTCTTGCGCTCTTTCGTTTTCTTTCGCTTTTTAAGCTCTCTTTTTTTCTTTCTCTTCTCGTTTTCATTGTCGGATGATGATTCAGAATCGGAGCCACTTGAAGCCGAGGACTCAACTACTTTCCGTTTTTTAGCTAGTCAAGTTATTAAAACACAACACCAATCAACTCTTACAAATTCCAACCAATAGATATAGGGTACATTCTATGAATGTATACGTACGTACGTTTAAGGCGACTTTTTGGTATCAACTCTCCACAATCAGCGATTCTAACATCACTTATTGGTTTACTTTTTGAATCTACTCTTTGACTTTCAATTTCCTTTACTACATCATGACCTTGAAGAACGTGGCCAAATACAACGTGAATTCTGAATGCAAGAAAATTAGTGAGATGCACAGCCAATGTTGTGGTACAACTATAAAGTCTATATTAACTTATCAACAGTGTCATCTTTGAAAATTTCTTGTCTTTAGTAATCGACAAAAATTCAATTTCAAAACGAACTTGTTCGTATAAACGATTGCGCGCGATGATAAAAGCCTACTTTTACGAGTAATTTCGAATTAATCAACCTTGGCACAATCAGAAACTAATCATAAAATGTTCATTGAAAGTACCTTTTCAAACAAATGTTTACGAAGTAAGCATGACATTGCCTGTTATCGTGATGAAGTTATCGCGCCTATGTAGCCGTAGATTATTGATGTAACATAATTAAAACTTACCTGTCGAGATGAGGACATGGGACAGTCGTTCTAAAAAATAAAATTACTTTGATCATTTGTAGTAATAACGATAACATGACCTTCTTTCCTTAACGTTCGCTTACAAAGAACATTTAGGAACAAAAGCAAATTTTGATTTTTGAACATGAGGAATAAAATAATAGTATGGTGCATGAATGTACGTAATCAATCACTACAAACAGTCACGCTGACACAAAGCTAACTGGAAACATAAATAGCGCAAGAGGCGTGAACACGTAGACTTAATTTGTATGCGATATTTATAGAAGTTTGTTGTACACTTAATATACTATAATTTCAAGTTTCTTGAAAAGACACATTGTGAAGTTGGGGATGTGTGTGTACTTCGGGAAGGTTAATGAATCTAATACCTACGTAGTAAATTCGCCCTTGGTTGAGAACAGAAATCATGTTGGTGAAATTATGGTAAAAAAAAGCCCATGTAAAAGACAATGAAATATTTAAGATGTTATTAATACTTTATAAAAAGATGAGAAGTAATTTACGTACATAAAAAACTGTGATCCATTCGTGTTTGGGCCTTTATTGGCCATGGATAAAATAAAAGGTTTTTCATGTTTCAACTCTAGGTTTTCATCTGAAACAAAATAATTCAATTATTTACATTCCTTTTGTACAATTTTCTACATTGTAAATTTATAAACAAATTTTATATTCCTTAGTAAAGTGGAACATCCTCCATTCTTGTCACAAAACACTGAACAACAAAAATACCGTTAAATGTTCTTCCATAAATAGATTCTCCACCAGTACCGTTGCCTAAGCAAATTACATTTATGTATATTTTAACAATAAAAGTTGTACTATTAACTACGAAAGCAAAGCAAAATTATACAATGGTATTTTTATACATTATACTCAAACCATCCATCATGCAAAAATTCTCAAATATACTACATATTGAGTTGAGCCATAGGTCTCCACTGCTCAAAATTTCAAATTATTATTAGACTCTTTTCTATACATTCTCCCAATATTTCCACCCCTAATGCTTCCACCCCTCCCATATTTCCACCCCTAATGCTTCCACTCCCCTCCCGAATATTTCCTCAAGTATTTGACCCTGACACCACGAACAAGAAAGAGAAATATAAAGAAAATTTTGGAGTTGCATTTATATTGTGTTTATTTACCTGCAGTGAAATCTCCACCTTGAATCATAAAATCCTTGATAACTCTATGAAACGGAGCACCTTTGTAATGAAGTGACTTTCCTGAAAGCTTGCTCAACATTTTCTCCCCTGTTAACACAAAAGTAAAAACGAGAACATGAATACGAAAGAGAATTGTCACACTTTTCAGTTATTTACAAGTTGAGTTTTTCAAATGTACCTGTACAGAGCGCCCGAAAATTTTCACACGTTAGTGGGCATATGTCAGCAAACAGTTCCATGATAATTCGCCCCGCTAAATTGTATAAAAACTATGCATAAGTTTGAAAGCGAAATCTTAAAAATTCCTTGAAACCTTCATTGAGCATGTTCGTCCCAATGTTCACCTACGTATGTTGCCAAAACATGGGTATATGAGAAAAATAGATCATTTAAAGTAATAAAGCACGTATAGCAGTATGGGTTTTGATGAAGCCTATATGAAGTAATGTATTTTAATACGACTAACTTTAAGTCACTCGTTTGTCACGCAGAAGGTTTTTATAAAAACATGTTTGTTATAATTTATTTTGGAAATTGTTCCAACTGCGCACTAGAATCAGTTTTCTTTGATGTTTCTTGATTGACACGAAGATCAATAAAACGATACATACAGGCAATGTAACCAAATCTTTCACGTAAAATTGTCAAAAAAATGCAATATTTTTGCTCTTAACCAAAATGATCAGTTAAACAACAAAACAATTAAATATAATGAAATGATGTGTTCGAATGTTAATAATTCTGTGTTCTACAAACACGCGAAATTGATCCCTAATTCAACCTCTAGTACTAGTAGAAACACTAGTAGTTTGACAGATCTGTGTCTCATTGTACCATGGCCCATGAGCCCCTTATTAGGAAATCAAGATCGGACCCTTTATACACGGACAATGTCCTTGAAATAAAGACAAAATATTACCTACGTACTCCGTGTCTAAACTTTTTGTATTATCTTGAATATCAAGAAAACTAGATGTTTATATTCGGAATCTGTTTCATTTTGAAACAATCCAGAAAGTGGCCAATTGGTGGATTTCAATTTCTCTTATATCGTATTTTATTTGATTTGCATTTGTGGTTTTGTTCCATTACCAAAATATTACTAAGAAGCTGTTTTGAGTTAAAAAAAAACACCAAAAATTTTAAATCACCACAAAGGTTCAAAAATTCAAAAAAATTAACAAAGGTGATTTAAGTTAGCGAATTCTGCACACAGTGCTCATATAAGTCAAGTGGGTTTAATTGTCTATCACGTGAAGCAACATTGTCCAGCACGTGAAGCAAAGCTGCACGTGGCCAAGTCTGCCTAACGTGTTGAGATGAAATAACTTGATGCCATATTCATTTACCTTTCAAGTATTATTTTTTGTTCTTTCAATTGCGTAAAAAAAGAAAGTTGATCTATGATAAATATACACTCCAATATTATTGCTTGGTAACACCTTTCAGAATAGTTCACATGTACGCTGCATGCTCGAATGACGTCATGCAATGCTAATTACCGGTAAATTACTATAAATTGAACGTAAAACAAAAATTGTCAAATAACATAAACTTATATAACTTATATCAGAGATGTCTGTATGCGAAGTAAAGCAAAACTTGCCGGCTCTCATTATTTTTGACAAAGACGGAACACTTATCGACTTTCAGTCAACATGGACGCCATGGCTTATGGCTTTAGCGAAAAGTCTCGAAGCAGATTGTGAATTTAACGTTTCTCAACCGCTCTACGATATCATGGGCTACTGTGAGAAAACGTCAACTCTTAGTGATTCAAGTCTGCTCGCATACGCAAGTATGGATGTGATAAAAGAAGAAATAAAAGGAATGTTGCTGAAAAACGGTTGTGAAGCTAAAAATGTTGAGGGCTTACTTCGAAAATGCTGGAAAGAATGTCACTCAAATAACACAAAGCAACCAATACCGACTACTGATCTCCCTTCATTGTTCACAAATCTACATAAAGTTGGGGTGAAGATTGGGGTATGTACTTCTGATAGTCGCAAAAGCACACAGTCTGCTCTGCTTAAACTAAAAGTTTTGGAGCTAGTTGATGTAATTGTGTGCTCGGATGATGAAAATATGGAGCCAAAACCATCACCATGTGGAGTATATAAAATCTGTTCTGAGTTAGGGGTAGAACCAATAAATTCAGTGGTTGTTGGTGATACCACAGATATGTTGATGGGAAAATCTGCTGGTGTTGGCTTGATTCTTGGGGTTCTTACTGGCATTGGTACAAGAAATGAATTAGCTGAAAATGCTGACATTATTTTAGAAAATATTGAAGAAATATGGAATGTATTTGATTAAAGTGATTGCAAAACTTGTGTTTGTTTTCCTGATTTTTCATTACATTTAAGATTAAGCTGTGACTAACATAAGGCTTTGATTAGTTGTGGCAATGTGTAAAAGCATGCCTGTATTTTTGTTCTGCATTGTGCCATTGTCTAACATTGTAGAGCCAAATTGCTATACACATTTAACAATGTCATTGTTCACACCCATTTGCCTCTAGGTGTGCATTGATTCTCTTGATAACAATTTGTACCAATTTTTTGTAGCAGCACAACTGGGGACCTGTGGTAAAAACATTACAAGGGGCCCCCCTTAGTGCTGCCACTCCGTATATACACATTTCACCTACCAAAACTTTATTTTCCCCCTACCTCCCCTACAACCATTTTCCTTGTCTTTCCCTACTTCCCCCTACACAACAACATATTCCCCTTTTATATACCTATGTTGGGTCAGACCACTGAATTTTTTAGTCTGTAAAAAAGTGAATACAAATAAAAATTGAAAAACATCTGGACTGCAAAGTTAGTAATTTGGTGTAAGACTTTGGAACGTAATGACATGCAAGTGACGGAAATGACATTGTGTTTATGCTAAATTGATAATCTTCTATTGCCATATATGGTCACAAAATGTTCCAACAGAAGGTTTCTGTTACAATCACTTCTTAAATAGTGAGAACACAGGTAGAAAAGAGTATTTTGGGCAAAAATGAGAATAGACATTCATTTATAAACAATTTTCTTTTCTCCCTACAATCCCCTACAATTTACAGTTTTCCCATAGGTTTCCCTACCACCTACAAACCACTAAATCTCCCTACTGTAGGATATTTCCCCTACAAGTGGCAGCACTGGCCCCCCCTTCGATAACCATATTAAAATCTAATAACTGTCACATCTGGTATGATTTTGCTGTCTAGCTTTAAATTTAAATTTTTTGTACATACATTCATAATGTGCAGTTTTCCTTGTTTTAATCTACAGTAAAATGATAATCTTCCAATCTGACAGGGGCCCCATTAGCCCAGGAGGCTTGTGGGTTCACCCACCCTGAGCCCATAGTTATACCATTGGCTTGTACTTGCATTTAGTTTAAGACACCTGCAAGTAACAGCTATCTTTGATACCAAAATCCGACACTAATTGCAGGGGTGTAAGCCCCTCGCCCTCCTAGCCTTGGTTACATGAGGTGCAAAAGGGTTACAATTCCCATTCAAAATATTAATATCCCAGCAATCAAGCTGACGCAATTGTGATTTGTTTTTGACAGAGCACAATTCCAAAAAACTATTATAACACAATTATAAACAAATCCGACCAAGTAATTTAAATTCCTTTAATCAATATTTATATTTCTTGCTAAACTGAGCCATTCACTACATACAGTCACTGTTCACTGACACACTTACCAAAACAATTGAAACGGAATTTGGTGCAAATTTATTTTGCATACGTTCACGAAAATATACGCTGCACAAGCACCGATAAATAATTTAGACAAAAATAGTTCTTACCAGACACGCCATTGACTTCAACATCAAAATAACAACGTGGTCGATAACCCGAAGGAGCCGGAGGAAAAGTCGCCATTTTCAAATAATGGTCTTTCATAATTCCTTAGGTGAAGTAAAAATTAAAAATATGTTTATACTTGCAGGCTCAGGTTATATATCATAAATAATTTATTCATTGCATCCAAATTCGAACTATTGATGATTCGAAACTACTAGTGGAAAAGTAGGGTTAGCGATGTTTTTATTGCTATGGATTGTTCATTGAAAATAATTTAAATTTATCGAAATTGGAAAATATGTAAAAGATTGTATGAATATTTTAGCAAAACTGAAAAACTTTTTATACTAAAATTGTAACTACATCCTGGACCTGGAACGACGGTGAATGCGAATGAAGATGAACTGATCAGTTTCTGTTGGAAAGTATCTGGAAGAAAAATATGGGTCATGTGACCGCAGACTGGACACCACTTGGTGATGTTTTTTACAGGTAAGTTTATTTATACTTATGATTTAGTGATACATTTTTTGTATGTTCAAATTTGAGCTTGCTGTCTATGACTGGTTTTGCTTTGGCATAGATAGACTATCACTAAATCTTCTTAGGGGCATCCAGATCCAAACTGGAAAGTGTGGACCGGAAATTCGAAATGTGCACACATAAATGTTTTTTTTTCAAAAATCATAAAAATTTTCCAGTCTGGGGGGGGGGGCATGGAACATGGTGCATTTTTGTTAATTGCCATATGGCTCTGATGAAGTTTCAATTTTGCAATTCAGTTTAAAGTAAATGTATTATTATTTTTGTTAAGTTCGAATCACAAAATGTGCACAATTGAAAACTGTCACAAAACATGTGTGTCTCTGATAACTGAAAAAAACCGTTTGATTATTTCCTTGAATGATGCATAGTAAGCTAAGACCTGTGTTTTCTGTAGTTTTTTGCCCAAAAAAGCATCAGAACTTTGGTCAAAAATTTTGTCAGCTAATTAAGCCATTGAAATAAATATAACTGAAATGCCACCTTTCCCTGCAATATTGAAGCAGCATTCTCCCCAGTCATTCTATTCAAAAAGAGCACACAGCATTATATATATATATATATATTTATATTGTTAAAACTACTCAAAATTAGGGAAATGAATCATTTAAGGTCAGTAAACCAGGCTTAATATTCTTAATTTGATAATGACTCATTGCTTGGGAGAGACAAATGAAAGCAAAAGACTACGTAAATATTTCTTTGAAAAAGTACTTTCTTTGTGTTGTTTTTTCCATAGTTGAAATACAGTATATTGACGAAATTTGTTTGCTGGTTATACAATTGTTTGAAAAAGAGAAAAGAGTTTTCTGTGCATACCTCTCAAGATATTTTTGTACCCCTTTTAGAATTTTTTCTCCCTTATCCCTCAACAAGTATTTGAACCCTCCAAAAAAGGAAGAAAAATTTAAAGATAAGGTCGTAGTTTTGTGTGCCTGCACTTGAGATAAAAAGCTAACTAACTAATGCAGCTTGCATTAAACTTCCTACTTTGTCTGTTATTTTACATTTTAGTACTCAAGATTACTCTCTTGTGCTTACAAATATGAAATTGATAAATCAACCAAAATGATGTTATGTGGTTTTTACTATTTTTATATTTTATGGTGAAAGCAAACATAAAAAGATAAAATTTGAGCTTCAAGGTTTAATTGGAAAATCCCAAAGATCCAAAATGCAGATGAAAACATTTCATAGAGCTCAAAATGAAAAATATCTTTCATGCATCACACTTCCCCTCCCCTCCCCTCCCCTATATGACACAATTATTTTGTTTAACCATTACTGATTGATTTGATTATTGAAGATGCCACAAGGTTGATTTATGCATTTTATTAGGCCATTTTATGTGATTACATCGGTTTTTAAAATCATGTGTGTTTTAGGTTGTGAATATTTTGATCGGAAAAATATTAATTTCTCAAATATATATGTTGACCATATATTAAAATATTTTTCAAGGCCAAAAATACGGTATTTGCAACTGTTTGTATGGCAGTTAAAATTTTATAATAAATGTATGGCCTGGCAAACTTTGTTGCAAACACTGATAGAGAAATAATTTTATTATTTATATATATGAGCGCCCTGTTCATACGTGAGTAGAAACTGAGGTCTTCTAGACACAAAAAATAAGCATTGAACATGATACATATCCTCAACAATGTGTTCTTGTTTCTATTGCTTTATAGAACTGTTGAACTGTATGTCATGGCATGGAAAGGCGAGATTGACATCACAAAACATCATATTGCAGCAGCGCATTATGGTGGACCAATTGGTGCGTAAGTTTTTGACTAGTAGGATAATTACGTATTTAAATGCAGTTTTATGTTTTTGAATGGTATTTTTATATAGCTCTGTGCAAGAAGCAAATGTACATACCTGGAGTAAAACCATTGATCTATATATACTCAGCTGCTGGAAGACTCATGGCTGAAATTAATGTCAGTTATATTCATTTGATTTTTTAGTAGACAATGAAAAATTATTCTCATTAGTTTTTATATCAATTGGTTTCAGTCTTAAGAAAAAATAGAAACAATTTGTTTTTCTAATCAAATACATTAGGTCATTGTTTTTAAATACATTGCAAAATTAACTTAGACTCAACACATGAAACCCAAACAAACTAAAAACTGCCATCCTTTTGGCTTAATGTAAACGCAAGACTTGGTCGAGATCGTGTGATTATAGTTTCAAACCTATTTCTGTAAAGATTTAGACTTGCAGCGCATAAACGAGTGTTTTTAAATAACTATATAAAAAATTTAATAATTAGTTATGGTAACGGGTTTTCTTTACTCTATATATGTTGAGTGGCAGTTTTAATTTATTTAATTGTTTTGATTTAATTCATTGTTTTTACGAAATCTCATAAATAATCTGTACATAAATTCAGTGTTTAATAAACTTTTTTGTCTGATATAATTTTTAATTGCGCGAAATCAGGGGCTCTGGAAGCACTGGGTGTCCAGACAGCGTGTGTCCCATATGAGCGGGACATCCGTAAAATTTGCTAATTTTTTAGAGTAATAATTGGTGTTTTTCAGCTGGTCCTTCGGTAAACTAGTCTACCATGACTGCCCCAAGGATAAATGCCTTGGCTGCTTGCCATGCTCACAAAGATATGCTTTATGCATTAGACATTGATGCAATTTCCAGGCATTTGTTTGTAAGGAACAGTGACAGAAACATTTTGGAAAATATTTGTGATCATTTATAGAATGTAAAAAAGTTATGTGAGTTAATCCATGATATTCCTAGCCGTTGTACCATAGGATAAAATAGGCAAAAATATTGTTTTTCAGAGAGAGCCCCTGCGCGCAACTATTTCTTTTTCTATCACTATTACATCATTGCTGGCTAACGGGTCGATTTTAATCCAATACATTTGCAGTGGGATGGTGTTAATCTTGTTCAAATGGGATGGTCCGTGTTTGAAGACTTACTGTGTGTTGCTGAAGACGGAACAATTTACGTGTATACGTTGTTGGGAGATTTTAAAAGAGTCATAACCACAGGACAGGTAAAAATAGTGTATTGTAGTTGGCAGAGGCGAAAAAGTAGAGTTATTTGAATTCAAATTAAATTGCTCCGAAATATATTTTGGCTGCATAATCAGCTGGCTTATGTAGGCCCTTTATACACTAGTGCGTTTTCGTTTGTATGCGTTTTCACCAGACCGAAAACGCATCGATCAATTTGCTCCCACACTACCCATTTTTGCAGCGTGTTTGACTGTCCACGTAAAACTCTTGAATACGATGACAGATAGAGGTGTGGTGTAAAATGGTAATTTGCGCATGCTCGGCACGTGTTTATGCTCTTTCCGGCGTGTAATATATTGGTTTTGAATTCAAAGACCGATTTCTTGCTCGAGTTGTACCTAGGAAGGCCGCATAAAACGTATTATCGTTGGACAGCTATTTGTCCATTGTGTAGAGCCATCATATAGACATGTAACGGAATATTTGACTACAAACAAGTTAATTTAAGCACAATTATGTTTGCTTGAAGTATGAGTAATGCCATTATTTCCTTAACATGCTCATCTACCATTTTTAGTTGTGTATGCGTTTTCATTTGTGTCCACACGATGTGTATGCGTTTTCATTTGTGTCCACAGAATGTGTATGCGTTTTCATTTGTGTCCACAGGATGTGTATGCGTTTTCATTTGTGTCCACAGAATGTGTATGCGTTTTCATTTGTGTCCACAGGATGTGTATGCGTTTTCATTTGTGTCCACAGGATGTGTATGCGTTTTCATTTGTGTCCACAGAATGTGTATGCGTTTTCATTTGTGTCCACAGGATGTGTATGCGTTTTCATTTGTGTCCACAGGATGTGTATGCGTTTTCATTTGTGTCCACAGAATGTGTATGCGTTTTCATTTGTGTCCACAGGATGTGTATGCGTTTTCATTTGTGTCCACAGGATGTGTATGCGTTTTCATTTGTGTCCACAGAATGTGTATGCGTTTTCATTTGTGTCCACAGGATGTGTATGCGTTTTCATTTGTGTCCACAGGATGTGTATGCGTTTTCATTTGTGTCCACAGAATGTGTATGCGTTTTCATTTGTGTCCACAGGATGTGTATGCGTTTTCATTTGTGTCCACAGGATGTGTATGCGTTTTCATTTGTGTCCACAGAATGTGTATGCGTTTTCATTTGTGTCCACAGAATGTGTATGCGTTTTCATTTGTGTCCACAGAATGTGTATGCGTTTTCATTTGTGTCCACACGATGTGTATGTTTTCATTTGTGTCCACAGGATGTGTATGCGTTTTCATTTGTGTCCACAGAATGTGTATGCGTTTTCATTTGTGTCCACACGATGTGTATGCGTTTTCATTTGTGTCCACACGTTGTGTATGCGTTTTCATTTGTGTCCACAGGATGTGTATGAGTTTTCATTTGTGTCCACAGGATGTGTATGCGTTTTCATTTGTGTCCACAGAATGTGTATGCGTTTTCATTTGTGTCCACAGGATGTGTATGCGTTTTCATTTGTGTCCACAGGATGTGTATGCGTTTTCATTTGTGTCCACAGGATGTGTATGCGTTTTCATTTGTGTCCACACGATGTGTATGCGTTTTCATTTGTGTCCACAGGATGTGTATGCGTTTTCATTTGTGTCCACACGATGTGTATGCGTTTTCATTTGTGTCCACAGGATGTGTATGCGTTTTCATTTGTGTCCACACGATGTGTATGCGTTTTCATTTGTGTCCACACGATGTGTATGCGTTTTCATTTGTGTCCACACGATGTGTATGCGTTTTCATTTGTGTCCACAGGATGTGTATGCGTTTTCATTTGTGTCCACACGATGTGTATGCGTTTTCATTTGTGTCCACACGATGTGTATGCGTTTTCATTTGTGTCCACGATGTGTATGCGTTTTCATTTGTGTCCACACGATGTGTATGCGTTTTCATTTGTGTCCACACGATGTGTATGCGTTTTCATTTTGTCCACACGATGTGTATGCGTTTTCATTTGTGTCCACACGATGTGTATGCGTTTTCATTTGTGTCCACACGTTGTGTATGCGTTTTCATTTGTGTCCACTTTCAACAGCGTTTCAAACGAAAATGCATTAGTGTAGACGATGCCTTAGAAGGACCTGTTTGATAGAGCTCGCTATTTTATCGTACTAACACATCATGCATTTGATCCATATGGTCTTTCGTGTACTTAAAAATTATTTTTGATTCTAACTATATATCTGTTGTGAACGTTTTTAAAACTTTAGCTTGACAAAATGTTACATGATATTATTTCATTTCGTTACCTGGTCTATTTGAAAGTAGCTTGTTGATTAAAATTTTACATTCAGTTTCTCTTTAGGAAGCCAAAGAATCTAAAGTGATAGATTGTAGATTTTTCTCAAGCTGCATGGGTACGGGGATCACTATGTTAACTGGAAAATACTGTTTTTATACAATAAATAATTTACAAGAGAAAAGAATTCGAAAGATGGCCAGTCCACAAGGTAATGAATGAAATATTACCTGATCCTGTTGCTTAATAAATCCTGTTGCTTAATTTACTTCCCAGATTTTTTAAATAAACCAACTTTTTAAGAGCATGGCAGAGAATTTCATGTGTTACCTAGGCCTTTAAATTGTATATGTTGTATTTTTGTGTGGAGCGTTGTCTAGGAAATAGCGCTTTAAAGATATTTTTACGAGAAATACTTTCACTTGACATCATTTGATTCATGTTGAATTACACGTTGGGGACATACGTAAGCCTCTTCTAGGAAATATCGTTTCAACGACATTTTTACAATACATACAAATACGTACTTTTGTAATTTCTCCTACCAATATTTCGTCAATATCCGCCATTGCAGAGTAGCTATTTATACACTGAAACAATACTTAATCACTTGTTTGTTATTGGGCAAGTGTTTGTTCATATATATAGAGTGAATGTCGGTCGAAATTTTTATGCGATATTGCTTAGATTTCTCATAACTTCAGGTCTCGATGCTCCCCCCAACAGCTGGATCACGATTCCTGAAGAACGAGGATCGCGTGTTTTAGTTGCTGTTGAAAGCTTTTTATTTTCTCTCACGATTGAAAATGTTGTTAAATTAGTAAGTGTTTTTCTTGTTCAATTATTAAGTTGCCATGAAAACTTAGCAATGTTGTGATGAGTGGAAAAATTGAAACTAGTCATACATAATATAAACTATAAACCTTCCTGAAGTGAACTGGAATATTTGTTTGTCGTTAATGTAGTTAGAGTCAGTGCATCGCTAAGGTCACTTAGGCGATTTTAGTTGTGTTATTGCCACAGTATGTCCTAAACATTGCTATTTTGTCGAATTGCACGCTTGTGTGGTATATTAGTAACATGAATTAAAATTAAATGGGAGTTAATAGAGAAATGAAAAAAAATGTATAAAACATGAGCCAAAAATAGTGTTTTTTAAAAACTTTGTATTATCCTTGAAACCGTAGTCATGATATGTCTGTGTGTCAACAGAAAGTTTTATATTTCCATGTTTTGTTTGCCTGGACTAAGTGTATGAAGAGATTTCATGGTTGCTCTCCACTAAATGAATCACGTGTCATGAATCACGTGTTTTTGTCATGCAGTGGTTGATCACATACGTTGCTACTGTAGTCTGGCTGGAACTCTTGTCGGGCACTAGTTCCAAAGGGTCAATTTCATACCATATTTGTATTATTTAAGTTTATCATCTTGCACTTGCAGCTCCTCCCCCACCATGATTCAGTAAAGCCTGATAATTGACATGCATATGTATACCAAGCCATTGGCGATGAAAGATCGATAATAAGGGGGGGGGGCAATATTCATATGTGCTATGCCGTGTTTAATTGCTTTGAAATGCATTGTTTTCTATATCTTGCATTTATGAATAAGATTCCCCACCCCCAACTTTCGATCTTCCTTCACTTCTGCCCAAAATTATATTTGCACGTACGTCTGATCTTTGACTTATGTCTTCAGAATCCAGAAATTTCGAGCGAAATTAACGCAATTACAGAAATGGCGCTGTCTGTGAACAACAAATACTTGGCACTTTTTGCTGACACTGGTTTAGTATGGATAGGATCGTCAGATTTAAAAGTAAGGTGCAATCATTCTTTATTTGGTAGGATTTACATATATCTTATTACCATATCTATATTTTTTTAATATAGACTGTTTACTGTGAATTTAACACCCGGCAAACCTCGCGTCCAGAGCAGCTTGCTTGGTTAGTTAAAATAGTCATTGATTAAAGAAATATACAAATTCCCTTATTCCTTTACTAGTTCATATTTTTATGAATTCCTTGGATTTAATACCAAATCACAAAAATATGTGGACAATATCAAAATTACTTTCATACTTATTTACTTTTTCAAAATTAGGGCTATGGTTTTAAAGAATACTGTTTCAATCATTTACAATGCTCTGCTAAAATTTCCATTCAATTTTTTTTATGTTAATCTGTCAATGTTTGCACTTAATTTTACAGCAGTTGCTTAAGATGAAAGAAATGGAAGTTATAACGAATGAACCATATTTCTTAAAAACCAAAAAAAATAACAATTGCTGTTTGATTTTAGGTGAATTGCATGATGACATTAACTATTTTTTCTATTTTGTAGGTGTGGAAATGGAGCTCTGATCTGTTATTGGCAATTTCAGTACATGATGATTGGACCAGACAAAGATGTTGATACATATCCTTTCATCGCCATTCTTTTGTATTTATTGTATATTCTGAGTGAAGATGGTTCATCGTTGACATGGCATTGAGCCTTTATAGAAATGAAATAATTGTTTTGTATTGTGGTTGTTCTGTATGAATATGGTGTATAGTTGACGTGTTATTGAGCCTTCTTTGAAGTGATTGTTTCCAACTGTAGTTTGTTCTGTGTGAAAATGGTGTATAGTTGACGTGTCATTGAGCCTTCTTTGAAGTGATTGTTTCCTACTGTAGTTTGTTCTGTGTGAAAATGGTGTATAGTTGACGTGTCATTGAGCCTTCTTTGAAGTGATTGTTTCCAACTGTAGTTTGTTCTGTGTGAAAATGGTGTATAGTTGACGTGTTATTGAGCCTTCTTTGAAGTGATTGTTTCCAACTGTAGTTTGTTCTGTGTGAAAATGGTGTATAGTTGACGTGTCATTGAGCCTTCTTTGAAGTGATTGTTTCCTACTGTAGTTTGTTCTGTGTGAAAATGGTGTATAGTTGACGTGTCATTGAGCCTTCTTTGAAGTGATTGTTTCCAACTGTAGTTTGTTCTGTGTGAAAATGGTGTATAGTTGACGTGTCATTGAGCCTTCTTTGAAGTGATTGTTTCCAACTGTAGTTTGTTCTGTGTGAAAATGGTGTATAGTTTGACGTGTCATTGAGCCTTCTTTGAAGTGATTGTTTCCTACTGTAGTTTGTTCTGTGTGAAAATGGTGTATATTTAACATGTTATTGAGCCTTCTTTGAAGTGATTGTTTCCTACTGTAGTTTGTTCTGTGTGAAAATGGTGTATATTTAACATGTTATTGAGCCTTCTTTGAAGTGATTGTTTCCTACTGTACTTTGTTCTGTGTGAAAATGGTTTATAGTTGACGTGTCATTGATTCTTCATAGAAATGATTGTTTTGTATTGTATGTTGATCTCTGTGAAAATGATTTATATAGTTGACATGTTATATTGAGTTTCTTATAAAAATGTTTGCTTTTCATAACCATTTTCAATCGTTTTCTCGACGACGATATTTATATGGTGCCTGAAATTGACGGAATTCGGATTATCAGTAACGAAAAGCACGAATTCCTTCAAAAAGTTCCTAGTAAGTGGAAGAACTATGAGTTTGATTTCTACAAAACGTTCTTACTATGTGGAAGAACTATATTCAATCCAGTTGATATTTTTGCTCGTTTTTTCGTTTCACGAAATTTAAGTATCACTGTTTTACGAATGGCACAAGGAATCAAACGTTTCTAACTGCCAGAACTTTGGAAATGCGAACTGAAGTTGAGCTAACTGAACTGAAATATTATTTTGAGTTTGCTTGAGATTAGTTTTGACGAAAGCTTGATATCATCATAGCTATGCTTGATTGAGATGTGCTCCGATCTTGAATATTCGTTTGTTTTTGATTATCTCAAATATGTTGTTTATGTTATGACTTGGCAGATAATAAAAACATAAAATATAAATGCTCTTTAGGCGTTGTGGAAAATGTATTTAAGATTGGTTCGTTTGAGTCAGGGGCCATGTTGTATGAAGCAATGAAAGAATTTGAGGTATGTTTGTGTGTTGTTGGGAAAACCAACATGAACAGTGTAAGAATTCAATTGTAATTCACAGTTCGTGTTGTATGAACAGCTCTTTTAAAAAGGTCGAAAAATGGTGGAAAGAACTAAGTATTGCTCCAAAACTACTGCATCTTCGAATATTTTTTGTATTTATACAACGTATTAAGTGGTTATAACATATCAAATCAATATTTGTTCTTTGCTATGCCTTCTCTAAACCTATCTTTGTGTTAAAATTCGCAGTTTCTCATTTCTTATGCATGATGGCAAAATTCGAACATGTTCTACCTACGAATATATTTGTGTTCTTGATATCTATTTTAAGTTTTTCAAAAGCTCTATGAAACTTTCTTCTAGAAAAAAAGCGCAAAAGCTGATGAGTACATTCGTATGATAAAGGATAAGCTGTCGGAAGCTGCAAAACAGTGTATACAGGCTGCAGGATCTGAATTTGAGCAAACATTACAAAGAAGTTTATTGCGCGTAAGTTTTAATTAGAAGAACAATTAGTTAATAATGCCACACTCGCTATTCAGAAATATAATAGTAATAATAAGTTTATTAAGCTTATTGCGAATAATGTTTTTAGTGAAACACCTTTTTCATGTTTTTCATTTCTCAAATTAATGAGCATATCATATAAAACAGTATCTGTAAATCTTCACTCACTGTCCTCCTAACTGCCATAAGCAGCAAACGTTGAAGCGAATCACTGAGACCCTGGCTTGTGACCGGTTTTTTTATTTCATTATTTTTTACCAAATTCTTCTAGCACGTTTTCTTACTGTCTGTGAGATTTTTTGTCAGTTTTTTTTTACAAATGCTTATTTACAGGCGGCTTCATTTGGAAAAAGTTTCGTCACTGAATCTGAACCTCATCAAAAATTTGTCGAAATGTGCCAAATGTTACGAGTGTTGAATGCTGTTCGTGATTACATCGTTGGTGTTCCACTGACTCTTGTCCAGTATCCTTCAATTGTAGACAGAACATGAGTAGAAAGAGTCGTTTTTGTTAAAATTACTCAGTAGCCTTATGGGTCAAATAGTTTTTGTATCAATGCACATTTAATACAAACGACAAGTTTTTTGAAAATAGACATGTTTCGACATCTCATGATGCCATCTATAACACTTTTATATAAACCTTGTATCACCTATTATCTCACTCATACTGAAGATGGCATCATGAGATGATGAGAACTTGTTTTCAGATTCATTAGCTACCTTTTTTCTCAATGTTTTTTTTTTGTTTTCTGAGTTTATTTAATCTTAATCGAATTCAGATTGGAAAAAATGTCTATTCCTGTACTTATTGACAGGTTAGTGTAAAGTTATTGCACACATTTGTTCATAATTTTCCGCTAAATCGAGGAACAATGCGTCGAAACTACAAAATTTAAATATGTTTATTTCTATAGTGGCCAGATTAAGGGTCCTTATGTGATAATTACAAAATATAACCTCGTGTATACAGGAATTCACTTTGTGATTAAAAAATATGACCACGTGATCAAGAGATTTAATTCATGTATCCATTTAAAATGAAAAGTGCACCCTATTTTGCCTGATTTCTTGACAAAACGTCAGATATATCAATATGTCAAAAACTATTTATTTTCAAGGTTGGTTTTGCGAAGACAGTATTGTCTAGCTATTCGCATAAGTAACTATTTAAAAATCCCTAAACGCGATGGAGAAAGCAGAATATTGGCTCACTGGGCTTGTTTTAAGGTATTGATTTGTTTGAGTCTCTTCATTTTCTCCTATGATGGTTTGTTTGTTTTATACCATTCATGGTAGCCTTTTACGATGGTTCATTTCGTGTTGGAACATGGTAACCTCCTATGATTATTCACCATGTTTTACACCCTACATGGCAACCTCCTATGTTTATTCACCATGTGTTACACCCTACATGGTAACCTCCTATGTTTATTCACCATGTGTTACACCCTACATGGTAGCCTCCTATGCTTATTCACCATGTGTTACACCCTACATGGTAGCCTCCTATGATCATTTACCATGTGTTACACCCTACATGGTAACCTCCTATGTTTATTCACCATGTGTTACACCCTACATGGTTGCCTCCTATGCTTATTCACCATGTGTTACACCCTACATGGTTGCCTCCTATGCTTATTCACCATGTGTTACACCCTACATGGTAGCCTCCTATGCTTATTCACCATGTGTTACACCCTACATGGTAGCCTCCTATGCTTATTCACCATGTGTTACACCCTACATGGTAACCTCCTATGATTATTCACCATGTGTTACACCCTACATGGTAGCCTCCTATGTTTATTCACCATGTTTTACACCCTACATGGTAACCTCCTATGTTTATTCACCATGTGTTACACCCTACATGGTAACCTCCTATGATGGTTCACCATGTGTTACACCCTACATGGTAACCTCCTATGATGGTTCACCATGTGTTACACCCTACATGGTAGCCTCATATGATGATTGACCATATGTTACACCTTTTTTGTGACTTAAAAACAATTCTTTTTTTGAAATCTTCATGAGTTTTGAACTGTATTAATTTTTACTTAAAGGTGCAACAAACGAACAAAGATGATGAAGACATCGCTCAAGCTATCGCTCTAAAACTTGGTGATGCACCTGGTATATCATACACAGAGATAGCATCTAAAGCCTTGAATTGTGGACGAACTCAATTGGCAATCAATGTATGCATCAATAAAATTCCAATTAATTTTTTTCTTTGCTCAGTCGATTTAAAAAATTTTTACTGAAATGCTTTACTTTAATAAACATGTTTTAAGACAGAGATGCTGTACGTTTATTAAAGAGTTTACAATTCTATGATGTAATCCAACCAATAACACCATCATATTTAAGCTTAATGAATATTTCTTTATCATACAAGTCGCTTTTGATTTTTTAGAAAGATAGTCACAGCTCTTTATTTCAATCAAAAGACATTATTATACCCCCACTTCCTCATATCGTCCAACTAGCACTCTCGAGCTAACTAATGCATGTAATAGTTACAGAATGTATTTGAAAATTATCATAGTGCATAGTATTGTCATCATTATTACAATGATAGTATTTTACCAAACTCACCAATATTCATTGGGTTTTTAAAAACCATCACCAGTTGCTTAGAAGATAAGGAAATTATTATGTAGATTATACAAGACATTGTAAAAATAGTTAGATTGGCATCACTTCCCAGTAGAAATATAGTTTACGTTTAAATAATATAAGTTTAGAGCTAAGTCTTTAAATCGATTATTGCTCGTAATGTCACAGTTATATTGGAAGAATGTGCACTGCCAATCATTTAAACATTACGTACTTAAAGTTTTTGTTCTTCTCGTGCAGCTTTTGAATTATGAATCCAAAGCAGAAGACCAAGTCCCACTGTTAATTGAAATGAAGAAAAATCAGTTGGCATTAGAGAAAGCAATCGAAAGTGGTGATACTGATTTAGGTAAATATTTTAGTTTAATCTTGTACTCTTACTCATTTTTTTGACAGATTACTTTAAATAGAGTAAACACGTTCTGTTAAGGATAAATTGGAGTTGCATTGTGCATGGTCTGTGAAGGATAAATTGGAGTTGTATGTGCGTGGTCTGTGAAGGATAAATTGGAGTTGCATTGTGCATGGTCTGTGAAGGATAAATTGGAGTTGCATGTGCATGGTCTGTGAAGGATAAATTGGAGTTTCATGTGCATGGTCTGTGAAGGATAAATTGGAGTTGCATGTGCATAAGCAGAAAATTGCTCAACTTTATTTGAGGATAGTTGAATGATTGCAGTAATTTATAGATATAGCGATTTGGTTTATTTAGTATATATGGTAGTGATGAAAATGAAGGCTAAAAACGAGCAGATAAAAGAATTATTAAAGACCTTAAGACCTTTCCCTGTTGCTCTGAGTCTCTTTATCAAGGTAAGGTTCTTTGACGTATATTTTGAGTGAATATGCTCAATACGTATAATAAGTTAAAAAAATGACAATTGTATTTATTAACTTATTAAAACTACATTGTCGTTAAAGTGTTATTATATATAAAATAATAATTGTATATTTAAAGTCGAATACACAAGCTCAGTGGCGCATGTTTGTCGTGTATTTGGTATTTTGCTTTGCATTGGTTATATTTCGTAAATTTTAACTCTTAAATAGTATTGTAAAGAACAAGAACTTAGGACATTGGAAAGTCTTTATTTGATTGATGATCAATTTCTTAACCTTGCAAATCTTCATTTGCATAACAGTTACATGACTGTGGTAAGTTGCTTGTTAATTTACCACCAGTTTTGATGTTACATTTTATGTGCTGTTAACAAGTTTTTTCGTTGTAGGAGATGGACAAAAAGATTGAATGTTTGAGAAAATCTGCCAGTTATTTTAGCCAGGGAAATCTTTTGTTCCCAAAGCAGGTTCGTGCTGTTTATTGCTTGTGTAATCAAACAGTTTAAGAAAGCAATTCCCAGCTCTTTTATATACTTGTTAATTACGGGGAAATGTTATGTTTAATTATGTTGAGCCAACTTGGCCATAAAAGCGAGTTAATTGGTTGTTTAGGGGCAAAATTTGAATTATTAATATTGGGTGGACTCGTTCTCATACTTTTATATACCTTACATTCTAAGAATTTATGTGGTCGACAACATCCTTATCAACAAAACGCAACAAATTTTCATTATAGCCGTTTTGTCGGAAGATGAAGACAAAACGTCTCATTAAATTTTCCACATAGTACAATCTTTTATTTATGCCTCCTCTAAAGTTATTTGTCATGAGTGTCAGATGTTTTTTATCGTATAGGTGTAGTTGTGTTACCTGCAAGTACCTTCGTCTTGTTTTTCATAGTATTCTGCATCTTCGAGATGTTTTGTTTTTGGGGTTTTTTGGAATGTGGTTGTTAAAATTTTTGCTATATATACCGATCAGATTGTTTGAAAAAATGGGTTTGTATGAATCAGAAAAACGAGTTCACAGCTAGTTCACAATGAGCTCGAAAAACCAACTGGTATTTTCTGCTACCTGCAAAAAACCAAAGATACAGGCATGCTATTTACTGGGACTTAAAGCTAGCAAAGAATTACAACTCTTCTCTTAAATTATAATACACTCTTTCTACCAGTCGGGTCGGTAGTTTCAATTCATCCTTTTGCAATGCTACACCTCTTCCAACTCTGCCTTTGTAAATATCACACTATTTAATTTCTATTGCTTACTTCCGTTTACTTATTTCATGCGTTGTAAATATATATGTGTACGTATGGTTTTAAATATCATTCTGTCTGAGGATGACTTTGAAATAAAGTCGAAAATTTACAATTCACTTCTCGTCTTGTTTTGATGCATATTTTGCAATCTCAAGATGTCTTGCTTCCTCGGAATTTGTTTTATATTATATTTTTTTAAATTGTCGGCTGGTCATGGTTTTTGCTATTTACTGGGTTCTCAGTTTTGGTTCTCGAATGCGCTTTCAAATTAGCGAATCACTGGCTATAGTTATGTACCAACAACTATACAACACGAGATGATCTGGTATTAAGATGTAATTGGGATTAAACTTGGGCCAGCAAGTTTGATGCTCCATAGGACTGATCAATGCGCAATTTACTTTTAGGCAATTGATGAACATATCAAGTTATTAGAAAAGCAGAAAGTTTTTGAGGAACAGTTAAGATTTCCAGGACTCATTGGATTATCCGTTAGTGATACTATTTTTGAGGTAACGAAAAGTCAAAAAAAATATGTTAAAATTACCTGATATTTATGATTACGTAGATCGTTAAGTCAATTTTATTTTGTAGTTAGTTAATAAAGGTAAAGATAAAGAAGCAGAACAATTTAGAAAAGAATTCAAAGTTCCTGATAAAAGGTTTTATATATTGAGTCTTAAATATTTACTTCTACTTCACTTATCACTGGTACTTCAATGACATGTCATTCAAAACTATTTATTATATGCATTCTTTTTTTGTTCGTGTAAATGATAAATATTAAATTGAACGTACTTTCAGATCTACTTAAGATATTTATATATAATCAAATTTTTCCTTTTGTTTGTCTTACTTGAAGAAATTTCCCCACGTATAGTTGGTCCTCTTTGTTTATATACCACGCATTTTTCTAATGTAAACTGATTTCTAGATATTACTGGTTGAAGTTGCGAGCTCTAGCTAAAGCTCATGAGTGGGTGAAACTTGATGAATTCTGCAAAAGTAAAAAACCTCCTATAGGATACGAGGTGATTATTCTGACAATCAAGGACCCTCTTATGGTTATCACCATGATAGCTTTATACTAACTCATATACGGTTGAAATATACGTTCATATGCACTTACATTGCAGTTACATACTGTTGCATTGTGGTTGTTATATGGTTGCATTGTGGTTGTTATATGGTTGCATTGTGGTTACATACTGTTGCATTGTGGTTGTTATATGGTTGCATTGTGGTTACATACTGTTGCATTGTGGTTGTTATATGGTTGCATTGTGCTCACATACTGTTGCATTGTGGTTGTATATAATTGCATTGTGGTTACATACTGTTGCAATGTGGTTGTATATAGTTGCATTGTGGTTACATACTGTTGCATTGTGGTTGTTATACTGTTGCATTGTGGTTGTTATACTGTTGCATTGTGGTTGTATATAGTTGCATTGTGGTTACATACTGTTGCATTGTGGTTGCATTGTGTTTACATACTGTTGCATTGCGGTTGTATATAGTTGCATTGTGGTTACATACTGTTGCATTGTTGTTTTATATGGTTGCATTGTGGTTACATACTGTTGCATTGTGGTTTTATATGGTTGCATTGTGGTTACATTCTGTTGCATTGCAGTTGTATATAGTTGCATTGTGGTTACATACTATTGCATTGTTGTTTTATATGGTTGCATTGCGGTTACATACTGTTGCATTGTGGTTGTATATGGTTGCATTGCGGTTACATGCTGTTGCATTGTGGTTTTATATAGTTACATTACTTTACAACACACGGTAACATTACGGTTACAATGCAGGATTACATACCTTAAAATACCTGGTTATATTATACGGCTAACATTACGTTTCACAACATACGGTAAATTTACTGTAACATCATAACATTACGTCACTTTAACATCATACAATTACGTCAATGTATATTACATAAATTACATTGTATATTGCAAAAATACCATAATATAACACTTTCCATATAATTCTACTTTTGTTAAACAAGTCGTAAATAACAGCAGCCAATATATGAAATGTCTGCCACCTGGAATAATTTTTGTCGACGAAACACTGAGCAGTATAATGAGTCCTTCGTGTATTGTTTATAAGGCAGAAGTATATTTTTTTAAGCACCGAAAGATTGGGATCGTTACCATTAGCTTCCACTTCATAATTTTTATTTTCAGCCGTTTTTTGAAGCATGTTTCGAGTACGATAATTTGAAAGAAGCGGAAAAGTATATTTCACGTGTTCCCATTGAAGAGCGAATGAAATGTTACGTAAGAGTCGGGTAAGTTGTCAACTATTGCTAATGAATATCGTGATACATTTTAATTTTAATAAGTGAAACAATTTTTATTATAAATAGTAATAATTAAATTATGATCTCTTGAAGGAACATCGAGCAAGCAGCCATTGTTGCCTTCAATCAAAAGAATGAAGAAGCTCTGAACAGCCTTTTGGGACGTTGCGGGACAAATAGGACACTTATCTCAAAAATCGATTCAATGAAAGCGCAGCTTTCTCAGAAGAGATAACTTAAGTTTCGTGAAACCATTTTTTAAATGGAGATGATTGATTGTTTATGTCATGTTGTCATTTTTACTCCTGCAATCGTCTAAAATTTCGATCTGTTGAACGATTAATGTGAAAAACATATTTTATTTTGCAATATTATTTTAGCACATGTGACATGTGACATTATGTAAGTAGGTATGGAACATGCAGCACGGTTATATGGAGTATATAGTTTGAACTTTGAAGCATAGCATGTTGTAGTGTATAGAAGCTTAAAGTATAACATGCAGTAGTAAGTTGAAGCTTGAATTAGTAAGTTATTGTATTTTGAAGCTTTAACTAGCATGTTGTTGTATGTAGAAGCTCCAGCAAGCGTGTTGTAGTTGGTAAAATCTTGAACTAGCGTTTTGTAATATGTAGAAGCTTTAGGTACCGTGTTGTATTGTGTAGAAGCTGGTAGGATGTAGAAGTTTCAACTAGCGTGTTGTAAAATTTTGAACTACCATTTTGTGGCATGAAGAAGATTGAATTAGCGTGTTGTAGCATGTTGAAGCTTGAACTAGCACGTTCTACTTTGTAGAAGCTTGACATAGTAAGTTGTAGTATTTAGAAGCTTGAACTAGCGTGTTGTAGCATGTAGAAGCTTGAGAATTAGCGTGTTGTAGCATGTAGAAGCTTGAATTAGCGTGTTGTAGCATGTAGAAGCTTGAACTAGCGTGTTGTAGCTTGTAGAAGCTTGAACTAGCGTGTTGTAGCTTTTAGAAGCTTGAACTAGCGTGTTGCAGCTTTTAGAAGCTTGAACCAGCGTGTTGTAGCATGTAGAAGCTTGAACTAGCGTGTTGTAGCTTGTAGAAGCTTGAACCAGCGTGTTGTAGCTTGTAAAAGTTTGAACTAGCGTGTTGTAGCTTATAGAAGCTTGAATTAGCGTGTTGTAGCATGTAGAAGTTTGAAACAGTTCCAATTTTATATTTATTTGTTTTTGACTTATTTCCAAATAAAAAATCTCGTTAGAGTATAGATTCAATGAGTAAACCGCAATTCAAATGAAATAATCTGGCTTAAGCGTAGCATATTGTAGTCCTGTTGCTTGTAGTATTTTCTAGAAGCCTATTTAATGCAATCGGAAATAGCTATGAAAGAGATAATTTGCACCCGCAAGAATAAATATAATACTTTCCCTCGTGTAATGAGACGTGTCAAGTTTCTGCTTTTAGTTGTTATTACAAAAATCTAATGTCCACTTTGGTACAGAAAGAATTACTCTATTTAACGAAATATTCCTATTCGATTCATATGGCTTTAACACGTAGGAAGCGTTAGTATACTGTTGATTGGGACTGATGGTTTTCTTAAGTTTATACTCAAAGAAGTTTCCTGTATGTGATTTCCCATGACGTTTGAAAGTAACCTAAGGACATGTGGGTTAAACAATTTACGAATTGAGATTAACCATGAATGCAAAGACAACTCGATTTCTTGATGAGATAAAAGTCTTCGAATCTACGAATTTATGTATTCCTATTTTTCATGCTTTATTAAAATGAAGTTAGAGAATTGTCAACAAGGAAAAGACATCCCCATTATATTGAGCAATAAGGAAACTGAAATGTTTCATAGCAAACTTCTTTAAACATTTAAAGTCTTGACCGCACACCTAACTTCCTGTAAATATTCTTACTTATCTGTTTTTGGACCATATGCGCCTTTTTTCGACGATGTTAACTTGATTAATTACATGATGGCAAAGTAATGCGTATATCTCTTTAAGTCGTATCTCTTACTTACGCGTAATGGCATTAGTAAGAGTTGAACACAAATAACAATTCTCTAACTGTTGTTGGCTGTCAATAATGAAGACATACAACTCGATCTGATCAACAATTTTTGTATTGGTATATGTAATGGTAGCTGAATTTATAAAATGTGTGTGTTCCTTTTTAGAAAAGTAGAAAGAAATACCTTTGCTATTCAAAGTTTTCTTTGGCGATTTGCCCGGATAATTGATACTAAAAAAAATTGAGGGACGAAATCTGATTGGCTGAGTGAAGTAAAAATTCTCTAAAGACTACTCTGAATACGCCAAAAGACGTCATTTATTTTAATTTCGGACGATAATTCATTACAATCTATTGTTCTGTTAAAGGTTCTAATATTGATGTAATTATAAATTTACAATAAGGTTTATAAATTATATATTTTTAAATTGGTATATTTTATTGTGTACTTTTAACTATACATATCGACATAGCTGATTTACTTGTACGCCGCTTTATCAACGGTATGCTGTTGTCTTCAAAACTGAAGACTTTTTAATTAATTTCACACCAAATTACACAGCGTAAAATATATTCAAAATTACTGTGTTCAAGATTTAGATTTACTTAGTTAAAGCTCTTTAAATTTTGTTCTTTGTACAATTTCAATTGAGAGTTTGAAAAATTGAACGTGTTTCATTGAAATAACACATAATTTGATTCAATTTCAAATCCCCGTTTTAAAGGAGTGACGGTTTTATCATGCTAATCAGAACGACAAAAGATGTTTAAAAAATAGCCAAATGAACAAGCTTAGAATTTTTTGATTGACGAAGTAGATCGAATATCATGTTTGTTGTCTGTTGTGTACCTTACCAAACTCGACGAGACGTAGTTATCACTTGGAAAACAAAATAAGTAATAGCAGGCGAAGAAACTTTGCTATGCACGTTAGAATTGAAGAGAAAAGACACAAGTGCAAATATGAACGATATGCGATTGGCGTATGAACTATTTGCCCGAAGTAGTTTAGTTGATGAACCTAACGTTGCTTATTGTTACTTATCTCTCGAATCTCGATATAAATGCAACGTTTTTATCAACGTTTCTTTAACTACTGTTGTAAAACTGAACACAGTAAAGTTGGATTTGGGCTGGAAATTTAGACTTGTCGACAATAAAGTAAAGTTCGCGCTCAAAACACCGATTTCAAATCAACTATCATCGTGTCGTTCAACACCCAACTTGAAAATATTTAGAACTGTTAGTCTTGATCAATACAAATCAAGATTAGCAACACAAGTTAATGAATTTCCTTTATCTCCATTCTACGGGTCGCTTAAACACCGCTCCTTAGAATCGTCGTTCGCTTATCAGATTATGAAATAAGTAAAAAAACAACATCGTACTATTTAACAAATTCTCATGCTTGTGCACATCGTAGCTCCGTCATTGCTGAAATTTTTCCTGATGGTATCGATGTTATTAAAGCCGGGACTCCTGTACACTTTAAGGTTTGATCAGCTATATTCATTCCATCCATTGTTGTCTTAATTTTCATTAGCTTTATTGGCTGTATACCATGGAGACTTTTCATTTTTTGCTTAATCAAATTCTTGAGATTAATTGCAAATCAGTGACGACAAAAATGTTCATACAGTTTGACATTCGACAAGAAAACTAGGTTGAAGCACTGATGGTAAGAATAGTTATTTCTTTATCGTAGACGATGGCAGCATTGACAGTAACTATGATGCTCGTGAGAATTGCAAATATAAATTACTGAATTATCTATTATACTAAGCTCTAACAAACATCAAAAATAAATTTGAAAGTAGCTATCTATAAAACGTTTTGCAATTAGCTATGTGAATAAGTGATCCATCCTCTTGTTTACAGAGAAACAGTAATTTCTGCCGCTCTGGTCGATCTTTTGATCAATCCCATTCACTGTCAATCCCATTCATGCATTCAAAAACATTGAAATAGCTCTAAATTTGATTCATCACTTTATCATTTCCATTTTTCTTTAAGTTGACTATAAGAAATGAACATGGAGAAGCTTTGCCAAAGAAGACAAAATCAAAACTCTCTGTCAAACTAGGAGAAGAAACCATATTCGCTGGCGAAACACACAAAACTGTTTTCAAACTCACAAAAACTGAAACAGGAGTCTTCAGCATTTTCTTTTTCATCAACAACGAACGCATACCATTTAATCCTTTTCATTTGACAGTCATCTCAAGAGAAGCATGCTCTCTATCTAATTTCGTTTTTAAAGAAGAAAATCCGTTCGTGAAACAATATAAACCGCAGACTAAAGCTATGTACACATTTGTTAATATGATTTGCCAAGCGGACATCGTCGACAAATATGGGAATAAGGTTCACAAAAACCATTCAATCAAAATTATTTCCAAACCAATCATTAATATTACAGGAGTTGACGCATATGATGGAACAATTTTCTTCAAAGCCAGATCGGAGATAACTGGACAAGTAGAGTTAGATTTCCTGGTGCGAGAAGTTGATTTAAATGATGAATTTACGTTCAAGAAAGTTGTTCAAGTGAGACACGTGACATTGGATGATCAATACGATATTTAAGACGAGTGTATGAACAAATGATTGGTAACAAAATAGCATTTAATAAATACGATGAATGAAAACTATTTTGACTAAATGTAAAATAGATTATTTCGAGTGGATTTTTTCTACCATACCCATGGGGCCATGGGCTGTGGATAAATATTTATGTAACATTGTATCTTTCTATGAAGATGAAGTTAATTTGAGTTAATGCATGAAATGAAACTGGATAACTAAATTAAAACGCCAGTTGTAGTACTCCGGATGAAACAAGCTTTATTACAAGTTATGGTAGAATTTTCGAGTTCAAAATATTAATTAATTTTTAAAACCGTAAAGAATTCTTCCTATTAAATTATAATCAAAGTTTTTTCTTTTGATTTAAACTTTTTGTTTAAAAAATTGGCGAACATGTAGCGTCATGCATTATGCGTACGATGAAACAGAGTAACACAGAAGCAATATGAAAAATGAAAATGACAAACAGGATAACACCAGTGGCATTATCAATACTATTTGCGTTTCGACTGAAACAAAGGTTTTTTTATAAAAAAAAGTCAACTAAAGTCAAAGAGAAAGGGTTGTAATACAGTGAAAATATCGCGTTTTAGGTTGACTTAAGGTAAAAGGTTGTTGAATTCCACTTTACTCCCTGTTTCCTATAGTCAAGAAATAGTGTACTGTTCGGTTGTGATAACAGTGCTAAGTGATTATTTTCTGTCTACATAATTTAAGCCATAGAGAGACGAGTAATGCACACGAAACAAGAAAACGTAGCTAGTTACAACGATCAAGTTAGGAAAGACACACGGCAAACAAAACAGCAAATTACTCAAACATATAGCTGTTACAATTTTTTAAGTTTTTATCAAACCTCTAATCTTAATATCATATACTACTTCTTCAATCTTCTTAAGGTCGTATTTTAATCCATCAAACTTCTTCCTCAGATGATCGTTCTTAAGGTTAAGCAAGCGAAATCCAGCATCTAAATCCGACACAAACGATGCAATTTTTTGTGGTCTATCGTATTCTTCAGCTGTCACACAATTTACCGCTAATCTAGACTGTAATAAAACAAAGCATTTTGAGAGAAAAGTCAGTGTGTGCGTTGTTCCAGTCTATATTCTTAGCACAAAATCGAATGCAGAAACTCAAACTCTAACCTTCAGTCAATACCAAACTCCATAAACGGCAGGCAAAATGTATTTTAATAAAACAAAACAATAGAAACTGTTACAATAAATAAACAAACATTTTAACATAAAATGTTTAGTATTCATGCTGTTGTTTTGTGTTTTATTACAGACTAGGTATTTTCCCATGTCTTACTTTATACACATACCAGCTCGTTAGCCATAAGTAATAATCCAGTTAGAAAATCATCAAGGTCTAAATGGTACCCTTCTTCTCTCTTGACTTTGACTACAACGATAAATCAAGATGCATCTTGGCAAATTCACAATCAGACGCGTAGCCAACTTGCAAGACCAAACCAGGGGCTGGCTAAATCACACGTATCTCCAGAATGGAGTTGTTAGTTTTTCTTATTACTTTTAAAAAGCTGCAAAAGAGTGCGTTCGTGAAGTATGTATGTATTTACTTTGTTTGGGTTGAATTTCATTCTCTTTCTAGAAAAATAATTGCGTTTGTTTCTTTTTTTGTCATAGCGTGTCATCCTGCAATAATGCACAAAGTTATTAAGATCCTTTAGATTTTCTCAATCTTCTTAAAAACTTTGAATATTTTTGATAAAACCTTACAAGTTAGAAAACAAATTGTACTACAATTTAATTCATGCTGTTAATTATTCATTTACCTCCCAAAATATTAGCAACCTCTTCTCGTGTTATCAACTTGTTAAACTTCAGGTAAAATAGAAGAGAAGCAAGAAAACATGCTTTTTGATTCACAAATCTCCAAAGGTCGTTAAATCTAAAGATACATAGTGCCTTGTTTATTGGTTGAAAACAAAAACCAAAAGAAATTAATAACAATAGCAATTTTATGGAGGGCTTTGATAGGGTGAGGACTCTGGAGTGGTGACTGAGAAAATTTTGTGATAAAGACGTCCCTTTGGCAGGATGAGTGAAACAATTTTGTTACTTGGACGTCAGAATGGAGGGGTGAGGGAAAGGAAGTCAGTATGGAAGGGTGACTGAAGCAACTTTGTGGTAAGGATGTCATTGTGGAGTGATGAGTTAAAGAATTTAGAGGAAAGGATGTCACTGTGTAAGGGTGATTGAAAAAATTTTATGGAAAGGATGTCACTGTGGAGGGGTGATTGAAGAAATTTTGTGGAAAGGATGTCACTGTGGAGGGGTGATTGAAGAAATTAATTACAGAATTTATTAATTACCTATAGTACTGTCCAGCTGGTATAATTTGTATAAGGTCAGAATATTGTGACTTCAGTGTTAAGAACTTATCTTCAGCCTGGTTGCAAATTCCAGATATTTCTACAATAATTAGATGAAAAAGTTTAATAGCAATGATATAACTAAGTTATTCGAGCTACAGTGCACTGACTAAACAATGATGCCTGAGATTTTATAATCGTAAAGTCAATGTCTTGTAAGGAAAAATTTTAACTTGCTTTCTGATTGTGGGTTATGATGAACAGCTTGCAAGATAGCAAAAATTTCTCTTGTTGTCTTTTCAACATTTCTAACAGCTATAGCAATTTTCTATAAAGAGGTAAAAATAGTAATTTTGAACATCTTTGACCACAGGAAATGCATGAACCGTGGGGAAAATGGCAGTCTGCAATCGTGTTTGTTATCGTGGGGTTTGGAGCATTCCAAGCTCAAAGAATCAAAACAGATAGAAGTACCTCACGTATATCTTGCTCTTCGTCAACATAAGTTTGAATAGAGGAAAACATTGCTATTATTTTATTACCAGCATTGACTTCCATAATTTCTCCATCCAAGAGATTGGGAACAAATATTATCTCTATAGCGACAGGAAGGAAGCTCGTTGTGGTTTGAGAGTCATGTAAAGTTCTTATTTTTTTATCTTTCTTCAATTTCGATAGAATACAGTTGCTTGATACTTATGGATTCAATTTTCCAGAAGCAATCGATGTAGTTTGTCTTTTTTGTCTATTCTTCTATTTGTGAAAAGGAAAAGATAACTGTTCATTCAAACAAATATGTTGGATATGTTATTAACTTATTACCTTATAACTAACTATAGAAGAAATATTTATGTTTAATGACTATGAGTCGCTCAAGCAAGTTGTCTTCAGTCGATAAATATTCAAAAGTATGTGTTTCTTGAAGAATTTGATAAATCATTGCTTCAGAAAAAGCACATATAATTATATGACTGAATATGCTTTTTTCTAGGCTACATCACGATGAAAAAACTATAGTCTATTATTTGATTCATATTACTACATTGGCTTTGATTTCTTGCAAAGATTTTATTATATTCTTTTGCTAGTCCAGGACAGTATTGAATGCAGTGGCTTTACAAGATCACTTGGTTAAATCATTGTCCCTTCAAGACTCATGGAATAGCAAAGTCAAGCAGCATAAATATAATTCTAAGAACTTTTCAAAGACAAAGAAAGGATCCTTGAAAAGCTCTACTAACAATGACAGTAATAAAGAGTATGTTCTTGATGAAGAACCTAAGCCACTTACCTTAGGTATGTATGTTAAAAATACTTTCTTTCAGTAATCATTTGTTTTTCAATTTGTAAATTTTAAACTTTTTGTATAAAATTACATGCACTGACAATTTTATATGCATAGAACATGCTCATTTTCATGAAACCAACATACCATATGTATAATGTGATTGGTTTGAATTTGTGAGTATGGTTATTTGTTTGTAGTTGTAGATCATCCAAGTCAATGCAGTCCTGAAAAGGATCGATTGTGACTGATACTTCTACATCTTTAGCTGTAGTAACCTCCAAATGTGAAAGATGTTGAAATGTCAGTCACTAACACCTATAGGTCTTCACAAGACTGCAATATTAACAGCTCTAACCTAGACAATGTACAAACATGAAAGCATTTGTATATTTCTATTTGTGTTAATCAATGTGTTCTGAGTTGGTTTCATGGATATTTTAAGCTCAAAAACTTGGATTGGTTGAAGCTCCATCAGCTCGCCTTACTGACAAACAATGGAGGGATGTTAAAACAAAGTCTAACAAAAGAAATGATTCTGGTCAACCTTAAGTCATTTGTAAAGAGGAATTTAGAGATCAAAGCCAGGTAGGATGACTACACATAGTAGGGCAGATACGTACAAAGACTTAGTTTTGGTAGTATTTATATAAATATTGCCTTGACTGGTAAATTTGTAATCGTGAATGACAATTAAATTTTGCATAATAATCCAATTTTGTGTTTTCCTTGTTAGGTATTGTTGTCTTGTTCTCACGTTTTTCATTTGGTGAGTTTATCATGATTCTTAACACAAATAATATTTGTTTTTTGCTCATTAAAACATATGATAAATACAAAATACATCATTCTAAACATTGCTTATGGCTACTTACTTGTGGGAAACCGTTAACAGATTGAGGGTCAAGCAAAATAAACTGTAGCCACTAATGTCAAGTTAGACATAGTTACTTTGATAATGATAATGATATTTATAGTTATTTACATAGTAAGAGGTATCAGATCACTGCGGATGTTCAAAGTGATATGTGGTGTAGTGCTTGGGGTGGAGTGGAGAGGAGTGAAGAAGCTCAAGAGGGATGAAGCTGCCTTAGACATTAAGTCATGACTTTAGTTTAAAGATGAGGAGGCTTTTATGGATCGCGAGGTCGAATATGTCAGAGCAGAATGAGAGGTTTTGGTCTTAATAAACAGGATAGTTAGAGAGATCAGTTTGAGAAAAAATCTTTGACAGGGGTTAGTATAGCGTTTTCCAGTAATAGGAGAAATTCAAAAGTGCTCAGTGATTATGATATAAGAGGCATGTGGGTTGACACACATACGACATGGAAGAGAATATACACATGTGTAAATAGATAACACTAGATGTTAGAGACTTGGCAATTTTATCCTTAAATGGAAAAAATGAAGAAATTTGTGTGGGGCAGCTAAATAAAGACAAATCTGACATTAAGATGAGGGAAAGCAAGCAGCGTTGCAGAGACGATTGATTTGTGTGTGGATTTATAGGAAGTGACAGCCTGTAAATCAGTAAATGGGAGACAGAAATACATTATTTTCTTTGGAACACTAAAGAAGGATGATGTCTGTTCAAATTTCATGTCAAAAAAAACAGCGGATATTGCGGTCAAACATATGTGTAGGGTAGCAATTGAGCTTGAATAGTTTTTTGGTGGTTTCAATTTGAGCATGAAAACTCTTATAGCTGAAGCAGAGGTTGAAGATGCGGTGTAATAAGTCAAAGACTAAGTTGCGCTTGTAGGTAAGTGAGATGAAGCTGTGAAAGTATGTGAGAAGACCGATGAATGAAGGTTTACGATATACAGAGGTAGTGAATATACTGTTTGAGCGGTAAATATCAATGTCTAAGATTGGCAGTCTTCCATTATTTTCCGTCTCAGAGGTGAAATTGATATTGGGGTGTTGATGGTTGATGTAGTCTAAAAAGGAAATCAATGATGATGTAGATCACAGATGATGTAAATAGTAGATTACAGATGATGAAAATAGTAGATCACAGATGATTGTTTCATTCAAGGGAATGTTTGTGAAGACGGAAGTTACCTCAAAACCAGCCATAACGGCTATTTTAGAAATTATGTGTTTGGCTCTAATATTTATATTGAGTATCTACAAAATGTTATCCAAGATTGAACACAATATGATTTTACTCCCAGACTTTAACAACACGTTGATCTCCTGTACCCAAATTTTTTTACGAAAGCAATTTACTTAGTTATTTGTCCAATACTCGGTAAAACATGATTTTCAATGCTTTTCTATTCCTAAATTAGATGTCTTTATGGTAAGTAAATTTTTGTGCATTGAAATGATGTCTTAAATATGAAAGTACCCAGAAGCTTTGTGAAAAATATTTTAAACTTACTGTCTGTTGTGTACTAGGTTTGTCTTCGAGCTTTTGAAAAATTTTCTGGTGGGAAAACATGTCCTATGTGCCGAAAGGAACAATATGAAACGCGATTAATACACGAAGGTCGGAAACTGTGGCGACATAAATGTGCAATCAAGTGAGTTTTTGAGCACATTCCAAACTTTAAATAAATAACCCTTAAACAGTTAAAACCCTGAAAAATTCGGCAGGTTTAGTATGAATTTTTATTATGGTGATATGGTGTTGTGTTATTTAATTTTCTGTTTTTCCCAATTTTTCTGGCATTCTTTTAATGATACTGGTATTTTGTAATTGTTATTCATAAAAAGCAAATCCTTATGCACTTATCGAGTCCTTTTTTTTATTTATGGGCTCCAACTACAAAATGTTTTGTTTTTGCACACCTTTGGTCACGGTAATTTGCGTTGACTTTGGTCTTTTTTAGAAACCTTTTTTCAAAAGTTCGGACTAAAACTTTTTTCAAAAGTTCGGACTAAAACTTTTTTCAAAAGTTCGGACTAAAACTTTTTTCAAAAGTTCGGACTAAAACGTTTTTCAAAAGTTCGGACTAAAACTTTTTTCAAAAGTTCGGACTAAAATTTTTTTCAAAAGTTCGGACTAAAACTTTTTATGTCTTGAATGTTCAGAATGCAACGCACGTGATCAATTAAATTCGCAACGTTAGCCATGATAAAGGTGTCTTATTTGAATTTAGAATCCAGTCAAGGTGGCGTGGTTATGTTATACGGTCGTGGTACGTCAAATTAAGGAAGACAGTTCCACCAAATGACCCATTGTTGAGGAAAAAATTTTTCGAAGAAAAGGTTTCCGCATTGGAACAATACACTTATTTTTTGTTATTTTCTAATGCAAAACAACTGATGCTTGTGAGGGGAGAGAAGTATTCAAAGATTTTTCTGTAGATTAGTAAAGTTTCATGATTACAGGACTAAGTAGCTATATCCTTAACTAGAACTTAACATATACATTTATTTATTTATTTATATTTTTTGCGGTGTTTTCAACCGGATAATCGTAACAGCTTGCGCCTTTTGCATCGATCTCTAAGAATAACATGCATAAACATAAAATAGTTACTTAGAAACAACAGGACATTTTATCACTCGACAGATAACAACACGTGGTAGAACACAAACTAATAGATTTCCGAATTCTAGGATCCTCTGCATTATAGATATTTTAGTTATAATATTTCAGAAGTTCACGTTTAACTTGATAAAATGTGAGTTTGTTGCTGGACAGGTGTGTGGCAGGACATGCCACTTTAGTTGACCTGTGTATAAACGATTTTTGAAAAGTAGGGGTTTTACTTTCATTTTACATTTGACAGTAGACACGGAATGGATCTGAGGATCAATTGATTATGAGTAAATCAACTTCTTAACTTTGAATAAGTGCTGTACGTGTAATGCAACTAACGCCATGACCATATCTTATTTACCTATGACGTCACCATATCTTAATTATGTATGACGTCACCATATCTTATTTACGGTGACGTCACCATATCTTAATTATGTATGACGTCACCATATCTTATTTACGATGACGTCACCATATAGTAATTATATACGACGTCACCATATCTTAATTATGTATGACATCTTCATATCTTATTTACGTATGACGTCGTCAACACATTTTATTAATTTATTTATTTCACTTATTAGAAAGATATAACATACTCGGTAAAATTAAGCTTTTTTGGAGGGGGGCTTTTATTTTTTTACTATTCATCCAGCAACTCTCTTAATAATGCGCTTTTTTGTAGCTTTCCTTAGTTACGGATCGCTTTGTTATGGTAACGAGCTCAGAAGTTGATAGTTTTCTTCACCAGATTGATCAATCGATTGAAGAAAGTCGACGAGTGATGAGGTAGCTGTAATTTGTCCTTATTTCATGTTCATATTGAGCAAATGAAAAACAAAGCAGAGTGGTGAAATTTCTGAGTGTGATTGATTCATATTTTAAATTTTATAGACTGGTCGACGATCAAAGTTTTAAAGTGTTGTCGGATATGGATTGGGAAAAAGTTTATGCTAAGGTGATGATGGGTTACTGATTTGTATTGATACTTTATGTTTTCATGGATGTATTTTCTATTTTAAGGAGGCAATGGCTACACTTTCCAACGAATGTAGCCCGACTGGCCTTGTCTTCTCAACTGCCGGGGGGAGGGAGGCAGCCCTACTTTCCCCTTGCTCTATACGCCCTTGTGTGTTATGATCTGAGGGAGGTACAGATTGGTAAACAGTTTATGTTAAAGTGTGGGTTTGGATTGGTAAACTGTTTATGTCAACGTATGTGTTTGTATTGGGAAACAGTTTATGTTAAAGTATGAGCTTGTGAATGTAGAACAAAGTATTGCTTATTTTAAGTTGTGGAAATAATTCCAACTTCATATATATCATTCATTCTCATGATTTTCGCTTCAAATTTTTTATATGCTTTTATAGGCAAACGAGAGACTTCATTCAGATTGTCCCATTTGCTTCACTGCTTTCCATTCATCAGACATCGTTGGGCAGCTAGAGTCTTCAAAAAAAAGTGAAACTACAGTCGAATTTTCTCGTCCTATTATCTTACTATCTTGCTCTCATGTTTTTCACAAACAATGTCTGGAGGCTTTCGAATTACTTTCTCTGGCTTCTTTGCACGTCTGTCCTGTCTGTCGCTCGCCGTATTACAAGAAAGAGTTGCACTGTGATGTACTGTGATGTACCGTGAAGTACTGTTAAGTACATGTGACGTGCCGTGATATACTGTGACAGGGAACCTCTGCAGTAAGGCCACTGGAATTGGTGAAATGATGGTTGGGGTCACAAGACGGACTAGTTTGCAAAGGAAAATTCCATAGATATCATATCTTATGAAAGGCTTCTTGTGTCCTAGCAATTAGGATAATTGAAGAGTAATCAGTACTTTGTTCAGTGTGTTGAGAATCACCTTCCCAACGTGTTCTTTTTGTTTATAACATTTTGCTCTGCTAGATGGCCTTTATCGCGAAAGTGAAAAGATTTGATGGTGGAATGGAGATGTTGGGAGATTATATTTGGTTTTAGTTCGAATCCTTTTTTTCTACTTACTAAGAAAATAAAGTTGTTAATGAACAATTATCAAATCAATTTACGTCTTTATTATTTGATTTTTTTTACTAACGTCACCGTGATCATGCCCATGCAATTAAATAACGTGAGAATATAATAAAAGCAAGTTGAAGGATAAAAATCTTCATATACCACCATTAGCCATTACTAAATTCTGACTTTTAGGCAGGTTTTTTTTGTTTTGCTGCAATCTCATTTTTCCACCAACAGTGCAATGTATTTTTTATATGTTTGCAAAAACCTTGCACGTTGCTATTTTAGCTATCTTGCCAAATTCACATATTTGCAAAACATAGCGAAAAGAGATGATAGTTCCATTTTGCAAAATAGCAGATTATTTTGAAGAGGATTTTGCTCGTAAACAAAAAATACAAATACAATTTTTTTTATTATAGTATTGATTTAACACATACAAAATTTCATCGATGCTAATATATACATTGATTTGAACTAAATCTTTTGCCTACGATCACTTTGTTTAGTCTATTTCCGGCTAGACTTGGAAGATATAGAACTTTCGGGGATCGGTTGATAGCGTCGTTTGTGTTTAGCAACCTGCAGTTATATAAAATGTATGCAATGATTTCAATACATAGAAATGAAATCCTAAAACTCAAAAGCTAATTTGTTCATCATGCTACAGTACACCATGGTAATGATCTTATGAAATTAACGTCATTTGGAAAAACTTGGTTAATTAGAGAGAAAATGAGTACAATAAAAATAATATTATCATTGCAATACAGTAACAACTGGCATCTTAATGCTACCTGAGGTATTGATTTGAACGAACGATCTTTTATCTCTTTGACCAGCAGGTATCGATCAACAGCCTGAAATAATAAAATTCACATTGAGTTTAAAAGAGAGTTTAAAACTGAAAACCATTGCCTCCATATTTTAAACTTTCACTGTAATCTACCAAAATCATCTTGCAATAAATCTACAATCATGTATTAAGTTACATCAAATGTTGAACGAACAGCATTAAAACTTACGCTTGACGTCGATTCTGACTGTTTTTCAGAATCACTCTTACGGTCTTCAGGTAGACCAACTTCCAGTGGACGGTTTATTAGTTTTGCTTTTAAACTACCCTGTTGAAAGATATGAAGTAAAGAAAGGATAGCTATAATGAAAAAATATTTAAATGTACTTATCGAAAATATAATTTGTTATCGTCAGACAACTTCTTGTATAACTTGTGCACAATTTCCTTATTTTTTTTAATTTATTTTCTTCAATTTGACACCTTTGTATTTTCTTTCCATTTTTCAAACTCAGTGACTTCTCTTGAGAAATAAAGAAGGGATTTTATTACTTTAATTTTTGATGCAACATTAACAAGATCGATCTATTTTCAAAAAGCATTAAAAAAAAAGGACATACTGTTGTAAATTTTGCACAAATTCGGGGGATGTTACTTTTAAAGTGACAGGATCTAGAATCGGCTCATTTTTATCAGTTGAGAATATCTTCATCTTGACTGAATTGTACGTATTATCAATATCAATAATATCCTACAATACAAGAAGTCTTCACAGCGTCACAGTGTCTTCACAGTGTCTTCACAGAAGACTTCACAGAAGTCTTCACTATTTAAACGATCCAACCTTCACACATTTACCGAAGTTTTCACGCATGGTCGTAAACGAAAGAAGCTTAATGCGTGAAGTAAATATTAATCTACATTAAGTATCATTTACTATCATAATTAATATATTGTCATTCACGCTCATAAATGAATTCCTACCTTCAAAAATTTACTACCTTTAGTTTAGACTCCTACGTTAATATAGGAGCATTGACGGCGAAGACATTTACAATAATAAAAAATTTGTTATTCTACTCAAAAAAAAAACAAGATACCTAATCCTAGACAAAACTGCCATTAAACCCACCACCTTTCGATGTTAAGGTTTCAATGGTGATAAAGAAACTATTTAGTAATACTATTTATTGCTGGAGAAGCAATGAACTTCGATTAACTCAAAACATCTTGGCTTTACAAAAAGTCTAAAGTTAACGTTTGCAAGATAACCTTTAGCATTTCTTTTGTCTTGTGTAAAGTGTAATTTGACTTGAAACCTTTATTTTCTTCCTTTTCAAATTGCATAATGGCGTCTTGCGATCCCAAAGCAAGCTAAGCAGATGAAAGCAGAAAGTGCAATAAAAATACAAGTATTATTTTTTAAAATATGATATATCATTTTACTTTGCGATATTTTTAATGATTTCTACCATGAAACGACCAAAGTTACCTGAACTGGCATGGCCACAAAAAGAAAAACTTTGTCCCACTTCATTGATGCAATAATATAATAAACATCATAGTGCTGCAGAGGAAAATTTTTCTCTTTATCATGTAGTCTTGCAAAATATTACAAAAACTTAATTCCTTGCCACATACATATGTACAAACCTTTTGTTCCTTTACCTTCTCCTGCAGGGAAAGTAAGTCAATCCACATTGACATTGTCATTCGTATCTACAATATAACCAACTTACTGATTGTGAAATTTGATGGTTCGTGAGAAATGTTTGACAGAAGAAAAGATGTTAGCAAAATTAAAATAACACACATACATCGAGAAAAGCAAAAAATAAAAGTAATCTGAAATTTAAACAAAAAAGCTATAACTGTCAATACACAGGAATTAAAGAGTACATGAGTTAACTTGGTTAACAAAAACTGGGTTAAAGGGTTTTTCCATCAGACCAGGTGGTGCAGGCATGTAGCACTGATTGAGTACAGTTAGTTCAAGAACTAAGAGCCCCTGATAGTTAGGTGGGGGTGCAACTCACTAAGGGTTATATTCTATTGAAGACATGCAAAATGTCTGGAAAAGACAATAGAAAAATCAATGAGAAAATGAGATAGGCAGTCAGCACTAGATTCAACATGACCATGTAAAACATGTCCAATGGCCAACATTTCTCCACTTTGCCATTGATCAGAACTATTCATAAGAAGATCACCTTCACTTTGGGAATCAACTCCACTGGCTGGCTGTGGTAGATAGCATAGAGAGAATAAATAGCACCAACTTGATATTGTAATGGAAGGCTTGGTGGTAAATATCGACAGAGAATGCGATAAAAGTAATCGATAATCTTCAAGAAAAAGGAGAAATACATTTTCACTAATTACAACCATTGACATAACCAATAATTACCTACCATTAGAACTATTGCCATTAAAATTATAGTCATTAGAATTTTAGTCATTAGAATTATACATCCTTAGAATTATAGTTAAATAGTCATTAATGACATGGGAAAGTTTTCTAATGAAATATTAAATAAATATAGAATAAAGTGCTAATACTTTTTATGATGAATGAGATCAATCATTTGCCAATGTAAAATGCCAACTAAATCAAGCTCTACAACCAAATAATTTCTCAAGTCGTACATCAGCCAGGACACAATTAATATTGATGCTTTTTGTCAAACATACATGGACAACAGCATGTAAACATTTTTAGTGTGATTTATTGTAAACAAAACAAAATATAAGCTGAGGTAATTGTGAACAAGTCAATAAACGATTTATTACAACTGCGCACAGTGTTGATGTAATGTTGATGTAATTCAATAATTAAATGATAAAACACCCAAAATAAAACTTCTTACCACTGTTTTTTCATGATCACTTTCACAGATTCTGGCAAAGAAAAATTATGTGAATACCAAATCATTACAAGAAAGAGTAACTTTATTGTGGCACACATGTTTATATGATTTTTGTGCAAGTGACAGATGGTAGATTTTATGTCAGCTGCACAAAATACAGACATTCCATACAGGGTGGGTGGTTGGTAAATTTATTGCTTTATAATGCAAATGAAACAAAGGAAAAAGGAAAATAAGTAAATTTAAAAAATTCATGGTGCAAAGAATTATTTGAAACACAAAGACCAAATCTAAAAAATATAATCTCACAGATGAATGCAGTCAAATTTTAACTCTTTCCAAACTTCACAGAATGCTTCAAAACGAATGCTTTGCTTTTCTTCAAATTTTGCCAGCAAAACACGACAATCTAACGTTAGAGCATCGATAAAACTATCCGATGATGACATTTTTTAATTTACATTTTAACCATTTTAATTTTCACCAAATGTTATAAGAACTTCTATTTTCTGCCATACATTAATAACCACACAGCAAATGCAACTTGCAACGACAATTTGTTATAGTTACCGCTGACTCAAATATGATAGTTACTATAGTAACGCCGGCAGGATTTTATTTCGGAGGGGTAAATGGGTTAAACTGGGTAAACAACTCCAAAATGTTACATATTTTACACACTGTTTTTACGATTGACATTTTAAAATTAGATTTATAAAGACTTTAGGGGGGGGCAGTTGCTCTCTTATTGCTGGTGCCCTGCGTTCAAAAATGGGGGCGGGTTGAGAGGGCTGCCCAGGCTATATTTAAGGTAATTGGTACTGGGCACATACAGCATAATAGTGTTTGAACTAGCAAACAGCGTAGCCCAAATGAAGTATTTGAAAAATCGAGAAAGCAGACAGTTAAATGAAAAGGCATTGCCTTTGTTCCCGGATTAAAAACGTGATTGCCACGTAAGTAGTTAAAGATTTTGGGAAAAAGTTTGGTCGAGAGCCTAGATGGAGAAGAAGGAGCTAGCACGGCATGCTAAACGAAGCCATCCCACTGCAGCCACTCTACGAAGAATTTCAACAAAAGCGTCTCCAAGCTGTTGTTACAAAGAAATTAAAGAACGCATATAGCAAATCAAAACCACATATGAACAATCTGGATTCATCCATTTCACCAGTTATGACAAGAGAAAATATTCATCAATACATCGACGCATTTGGAAGAGTTTGGGGAAGAATTGTGGCATATCAGGCTCTAAATAATAAAGATGTCATAGCTCCAACACTTTTTGGAATTGTGAAATGTAGGTTCCTAGAATCTCTCATAAATCTCGCAGTATGCCTCTGCATCATTACAAATAAAACTTTTGAAAATCAAAGCTTCTGTAGACATACATGATTTAGTGCTAATATCCCTTGAGACTTGAGATTACTATTCAATGAAAGTCCGTAGACGATTTTCTGAGAAATACAGCTGATAGACAATTCGTCTGATGGGGCGCAGCCCACACATCATGAACATTTAGACCGTGGACAACAAGACAATCATGGACATTTAGACCGTGGTCAACAAGACAATCCTGGACATTTAGACCGTGGTCAACAAGACAATCATGGACATTTAGATCGTGGACAACAAGACAATCCTGGACATTTAGACCGTGGTCAACAAGACAATCATGGACATTTAGACCGTGGACAACAAGACAATCGTGGACATTTAGACTGTGGTCAACAAGACAATCGTGGACATTTAGACCGTGGACAACAAGACAATCGTGGACATTTAGACCGTGGACGACAAGACAATCCTGGACATTTAGACCCTGGACAACAAGACAATCCTGGACATTTAGACTGTGGTCAACAAGACAATCGTGGACATTTTGACCGTGGACAACAAGACAATCCTTGACATTTAGACCGTGGACAACAAGACAATCGTGGACATTTAGATCGTGGTCAACAAGACAATCATGAACATTTAGACCGTGGACAACAAGACAATCGTGGACATTTAGACCGTGAAACAACAAAACAATCGTGGACATTTAGATCGTGGACAACAAGACAATCGTGGACATTTAGACCGTGGTCAACAAGACAATCATGAACATTTAGACCGTGGACAACAAGACAATCGTGGACATTTAGACCGTGGACAACAAGACAATCGTGGACATTTAGACCGTGGACAACAAAACAATCCTGGACATTTAGACCGTGGTCAACAAGACAATCCTGAACATTTAGACCGTGGACAACAAGACAATCGTGGACATTTAGACCGTGGACAACAGGACAATCCTGAACATTTAGACCGTGGACAACAAGACAATCGTGGACATTTAGACCGTGGACAACAAGACAATCGTGAACATTTAGACCGTGGTCAACAAGACAATCGTGGACATTTAGACCGTGGTCAACAAGACAATCGTGAGCATTTAGACCGTGGACAACAAGACAATCCTGGACATTTGGACCGTGGTCAACAAGACAATCCTGGACATTTAGACCGTGGACAACAAGACAATCCTGGACATTTAGACCGTGGACAACAAGACAATCCTGGACATTTGGACCGTGGACAACAAGACAATCCTGGACATTTAGACCGTGGTCAACAAGACAATCCTGGACATTTAGACTGTGGTCAACAAAACAATCGTGGACATTTAGACCCTGGACAGCAAGACAATCGTGAACATTTAGACCATGGACAACAAGACAATTGTGGACATTTAGACCGTGGTCAACAAGACAATCCTGGACATTTAGACTGTGGACAACAAGACAATCCTGGACATTTAGACCGTGGTCAACAAGACAATCCTGGACATTTAGACCGTGGACAACAAGACAATCCTGGACATTTAGACCGTGGACAACAAGACAATCCTGGACATTTAGACCGTGGACAACAAGACAATCCTGGACATTTAGACCGTGGACAACAAGACAATCCTGGACATTTAGACCGTGGGCAACAAGACAATCGTGCACACTTAAATTGTGGACTACAAGATGAAAATGGACATTTAAACCATAGCATAAATTTTATCAAAACTTTAAATTGTAAATTTATACAAATTGACATTCTATTGTCATCTGAGCTCACTGCCAAATCATGTTGATTATCCAACCAGGGTGACCTATTGAGATTCGCCGGCAATCTGTCACGCCTGCTGACCCCTCCTAATCTGAACTTTGCACTCGGCGTTTCAAGTTTCTTCATTTCATGCATAAGTTGCGTAAAATTCAACTATTTTGGAGAAGTACAAACTGATAATTTATTTTCATTTCGGCCAAACAAAATAACTGCAAAAATAATTGTTCAACTTTACAGTTGACGGATATGAAATTATTTCAAGTTTATTGACAGAATAAATTTCAATATATTCTGATGTCAGATACTCTACTCGGGTCAAAATCAGCTCTTTCATTCATACGTCACTCATTGCGCCACTGAGATGGGCCTATACGATTGTTTAAAATTCAAAAAATGCAAACAATGCTTCTCCATGTCCGGATAAGACATATAAAGAAACACTTTGATGGCAGCTTGTCGAGAATCCATCCCTGCACAGTAATTGCAAGAGCTCTAGCTGATGTTGTAATAATAAAATCGTTTACAAGTCGACCTCTGCTAAATTAAAAGTGACTTTGCAATATTGTTTTACTGGTCTTAATGCCGCGTCACTTCGTTGCCAAGGTGTCCACGGCTGCTGGCGTCGTCTAGCTCTTTCCTATTGGTTCACCTGTCACGTGAACATATTGACATTGTATCTTACGATAAAATGCTTCTATATTTATTCTCGTGATTGTATATAAATGCTGGAGTACATTTACTGTTTGGTTTTTAGCAAAATTTTCTCGTGGGAGCTTCGCCTTTATGGTGGCGATGTCTATAGCATATGAATGCACAAAGATATGAAAATTACAGTGTGTTTTAGAGACACTAAAATCATCGTTCCTTGCGATAGGAAATTACCTGTACGTGAACTTGTACAGCAAGCAATTGTTCGATACAGGAAAGTCACGCTTAAAGTGAGTACTTGTTTACTTATTACTTTTATCTGCCTTAATAATTTATATAAATTCGATTGTTTCAATGCCTTTTCAACTTTTGACTACAACGTTCAACATAATACGGGTTTTGAATCATTAAATGTCAACAGTATTTCGTAACTTTATTCTAGACACGTATATTTATAATTGAGCTTGCTCAACATAGTAGGCCTTTCTGGATTTATGATATGCACAATTCTAGATCATAAGTCTTTGTGAGATATTTTGGCGAATTTTGTAAATTACAGTGATGTTAAAATTAGAATTTTATCATTTTATGAAAGCTTTGTTTAAACATTTAATTTAACTGATGTAGATATAGCTTTCTGTGCGAAATATTTTCCAATTTCCATCAAATAAGTTCTCTATTAGCTAAAAACAAGGCTTTCATTTCCATTTATGTTTGAAAAGTATGCTGTATTTTCGCTTCCGACGATATCGATTTGCCCTTCCTTTGCCCAGACCGACAAACGATTGACATATTCACTTTGTGGCAATACATAATCACATAAACATTTAAATCCAATCTACCCATCACAAAATACACTTGATATGAAAATGATCAATGTCTTGTGCCTTTGTAGCAAGCAGATGACTACGTGCGTGTGTATTGCTTACGAACATGCGACGAGGGAGCGATTTTAGACGAGGATGACACTGTTGGCGAAGTTCTGGACGATAAAGATAAGGTATTTTTCAATTAATGTTTGCACAAATTTATTATTTTATGCATGTTATGGAATAAATGTATTTCGCCTTTCTTTCGAAAGCGTTCCTTCATATTTTAAGTGCAAACAAGCTTGTGGTAATCAACCGTTTAAAAAGTATTATTTTGTTACCACCGAAACGGTTCGTGCTTTCAATTATCTTTAAAATTGTTTTGTCATTTTGCTTGTTTTAATCGTCGAAATTCATTTGATTAAACCTAAATGATATATCATTAATCATGAGCAGGGCGAAATCTTACCTATACTTTTGAATTGATTCTGTAAATATTGTTGGCTTAATTTAAAATTGACATTTTTACACACTTTTTGCTCTATTTCGATATCCCACTGAGTTGCTGAAATATTGCGCATCTCAGGTTTCAACTATCATTGCTTGCGATTTTCCATCAAATGATAGAAAGTGTCATATTTCATTGCAATAAGCTGTATGTAGTTATGAACGATGCTGTTTTGTTGTCTATATTTCTCTAAAGTCTTGTTAAATGTATATGTATCTTAAGTGCGTTTTAAAATAAACCGAACGCTTTCGACGATGCGTAATTTGAGACAAATATTTTAAAAGTTTTCGCTGCTCCAAAAAATTGAGTGCATTTGCTCCTTCGTTCGGCTTGGATAATAGCGAATATATTTATTCAAACTTGATTGCCTTTGGCAATTTCGTTCTTTTGATAAATGAGCACGACACGTAAGGTAAGAAATATATTCATTATTACAAGCCGACTTTGTTGATATTTTTGGTCAAATTATCATTTATGTGGACGTTTGTTTGTCTTTTTATTCATTTATCTTCGCGTTTATATTTAAGACTAGCCGCCATTTTGACTGATGTGCAAACGCGCGGTTTTTACTCATAATATTTTTGATCATCCATCAATTCAATCTGTACTTTCTTGACATTAGTGCTTTATTTTGTCTGGTAAGTGTTATTAACGACGATACTGCGTCTCATAAAATTGGCTGTACCATTAATTTTAATGTGAATTCCATCATATCACTGAGAAAATTGTGTTTATGCATGCTCATGTTGAGCATAATTCACTACAAATTTCTCAATCATCTTTATAAGTTTTGGATATTTTTCAGTTGAATGACTTAAATATAATCCTTATCCAAAACCTGATTATGGAATTTGAATTTAACTAAATCAAATTGTGAACAACATTTCCAACAACACTTTTGAAAAGCAATTAACCCTTCTTAACCCATTTAATTGACAAATTTATTGTTCTACATGTATAAAATTATTTGTTTCTTACTTGTTTTTAGCACTGGTTGGCATTGAATATTTAAACAGATATTTTTAACAGATACTATATGTATTTCTTATAATTTAATATTGCTTCAATTGCTTAGAACAGGATGATACATACACAATCAAAATACCAATATAGTTTGGTATTAATTAAAGAGATTTATGTTCTTGTATTTTTTGATTTAGGTCATAGCAAGTTTTGAAGAAAATCCTATCACCCGACTGGGACACAATGGTGGTGATGGTACCAGTGCATCCTCAGTGGGTACAAGCAGTCCTGATATATTCCAAGGCAACAATCAAAAATATATGGATCCTAACCACTTCCAAAGTTATTCAACAAGTGACCAACCTCCAAACATTGTTGAAAGCTATAAGTTCCAATCATCTTCACAGCCAAAGTATGTACAATATTTTGTATATAAAGTTGTTTTATTTGGCATTGTTTGTATCTGTAAGTAAAACATACATGAATCATTAATATTGTAGTGATAATGAATTTCTACATTTGGATGGCAGATCAGATTTCAATGGCTACCAAAACATTTATGAAGAATATCGTGATGATAGTAATCTATCACAATTCCAACGAGGGACAGCTAGAAAATCTTTGAAAAGTGATCACTTGGATAAATGGATTGATATGCAAGAATCATATGTTGAGGTGATTTTTAGTTTTAATCATGATTTACTATTGGATATTTAAAAATATCACATTATGTCTATTTTTATGTCACATATAATCTTTTATATATTTTTTTGCTCAGTTCAAAAGACATGAACCTGCTGGTGCTCCGCCATCTCCTGTTGATAAATTTAGCATTCCTATCACAACTTCGACAATTCAAAGACAATCATCAACTATTTCATTTGAAGGACAGTAAGTGGACACTATTTTAGTACTTTTAGAATAATTTATGCTCTTTTGGTCTTTGTAAAAAATCTGCCTCGACCTAATAATCATTGCACATTTTTCTGATTATTTTAGAGATTCTGAATTCTTAAATGTTATTCTCAAGCCAACTATGGGAGAAAACCTTGGTGTTAGTGTTGAAGGATGGAAAACTGCAGATGCATGGTACGTATGAACTTGTCTTTTGCATTACAACATATCTTTACTGTGTGCAGATTTAATGTGAAAGATTATAATAGAGTAAACAATAATTAAGACCTTTATTGTATGTTAGTGTAAATTTATGTGAAAACATTTGTTGTTGAGGTTTTTCACTATCTTTCTCAGAGAAGGCAAATGTTCTGCGTCATATTGTGACCCAGAAAATTGACATTTTTAACAAGTGCTTAGATCTGTGAACTTTGGAATGAAATACTATGTCCAACAATCCTTATTCAAAAACATTATTACATGCAAGTAGTTTGAAAATGTTTGAAACAGGCACTATTTCAGAGAATTGTGCAGATCTAAGATATTTATACCAATAAATGAAATTGATTTTCATATAGTAATACGTATGTTGGCTATAAAAAAGTTATACTAATATTAACACATCTTAAAGAGTAGAAAGTCAGGATTCGTAAAATTTATTAAAAATACTATTCAAAATTTACTTTTACTTTTTGGACGTCATTCCAAAACAACTTGAACTTGATTCGTGATCACGAAACATGTAAATCGTTATTTCGAATCTTGTATGATCGTAATTAATAATGCTAAACTTCTTTAGTCACATCGGAAAAAATAATTCTGATATGGGTTGTGCCCTAATGTCCACTACCGTAATTCACTGTCCCTTACTTTCAACCGTTATCCATTGTCATCTACTGTCAACTACCGTCATTCATTGTCATATACACAAACCATCGCCATTCATGTTACATGGCTTTTTTCATATTACTCAATCATTTTACATGCAGCATTCACTCACTATTCATATGTTAATTCATCGCATTATACGTTTTACATCCTCGACTGCCCTGAAACAGGCTACCACGGAATTGGTAAGGCTTGCACACAACAGTATAATCGGCTTGCGTGTTATCAGTTGATATGTAGTTGTTTGTTGATAGTTCATGCTAAAGGACAGTATTAGTACAGTGGATGAAGTTTGTTAATAGTGACAGTTAGTTGATAGTTGTTTGTTGATAGTTCATCTTAAAGGGACAGTATTAGTACAGTGGATGAAGTTTGTTAATAGTGACAGTTAGTTGATAGTTGTTTGTTGATAGTTCATCTTAAAGGGACAGTATTAGTACAGTGGATGAAGTTTGTTAATAGTGACAGTTAGTTGATAGTTGTTTGTTGATAGTTCATCTTAAAGGGACAGTATTAGTACAGTGGATGAAGTTAGTAGATACTTGCATGTCCATAATGAAATCACCTAATTTGAAGAGAAACTGTGTAGACATTATGGGATTATACGTAGTTGTTTTTGATAAATATTCATGACATTTTCTTATGTTTTGTTCATCAGTGAACTTGGTCTTAGTGTGTTTCATATTGATCCTAAAGGATGTGCTGCTCGTGATGGTCGTATACAGGTAATATAACATAAGTCTCAACATATGTAACCACTATGTAGATGTATAATGATATTTTGTATCTACAAATACGGATGTTTTTATATATTTGTATACGTTAATCGTTGTATATTTTCATGTGGTTACCAATTAGTTAAATGCATTGCGTTCAAAATGTTTAGCAGCGTTAAATATCTGACAAATAACAAAACGCAGAACTAGCTGGAATTTAAAACTGTTTACAAACCTTGCGAACATTTCCAAACACACTAGTATTGGGGAGATGACCAAAAGTGGCGCTCCATAAGATATTGTGATTGTGTGTTATGAAATTTTCACTGTAACTTGGTTATCGATGTGATTATGGTTTGTTAGGTTGGTGATCGTATTGTGGCTATTAACAATCAAGATCTCACTAATATCACCAATGAAAGGTTTGTAACTTTGGTTTGATTTTTTTTATGTGTGAAACAGCAAGATATAGTCTCTCTTCTTTGTTAAACCTACAATACATTATTCAATTTTCTTTGTTGGTTTATTTGAGTGTGATGCTTTCTTCGTTTTCTTTTTTTCCGCATAATTAATATTTCGGATTTTTCATTTTGTTCTCAAAATGCTCAAACATTGGTCTATCCATCGAACTTAAGACTGCTCTGTCATATTAATCATTTAATAGGTAATGTTTATGAATGTAGATCGTCCAGGTTAGTATAGTCCTGAGAAGGACTGTTTTTGTTGTTTTTGACTGACGTTTCGACAACCTTAGCGGTAGTCATCTTCAGAGTCATTTGACGATCTACATTTACAAACATGTAACGATACTCGCTGGTTCAAACCATTTACTTTAATAGGTAATGATTAACCGGAACATCAGTTGTTAAGCAAAAGCAAAAACATTTCTTTGGGCTTTTGAGCGAAATTTTTGACTCTCTGGTGCTGCACGTGCGCAGAAATGCACAGAAGTGACTTCCTGTCAGAATTTTCGATATAACGTATTTATTAGGTGATCGGTTACTTTAGAAACTAAACCATCCATATAAAAATTTAATGACAGCTCTGATCTTTACCACACGCAAATACTTAAACGTTTTCTATTCGCATAACAATAAAGTCTATCACTAGGAGGTTTTTTCTCCTGTCATAAATTGATATGTATGCATAATTGAACAAATAACGTACACATTTAATAATTCCATCTATTCTATTCTTCACCGATTGTGTGCTTGGAACGGATATGAAAATATGAAATATTGTTTCTATGATGTTCTTATCCATTGAAGACACTTCATTTTTCTTTTATCTAACTTTTTATGAGTATACATCACAACGTAATTGTTAAAATATATAATTTTTATCGACGTTATCAAGAGATTTTATTCCATAGTGGAAAATATTTAATGCTATTATAAACACGTTGCAGTTTCAAACGCTGCGATTTAAGAATGAAATTTATAGACAAGCGTTTAGTGTTCATGATTCTGTTTGTTGCTTATTTAACGGTTGCGTAGGTTTTTGAATGTATTTCATAATCCTAATTGTTAATTGTTCTTTTCCTATGTATTGTTTAAGTGTTGTATCAATGCGCCGTGAAAAATTTTTTTGAAGATTTAAAGTATTTAATTTAATCAAGTTTACACTTACGTATGATATGAACGTCGATGGCATGATCTTTGGTGATATGATCTTTGGAGATATTAGTACACAATAAATTACCCTAACAACTAGGTCACCTTTCAAAATGTTCTTAAAAAATTCATTCTGATGTCAAACGTAGCTGTTAGGAAATGGGTAGTTTAAGTTAATCTAGCAATTTCTAGTACAATCGTTTCATGATGAAGAACACGTCCGAATGATCATTTTTTACATGAAGTACACCGTGCGCAGTTTAATTCATGCATTTAATCTGTCTATCCGTGTTTTTATTTTCTTGTCATGATATCTTTTTCATTAGTTTGTTGAAATATTTTATTGTTCTGAAAAATAGTTCTCTAGTATTAGATATCTTGTATTTGTGAATAATACGGCGTCCTGCTTTATGTAACCATTGATCAACTCAGGTATTGAGGTGGCGTCAAACATTGTTTTCGGTATGCGGAAATGTCTGTTGATAATGGATTTTAAAAAATGTATTTTATTTTATTGCGATAGATGTGTCGCATAATGATGGATAGCTGAAGCCTTTTATCATGTTCTTTTTTCATTCAAAAAAAACTGGGGTGGGGTAATGATGGGCACTTCACGTCACAAAACGTCTTCTCTATGAACTATTTTGTTGGATAGAGAAAACATTATGTTTCAAGTCATTGTGTTCAGTGATTGTGATTCATGCAGGGGGCCGGAAAATTATTTACTTCCTTAAAAAAACGAATGCTCCCATTAAGTTTTATCGCATCCAATTGAACGATTTGACCAAATTATTCAGTATTATTCATTTTCACCAAATGATCATTCGGACGTGTTCTTCATCATGAAACGATTGTACTAGAAATTGCTAGATTAACTTAAACTACCCATTTCATGAAACGATTGTACTAGAAATTGCTAGATTAACTTAAACTACCCATTATTAGCGAAAATACTAGAAACAATGGCAAGATTTCATTTTGTATAAAAAGCAATTTGGGGGGTTATGGGCACTTTGATGCAAGACTTCTTAGGAATGCAATGAATTTTTGCTTTCATAAACAGTAAATCATCTTTTGTCTGATGTTAATAGCAGGCTAAAAATTCCTTATATAAACATTTCATTATATCACATAGTTGCCTTTTTTCCGTGATTTAGCTTGTTTTTGCTAAACTATTATATCACTCCGATAAACTTTCACGGTTGATGAATCTAGCTGTCCATAGAATAGAATCGTAATTTTTTTTGTCAAATCATTTTAAGTCAAAGAAATTTGCAATAGGTTAACATTTGAAAGAAAATACATTGGCGTGCTATAAGTCACAGTACAATATGTTCACCTTACGACCTGTATAATCCATTTTATTTATGTGATCGAATTTGCTTGATACCACACGTAACGGTACGAGTTCTTTGATGTCATTGGCTTGGCATCGTACCAATAAATGTCCTTTGTCATTTTACGACTCTGTACGTATATAATTGGTTTATCAAGAGTATTCTGTTCAATAGTGCTATATACGCGGAGTCAATGTCTTAAATATTTGTACATAAACGTCGAAGGTTTTGTGTTTCATGACAAAATGTTTGATATTCTTCCTGTCAGGGCCGAAGAAACTTTTCATAAAGCTCTACAATGTGACGCTATCGAACTACAAATTTCAAGATCACAAATTTCCCTTCGTGATAATTTCACTGATCGAGTAAATGGGATCCATGATGAAAAGAACATCGATAAAGCTATGGATGACGACGGTTTGTCTTATGTTGTTAGCAAAGCTGTTATGTACATGATTATTGATGATTCTTTTGTACAGGCTAATTTATTATCATTTTCAATGACTTCATTTAGTTCCGATGAACGAAAAATCGCTGCCTCTTCGACCTAGTCCGGCATCATCAACTGTTTTCAAAAAATCTCTAGTTGCTCAAGATAAAGTAGATGTCTCAATTCCCAGAGTTACAGAAAAAATATTTGCTATTGAATTACAAAAAGGTAAAATGGTAAATTTTTGGTATTCTTTTTCAATTTTACTCATGTAACGAGTAACTTATTGTTAGAATGTTATATGCAGTGCGGTGTTTGAAATTAAATGTAGATACGATCTTCGCACTTTAAATTGTCCAGCAAAGTGCGAAGATTATATCTACATTTAACTTATTGTTGTCGGTTTATCTTATCGAAATGCAATATATATTCTTCGATGAATCTCGTGTGAACTGTACTCTCTTGCATAAAGGATTCTTTCTTCAACTGATGGTATATAAGTATTGTCATTTGCATTTTTACCATAATAGGATGTTATTAAATGAGGAAATTTCCCAATGTTTAGCCAAAATGGTGGGAAATTATGTGATTAGCGGGAAAGAATATCTGACCTGACCGTCAATACTTGTTTGTAAGACACTGCGAGGGAACGATAAGATCTTTATTGCTCATAACTATTATTTCGAAGGATCATTTTCAATAAAGACGAATCATAAAACCTTATTTAACTAAGAAACTTTGTTATTCATGCAAATGGTCAAGAATATTTATTTTAAGTACTTAAAAAAGAATTCGTACATCAAAGAGATTTCTCTTTACTGACTGTATTTAAAAAACACAAATTATTGACAAGTTGTTTGTCTATAAGGCAAACAAGGATTGTCACCTGATGTAAACTGTCTCCTAGGATGACGTGCTTATCGTGCTATTTCCTACTGGGTTTATATCCTGTTTACATTTATGCTTTCCCTCCTCTGATTGGTATAATTTATTGTAGCATGCCATTTACCACAAAAATACCTTTAAACTATATGTTTCCCACTATGTTTTTTCACCTCGGCCATCCATATGCTTTTTTTGTCGACGAAACTGAGTAATTTATCCAATGATTTCACCTCTATATAAAACGTGATCTGTCTTTACGTTAGATGGGTCTTGTGTTGTTAATCGTGTTGTGTATTGCATCCCTAACCCACCCCTGTTTACGATGGTAATTTAGGTATATTTTTGGCCTTCAACAGGTAGTGATGGCTTAGGATTTAGTGTCACAACACGTGATAATCCAGCGATTGGCGCACGTCCCATTTTTGTGAAGAACATTTTGTCTCATGGTTCTGCTGTGAGAGACGGTCAGCTGCAAGCTGGTGATCAAATATTGCAGGTATTAAGTTACTTTGAGGTAAAACATTACATTTTAGAACTTGCTTTAGTTGTTGTTTTCTCTCCAAACTCTCCTGACAATGCTCCATCACAAACCCTCCTGACTATGCACCATCACAAACCCTCCTGACTATGCACCATCACAAACCCTCCTGACTATGCTCCATCACAAACCCTCCTGACTATGCACCATCACAAACCCTCCTGACTATGCACCATCACAAACCCTCCTGACTATGCACCATCACAAACCCTCCTGACTATGCACCATCACAAACCCTCCTGACTATGCACCATCACAAAACCTCCTGACTATGCACCATCACAAACCCTCCTGACTATGCACCATCACAAAACCTCCTGACTATGCACCATCACAAACCCTCCTGACAATGCACCATCATAAACCCTCCTGACTATGCACCATCACAAAACCTCCTGATCATTACACCATACCCATATCATCACCATCTTGACTACTGTGTAACTAAACCTCATTACTTTTTAAAATAACCGTCATGACTGTTTACAATTAGTTCATTACCCTCGTCATTATCTACATTAACCTTTGTGACTGCTTGCCATAATTCTCGTGTCTGGACTATTTTTATCTGAGTTTGTTGTCTGTATTACATAGGTTGATGGGATAGAAATGAGTGGAAGGTCTCAGCAAGAAGCGGTTAACATTCTCCGACGTACGAAAGGGAAGGTGAAACTTCTCATTAAAAGACAAGTCGTTGATGCTTCTTCGGTTGGCTCCAACTCCAAACTAATGGTAAGTGTGCATGATTGGGAATGTTTGATGCAAATAATGAAGGAGAATGCAACCTTTATTTAAGAATGAATAAGGATTTTATGTGTATGTAATGAATGAAGATAATATATGTAAGAAATAAATGAATGAGGATGTTTAATGTAAGGGGTGAACGAGAATACTTAATGTAATTGTAAGGGATGAATGACTGAATAAGATTGCTATAGGTGACGTTTGAATTAGGAATTTAAACGTAAGGGATGAATGAGGATACTATTGTGACAAACTAATGAGGATATTTATAGTTAGGGATTGATGCTATAAATGACGAATGAATGAGTGTTAAATGTTAGGGATGAATGAGGATACTATTGTGACAAACTAATGAGGATATTTATAGTTAGGGATTGATGCTATAGATGACGAATGAATGAGTGTTAAATGTTAGGGATGAATGAGGTTGCTTTATGTGACGAATGAATGCGTAAATGTAATAACTTTAGCTGAGAATGTTTGTTCCTGTCCGTTTTTGAACAATGTTTACTATTTATCAACTATGTTACCATTTTATTAAATGATGTCGCTGTGTTTCCCTTACTTTATTAGATTAATGATCTTGAGCGAGCCCCTTCTGACAGTCGTGGGAATAAGATCTTGACTTACCAAATAGCCCTTCCTAGTTCTGACTCTGCTGGATTAGGCATTACTGTGAAGGGAAAATCTAATGTTTCTGAGCAAAATGACAACTCCGAAGACCTCGGTATATTTGTGAAGACAGTTGTGCATGGAGGTGCAGCTTATAAGGTATATTTTTTCATCATACATGCCTGAGTGATTTAGAGGTGTTCTTTTAAATGTTTACAGTTAAATTAAGACAAAATACAAATACTGAAGTTTGAAGAAAGCATTTCACTAAACATGCTGGCGACTTTTTGCTGGCAACATAGAATTTCATATGTCACTCGGTGTTTCCATTTGTTGTCCGAAACTTTGTTTTGTAGCACTTTATGAGAAGTCGTGTTCGACATACCAATATCACTTAACATTTCTTTCTTCCACACACAGGATGGACGACTGCGACCTGACGATCAATTAATAAGTATCAACGGTGTCAAACTTACTGGCATGTCAAACTCTTCCGCAATGAAAACACTTCGTTCAGCAATGCTTGAGAAAATGTGGGGCAATGTTGAAGTCACGATTATACGCAGTGCAAAAGAAATAATGGAGAGTTTCAACGATCTGCACAAGATTGGAGAACAGAATACATCCAAAGATCGAGCAATTGATATTGGAGCGGCTAACGATAAGTTTGGTATTTCTCGTGGAACAGCGAACAGTATTGAAGAATTTGGAAAAAAAGAGAAATTAAATGAAGATGGTAATATGAGTTTTTTGTGATTTATACGCGAGCTCATGTTATTTTGTATGTAATTTAATTTTGGCGTTATGCGGACTCCAAGTTTGTGCTTCTTATTGTAATTTCCCTTTTTTTCTTGCATTAAACTATAATTACTACATGTTTGATGTTCCAGAAAGAAAACCTGGTGTGGAAAGATCCTTTGAAAGTCAAGAAACAGAAAAAATCAAGGAAGATAGTTTGCCAAATAATCTACGCCCCCAGACATGGAAAATAGACAAATTGAACATTTCAGCAGACAGCAAGACAGCTTATTTTCAGCAGAGAACGTTGTCCGATGACAAAACAAAACCATCTCGCAAAACAATGGAACAAAGTTACGATTCGAGAAAATATTTGGAAAATCCAGTTGTCAATAAAGAGATTGGTGAAGTAAAAACAAGCAATTATCGAGAAATGAATGAAAATACCATTACCATTAGCAAAGAGAAAGATAAAATTGAGAATGGCATTTCCGAACTTAAGCCTAATCGTGTAAAAGCGACGACGAAACTTGGAAATGGCATTCATAGAAATCGTTCATACTATATTGCTATGAATCGTACAGGACAACGTGCTGAGAGGTCACCAAGAGCAAGAAAACCTAAATCTCCATTTTACCAACCTAGTGACGAGAAACTACTTGACATACGCGTCAACACGCAAAGTACTCAGTCACGTGATTCTTATTCACGCAATGTACAGTCACGTGACGAGCAATCTCGTGCTGTTAATGATGAGAAACCGAAAATAGTTATTGCATCGATTACGGACACTACTAAAGTCTGGAGTGCTGGATCCCGTCCAACAGCTTTATCAAACCGTCCTACAAGTACCTTTGCTGAACCAACATCTGCATTAAGTACTTCGGCAACAATACCAAGACCATCAACTCAATCACGTGCTGGCCTTTCACCGACTTCTGAACGTTATCGCCCTCCGACATCCATTAATATACCTAAAGGGACCCCACCACCACCACCACCTCGAACTCAACGACCATCCCCATACACCAAGCAGCTTTCAAATTATTTATTAAAAACTTCACAAACGAGGAGGAGGTCGGACAGTTCGTTCTCAGACTATTCTGATGTCAGTGACATTTCATCCACAATTTCAACTCCAAATGATAATTCTGCTGTGGAGGCGAAACTTCCACCAACTACCAATTATACATCAAAAATAACGAATGATGAAAAACCAAAGGCATCTCCTCAACATTCAAATGAGTTGAAAAATGTCGATAACATTGACTATTTGACCGATGTTGATGATGATGAAGAAGGCTCAGGAGATTGTTTTGTCCGAGATGGATTGGGCAGACAGTCGATGTCAGAAAAGAGATTCAAGTTGGCTCAAGCTGATATTACTCAAACTGATTTTTATAAGAACAGAGTCACTCGTTCCAAAAGCCTGGAAGGTGATTTTTAAATTAAGTTTTTATATTTCAACATCAACATAGTTTTTCATAACATGTTTTACCTATTTACCTTTGTATTTTAGGCACTTTAAAAGACCCCAATGTTGAATCACCTACTCACGTATGTAAATGTATTCATAACACAAGCTTTATTGATTGATACGTTCATCTCTGCAAAGAAAATAATTTATTGATAATGTTATTTTGTAATATTTTGATTCGTTGTACACAGTGGAGGAGTGTTAAGAATTACGTATAATTCACGAGCTCGAAGCTTAATAATGATTTTAAAAGGAAAAAATACATGAATACATTTTGAACTTAGATTCATAAAATCTTACATATATATTCTTTCTTTCTATTACTAGAAACCTTACCCAGATCAACCGCTACTCCAATTGAAAAAAGTTACAAATATCAAAGACGTAAATCGAGTGACGAGTATTCTGAAAGATCAATTAGTGAGTGCTCAGTGATAAATTGCAGTAATTTGGTTGAAAATAACAGTTTTCAAAGATTATAAAGTAGGATGTTAATGAAAAAGGAAAGAGACATAATCGCCTTAAAAGAACTATGAATTCAATATATAGCTAATGTGTTAGTAACTTACTGCGAACTCTGAATGTTGCTTACTTCACTGTACGTTTTACTTTGAGACATAATCTCTTTATTACCTTGGGCAAGGTAACATCAAATATTTCTGTTTTTGTTTCAGAATCCACTCCTGCAAGTTCAAGTGACCGAAGAAATGTTAAGATAAGCGGTTTAGATCAATATGTTCGTGGGCAATGGAGGGCAAGTTCAGATGGTGTAGTTAAGAAATATGGTCGTCATGGAAACTATATGAAATCATCTCCTTTAAGTACAATGTAAGAACTTGCATTTGCAATCTTGTTAAATTTATGAAAACAAGGAAACAGTGTTTGTGCAAACATTTTTCAAAACATTTTAAATGTTTTAGATAATTTCAAACGTGTTTGAAATTCCTTTTGTCATCCCCCAGATATATAACGATAAAAAACCCTCAATGTATCCCCCAGATATATAACGATAAAAACCCTCAATGTATCCCCCAGATATATAATGATAAAAAACCCTCAATGTATCCCCCAGATATATAACGATAATAAACCCTCAATGTATCCCCAGATATATAACGATAATAAACCCTCAATGTATCCCCAGATATATAACGATAATAAACCCTCAATGTATCCCCTAGATATATAACGATAATAAACCCTCAATGTATCCCCAGATATATAACGATAATAAACCCTCAATGTATCCCCCAGGTATATAACGATAATAAACCCTCAATGTATCCCCAGGTATATAATAATAAACCCTCAATGTATCCCCAGATATATAATGATAAAAAACCCTCAATGTATCCCCCAGATATATAATGATAATAAACCCTCAATGTATCCCCCAGATATATAACGATAATAAACCCTCAATGTATCCCCCAGGTATATAACGATAATAAACCCTCAATGTATCCCCAGATATATAACGATAATAAACCCTCAATGTATCCCCAGATATATAACGATAATAAACCCTCAATGTATCCCCCAGATATATAATGATAAAAACCCAATGTATCCCCAGATATATAACGATAATAAACCCTCAATGTATCCCCCAGATATATAATGATAATAAACCCTCAATGTATCCCCAGATATATAATGATAAAAAACCCTCAATGTATCCCCCAGATATATAATGATAAAAAACCCTCAATTTATCCCCCAGATATATAATGATAATAAACTTTCAATTTATCCCCCAGATATATAACGATAATAAACCCTCAATGTATCCCCAGATATATAACGATAATAAACCCTCAATGTATCCCCCAGATATATAATGATAAAAACCCTCAATGTATCCCCAGGTATATAACGATAATAAACCCTCAATTTTTTGTAATTTTTTAAATGATTCAATTTGCCACTGTAGTCAGCTGGTAAAAACGTTATGTATAGAACTTGTAAACGATGTTTTTATTCTTCTTTAAATCGTATGCTTTTGACATTTAAGGTCAAATGCCAGTGAATCAGGAGGAGGAGCAGTTAGCACAAATAGTTTCGACGAAGATGGGATACCAATCACAATGCAGAGTAATGCTGACTATAATTCTGTTAATGCTAAATTAAAGAAGAAGTCCAGCGGTTTTACTCTGAAAAATTTAGGAGCTGCTTTGAAGTAAGTTTTTTTTACTTTCAAAAATAAATTGCTTTGCATTAATGGCGCATGATCAAATGTAGATTAGCTTTTTGCAATTTTTAAAGGTGCATACTAAATATGTCGGTTTATTTTAAAGATAAATACCCTTGAAAACGTGTTTGCTACTCCATTTTTAAATTTAATGGTTCTGTGAAGGTATCGAGATAAAAAAGAATAAATAAATTTGATTATTACATATTAACTGTATGCATGTTGGTGCTAATTAAATAATTTTCACGTACTTGTACAGAAGCTCATATTAAACAAATAGGCAGCATAATTAAGTTTTCTTTGCATCAAAAAAATGTTATATTGTTTAGGCAAAAGCTTTATGCGGTCTAGATCGGCGACCAGACGTGGTATTCATTATTGTTTGTCTTTTAATCAACGCGCCATGCACAATGGGAAAGCAATATAATCGGTATTACATAAAGTTTTATGCAAATGAAGAACGTACAACAAGGAAAAGCTGATTATAACTTTTTCCATTGCTTTGTACAGAATTTGTAAATATGATAATTTATATCATCAAAATCTATTTATGTATCTTATTTACTTCTGATATTCAACTTTCTTTTTCAACTTTACTTTAAATCGGGAATAGTCTCGTCAAAGTAGATTTTAAGATAAATTACGATCATGTCTTGATAATGTTAACCATAAAATATTTTTGCTGAAACATTTTGTATCTTAAATTAAACAAAAATATTGCAAGAATCACACAATGTGCTGTACAATAATATCACCATGACGTCACTTCAATGCATCTGGAAATTTGCTCTCAAGTGACGTCACTCAATATATGATGTTAATTTTTTTGCAATATTTTATTTATAACTTGGTAACTAAACATGTTTGAGAAATATCTTATGATTAAAATTGTGATCACATGCTCTATATTTTATTTTAAAATTGATTTGAAAAATTTTTGTGATATGAATGGCTTAAATATTATGGTAATGAATCGTAACTACTAACATTAACTATTCAATCAATTGTACGATATATGAGCTACAGCATATAATTTTTATATAAAAAAATTAATATAATTCTGAAATCACGAGCAAGGAAAAAGTTCTAATATTTTGTAATATTTTATATTTATAATTTTGCATGTACTGAATTTTCGAAGGTTTTAATTTTTCTCCCAATTCGAATTGTCGGCTTCTCGTCGATCAAAAAAGTTTATTTGCGGTATGTTTTTTAATGATTAAAATGCACGATGAATTATTTGATTGATAGCAGACAATGATGAACGTTATGCTTCATTAGCCTGAGCGCATACTGATATGCTTTAAGCCTTTTTTCACTTGTTCCTGTGCGTTGTAATCAAATAACTAATTACCAGAACCTCTGAGCTTGAAGAGCTAAAGTGTTATAGCTAGGAGCGTCACTAGAACGTTAATTGGGTGTACATACATATATTGCGTTGTGCCTGACTAACTTCTTTTAAAAGTGAAATGACGAATGTTTGTCTTACTTGGTTAAAAGTGGATGGGAGCGAATAAATGATCATTTCAGCCCTCCACCCAAAATAAAAGAAAATTAGAATTCGCCGCTGCCCCTGTGTTGGCCCTCAGCAAATCACTGCTCGTGCGAGAAATCGATTGACTTCTTAATCTGAAATACAATAATGTAGTTTTCTCTCTGTGATAGCAGAGTTCAGATGTTGACGAACGCTAATCTTGAATGAATGAATGAAAAATTTAGTTTCAAGTCTTTTACTAATGAAAACTCTAACGCTTACTGGTATAGAATGTAATTGTTTTGTTATTGTTGCTATACATGGTAAAAACTGCTCTCCAGGAATCAAGACCTTGCTATAACAGAAATCTTTATTTTATACTTCTCGTGTGCTAGTTTACATACGCACAATTTCGATAAAATAGTGCAAAAAATATCATCTAGTAATACATCGATTTGCAGTTTGAATATGTCACATGATACTCAACTACTTCCCTTGCAAAACATTTTCGGCAAATATTTTTATAAAGTTGAATTGAGGCAGCGTTTCCAAATACGCCAACACATTATCTCCTGCAATCTGACATTTGACAAAAAAAACTTGCTCGGTTACTACAAGATTTATTACGATGAATTTTGCATGGTTTATACCCGTATAAAAATATAAATGAAGTCTTTTTCTTACCATGCTCTCAAAACCTATAAAATTTGGCTTCCATAACTTCACAAATGCAAAATGTTTTCCTTATCACAACCATTCAACTATTTGAAAAAGGCATTTTAATGATTTCAATGTTGGTTGTTGATTTTGAAGTTTAATTTAATCTTCTCTATTGTAACGATGTAGTTTGATTAGTCAAATAATGACGGGTGCTAATAATTTTTTTGTTATTTCAGACCAAAAGCTTTTAAAGGTAAATACGACATGCAAAGTCGTCAATCACCGGACTCGCCATGTGAGCCAGCGGTGGATATGGACGAACAACGTTATCGTCAGTTAGTACTTGGAGAAGCTCGAGATCGTAGTTTCTCTCAAACAAATCATACGAAGTACAAGATTGCAGAGTCCCCTGACGTTGGACGCAGTAGGAAAAAGAGGCAAGAACAGCAAAAACGGTCATCGCCGACTTCACTTCAAGACATTTTAAAGAAAGGAAGCGGTGAATATTCCATAACTGAAGCCGCACAAATCTAGTGAAGTGAAAAAGATGTAATCACTTGTGATGAACAATACGTCAAGGTTAAACCACTGATGGATTAAAGTGATCGTGGGCTCTTGTAGATTTAAGTTTTAGGATTATAGAAAGTATTATGGTGCAGGAAATATTCTTAATTGACTCGTGTGAAATATATGCATGACAAAAACGACGCCAGTCCATTGAATTTCTTTCTACTGAATGATTTCGACAGACATAAAAATGCTGCAATTGCACTTTTTAATCAATGAAAATCTATTATTTATAAGGGTGAAATTAAATGGCATCCATCTAGAAACATATGAATAGCTTTTCAAACAATTTCATTTCATTATTTTTTATTTATTGTTTTACAATGCTGTAAGTGTTATGTTGTGTTTCTTCGAGAACTCGTTCTCGTCGGCAATGTAAACTTGTGTTCGTTTCTGCGCAAAATTTAATTTTTATTGGCGTAAATGATCTTATAAAATGGTGGCCGTTATTTAAGATGTTCTTATCATTGGTTGTTATCTTTGTTATCCATTGAAAGACCATTCAACATCATGCATACAGTTTAGTGATATCTTGTTAGAGTTTATTCTGAAAATTCTATATATGATTTAGATAACGATGATTGGGCTAAGGTGACGTAGCATTTTTTTTCGCTTTTTTGTGAAACCTAACTTTGAAAAAATATTTTAGATTTTAAATTTGCAATATTAGCTTATCTCGTCTTTTTACATGAGTGTAAATATCTCGTCTTATGAATCTATTCAGTAATGAGTGTATTGCAAAGGTAATGTTTGTGTATTAAGGGGACGGTGAATTTTGAATTATTTGACTTCCTTGTCGCCTTCTCTGCATGCAATGTCTAGTTTATTATTTTTTAGATTTATTTACCATGTAAATCTGTAATATATGATTGATTCACATGAATACTGTTATTCGCAAAATTTGTACATTAAACAATGATTTAATTAATGCGCTGTACTTCGTCTTTTTTCTTTGTTCCTTATTTAATAATTTTCGCCTTCTCGTAAATTCCGTAAAACGTCTTACACAGTCTATCTCATACAATATCGTTTCTCGACGTATGCGTTTATGGTAGTTCAAGTCGCGTCTGGTGTTAGTTTGTTCTCATTTAAATCAACTATGCTCTTTGTGCTCTTACAAAAAGCATATGTGCTCTTAGCTATACTCGTTGGGCAAGAATGTCAATTGAAGAGAATATAATATTTCAGAAATGTAAACGTGAAACATTACGAAACTGTTACTCCTTTTTTCTCGTTATATGTTTGATATCTTTCGTTCCTCGTAAAACGTGTTTTTATTAATAATAAAGTACTAAATTATACGGGTCTTTTGTCGAGCAAATTAGGTTCTCAGTTCTCATAGTATATGTTTTGATTTCCGTACTATCTATTTATTACAAGTAATTCCTGAAATCTTTTTCCACAATTTGCTTGCTACCGTTCACTCTCTGCTTTACAGCCTTCCCTGTTTCTTTAACCACTCCAGTTAGCTTATCCTGAACTGTCAAGGCCTTCCAGTATATTTCCACTTATTTAATGACGGTTTCTTTGTTGCTGTTAAAATTCTCATATTGCTTCAGATTTCAGTCTTATAGACTATTTCTCTAGTGATTTCACTTCTCGTCTCGTTTTGATTCATGTTTTGCAATCTCAAAATGTCTTGTTTTTTCGGAATTTGTTTTATATTATATTTTTTAAATTGTCGGCTGGTCATGGTTTTTAAACTTAAAAATAGTTTGATCTTTGTTTGAAGTAATATAGAGTGGAAGCTGCAGGTCAATTTGTCTTGATACTAAAAACTTGTAAGGTCTAGTGGTATTTGTGCTTGAGTGTTTTTCTAATGTGGAGTGTGTCAAATTGTCAGAGGACTCACTGATCGCTTTTCACGTTTAAAACATGTTTTAGAATAATGCTCAAATGTTATCTGTTACTTTACGTACGTGCTGGAAACTCGTCTGACGGTGACTATTGGATTGTCCAACTGCGCTGGGGGTATGTGCCCTTTAAAGAGCTGGAACGTGCTGATTCTGATGACTTGCGCTAAAAAGAAGTTCTTCTTTCGGATACAAAGTTTTCCCATTCTAAGCAGGGAAAAATGGCCACGATTATTCTGATGTTTACAGTTACATAATAATAATCACTTTTGAAATTCGCTTCTCAAAGCTTTTACCTTGTGAAAGACCCATTTGTAATACGTGGGACTTCAATAGGAAGCATTAAATATAATTAACATAAATCTTGCAAAAAATGATATAAATTAAGACGGCCATATGCTAATCTTCAATTTAAGAAGAAAAATACAAAGTTAATCAAGAAGAAAACATTCTGCAACTACAGCGAAAGATCGATAACTAGGATATATTTAAAGATTATCTCATCTAGCTGTGACATTAATGAGCTGAAAAGAGGGCAAGGTAAATCATATATTGATGAAAAACAATTCTAAATTTCAAACCTTTGAGATCATCGTGCTGGTAATTCTTTTCTATTTTGCTATTGCATGTAAACTGTTTAAAGCGTTAAAAAATGTAGCATGTAAAAACGTTATTCATCATAGATTCTTCACAAAAACGATGGCAAGAAATAGGATGAAGTAAAAATTCGGTATTTCATGCAATGTATGGCCGACCTCAATTTCGGCCAATTTTGTTACAATAAAAGCTACTCGCTACGATGCATACGAAAATATTATACCCAAATATATAACCAAAAAACTTCACACAATGTGTGGCATATGAGATTGACTGACAGTGTAAAAATTCATGTTGTACTTTCAGGCTTGTCATATTACATGAAAGTCTTGTTTTGTTTCCTAGACAACGTGTCATTATAAATGGTTACTTAACGCATTTCCATACAAATGAAGAGTTTTTAAAAATTAACTTTCTCATAGCAACGACCTTGGACAGCCAAGTATGCAAAAATATAATTTGTGGATTCATTAATTTGATTGAAATGTAGATTTTTGAAAAGTAACATAAGACGCGCCTTTGCGTAGAGTCTTCTCTCCCACATTGTATAAACGATTAATTTCTAAGAACTTCCTCAAACCAATCACACCCATTTAAATCAGTGAATACCCCTTTTGTTAGCGAGAAATATTCAAAAAGTATACTTTTGTTGAATGGAAAAAGAACTAATACCACCAATATGATACTCAGCAATTTGTAGATAACAGGAGACCTGTACGGGTTACACATACACCAATCTCATTTATGTGCATCAGGCGCGTAGCCGGGATGAAAAAATTTCGGAGAGCATCAATATTCTTCAGGAGTTTAGAGTAGACCTCATATTATAGCTAATTTTAACAATGATATAATTCATAACTCGTTCAGTCCAAAATAATATCCTACAGTGGATTAGCTATTTACAAAAGAAAACATGATAATATCTTTACGACGTAAGGTTATCATCACAAGTAGAAAACAACACACGTTTTGATTCTTTTTAAAGAGGAGAACATCTGTGCAATTTTGCAAAATGTTTGAGGAATGATGAGTAGTAGCTGATATAAGGTTATATAAAAGGGAAAATATTTTAATTTGTCTTTACTATGCCAGACACTAATCATTCTTTCCTAAAATTTTCGTATGTCATGCTTGCAACAAAAGAACGAAATTACAAAAAAAAAAACACCTCTATTTCACTATCAGATAAGTTTAGAGATCCTGGATGGAAAAATCTGATATATTTAAATAAACAATTAATCAACTTCAGAAATTTTCACTGAGGAGCAAAAACAATTTTTTAGGGGGGAGTGCGAGGGGGCGACTGCTCCCCCACTTCTCGCCTTTCTCGTAGCTACGTGCGTGCAATACGTAACAAACAGAAAATAAGTACGGGAACAACTGTTAGACTGGGAAGGATATTATTTTTTTATTTGAGGACGTTTTTTCATAAGACGAAGTCATAAGTCTTTGTTTTTTCAGAAACCGTTCACTTTTGCCATGTTCTTAACATACAACAAATGCATGTTATAAATTCCCTTCTAAGGTCCATGTTGTGGCCTTTTTGATAAAATATCTTTGATCAGTTCTTATTTCGAATGTTCTTTGTAAAGACACAATTTGAGGCAGCCTGTATTTTATCGTCGTGTTGTCATCCTGATGTATTTTCGATAACGTACAACGTTATTGCACAGTTGGAAGGATATAGAGCTACATGGGAGACAGAAGGAAATTTTAAGGATATTGGTCACTTGTGGATATAAAGGGATAATAAAAATTCAGTGTAGGAAGATGCAGAAATAGAGTATCATATTTTGTCTGTATTTATATGTTTTTTACGGTATTCTAAAGACATAGTTCGTGTCAAGCTATCCTAAATTTCAACATATACATATACAGTGCTACACAATTGCTGCTATATATAAATATATAGAACTTTTTTCCATTTCGATAATTAGCATGAGAGATGAATTTTATTGCTTGTTTACAATGTCAGGCTTTGCTCGACAAAGTTAAAGGTTATAAACATTATTTTCGGTTTGCATCTGCCTATTTATTACTCTTGTCTGATTTAACCAATGAGAAAAGCCATTCATAGAGCTATAAGCACTTAACCACAGTAAAGGTATTATTATAATACCTATACTGTGACTTAACGGTTGCTTTGCAATGATTCGTCTCACAAACCATATATTTGCATAAAAAATCCTGTGAGACAGTCCAATACATTTGCACTGGAGTAAATGAGGTAAAAAGGAAACAAATAAAAAATAGCTTACGCTTTCAAACATCTACACCTTACTATCAATTAAAATTTGTGTATTGTATCGAAGTTCTTTACAAATCTCAAGTTATTGGGTGCATATCTAATCCATAACAGAATTATTAATGGTATTATACTAATCCTTATATTTTCAAACACGCTGCACTACATCAAAAGATGCCGCTGAAAATTTAAGACTAGCAACGTGGCAACACTCCCGGACCAATAGATAACGCACGTGGACAACATTGCAGGCTTAATTAGGATTTAATGCCAGTAAAATGCAATTTTAGCCATTCAGTTTTATCGTCTATCGAGGATGGCATTAAAAATTTTGTTGGTTAAGAATTGTGCCAGGGCATAAGAAAAAATGGTATCTTAAATAGTGTGCCAATTAGAACATTCGTGTTTTGTAAATTTTATGGAGGTCAATACACCGTATGACTACGCTGTATGATTTGTATCATAGAGACAAAAATATGTAGCTGTGCTGTAGATATTGCATGAGAGCATTGATATATTGATTACAGAATTGTTGGCTGATGTGTGCATGAAGAAGAATTTTATGACATCCATCTTGGAGAAATAGTTTACCTTCTTTATTATTACGGCTGTAGAAATTGAAAATTTACTGTGAAAATTTCAACTTCTCAAATCAAACCATATTTGGTGTGTATAAATTCTTAATAAAACAAACAGATCCCATAAAATTGATAATATTTGCAATATCAACAGTTTAATCAATTAGTCAGCATGGTAATTGAAACTTCAGTCATGTAAGCTTTAATGCATTAAAAGAAATTGTTATATAAATTTTAGCAATGTCATAACTTGCTGATACTTTTCACATAAAATATATTGATTGCTTTTGCTGTGAGTTATTTCCATTGAAACACAAAGCAAATGCTTTACATAAGAATGTATATTTTTCTTAAGTAGTAATGCTACGCCCTATAATAAGTGTGCTCCAATTCATTCTCCAGTTCTAATTCATTTTTTATGCATAATTCCGTGCTACAAATTACTAAATAAGGCAGGTTTTCCATGACTTGACTTTGTAAATGAAGACTTATGTAAACTGAAGTATTTTACAGTAACAATAATTAAAATCAAACAGTGCCATTGTGGTCATTTGATTCACAAAGCTAAGACATTTCAATACAAAAAAAACATGCGTTAACTGATATCTATTTTTATCAATTTCAGCTTAATTAAGTATGAGGCAATACGGTGTAATTTCTCCCAGCGAGCTTCTTATAATACAATTTACGTCATATAATTAAACCTGCACCCGAAAAAGCGTGTTTATGTCGACCATTGGCCAAGACATGTGTATCATACATGTGCCTGAGTAGACTATCTGTCATAAACACGTGTCGTTGTAGATGAGGGGCGGATTGATAGGTGTTGTTCAAGAAAGTAAAAATTTAGGTCAATGACATTAGGTTTAAAGGTTGTGCAGTCAGAAAATAATTTTGGACACATATTGTTAAATAAGTTTGGATTAACAGTTGAAGTTGAATGTATACTTATGTTTAAAAAAACACAATGAATGTCGGCAGACCACCGCGCTGTCACGTTATACCTTTGGCATTTTTGCTATTTTGATTTCACTGGACACATACATCGACTACAGGCACGCTCTAAAATAAGCGGCGTAGAGTGACTTTTAACAAAAATGAGTTAAATATTTCATAATTTTCGCCCTACACCTAGCAAGCTAAGTATGTTTTATATGTTGCCCAAACCACTTTTTTGAAAAAAATTGTTTAAATTTGAACTTCAATTGTTTCAGTGGACTTTGTCACAAGTCGGCATGTGTTGTTTCAAACAATTCTAAAAAGGATCCGCTTCATTAGGAATAAGCACAGTTGACAATCAATCAAGTAGCTTGTATCAACAAATTATCGTTTGATGAAACAATATATACGAATGGCTATACGGCAAAACTGTGTTTAAGACAGTAGGAGATCAATGAAACAATAGAAGAGAGAACCTTCAACTTACTAACCAGAAAGGTGACCTGTTTAAACGCCATAGCTCAACACAGAAGATGATTTAAGCATATCTACTTGACGTACAACTTAATTATAGCAGTTTTTTACTCTCACCTTTCGCCGCTTTTCTTTTCAACGGATTTTCTGGAACTTATCCAAATGCATTCAAAATGTCGATAAACTAATTTTTGCATTCATGTAGCTATAACGTTGCATTGCATAGCTTAGTTAAACTTCGCGCAAAATTTGTGAATCTTATTGCAATATAACATTTAAATTATGTTTTCAATGATGAAATTCATTCACCCTGCCTTAAGCAAAAGGGAAATGTTCGTTTGATTGAAAAAGACGAGAGATAAAAGTGAAAAGGAAATCTAGTCAAATTGAATTATGTTTGATTGACATAAGCATTACAAATTATCAAACCAATATCATGCAGGAATGATAACAACACAAAACACGTCCCGCTGAACTTATTCCAGTGATGTAATAACGAAACAGGGCAAACTCGAGATACAGCCGCGAAATAAGCCCTTAAAGCGAACTTTTCTACCACTATTAATTTTACAAAACGATGAAGACCAAGCAAAAGCAAGGTTTAAACGAGCAAATTTTTGCATCTTTTGATTTGACGTAGTTCGTAAAAATTCGTTTTTATTGGTAAGCTTCACGGAAATCAAAATATCCGTAACACTGGCGTAATATCCGTGCTAGTTATTGGCCTATGATATTATTAATAGGAATTGGATTATTTTCAAAACAGCACCAAATGTCTCATAACAAGCCAATATTTGTAACTTAAGATGATTTCCATGCAGAGTGTGTGTTGATACATAAGTTATATATATCACCAGGAATACTTGTGTTTCAAATCAATGGGTATAATTGCTACAATTTTTTAAATTCTACTCCCTACACATAAATAATTATTCCCTTCTACTGATGGTCTTGTTGTGTAATGAAAGTCTTAACGTAAAAAATCGCATGTATTTCGGTTAGATTAAAGAGTAATGCGGTTTGTTATGCCAAACATTCATCTTTTTCAGCACGAGATTTTCCGGATTTTCAAAAACCAAATGAAGTTTGAGTTCCTTTGAATTCAATTAACACGCTTAAAGATAACAATTAACACAGTTGAAACAAGTTTATACAATTTGAGCTAGTTCTACGGAAAACCCATATTCACGCCTACTAATGCAGTTCCAAAAAATTTCTTCATCAATACTTCTCTCAAAATATAATTCTCGGCTTATAGCTACTGATGTTTTCACAAAGAAGAAAAACCAAGCCCCATAAACATAAAAATGTGATTTCAAAAAAAAGCACTTGTTACATAGTTAATTCTGAATCCGACGAAACCCACGTGCGTAATTGTTTTCTTGTCCTCGTGTGTGTCTAGCTCATTGAGTTGTTTTTGAGACCTTGAAAGTACCTAGTGAAGCTTTGCTTGAAGCCATGACGCACTTAAATTCCCATTGGTTGATAAGCCAACTTTGAATCAATCATATTCTCCACTTGAAGGAGCAAATATGCGAATGGAAAGGAACAAATTGTACATTTTGCAGCTTCAATTAAAATCCATGCATTTAATTATAGGCCTTTTTTGTTCTGTAAACTTATAAATAATATTCAGGGCCAATTCCACAAATATTATAGTTTGTATACCACAAAAATAGCAAAAATATCTATGACACATGGCCACGTGCAAGAACATTCAAATAATGAATCCGGTCAATTGAGCTGAAAAGCGATGACCAGTTCGCTAGGATTATTTAACAGAATACCAAAATGTCGAAAATATGATTGAATTAACAAATATTTTTTAATCGTAGAAGTGAAATATTTAGCTGCTGCTGCCCATCACAAGTTTAAGGAAACATTATTCATAGAAGATCTTCTTTAAGATAATTGTTTTATGTTGATGTTAATTACAGATACTTGAGAGGTTAAGTACATGCTTCGGTTTGAAGTGGTTGAAACAAATATAATTAAAAAGAAGTAACTATTACACATGGACTGTTGCGCTATAACAGTGATGGTAACACTTATTCCATAACAAATTAGACTTATAAACATCGCATTGCGAATTAGATAATTGGCTTAAAAAATTGCAATTGCGGGATGTACGTACATGCATCTTGAAACAGAGATCGCTAAAACAAAGTGGGTTGTGGTTTACAAAATTTCACTTACAGCTACTGAATTGAGAGGCTTGTCACTTGAAATTTTATTTGATTAATGTCACCGCATAGAAAGTCGTCTGTATAGTGCAGTGTAAAAATTAAAATGCCATGCAAACTGTTTATGTTTCTCAGCTATACCACATTACTAAAGACACCATAAAACTTTGCGTTTTCAGGTATACAAAAATTTTCAGTGGAGTTAGAAAATCTTCTAAAGCTATATGAAAGTAAACATTGACATAGCCATTGGCCTTTAGTCATCAAAGCAACAGCGTCGGAGCGTGTCAGAAAGCTCTACATTGTGCTATTCCACATGTCATCGTATCATCTCATGGGAAACCCAAGTTAACAGCGTGTGTTTTGAGCCCTTGTTATAAAACACCAAAAAGTCTTGAACACCTCAGTCAACTCATAGTTGCTCTGCCGTTAACATGGACAAGTTATTCGCTGTTTGGTGCTTGTATGAAAACGAAAGCTCTCGATCAACGCCATCTGTAAGAAGAAAGCAACCAAATGATAAAACCACCACACCTAAACCTAAAGTTTCAGCGAAAAATGAAGTGAAGTTTCGCCTGGTGACTCAAGACGATATTGACACAGTACGAGAAATTTATCATCAAGGTCACCAAAACCGAATTTTCCCCGCCTTCAAGATTGGCATTTGTCGGTCGACTTCTTTACTAGCTATGTTAATGCTGTTTGCCTTATTGTATCTGGCTACAAGATCAACTGTTGTCTGTCTTTCCTTTGAACTCTTATACGCATGCTTATTACTAGCATCGTTCCATAAACTTTTCAATGATCACATTACCAACAGTTTAAGAAAGGATTTGACAGACATCACAGCGTACTACAAGACTCAAGAAACGTGTACGGGCTACAGTGATTTTGCAAAAAACGGTTCAAGTATGTGGGTTGCAGTGGAAGACAGCATCGTTGTTGGATTTATCAGCTTCTCTCACGTCAACGAAGAAACAATCGAAATAAAGCGTTTGGGCGTCGCTCAAAAATTCAGGGGGAGAAAAATTGGAGCTGGTCTTTGTCAGTTTGCTGTGCATTTTCTACAAAATACAAGCTATAAACGCATCATTCTTGAGACGACAGAAGCACATCAACCGGCAATTCGTCTTTACAAGAAATTTAAGTTTGAACTCGTGAAAAGTTTTAAACACAGTTTTGGACTTGCGTCTATTCAACTCGAAAAATATGAACTACCATTAAGTGTAGCCAATACACTGAACATCGCGCAACCGACGCTGGCTATGCAAATTAACTCCAACTGCTCAAACGCCATCTGCAAATATCTTACTGAATGACATGTTGTAAAAAAGTTAATAAAAACATGTGAACAAAAAAATATGTGTCTTGAATCTTGAATGCCTTCATTAATACAATGACTTGTTGATGTACATCACACATTATTTTTTCTGCAATATGTGTGACCAACATTTTTGTTGCCATGGTAACCTTTTTAAAAATGCATGTAAGTTGTTTTTGAGACCTTCAATGCATATTTTTACATTCTAATACCATATGGACAAATAACCTTTTTTGAAGCAAATCATTTTGGAGTTCATCCAATTTTCAGGTGTTAAAAACAACTGTTTGTGTCAAATGCGGCACTAAATAAATGTGCAAAAGTATGCCATTCTTTATTCAATGGAAGTTATAAGTGCTTAGAAATGATCCCACTAAATCCATCTTAAAGCACGAACTAATCGAAGAAGGATTATAGTCAAAAAAGTTTTAAATCTACTTTAAAACATTACTTACTTGTTAATTTGACTTCAACTAATGTTGAGAATCAGAGAATGTTTTTTTTCAAAGCAAGTACCATCCATAAAATCAACAAAAAGCCTATTCTATATGTATACACCAATGAAACAACTTTGATGCCACCATAATTTGTATTCCAAAAAACATCAGGATTTGTGCATTAGAGAACCAGACCAGCAGACTTTCACATGTCACTAGAGCAGGCTCGTGCCTCAAGTAATTTCACGTGTCCAGGAGTGTCGCCGATTACACAAGTGTTATGTTCTCAACAAGAAATGAAAGCTCAGTTTGAAAAAATAAAAGCCTCTGGCATGTTTTTATGTTTTTAAGAAGTATACACTGGTTTTCAAAAAGTTTTTAACTTTGTGTCTTCTTATTATGATACTTCAGTAACTCAAAGAAATTGACATCAAAATAGCATTATACAAATATATTTGAAATAGCATTATACAAATAAATTGCATATTTTTTATTTACAGATTGACAAAAAAGTTTGGCACTATGCAAATTTCAAACAAAAATCATGAAGTTTAAAGATGTTGTATTCATTGAATTGTTTTAAGATTATCATCCTTCTTAACGTAAAATCAAAATTTCAAATTATCATTGCGTGTGTGTCTACAATAAAATTTTAGCTCTCGTCGAGTTGATAAACAAGAACGTTGTCATAAACAAGAAGATATAAAAACATTCATGCGTTGGTTTCGTTTGTTGACGATTAAAATTCCAAGCAAGTATCATGCTGACTTTCTCTCAACCATCAATCATGAATTTCCGGGTGTGCGTATATTGTCATCACTAACTTAGACCATACAACCATTATCTGGATATTGTAAACATCTCAAGAAAATTCACAATAAATTTATGTTTACTATCTCCAGAACATCACTTGTCCCTCATGACTAAAAGCATTCTACGATGATCGCACGATAAATTGCGCAATTGGCAAAAACGAAGCACCTTTACTCGCGAATAGGTACGCATAGCGTACTTGTTGTGATCAGAGAAGCCTTTTCCTATACTATTTGTATACTCAATAAATATTAGCTGATGAACAGTTATGCTCTTTCAATGCCATTTGATCAAGTAGCATTTTGTAATTTCAAGCTATTTTTACAGTGTTCTTTTTCAAAACAAAGTTATCAGCAGGGCTAAGACATTTTCGATGAATTCAAACGAGCACAATGGGAATTATAGTGGTGGTCTTAAATTGCACAGTAGCTTATAAGAAAATACAAGTTAAGCTTTTTCAAAATTAATTTGAAGACCGTGGGATGCGTATTGACCATCATTATCTTGGCATGCATTTTTCCACCAAGTGTTTTTTTCTGTCTGAAGTCTACAATTGCAAAAGGCTGCATTTTCAATGCTTCAAAACTTATTTTCTGAAAACTGCTAAAAATTCGACAAAAAATAACCTGTCTGCAATAAATATTTCGGGGTATTGATGGGAAACAATTTCATAATATTTTATCAAAACATGTACAGAAAATTCACAGGAATTTATTGTTGAAATTTTCAAATGATATTTATCAATACTTTGCAGAAATATTTGATCACAAAGGAGTAACGCTCAACGGAATTTATTTTATTACCATAAAATTATTTAATCAATTAATATGAAGTATCCTTGAGAGTGCAAATAAATATATTTAGGAAGTTCAGACTTCAACTTTGGGTCATTTGCTTATTCAAATCTTCATCCAGAATTATCCTGATGACGTTTAATGAAAACTTCAACGTCACAAAAACAGCAGAAGATGCATGAAAACGTTTGTCAACAATTGATGAATTATCGTCTGTCGCACTCCATTCCCTAGTGAAAACAATTGCTTTGTAATGAATTAGATGACGTCTTTCCATTTAATGTATACAAATAAAATACAATAACAGCTACTGCAATAATTTCCCTTGTCAACAAATGTTGTTTTACCGTAACTGCGTAAAAGCACTATTGATATTGCGCATTTAATAGTGCTTTTACGCAGTTACGGTAATATTATTCACGACTTAGCACAAAAATATGATGGAAAGGTTTCCCTATCAGACTTTCGGAAGTTTGAAAAGCTCACTATTTTAAAAAAAACTTGTCGTTTTTATTAAATGCGAAATGTTGTTTTACGTCCACTCACTTACTTTCATCAATTTTTGATAAGTAAGAGTAAAAGAAAAACTTCATGGTAATTGTAATAAATATTTGTGATTATGAATTATTTCAACATAGTTGGTGTAATCGATACATTTACAAATGGATCCAAATACACACCCAGCAAAAAGGTTGTTGTCTATCATATTATGTGTACTAAGGAGATTAAGTATAAAGACTGCTGCTACAAAGAACAATCTAAAACGATAATCTTTATCAAGCATTTCCAATGCAGTTTGTTAAAAATGTTTTCATTATGACTTTGAGCATAATTTCTGACCAAAATATGCATCACATATACAAAATAGCTACTAAAGATATAAATTAGAATAACTACATTCAATATATGCAAGATGCATAAACATTAGAATTTGACAATTAAAATCTTTCAAACATGCATATCATATGTGATGTTTATTTCACGTGCAATGATTGTTTATTATCTTTGTTAAGTGATGACATTCACCTAAGTAAATTTCCACAGGTATGTGAGCCCACGCACAAGTGTTCGTGACGTACAAGTTACCAAGACTTCCTTAATCCTTTCGCCGTTTTTGTTATGATTTGCAAGAAATGACTTGTTTATTTTGTTAAACTGTCTGAGTTCACAATTACAGTCTCTTTTATATTTATTAAACAACTCTACTAGTAATACATATTTGTATATTTGAGATGGGATTTCTCTGAATTGAACATTCAACTTGATGCTACCAGCCTTCTTTAATATAAAAAAATACAAGCCATGTACATACAGAGATTTTTATCTTGTAGTTTAATTAGAGCGTGTGATTTATGTCTAGTAAACTCGTTCTTTTCGTGTATTTATCCTATATGTCTGATTATATATGTTTGAATGTCAGTAAATTCATGCATATTTATTAGTTTAGAGATTTGTAGTCAATTTTTATAGTCTGGATTGAAATCATTAATTTTGATTTAATTTGAACTTTCAATTCGGTAATTTTTCTGTGAAATTCCTGGTTTTATCATAATGGTATTTTAAAAAGATTTTGTCAAAATGTTCGAGTCTATTTATGATAATTGCTACATCACTCTTGTGCGAAACGTAATTACGAATCACTGTGCATTTTACAACTCTGTCCATCCAGTTACTGAAAAGTTGTACGACGACGTACGAGCAAAAATAGGATAAAAGATTTTACAAAATATAGTGTACATTACAAATCGTGCATTTTCATTGGCTAAATTTGATATATTACGAAATGAATGTTGGTTTGCATTTCTGCTGAAAGAAAGAAAGGTGTGTTTTGTATATTCCAGGCATTATTTTCACATTCAAGCGCAACGATGACTAAGTTTTTTGAAAATTTGACGTTGTTGTACAACATGGTATTATTTTTCAAAAGAATGCAATGATCACTCCAGTTACAAACTAGTTCACTGCGGAAAGTTTCCCACACATGCGCAAATTACAACATACGGGTATGCGTCGTCCTTCTGTAAGTTCTGAATCATGGCGACAAGTTTAGCGAGGCCAGCTCTTACCAGAGAAGGTTTTTTTTACCTTTTACTGTTTTATGTTTACTTTTGTAGTATTTTTGACTTTTGAGGTAAAAATATTCTTACCTTAATATTTTAATGTTTGTAGATATCGAGCGACAAGCACAGGACATTGTTGATAAAAAGGCTGGAAAAGCTCCAACGGACAATACAGATTTGGTAAGATATATTTTAAATGGAAAAGCTTTGACCTAACTCGCTAGTTTATTTTCATAATTAAATATGAACCAGATAGAGTTTATAAATCTAAATGAATAAATAATTACGTGGAATGTGGATGGTTTGTCAAAATCTCATGTTAGTAAAGAGGACTTCTTTTATTTGTAAGAAATCTTTCGCTTCTTCTTTCGCTACTGATGGGAAAAATGAACTCATTTCAATGGTTAATCTTATTAGATATTTTCCTACGTTAGCTATAACACCTATGGTAGCTGTTTTGTTATTTACCAACAGGTCTTTCTTTAAAAATGGCATCTTGTCAACATTTTTTGTCTTCATTTGCCTGTTGTACAGATTAGTGGACAATTATGATCTTTTTTTTACTTAAAGCATTGCAGGGTATCAAATTGGCATTTGCTGCAATTGGAGGATGCCAACCTAATTACAATATTTGCAAAGTTTCAGCAAAACTGTGTAAAACTTTAGATCGGCATTAAACTTTCCATATTTATTGCCAAAAATAGGGTATTTGCAGAAGTATGTAAGGTAGATCCTTCCAAATTCCAAATTGCAATGCTAAATTCTCTCAAATTGAAGACAGTGTAAAATTTGTTAACAACTATGTCAAAATATCTGTGGTATTTCTTGATTTCATTTAGGTATTTAAAAGTATATATTGCATTTAGCATTATGTTGCAGCATGGCTTTGTCTTTGTATATACTCAACATCATTTGTATTGCTTATAAAAAGATAGCTTGTCTGTTTGTTTTGGCAAAGAAATACATGTTGTCAATCCTTGCAGCTGCCATATTTAAAAGTGTAATGCATTTTGTGTAAGCAAAGTCGATTCCTTGACTTACACCAGCCGAAACCTCTACTTGTGTCCTTCTAGAGCACAAGTACAAATGCCTTGCAAATTTATTCAAATTTCTTGATAATAATGATAATATTTTTACTTTGGTGTAATTTGTGAAGTTCTTTGTTGGTTTTATAATGTATTATATGAACTTTCCTTGGGTAACTTACGTAAAAATCTTGTTGCACTACTTTTCTGACAAAATTCTTTATTGTAATAAATTTAAACAATGATTATCAGGTTCATGCTTTGCGTGTTTAATGTTTATGTTTTCATGTATGGGAACTTTCGTGGGATAAGCAATCCAATGCATATTCAGTACAGGTTTTGTTTGTTTATTGACTTATGTGATCATATTTATTTATAGGAACCATTTATGGTTGATAGTTTGATTGCTGCTACGGTATTCACGCCGTATTTTTATGCTGTACTTATGTACTTAAATCAAACATATTACAGCAGCCATTTTTGTGGTCCCTTAAAATGACCAACCAAGCGCAAAGCATGATCCTCATACTCATTTTTAACAAGCGTTGACTTTATTTGTATACTTAAAATACCCTAGAACTATGTGTTTTTATTGAAGCAAAAGAAATTATTTGTTTCAGGTTGGATTGACTTCTCAAGGATATTTTGATACTGATATTTATGGATCAAGTTCAAGCAAGTATGTTATGATTAAGTTTGGTTTCTTTATGTATTGGTTTGCATGTATTATACTGTAAATTTCAATAAATTGAATTGTTTTCCTTTTATTTTAAAATAATTAAAATAATTATTAATTAATAATAATAATTAATAATTGGTGTAATTAGGTGTGACATGAGTGAGTGACAATTTTGGTATGGTGCATTCACTGCAATAATGGTGTGTCACATGTTTGCTAAATCTTTGTTTTTATAGATTTGATGGTTATGAAGCTTCGATTCCAACAAATGAAGCTGAAGAGGTAAATTAATTTTTTGTTCGCATTATTTTGATATTAGAATTGTGCCTATTGTAGCATAACTTAGAAAACATTATCCGCTAAATTGTATTGTAAATCACCTTATGGAAAAAACCCAATTTTGCCTGTTTTGCACAATGTCCGACTTTGAATGTCTAATGCACCATTTTCACGTCAATGACCTTCAAATCCTGCTTTTGCTTTATTAGTTTATTACTCTTTGATTTTTCATTTTTCCAGTTGATTTTTGCTGTTACAGGAGTGACCACCACTTATTAATTTATACAAAACATCTCACCACATTTAACTGTGGACATCAGCTTTGGTTGTTGGGGTCAGCATGTTAAAATAAAGTTATTCTATCTACCAGTATCTATATACAGTATCTATCTATGGTATCTATCTCCAGTCAACCACCACAATGGAAAATGAATTTAATATGAGGACATTGCTAATTTATAAAGGAGAAGAAAACCATAGCCCTTCCTTCTTTTTTGTACTGAGACTTTCAAAACCCTTGTTTAATCAAATGTGAAAGATCATCCATTGCTGGATAGGATATTCTACTGAGAATTAGACCAAGGCACCAAGCAGAAAATTTTGTTTCCGAATTTCTAAAATAATACCATTCAAAATATTTTGCTACTGTTCATTACATTTATTTAGGTCAAAGAAACACAATGAACATATATGTTGTGAACAATGTAATTTTATTTCAAAAATTTTACTGAAATAATTAACTAAAGTTTTTTCCAGGATGATGATGATTATTCTGCAAGTGCACTGGGCCAAGGAAAAAGAGCAAGATACACAGCACCTGTGGCGTTACTTAATGACATTCCTCAAGGAGAACAGGTATGTGTATTTTACTGTTTTCAACTATGTCATATTTAAATGAAGCTATGTCATATTTAAATAAATGGGATCATCCCGTTGAGTCATCTAAATTTTTCAGGTTCATGAGACAATTGCTTAAATTGTCCAGCAAAGTGCGAAGATCATACCTTCATTTAATTTCAAACACCGCACTGCATAAAACATTCTTCACATGTCATATTTAGTTGTCTTGATGGGGCCCTGAGTTGACTTATTTTGCCATCAATGGCATCCCTTCTTACTCAGATGTTTTTTTGACATGTTAAAGTGATTGTGTAGTAAACTTGATTGCATGCCTTACTATGCCATTTATTTATAAAATAAGTTTTTTGCTTGCAGTACAATGCATTTGCTGAACACAAACAACCAACAATTGCTGAGAGAGAAGATGAATATCGTGCAAGAAGAAGGGCTATGATAATATCCCCAGAAAGAAATGATCCATTCTTAGAAGGTAGTCATCATTTTTGTTTTTCTTTGAAATACATCATTGTTGAAAATTTTTAAGTTGTTCATAGTTTTCTAAATTTTCTAATAATCAACAAAGCCTACGTAAATATCAATTCTTTTTTCATGTTTTCCCTGAGTTTTCACTGATTTAAACATCGCCTGCTAATATTTGATAATAAAAAAATACACAAAATTTATTTATCAGCATTTTTTCTTCTATGTAGTGATTATCTTTAAGGTAAGTTGTCTTGCATCATGCTAACAATTCTCACTGATGGTTTCCTTGGAAAATCAGTGATGTACATTTGTTTTTAATGATATTTGCAATAGGCTTTATTCCAAAAATAAATGTCTGTGAAGATCATTGGTTGTGATTCTTTAATCTGCAAATAATATACGTATACTCACTGTGTTTTTTATCTGTCACAGTCATCTTGTGACAATCTTCAATAATTACGTTGATTCAAAACTTCCGTGTATGTTGCATTAAGTATTTGTTTGGGCAAATACTTTTATTTACTTTTTTATTGAATGTTTGTGGAGTTTCATGAAATGCTGAATAATATAGCAACATCTTTTAATGGTAATTCTCATTCTTTTCAACTGCGTACGTATTACACCAAGTGTTTTACGTATAATTGATTTGAGTCTTTTAATGTTCAGATTCACTCGATATGTGTTAAAGCGGTTATGTTATAAAAATGGTTTTCACTCCCCTTCTCGTGAAACACTGATATATAATGAAAATTTATTAGGAATCTTCAGTCTAGTTGATTAACATGGAAGTGAGATGAACATGGTTATATGGAGCAAGTTTCGCCATCCTTGGGTTGGTTTTAGCTGCCAGACAAACAATAACATTACAACATCCAATACATATTTCTATCCTTATATATGTATAATTTTGTATGCGATGCAATCATTGATCGCATTGATTCTATAAGTTGTATACTTACTGAAATATCATTTTTAAAATATTTTATGAAGCATTTACAAAGCTGAAAAAAATGGTTTTAGTCGATCAACACTTAAACGTTTATTATTTGGATTTATCAATGTATATATCTTATATAATTTGCGTTCTTTTGATTGTATCGGATTCGTTTATCCTCCATGTGTGTATCAACTTCCCTTTATGTATTGGGGTATCTTGTGTTGGTGCGTGTTTTGAGGCAAGTGGCTTGTTACATTTTTGAACAACCATCCCGTTTGGAATAGGCAACTCATGGAGTCGCATGGTCTATTTCTGAATATGTTGTCTTTAAACTTTCATCATAAGCCAATATTTAGTTTGTTGAATTGTTTTTCCGAAGTGTTTTATTACTTTAGTTCTTTTCCGAAAATAAGAAAATTAATTCGCCAAAGATGCTTTTCATTAGACAGCTATTTAGGAGACCATGTTTCACTCAACAGTTGTTTATTCTTTTGCACTCTTCCAAGGTACCCTCGCCAACCTTCTTTTTTTACTTTTATTTTTTCTATTTGTAATCCCAAATTTAGTGTGTTTTTTATATTTTAATTTCATATTTCATGGGAACTCCATGCTGTTGTATATAATCTTACGTGAAATCATGATAATGCTAACCAGCAGAATTTATTCTGCTTTTTTTTCTTTTGCTATAGCAATAAGTTTAAAGACACCTGATCCTTCTCAAATGAAAGGACGAAGCTATCCAGATATTTTGATGGAACAACGAATGAGGAAAGAAGAGGTAGAAACAACTTTATCCCATGCTTTTTACAAATTGTTTTCATTCACCAAAATAGAAAAGCCAAAGCAAAGAATCAGCGGCAGCCATTAATGTTGTTTTCATTTTTGTTACAGGTTGAAACTCGAAAGGAAATTCTTGAAAAAGCTAAGTCTGGAGAACTTCAAGTAAAGGTTCCAGCTAAACCTGTTGGTGGGTGTTCTTTCCTTCAGCTTTTATTTCTGCATACTCGAAACACAGCATTCTTTTATGTGTTTATTCCCAAACCACTACTTCGTTGACAAAACCATTGAATTTTTATTTGAAAATGTTTAGAGAAGAAAAGACGTCGTTGGGACCAACAGCAAGGTGGTGATGATGAAGCACCCGTGGCGAAAAAGAAGTCTGGTACCTGGGATCAGAGTGAGGTAATTTATGCATTTATACGTAATTATGGCTCACGTTCTGTTATCACAGGAAGTAAGGAACACACAATATATTATAAAAAATATATAATTATATATAATGATGGCGAATAACTGAGGAGGGTCATAATCATACGAGTGTTTAATTACAAATGCTTCATATTTTTACGTGGTAGTAATTCTTTGTGATGATGACGTCATATTGTAGAGCTCGTTATGAAATAGCTAAACCGAAATTCTTGAATATATACGTAGCTTGTAACGTCTTTTCTTCAATTGTAGGTTGCAACACCTTCGGGTAGTCGTTGGGATGAAACCCCGGTCGTCCTAAAGGTGCTGAAACACCAGGTGGGGGAACACGATGGGATGAAACCCCCGGTCGTGTTAAAGGTAGTGAAACTCCAGGTGGAAGCACTACACCACACCGTGGTGCTGAAACGCCTGGTGCAACTCCAAGTGCAAGAATGTGGGAAGCTACTCCAAGTCATGCTACACCCGGGTCTACAACACCAGGCAGTATGACACCTGGTCACTCTACCCCAGGTAAGAACTATGGGAAGGTTGTTAAGTTATAACGTGACAAATTATTGCTGAAAAATTACCAAACAAGCAAAAACAAAACGTCCTTTTGCTCAACTCGAGTATTTAACTACAGTATTCCTGACTGCGGTCAGAAATTTTACGTACAATTTCACCCACTTCTACAGCCAATCATATTGCAGAACTAGCTGTGTGCACGCTGCTACAACCAATCATATTGCAGAACTAGCTGTGTGCACGCTGCTACAGCCAATCATATTGCAGAACTAGCTGTGTGCACGCTGTTAATTTGTACGAGCTCAATTCTGTTGATTTTGGAGATGTACGTACAAATAATGCCAAATGATGAAGTAAAGATGAATAATCTGAGTGAAATGTTATGTTTCATCAAACCAGAGTTTTAACATCTGTAAATCTTGGTAATTCCTTTTAAGTTATAAGGTTTTGCTGTAACATCAGATGGAGATTAAAACTTGTCCTTAGTTATGTGAATATTCATCAATTGTTAAGTTGATTGATGTTACATAAAGACGAGAAATAACCATGTAATTGTACGATCACAATGATACTTAACATCTTTAGTAATCTGATGGCAATTACAGCTTGTGATATTCTCCAAATGACTGCTTCCTATAGAATTATTGTTTCATGATGATTTTGCTTCATATATTTCGTAGAGATGTCTTTTCTGTCTTTTTTATACATTTTCGTTTCGTTTATTATCCAGGTGTGTCAACGCGTCGAAACAGATGGGATGAAACTCCAAAGACGGACCGTGGAACACCCGGGCACACAACCCCCGGTCAAGCAACGCCTGGATGGGCGGAGACCCCACGTACTGACCGTACTGGCGCACAAACACCCGGGGCAACACCAACCCCCGGAAGTAAGAGACGATCGAGATGGGATGAAACGCCATCAGCACAAATGGGTGGTGGTACACCTCTAGTTAATGCTAGTGGTATAACACCAGCTGGAGCTCAAGCTATGAATATGTCCACTCCTACTCCAGGTTTGTTGAGTGAACAAGTCAGATATTTTTCATCGAGTTTAAATGATTTCGCCTAAAATACATATTAATGGTACTTCATTTTCATTAAACGATTCTATGTAATCTTTAAAAAATTTCATTTGAGATGGAAATATTAGAAGCTTGGCGATTAAAGAATACTCGATCCTGAATGAATGAATGTCATTCTAAACAATGCATACACATGATACAATATACTACAAAGCTAGGCTACTTTGTATTGTGCTGTTAAGTGTGATTAAGTCAGAAGAAGTAATTGCCTTTATTCACGTATCATGAGATTTGAGCTCCGTGTTTGTTAATTGGACATTTTATACATATTTTTCAATGTTTTAGGTCAAATGATTTCAATTACCCCTGAACAGAGGCAGGTATTTCGATGGGAGAAAGAAATAGATGAAAGAAACAGACCTCTAACTGATGATGAATTGGATGCAATAATGCCTAAAGAAGGCTACAAGGTACGTATAATCACTATTGTTATGCAATAGTTGAAGATCAACGAAGAATGTGAAATGTGATGACGTTCATCTGTCAAGTCTCCATTTCTGCATATTTAGATATTAGATCCTCCTCCTGGATATCAGCCATTACGTACACCATCACGAAAGTTAACTGCAACTCCTACACCAATGGGCTTCAGTGGGTTTACCATGCAGGTATCTATCTTACAACACCTATAGAGGATAAGACGTGCATTCAGGAATGAAGTATTTCTTCTGTTCATTTTAGACAGAGGATCGAAATGCTAAATTGGTTGAAGATCAACCACCTGGAAATTTGCCGTATCTTAAACCTGATGACGTCCAGTATTTTGACAAACTATTGGTGAGTTTGTGTATTACTTTAAAAACGTTGCTCCTAAATTTTTGATAAGTTAATCAAGACCCGCACGAGTGAAATACGTACAGTACTTCTGTGAATCATCAATCGTGTCCTGTAGATTTACCATTCCAATGAAACATCTGTTTATGAATGAATCTAAAGTCAACAAGACGCCTGCTTAGGCGTATACTCGTGCTCTGGTGATCAAGTAATTTCCGTTTTGATGATCCGGTCAAAAAATGAAAGATTGTGGAGGGAAATATGCCGAGGGCGAGTGATTTTTACGGTTTCTTAATTCGAGCAATATTCCCATGTGTTTGGAGTAGCGTTACAAGTACTCTTAGCAAAAGTATGAAAGCTAAATCCTCTTAAATGCCAAATTGAAGTACTACAATCTCTCTAGCAAGGAAAGCTCTGAAAATTTGTAAACAACAAAGTCAAAATATCGATGATATTTCTTGCTTTCATGTAGGAATTCAAAAGTATATATCGCCCAAAACATTATGTTGTAGCGTAGCTTTGTCTTTTGTGCGTATATATTTTGCATCCTTCGTATTATTTGAAAAAGGATGGCTTCAATGTTTGTATTGTCGAAGAATTATATTTTGTCACTCCTTGCAGTCGCCATATTGTGAAAGCGCAAAGCGTTCTGGTCAAAAAGTCGATTTCTCGACACTGTAAGCCGAAACCTTTACTCTTGCCCCTCCAGAGCACGAGTAATAATGTGTATTGTAGAGTAGTTACATGAAGTAGTTAGTTATGCTAAAATCTGCAGTGCTTGAGTATTCAAAGTGCAAGAAACATTTTGGTACTATGAGACATTTCTAGTGTGTTGTGTTATTAGGTTGATGTTGACGAAAGTACGCTTAGTGCTGAAGAACAGAAAGAGAGAAAGATTATGAAACTATTGTTGAAAATTAAGAATGGAACTCCGCCGATGAGAAAGGTAAAAATTTTCTCTCAATTATTGCTCACTAAACTGGAAAAAAAACCCTGCAATGCGATTTGTTACACTCGCATATGTAATAGAGCAACATATTTGTTTATTTAACTTTATACTAATTAATTCGAAGAGCCACCGGCAGTGTTGGAGACAATAAAATGGCATCGTGCAGTTCTTTCTATGTAAGCCAGCTAAGCATGCTTTTGCTAATTTTTAGGCTGCATTACGACAAGTGACTGATAAAGCCCGCGAGTTTGGTGCTGGTCCATTGTTTAATCAAATCCTTCCATTACTGATGTCTCCGACTCTTGAAGATCAGGTAAAATTATCTACGTAGATCTCAATAATCATGTATTTAATGTTTATGATAAATCATGCAGATACGTACAGTACCGCTCGCGTATTTGTTAACATACGGTACGCGTATGAAACGCGTATGATACGAGAACGATACGCGTATGATACGAGAACGATACGCGTATGATACGAGAACGATACGCGTATGATACGAGAAACATACGCGTATGATACGAGAACGATACGCGTATGATACGAGAAACATACGCGTATGATACGAGAACGATACGCGTATGATACGAGAACGATACGCGTATGATACGAGAACGATACGCGTATGATACGAGAAACATACGCGTATGATACGAGAACGATACGCGTATGATACGAGAACGATACGCGTATGATACGAGAAACATACGCGTATGATACGAGAACGATACGCGTATGATACGAGAACGATACGCGTATGATACGAGAACGATACGCGTATGATACGAGAAACATACGCGTATGATACGAGAACGATACGCTTATTATACGCAAAATTATGTTAACAAATACGCAAGCGGTACTGTATACCACTAACTTCACAATAATTTACGTACTTTACTGGTTAACATAACCTATTTTTGTGTAAATCCAATTGTCTATTATTAAATAAAAAATATTTTTATTTTATTTGACTTTCTTATGTAGTTCACCAATTTGAACTTAATTGTCACATCTACGTTATTCGTCTACAAATTTATCATTTCAACTTAATAGGAGCGTCATTTATTGGTTAAAGTCATTGATCGTATTTTGTACAAATTGGATGACTTAGTTCGACCTTTTGTTCACAAGGTAAGTTTTAAAAAACTACTTGTCACATTTGTAATCAGTGCTTTTAACAGCGGTGAAACTTACATAATGTCCATTTGTTGTAATCATAACAATGTTTTGATCATCATTTATCATACGACATCGTTTTCATGTATTACGTATAAGTCACGCAAAGAAACTACTTGCATGTATTATCAATCTAGCACAAATGTACGTGTGGGATAAGAATATCGTTGTAATTTCTGAATAGGTTAATTTCCTAAGGGTTTTTTTATACATCCTCTCATTTCGTCCTTTACTTCATACCTCCTGTAGAAGTCAGAGACCTTTTATTATGAGCATTGTTTTCCTTTCAAATGTGTTTGTTTTTTAGAGATGTGTTTTCGGACTGTAGACTAGCGATTATTCTTAAGATAATTGTTTGTACTTTTTCTGACTCTTTATCTTAAACTAGATTCTTGTTGTCATCGAACCTTTATTGATTGACGAAGATTACTATGCAAGAGTGGAAGGAAGAGAGATCATCTCGAATTTGGCTAAGGTTTGTAACATTTATGGTGTGTATATAGCTTATTGAAATTGACTCAGTTCTGTAATACCTCTGCAGATATTCTAGCTAAGGTGTGTAAGATTTATAGTATATATTCAGTATATATTCAGTATATATTCAGTATATATTAGTATAGTCTATATTCAGTATATATTCAGTATATATTCCTTAGCCTACTGGATAATCCGTCACTGACTTTACTGATCAATGTTTGTACTGATCAATCTAATTGTTTTAGGCTGCAGGTTTGGCTACGATGATCTCCACAATGAGACCTGACATTGATAATATTGATGAATATGTTCGTAACACAACTGCCAGGTTTGTCCACCTCTGTTGTTTTATTTTGTAAAATCTGTGCTAAATATTGATATTAAAATTATGTAAACCTTTTTAATGAAACCTGTTAACTGCAATACTTTAAGAAACTGTTAAACTTGTCTAAGAGATTACAATTTACTTTAGAGCGTTTGCTGTGGTTGCATCTGCTTTGGGTATTCCATCTCTGTTGCCTTTTCTGAAAGCTGTTTGTCGAAGTAAAAAATCCTGGCAAGCTCGTCACACTGGCATAAAGATTGTTCAACAGATTGCAATTTTGATGGGTTGTGCTATATTACCTCATCTGCGTAGCTTAGTTGAAATCATTGAGCACGGTAAGTATTTTGTCAGAAGTATATTTACATTATATTTATAAAAAACGATTGCATAAACCATTTTGAGCTGTTCATTTGTTTTTGATTTATTAGAAAAAATCCTTTATGTGATTGAGTCAATTTTTTGTGTAAAGTTGCATTCAATCTATTTAAAAATACATCACCTATCAATAGCTTTTTACTTTCAATACCTTCACTATATTTTTGGGCTGCCAGTTATACTAATACATTTTTCATTTAAGGGCTTGTCGATGAACAACAGAAAGTAAGAACAATCACAGCTCTTGCTTTGGCTGCCTTAGCCGAAGCTGCTACTCCATACGGCATTGAATCGTTTGACAGTGTTCTTAAACCTTTATGGAAAGGTATTCGACAACACAGAGGAAAGGTAAAGCAATATTCACTTTTAAATATATAGTTATGTACTTTTATTCAACTTAAAATTCTTAAGAATATTTTAGTTTACATTATAATGTACATTCTTTAGGGTTTAGCTGCTTTTCTTAAAGCTATTGGTTATCTTATACCATTGATGGATGCCGAATATGCGAACTATTACACCAGAGAAGTTATGTTGATCTTAATTCGTGAATTTCAATCTCCTGACGAGGAAATGAAGAAAATTGTATTGAAGGTAATTTATCTGTTGGTGTTTTTTTTTTTATCAAACAACTTTGTATTTATAAATCGTTCCTTGTTCATCAACTACGATTTTTCCCAAGCAAGTTTTAGTATATTTTTGCTGTTCTTTGTTGGATACATACTCCAGCCCGTTACCTGGAAAACGGCTTCTATAAATTTGCTTGTCGAGATTTGTAAAGATGCGTTAAATCCTTTAACGTGTTGGGTGGTTTTCAATACTCAGGTTTATGTGCGTTCATCGCTTTAATCGAGATTTACCTATTTATGATTTCCAGCTATTGTAATTGCAGACGAAATATGTGTAATTTTTCATCCCTGAAAGCATGAGAGTTTCAAGCAATTTTTTTTCATTTTTTTTAACAGGTAGTCAAACAGTGTTGTGCAACAGATGGTGTTGAACCTCAATATATCAAGGATGAAATTTTACCAGAATTCTTTAAACATTTCTGGCAACATCGTATGGCATTAGATCGTCGTAATTACAAACAGCTTGTGGACACGACTGTTGAATTGGCTAATAAGGTTGGTGCTTCGGATATCATTGGTCGTGTTGTGGATGATCTCAAGGATGAAAATGAACAATACAGAAAAATGGTTATGGAAACAATTGAAAAGGTAAATTGTTGTTTTTCATGCATTTCCCATTGTATTACAATTCATGTAAATAGTTGATGACAACAATTGAATAAATGGGGATGGTGTTCTTGCTATTGTGAACGTACAGCACATGCTTTGGATTAAAATTAACTCTCAAGAACAACTTCACGATGTTCAATAATTAGCTGTCTGATTATTTTATATTTTTGATTAAGTAAAGTATTCATAAAAGTGTTAATCATACGTCTGCACATCTGTAATATTTCCATTCACCTTTTGATATTTTTTGTTTATATTTTCATGTTTTAAGATTATGGGAAACCTTGGCGCGTCCGACATCGATTCTCGTCTTGAAGAACAACTTATTGATGGTATATTATATGCGTTCCAAGAACAGACTCAGGAAGATATTGTTATGTTAAATGGTTTTGGCACTGTTGTAAATGCTCTTGGCAAACGTGTCAAAGCATATCTCCCTCAGATTTGCGGAACAGTTTTGTGGCGTCTAAACAATAAGTCAGCTAAAGTTCGTCAACAAGCTGCTGATCTTATATCGCGTATTGCACAAGTTATGATGACTTGTGGAGAAGTAAGCTTTTTTAATAAACTAAAAGTTGTCTTATTGAAGTTTTTTCCTTGAATAGTAAAACTGCAACTGCAGCAAAGTCACAATTGACGCTCATCACTACTTTGTAGGAGAAATTGCTTGGACATTTGGGTGTTGTATTGTACGAATATCTTGGCGAAGAATACCCTGAAGTTTTGGGAAGCATTCTAGGTGCTATCAAAGTAAGTTTCTTTTTTATGTTGTCATAGGTTTTGCATGCTTGCGAATCGCGGGAAATCCAATGATACGTACGTTTTTGTAAAAAGTTTTGTTAGATCGTGGTTGTATTAAAACATGAAACAAGATTTCGTAAGTACTTCTATCCTAAATTGTGTGTTTTATATTAAGGCAATTGTGAATGTCATTGGTATGAACAAAATGCAACCTCCAATCAAGGATCTTTTGCCACGATTAACACCTATTCTCAAAAACAGGTAATTAATGAATCACGTTAAATCTTTAATTGCACTTAGTGTGGTCTTTGTAAATGGACTGCTTCATTTTGTGCGATTTTAGTTCTTTATCTAAGGCATGCCTGTCTTTGCAAATTACGTTATTGTGTGAAAATATTTGCTTAGACATGAGAAGGTCCAAGAGAACTGTATAGACTTGGTTGGTCGTATTGCTGATCGCGGTGCTGAACATGTTAGTGCCAGGGAGTGGATGAGAATTTGTTTTGAATTACTTGAGTTACTAAAGGCCCATAAGAAGGCAATTCGTCGAGCAGCTGTGAACACGTTTGGTTATATTGCAAAGGCCATAGGGTATGATGAACAAAACTGTGATTATTTATCTGTACTTCGTTTAGGTAGAACACATTGCTATATAGATGCTTGTTTACTTACATTTTAACATGGGTTTAACTAGGTTTGACTTGAATGTAGTAAACATGTCGATTCTTTTCTAAGTCATTAATGAACGCACATTTCGTTATCCAGACCTCAAGACGTACTTGCTACATTGCTAAATAATCTAAAAGTGCAAGAACGCCAAAATCGTGTTTGTACAACAGTCGCCATTGCTATCGTCGCTGAAACATGCTCTCCATTCACTGTTCTTCCGGCTTTGATGAACGAGTACCGGGTACCTGAATTAAATGTTCAAAATGGCGTTCTCAAATCGTTGTCTTTCTTGTTCGAATACATCGGTGAAATGGGAAAAGACTATATTTATGCTGTTACGCCACTTTTGGAGGACGCATTAATGGACAGGTAAACTTGATCATTTGTGAGCTTTTCGCATGTACTCATGCGTACCTGTTTTTATACTCTACAATAATTAAAGACTATTTTATTGTCTTCGATGGCAATCGCTTCTTGTGCAATCCTCGCCATAGGTTTTATTTTATTTTGCACAGAGATTTAGTTCATAGACAGACAGCTTGCTCTGCAATCAAACACATGTCGTTAGGCGTATTTGGATTTGGCTGTGAAGATGCACTTGCTCATTTATTAAATTATGTTTGGCCAAATATCTTCGAAACATCTCCTCATGTCATTAACGCTGTCACCGATGCAATTGAAGGCATGAGAGTGGCACTTGGCGCTCCAAAGGTCTTGCAATATGCTTTGCAGGTAACAGTACGTAATTGTTTGTGTATCTCAAGTAACGCATGATAGATGCTAAAATACTGTGTTTCAAAAAAATGTTATTTGAACTTTTGTCAACTTTGATTTTCCCTGTGTTTATTCTGTGATTTGCGACAAGTTTTTTGTATGAAAACTACATTCGTTCTCTCGCACTCCCACTCAGGCGTTGTATGGATTTTTTCATTAACGTTTGACCGTTAGACAAAATTGTTTTCAATTGATAAGTATTGTAGTTGTACTGTGTTAAACAGATACGAACTTTCCCATTTTTTATTATAGGGTCTTTTTCACCCCGCACGTAAAGTCAGAGATGTTTATTGGAAGATTTATAACACTTTATACATTGGTGCCCAGGTACGTATGTGTTATAGCATCACACATAAACTTCCAACAAGTTTAGGTATTGCTTTCCTAGGTTGACATATTCCTAGAAACAGTATAATTCTACGTACTGTTGATTCGCAGAACCCTGTTTTATTTACAATTTTCTTTACAGGACTCTCTTGTTGCTGGGTATCCCACTGTCGTCGACGATGACAAAAACAATTTCGTTCGTGGAGAGTTGATGTACTTTTTATAGCGCGGATAAGTCGTAAAAATAAAAACAAATTAGTTCATAAAAGAAATAGAATGTAGACATCATGAAGTAATACGCTTACCACCATAATTATGACCCAATTTGGGTACTATCGATGTATGTTGACTTTTGAATTTATGCCTGCAGTACCAATTGTTAATTTAAAAGTTGTTTCATCTTCAAAACATGTAAATGTTCAGTTTTTCTGTAGCTACACTTAGTTACTTCAACGCTTTTGTGATTTTTGTTATATATGTATATGTATATGTATAGTTTGTTTTTGTTTTTTTCCCATGGATGGTCCACGATGTATTTTTAGGGGGTGGGGTAGGGGTGCTCCAGTTCAAATTAGATTTCGGTGGCTACTTGTTGCTTTACCATGTTAAACTTTAGTTAAGTTCTTTTACCTTTTTATTATAACTGGAATATTGTTGAAAGCGTGCTCCATTGAATGCCAAAGTATTGTATTTTGCAGGGAAATTGGAACCCCCCACATGCCCCCCCCTTTAGCTAAGGCTAGGAGGGGTGTACATTCTCTTCCCTAAATCCGTTCCTCTGTTTTTATGCCATATCTCTTATTGGTTGAGGGTAATAATGACGATGTTAAGAACATAAATTTATGTCTGGATGTACGGGCAAGTAAGGTTGTTGACAATTTCTTTGCCCATCATTATGCCTAGGCGAAAAATTGACATATTGTAGCAATGGTTTGATGTTTGGTTTGGGCGTTTTACTGGAAAAAGTTAACGTTTTTTTTCCTCAAAGTGACTGAAGCAATCTTGCTAAGATTTAAACAACAAGACATCTATCAGGTATCTGTCATTCGAGTCAACGTTTATCAATTGCGTAGCCTCATTTAGGGCGCGATGTTACTTAGCAACGTCTTATTTGTTTTGTTGACAAACGCAACATGCGTACATGAAGACAAAGTTCATTTCCAATTGATTTGATCTCTTCTAGTTTCACAGATCCAAATATTTTAGCTTCAATATTTTTATAAAGTTGTTAAAAATGTCAGATGCACCAGCGATTGGACACTATAGATGTCGAAATCAGACACAGGAAGAAAGTATTTACAATTTAATTCCTACAATTCCCCCTGCAAAAGAAAAACCTGCAAGGTGAGCGACATGTAAAATTTCGTGTAGTTTTTCTGTCGTTCTCATCTAAATGAAAAGAGTTTTGGCAGATAAAAATGAACTGGAATGATCAGGCAATCATAGCCAGAACACTACCTTGGCTGTGTTTCGTAACCTATGTACGTTTATGTGGCAAACTTTATGGTTCATGATTTCTATATGATTTTTATATAGATACAAGTCCAAATTTGCAGAAGCAGTTCGCCATGATTTAAAGAACAATAAGACCAATTCTAAAACTATGGTGAGGCGAGCACAACGCAATGAATCTCTCATTATCTTTCATTTCAGATAACTGTGATTATAACTTATAAGCTGTGTGAAATAATTATTTGACTTATGTCCAACTATTAAATAGTTAAACGTTAAAATGTGACTATACTGATACGACTTTCACAATTCATATTTATGAAGAATAATTAAACCATAGTTTGTTGTTATCAGTATTTACTAACAGCTTTGGTTGATAAATTTACTCTTGAAAATTCATCGTACATGTCATTCATGTGCAAAATAAAAATGTATGAGCACTTTTTTCAACCTTTCTTGTGCAGGGTCCTGCGAAAGTTGAAGTTGCCAAACCAAAAGAATTCCTGGTCAAACATTCCAAAGAAAAAAATTTATCAGAGGGTAAAATGTTTTATTTTTAGTTATTAACATAGAATTCTCAGATATTTTACGCATTACTGCAATGTTTTTTAAACAGGAAAATCTCAATTCAAGTATCCTGATGCAGAAAAAAGAAAACCATCAGTGCCAAAGCACAACGAGAAGCCAGCAATTATGGGTGTTAAGTCAAACAAGAATTTCATAACTACAAATGCTGTTGAAAACATCATGTCTATACCCAAAAAACATGAAAAAAAGTATGCTGATACCAAAACAGGAGCAACTCATCAACTAGAACCATCAGGATTAACACCAAAATATAGAAACAAAAAAGACTTTGGCAAAACACCTGAGTATCTTGAGAAACGCAAGAAAGAAGTTGAGCAAGCTCAAATTGAATATGATACTTACATTAGGGAAAAATTTCGACTGGGCGCAATGAAAAAACTGTCAGAAGATGAAAGGTAGGAAATAGCAAACACTTCATTTTTCAGGTTTTAATAGATAGGTGGTCTGTACATATTTTGAATGTCTGTAATAATTGACTGTTAAATTTAGACAATCAATAATTAATGGATTAAAGTCAAACTGGGAAGAACTACATCATCATTATCAAGGTTTGTCAGTTGTAACTGACACTGCTCCAAAAAAAGCCCGAAAAGAAAACCTTGAAGCTCAAATGAAGCAATTGGAGAGAGATATTGAGACAATGGAGAAACATAAAATTATATATATAGCATCCTAAGTAACACAAAAGAACACAAACATATATAAATATATGAATACAAATAGACTAAAAAAGAAATTTTATGTACAGCTGTTAAAAATCCCAGTATGTTACTTATAAGTAAAAATAAAACAAAAATGATGAATTTGTATGATGAACAACAATTTACTGTAAAATGTCAGTTGTAACTAAAGGTATTTTCAAAATATTCATGAAAAGTCTGTTTGTATTGAATTTGTTTCATAACGTAACCATAAACCTTATTTTCCATTATACCATCCCTGTTTTCATCTTGTGCTAGTTTAGGCAACTTTTTGTGTCTCATCAATGATGTAATTCATAAAAGGTTTGTGACAAACTTTGAATACAGCACAAACAGCAAGAATAGCTATGAAAACCATCTTCCACACATTAATAGGAAATCCTCCATAGAGCTGCTCTACAACTACAAGAAAGATAGAAGATTTAGAAGTCACTGAGCAATTGCATATTTTTACATTATTATAGCTGAAACAGTATACAAGCAATACTCCTCATACTAGCTTGGCTACACAACATGTGAATCAGCATGGAAACAATGATGGTAATCTCATAAAATGTACGATAGGCATGACAGTACAGTTTGGGTTTGGTATTCTAGTAGAAATGGCTCGTTCACATAACATGCAAAAAATTTTTTTTACACATTTTACTTTAAACAAGTTTACAACGTACTTATGTCATACAAAACAGGAACTTCCATTAAACTAGCCATGACTGGAACACCTGTGTAAATTGCTGTGACCTCAAAATATGTTTTCTGGCAAAATATAAATACCATATCAATTCTTAACTATTTCAGTCTTTAAAATCAAAATGAGGTCCATACTGGAAAGTTTGTAACTTTGCATCTGAGATTCACACAAAAAGCCCAGTTTTCACAAAATTGTGCACTTGAGATGTCAGGAGCACAGTACAAATTTTCCAGTCAAGAAGAAGATCACACACTGACCTCATTAAAACCTGAATTAAATACTGTCTTCTCTATATTTAGGAGTTTTCTACCAGTGGATGTAGTTGAATTTATTTGTTTCAAGATGAACTTTGTTGGCATCTAAAACAATCATTTGTAACTAATATTAATGAAAGGTTTTGAACGTTACATGTATAATTATAGATATACACAGAAACTGAACAAGTGCATATTTCATAAAATTGTTGAAAGCATGACCATGCAGAAATATAGATTTCCCAATGGCCTATCATGTTCTCTCTTAATCTTGAATGTTTAATTTTTAGTATCAAATAGTAGTGACATATTTGCAATTTTGTTTATTTTTGCAAATATTTATTTTTTGTTGCAGATATTTACTATGATGTAGAACTAAAGTTTTCTAAGCATCCCCATGCTCAATTCTAAAAACTTTGACCTGATATTCAAGCGTGTAAATTTTGTAACAAGTAAATTTTGTAATTGTTATTGAACAAAAGCACGCCCCTTGTGGAAATCAACCCCAGTTGACAAGGCCAGCGTGTCAAAATGAAAGATTTTCATTCATTTTCATTCATTCATTCATATTCGAAAGAAAATTCAGCCACCTGGCTCTATTCATACATTGTCTAATTCAGTATTTGAGTTACTAACCACAGCAGGGTAGGAAATACGAACTTCATAGTCAGAATTCGCTTTAAGGTTTGCCAATGAGTAATAAGCACTTTCACCATTGTGTAATTTCTTAAATTTAAAAAATTAATGTTCACATGGTTTTTCCATTTAAATCATGTTCTATTTTCCAAATACCTGATTGCAATAAAGTTGATCTGGTTCAACGCTGAAAGTCAATATAAAGTCAATAAGTTAGTTTTAAATTAGTCATTAATTTGATACAAGTACTAATATCAAATTCATACTTAACAAAGTGGATAGTTTCACTTGTCGTGCCAGCAGAAAAATATATGAAAGAAAAAATTAAATTACACAATGTAAAAAGCATTATCTGCAAAATGAAAATCTCCTGAACTGTACATATTTTCCTTATGACTATGTGACTGTGTGTGGACTGGAACTGGAGTGCGTGAGTGCTCCTGTTTGGAGTTCGCGCGCTTGCGTAAACTGCTTACTACATATATAAAACAATCTATATCCATCATTGATATCATATATCTATCTATCTGTCTGTCTACCTATCTTTTTTTACACTTCCACTCTACCCCTGCTCCCTTGTGAGAATCAACTGAAGTTGACCAGTAGTTGTTCCTCATTTACATTGTTTTGATTTTCACTGCTTGCTTGCAGCAGATTAGCACATGCAACAGCAGCACGCACCATTGAAGTAAATATATATGAAGTAAAGATGTATTTACTTCAATGGCACACATAAAACGTAAAATTGATACGCCCCCACATGGCTTGGCCAATAACAATCCTCCATCGTGAATGATATCGTGAACGAATTGGTGGTTGGCAAGGATGGCGTAAACAGTTTATTTATCACAGTTTAGGCATGGTCGTGGACAATTTGTGTAGAATGACTGTATTTTAATTGATACTGGCTAGTTTTAAAGAATTGTCAATGTCATTCGGCACAAAATTTTTAATATCTTGACAATAGTCAATGCTGGGCCTCAATTCTCAAAGAAAAGTTAAGGAAACTTCTGATTTTATTACACGATGCTACAATTTGAAGTTCATTTCCACGGTTTCCACAATCCTATGTCAAATGCTGTTAAAGTTAAAATTATTTGATATAATTGTAATTATTACTGGCCTTGGTTAGAGTTGGTTTCATGAAGAGTATCGAGCGTTGTCGTATACAAAATGTGACTTGGGATTTGAAGAGTGATGCAAAGTGGATAGTATTACTATAAATATAGTACAAATTGGAAATTGTTGGAATCATCCTGTTTCATTAAACTCACACAAGGTTTTGTCGTGTGATATAGCAGCAAAGGCCTGTGAAAGTGGTAATCTTAACTTACCAAAATAAAAAGTCGGGCAATGATGGGCAAAATTCGATTTAAGGTAAGTTCAATCTAAATTAACTCGCCACCTAAGCTTTAAATAGATTACTGAGTTTATCCAGTTCAATGTACCTGTCATTATTCGTTGACGCGTGTTTTAACTATTTGTTCAAACTGTTTGTTTAATGTAGACGTAATTTTAACAATAATTGCTAACATTTTGGGCTCAAACATGTAATTTAAACTTGAGCTTGTTATTCAATCATTTTGGACCTTTGCTATTATGGCATACGACTCATGTAATGCATAATATTTCTGCAAAGGAATTTGCATGTGGGTTTTGCATGACACATTGTTGAAACAAAATTGGCAAGTTTGTATTTATTACCAAGGAAGTCGAAGAATGAGTTGTATGGAAAAAGAACCATAATACAATATATTTATAATTAATCAAAAAAGGCATTAATATGTTTTTCTCTGTTTTGACTATTTTGAGCCTTGTCCTCAAGATCCATTCTAATTCCCATGTTTTGGATTATGATATGTTCATATTACTACTGCAATAATGCTGAAGTATAATCTTGACAAATAGTACTGATTTTTATAAATTTTACACACACAAGAATATTTAATCGGCTCAATCAATCTACGTCATTAGAACCTTTGCTGCATATATTTTACCAAAGATTTCTATCAATAACTACAATTGATAACAACAGTATAATTATATAATAACAGGTATAACCACATCCAAATTTTTCTACATTGTGTTGGAAAAATAATTTTCACATGTTTTACCCTAGACTGAAAACCCAACTTATCTAAGATCAGTATTATTACTTGTTTACATGTTTATTTGGCATTTATTTTCCATGTATGGATGAACTTTAAACTTTGCGAACTTTGCAAATTCATTATCAAGCCCAAACTTTCATAAAAAGTTAAGCAAAAGGTTTTGTAAACGAAGATGAAGATAAGCCAATCATATGTTTAGTTTGTAAACGTGTTTTAAATTCATTGTGAGCAACTTAAATTATGGATTTTGCAGTGAATTTGTACTAGTGCAGAGAAGTTTAAATATTTCATTTTACTGTCTGACGAACTTTTTACTCCTTGTGTCGAAAACTTTTTGTGTTCACTTGCTGATAAAACAATCAATGAAATTAATTTTCTAAAAAACAATGATAGTTACACCGAAAAATTTGCACTCCACAGAATAAAAATTTAAGCCTGCTTTGTTAAATAACCTGTGTATATTGGGTGAATGGTTATGTAAGTTGGTTTTTTGCTTGGTCTCGATTTTATTCTACAGGCTAAGCTTACAAAAGATATTAAAATTCTGATCGGAAATTGTGATTGAATCTGAACTAAATCTGGAATGAAAATCATAAATTTTTGATTTCACATGTATAGATTTATGGTATGCTGTCATTAGATGATTTTATATGGTGGTGAACTTTTTGTACCATTGCAAATTTGCAATTTATTGATGGTGAAAATTCCTTTGCAATTAAAATACACATTGATTAATTCAAACCTTTTATGTCATTGCCAAAGTTTGTTGTAATTCCAATTTCATATCAATTGAAATAAAAATATGGTATTGTTTTTATTGGTCCTTCAAGTCAAATCATCACCCAATATGGATAAACAGTGGAGTCTTCTAGAGTTAGACTTGCAGAATAGAAAATTGATCAAGGCAAAGCGTGACTTGAGCCTGTTAAACAACAATTTTATGATGTCCGTGACCACATGGTGTTACTAGTCAATATTTGTCATGTAATTGTTTTTAAAAAGAATTTTTTGCTGTTAAGCTATGGTTATGCCATATGGATTATTGTCGATGGATATGTTTTTTTTTAAACTGAGAAAACGTCTACATTGTGACACAAGTGAACACAAATGGTAAAATCTGTGTCCTCAGGAAAACATGGACTGAATGCAAAGAAACGATGAAAAAGAACATAAGTCGCAGTTTGTAACTAAAAACAACCATTTTATGAAAGTGAATGAAATCGTATTCCAGAGTGATAATTTGAGTAGTTTAGCTTGTCGTGGTGTCAAATGACAATTCAAGTCAGACAGTGTTTGGTTCGCTCCGCGCTTTCGCCCTGCGGTTGTTAACGAGCTACAAATTAATGTTGTACTTTAACAAAACCTAAATTTTCGTAGTTTTTGTATCGGACGTTCTTGCCTACGATTCACAATAATCGGCTATGGAAAGGTTAGTAAAATGATTCGATAGTACGTAGGGATTAATTTATGCCCTTGTATCATTCATAAATCATCCGAAAATTGGGCCTGTTTTCTTTTACGAGCTATCGATCTGTTTTTATTCTTATTTCAAACTATTTATTGGTTTTATGATTTCACTTTTTTATTCCTATACCTTTATCTGGAAAACTTTGGCTTTTTTTAAGAGTAATTTATCATTGTTTATTCCTCTGAATCGAAAAATATACAGTGAAAATATTTTTGGAATGACAAAAATTTCCATCATTATTTTTCATATTGTAGCGCTGACAAATAAAACAGATATAAAAGTTTTCCATCTTAAAGCTTTTTTAGCAAGTCTGCTCTAGCCAGCTCTTTCAAACTTGAATTGTATTTGACATAATTAAAGGTGGACGTAGAGTTTCCTTTTAGTGTATAGTATAGTTGCCATGAGTACATTACCTTGAACAGGACAATCCTTGAAATGTGCGTTTTGCTATTGCCATTGTCAAAATATTTGCATTAAGAGGATATAATTCTAAAATAATCAAAAGGATAAAGCCGTGACTTTCTTATGAATATGACTCATATGGCTTCTTTGATTTCCCTTAGCAGTCAATTAACCTATCAGTTTGAAATTTGCTAATTGTCTTAGAGCATGATTGCTACTTGAAACATTTATCAACTTAAAATAGCATTTTCCATTTGTCCAATGAACATTAGTCATTAACAAAGATGTTTTGAAATTTTTCTCCCATGCCTCGAAATCGTTGAAATGATGTCCTAGTCACACGTGCTCTATTCATGGGTGATCATTTGCTGCCAATCAAGGGGACATTTCACGGGTGTATATAAATGTATTCTTGCTCGATCAAATTCAAGCCAGATAAAACACCTGCATACGAGACAAACAAATTTGTTATATGACTCATGCGCTACGCCTGTTATGTTTGATAAACAATAAATTATTGGATGTGCGATTGAAACTCTATGTTATAGTTACACAATTGCTTTGCATCATAAGAACTTTGCTACAGACCTGCAGGGTTCATTTTGAAGCTATGTTTTTCCTTGTGATTATACTCAAGCAAGCAATTCTCTAATTGCTAAAGCTTCTATTGCCAATGTCATTGATTTTCCCTCTGGCAAAGACAAATTTTTCCCGAAAAAAACATTTTAGTTCCCTGATTATATCATCGTACTTACGCTAGTAAGGCATGAAAATGTAGGATTTGTTCATTTGAGATTTGAGACAAAAACGCTTCAAGAACGTTGTAGAAATTTACCTAACATCTCTAAGTCCATTGTCATGTTTTTTTTAGAGGGTTGTTCAAGTGGACTCTTTTCAAATCTTCATTGTCATTTTTTATAGAAAAATCGGTCTGGACACGTGATAGTTAATCCTCCCGTCTGGAGTTCTCAAAATGAAACAGTGATTTCAACTGTTCGATGTGTGAGATTGTATAGAAAACAGTATGGGTTCGGAATTAATTTCAAGTATTTGTTGAAAGCTACCATGGACAAGGTATGTGTCAACAAAAGATGCTTGCGTATTTGTTAAGAATAAAAATGAATTGTTGTGTACGTGTATACTGATGAGAATGTTTGTTGTATGCGTGTATACTGATGAGAATGTTTGTTGTATGCGTGTATACTGATGTGACAATGTTTTAAACTGATACGATAATTAAAATTGATAGCACAAAAATATATCTACCCTTGATGTATTTAAAATTGCTTAATGCATGTCAAAGGCAATTATGCAATTTAACAGCTGGGATTTCGAGGAAAATTGCAGTATGATTGCGATGAAAGTTTTAGATATTAGCAAAATTGTCATTAATACATGGCTTACCTTGCGACATATTTAATCAAGATTTGGACAATACAACAGCGGGTGAGAAAATTTGCTTCAAAATTTAGGATCTTGGGACTATGGTTTGTCTGAAACAAGTCAAATACCTTAACATTTTTGTAAGATATTAAGCAACTATAAACCAGTTTAAAAACTTTCAAAAACTAATTTTCAAACACCGAAACACGTCGTCATTACTTGTGTCCTAACTTTTCCATCAATAGCACTTATAATTTCTTCCTCTCTGCCCAATGAGTTTGGATCTAGATGAAGTCGTAAGTTTAATATTTTGTTCTTGAAATTCATTTTAGTTTTTAAGAATTTTTTACAATGACGTCATTGGTTTCAATATGTCAATTGATTGCCGGTTCAAAGAACTTTTTCCCATTCTTAGATTAAATTCTGTCGACGATGGGAAAAGATTTACCGGAACTGCGCATATTCAATAATAATTACGTCGTAAATAGATCCAGCAGTTAATTTGTAGACAGCTTCCAATGCCAAAATTTTATATTATATTTAAATTAATGCATAAAACTTGCTTTTATGCATTAATTTAGATGTAATATAAACGTGATTACAATTTAATATGTTTAAATCAGTTCTAATGTATATGTAATATTTTCTGGAGTATAATCCATCTTTTGTTCAACCGCCCAAGATCTTTAAATATTTTAAAACCCTTGAATAACAGGGAAAACAAAAGTATGAAAGTTTTGATGACGACGACGATGAAGATTTTAGTGGAAGTGATGGCGACTTGAGCGTTGGCAGCAGCGGTACTTCAAGTTCGTCAAATAAAGAGGATCTTGTTATTGACAAAGCGTTTCTTAAATGGATAGCTCCAGGTGGTTCTGCCGATCAGGCTGGTTTTATGAAAGGTATCGATATTTGAAACATTATTCACATGGTACACTGAAAGTCACACGTTGTAACAAGAGCCATTTTCTATGACGACGACATCTTCATCTATCTTCAAGATTAATTAATTTCTACGTCCATTTTTTCATAATTTCTACTGTTTTATAGGAGATGAAGTGATTAGTGTTAACAATTCAACTGTGCACGGAAGGAGAGTCACTGACATTGATGAATTATTAAAACGAAGGTGATCTCTCGATTGTCGTTTCTACATTATATTATGAAATACCAATGGAAATTTTTGTGTTTTGTAGCAATGCTGTTGATGTGAACGTCGTAGTAGATCCATCGAAAAGAAAGGTGAAATAGAAAATAAATACATTTCAATACATGAAGGGTGTCGGAAGTGAATTGAAATGGGAGAAGGGGACAGGTGTATCGTTGAAAAATATCTCTATGCCGTGATACTATACTTGCCGTGATACTATACTTGCCTTGATACTATACTTGCCTTGATACTATAAATGCCGTGATACTATACTTGCCGTGATACTATACTTGCCGTGATACTATAAATGCCGTGATACTATACTTGCCGTGATACTATACTTGCCTTGATACTATACTTGCCGTGATACTATAAATGCCGTGATACTATAAATGCCGTGATACTATACTTGCCGTGATACTATACTTGCCGTGATACTATACTTGCCGTGATACTATACTTGCCGTGATACTATACTTGCCTTGATACTATACTTGCCGTGATACTATACTTGCCGTGATACTATACTTGCCGTGATACTATACTTGCCGTGATACTATAAATGCCGTGATACTATAAATGCCGTGATACTATACTTGTCGTGATACTATACTTGCCGTGATACTATACTTGCCTTGATACTACACTTGCCGTGATACTATACTTGCCGTATACTTGCCTTGATATACTTGCCGTGATACTATACTTGCCGTGATACTATACTTGCCGTGATACTATACTTGCCGTGATACTATACTTGCCTTGATACTATAAATGCCGTGATACTATACTTGCCGTGATACTATAAATGCCGTGATACTATACTTGCCGTGATACTATAAATGCCGTGATACTATACTTGCCGTGATACTATACTTGCCGTGATACTATACTTGTACTTGCCGTGATACTATACTTGCCTTGATACTATACTTGCCGTGATACTATACTTGCCTTGATACTATACTTGCCTTGATACTATACATGCCGTGATACTATACTTGTCGTGATACTATACTTGCCGTGATACTATACTTGCCTTGATACTATACTTGCCTTGATACTATACTTGCCTTGATACTATACTTGCTGTGATACTATACTTGCCGTGTTACTATACTTGCTGAAATCGAGTTTATGATTGTTTTAAAGTAAATGGTTTAAACCCAGGAGTATCGTTACATGTTTGTAAATGTAGATCGTCCAGGTTGGTGTAGTCCTGAGAAGGACTGTTTTTGTCGGTGTTGACTGACGTTTAGACAACCTTAGCGGTAGTCATCCTCAGAGTCAAATGAGGAGTAAACGTCAGGTTAGCCGTATTTGTTATCTGGTTCTTACGTCATTGTATTGTGTGTACAGGAAATGTGTATTGTCATTGTGAATTAGTGTGAAGTGAAATATTTTATTTTTAGTTGTGATGTGTGATTTAGGTGTAATGTTTTGAGTTGTAATGTGTGAGTGTCAATTGTGTATTGTCATTGTGAATTAGTGTGAAGTGTAATGTTTTTAGTTGATCGTTTGTTTGTATTGTGAATAAGTCGTTTTTAAGGTGCCGGTAATTGCTGTGATCTGTTCAGGGGGGTTTGTTCCAAGTTGGTATACCAACTATCTAATGTAAGCCGTTGTCTATAGTCGTCAGTACTGTAAGTAATGCATTTTGCCGAGTCCCAGTCAATGTTGTGCTTTGTGATTCGGTGATGTTCGGCAATGTGATTAGTTTTGTCTTGTTTCTTAGTAGCTCGTTGTTTTTTATGTTTAGCTGATGAAAACACCCCTGGCTTCTCATTTCTTCCCCCCCCCCTGTACCTCTCAAAACATTTAATTATATACTCCAACTATACACGACAGTCTCAGGGAAAACGAAACACTTGGTTTCATTTAGTTTTTGGCGATATATCATCATCATAATTTTTTTTTTTGCAATTAGTACAAGAAATATGTGGGCAATGGTTATGATTTATATCTACATCAAGATAGTCGCGATGATAGCAGTGACCAGGAGTCTTTAGAAAATGACAATCATTTGACTACCACTGGTTCTGATCGTTATTTTTTTATCACACGCGCAAAAAAATCTGAAAGTTCGAAAAATAGATCTCGCCTGCATCAGTTTCTACGTCCAACATCTTACTGTGATGACGAGCCTTTAATGGAGAGTAAGCCTGTCTGCATGTCTAAAGATAATTCAAATGAATGTAACTGGAACCTTCAAAATGTCGACGATATCAGTAAAGGGAATAAGATGATTTGGAAAAGTCAGAATTAACTAACCCGATTATACAGAATGACGGAAGTGTGGGAAAATTGACTACTTCAAGGAACAACAATATACTAGTCGCTCAGGACAATAGAAACGTTTGGCAGCTTAAAGTGCCTCAAACGTGCCGAATTAGATCGCGATCAGCAAGTCCAGCTAACAGAAGGGTGTCTTATTTAATGGCAACTGAAGGAATAGTTTCCTCCAATACACTGCAGTTACAGTCGAAAGTAAATGAAGAGGACAATGGTTTAACTAGTTTCCAAGACAAGAACAACGTTTTTGATGTAAGATTTATTTTTATCAACTTGGAATTTTTGTACTCGCGTACCTTGAAGTTCATTTAAAGGATTTTGAATGGATTACGAGTACATATTTGATGTTGAAGTTAAAATCATGGTCATAGTTAAATGGTTAAAAATGTACCATATATTGGTTAGCAGTATAAAATGGTCTTTATTCCTATTATTGCTAATGAAATTCTTTCTTATCAAAACTTTTAACCATGAAGATAAAACTGCTTTAATTACAAATACTCAAAGAGAAGACAGTTAAAAGTGGTTTTTTCATAAGCGAGGTTGTGTTGGGGGTGGGTGCAGATTGCCTTCCAACGAATATAAAATCCATTTGCTTCGAGAAATTTTCTGGTGGTAATGATTGATTTATATTTTGTGTAAAAAAGCAATAGGCCCATAGTTATAAGGCTTGTTATCTTGTCATATTATTCATCGCTGTTAATATACCAAGTTTTCCATTTGAAACCTCTTTTTGCTAGAAAATAAAGAAACATTTCCAAAAACTCCAGCCAGTTAGCTTCTAAGCATTTCGTATATGATTACTTAAAGACCTGCTAATTTATCTTTAGACTGAAAAGAAAAAAAACAACGAAACATCGTCATTTAAAATCAAACGAGAAGATAGTTTAGAAGATGACGATGAATACGATGACGAATGCTTAGAGGTAAAATGTTATGTAACGATTCCGAACAATTCAACGAAGACATTTTTATGTTAATATATGTTATTTTGTTATTTATGTTAATATATGTTATTTTGCGATTTATAAATGTAAGCATTAGAATTTTTTTAGGATTTTAATGAGGATGTAAAACGGCTAAGCCTAAAAAGAAAATGTTCTGAAGATTTAGTTGAGGTATCATAAACATAAGTTCTCAAGCATCTTTACAAAAGATTGGTTTCAATTTCACGAGTTGTTGGATTTTTGTACTAATAAAGGTGGAACAATTTTATAAGCCACGTAAACGGTGAATTCACCGAAATTCTTCGTTGTTATTATTTCTTTAGATTGATAAAGAGGGTTACCTCAAACGTAAATACACTGCTACACATGGACGGGTAGTGATAATTTTTTGTAACATTTTACTAATTTTCTCTTAAAGTTCTCACGTACATTTGATTATCATTTCTAGCGATCTTGGAAACGTGTGTTTGTTATTCTCAAAGGTCACATTTTGTACATATGCAAGGAGAAGCCACGTGAGGTAACTTGCTTCATTTGCAGCACTTGTACATCAAATTTGAGAATAATTACTTTATTTGTGAACCTCAGACCAAAGCTTTTTGCGACTTTTGTTTGGCTTGTACAAGGGAAGGCTTATGTATGGAAGGGGTTGCTTATGTATTATGTATGGAAGGGGTTGCTTATGTATGGAAGTGGTACAGATTATGTATGGAAGGGGTTGCTTAATTAACAGATTATGTATGGAAGAATGGAAGGAAGAAAAAATGGAAAAATGGATGTATGGAAATTGTTTTAATTGGAACTTAAATTACTATATATGTAATTGTTACGTATGCAATTTGATTTACTTTTCAATTGGGCTAGTTTCAATTAGGTAGGCAATTTGGTAAGCTTTTCCTTGGGTAGTGGGCAGGAGTCTTAGGTAGGCTTTTCCTTGTGGAGGGGAAGGAGTCTTAGGTAGGCTTTTCCTTGTGGAGGGGGAGTCTTAGGTAGGCTTTTTCTTGTGGAGGGGAGGAGTCTTAGGTAGGCTTTTCCTTGGGTAGGGGCAGGAGTCTTAGGTAGGCTTTTCCTTGGAGAGAAGGGGAGCAAGAGCTTATTTTCAGGATGGGTTGCAAGGTGTGCTATTGCGACATTTATTTGCCAACAGCGCTTTATAAAATGAATTTTACAGCAAATATATTTTTATTACAAATTTTTACCAGATTATCCGATTCCTGTTATTTTGAATTGTTTTGTCCAAAGCGGCAAATTAAAACAATTTTTGTCAGTTAATTGTACAGTGGAATAATTTGCAATATTTCATTTCAACAGATGGTATCAAGTGGACCTGATGAGAAACCAATCAGCATTAAATCTTGCATTGTTGATATTGCTTATGATTATCGCAAAAGGGAAAATGTATTCAAGCTAATGACGTACAACGGCTTGCAATATTTGTTTCAGGTTCGTATCTTTTTTACTGTTTCTAAGTAAACCTGCAGTTTGAAATTTAATACCATGTAGAAACCGTACTACATGCGCCCACAATACTACATGTACTCACCATACTACATGTACTCACCATACTACATGCGCCCACAATACTACATGCGCCCACAATGCCAAACGTGCACAAAACACTACATGCGCCCACAATGCTAAACGTACACAAAACACAAGCGCTTTTGTAACATCGATGTTTTTAATAATCGAAAATTTTTCGACTTAAATACAACGTGAAAGTGGTAAGGAAATTTTTAAATGCAGTAATGGATTTAAGGGTGGAGTGCTGAGGTATGCACAACCTCCTAGCCTGGGCTATAAGAGTACTAATTTATGTGAAAATTTATAATACATTACATAATTAAGCAAGTGTGTAAAGGAGCACACATCCAAAAATTTCTTAATCGATAAAAAAATGCCACGGCTACAATTTCCACCTAAATCTTATTCTAACTAGAGCACCCCACCCTCCCCCCTACAAAACCTTCATGGATCTATCCCTGTTAGTATATAATTTGTGGCACAACCGTCAATTTGTTTATCAAAGTTATTGACCAATAAAATTGCGAATAATAAAAAATATGCATTGAGAAATTCAAAGTATTTTTGTGACATTTTCAACAATTTACACCGCTGAAAAAATTCTTCAAATTATGTCATAGATAAGATAGCATTGTTCAATGCTATGTATTTAGGTTTTGCTGAGGTTTTTGCTTGTTAAAATATTTGCATTGTACTTTGTTAAGACTCGTTTTCAGGCTACACGTCAACTAGCTTACTCTGCGGCCTCTCTAGCAATGGTATGCATGCAATGGCTGAGAAAACGTCCAGGAAAGACGCCTTTGTTATCTGTATTTCTTAATGATGTATTGATATATGTCGCAAGGTTATACATATAAGTACAATGATTACGTGATAAACGTCAAAATACAAGGGGGCACAAATTTTTACAATCCCTGATGTTTGTGAAACTGAAAAAGTATACCTATCACTCAATTCTAGTCGCCTAAACATCCTGAAGCATTTTCGATAACAGTGCTCTTTGACTTGAATTAATTACCAATTATTTATTATAACTTGGCAATAACACGCGATGAAATGTAATAAAAATTTCTAAAGCTTCCATCTGATAAAATACGAACTAATTAGTCTCCAACATAATATTCTTAGGGTAACTTGCTCGTGATTTAGTACTCAGCTGGATTGCAATTCATGTATTTTCTTAATCTATGCTTATATTTGTATGTTATTGTAGATAAAAATAAACTTATAAGCGCACCACTTCCTGGATAGGTCCAAATGTATAGACTATAATGTATTCATCCATTCATTTGCTGTGTATGAAATGGCCCATTGCTTCTGTGCGTGGGCATAAACACGCTAATATTTTATATTGATATGTCAGGAATTTGAACTAGCTAATGATTTATTTATCTGAGCTCCTCGAACATTCACAATGGTTGTCTAAGCTTTATGAAAACATTACGTTTGTATGGCGGTACAAGTCCTGGTAATACACTTTTAAGAATGTAACTTTCTACTAAAGGTTTATCGTTTTTAACGAGGTCAACGACATATTACTTCGGAATTTTTACTATATATATGATTGTGAGTATATTGTTTCTTTTTTTCATTTGTTTATACTTATTGACAAAGATTTGCGTACAAGATCACGTTGGTCAAATCAATATTTGATTTTGTGCAATCAAGTAAATGGTGAAATTGGAATATAGGAAATACATGCGCATTGCCTGCTTTTATTAGTTTATCCTGTATTCTATATTGTTCATAAAACGTTTTGATTTCTGAGAACGGTTCATTGTAATTATGTGCAGAGCGAGAAGTGAAAAAGCACTGGTCTTCAAATAAGTGATAAAAGTTTGTATTTATGATTGTGATTCAATAATGAAATGTGACGTGTTGTAAACATTGCCACATATGAAAAGCAAGTCGTGCTTGAGTAATTTTCGTTTTCTTTACTTTAAAGTTACAAGTTTTTGGTGACAGTTTCAAGATATTTAATCGCTATTCTTGTTTGTAGGCAAGAGATAGAGATGATATGATGTCATGGATTAGGTTCATTCAAAGAAACAATAATCCCGATGAAGATGTAAGTTGGCATAAAGAATTATTTGTGTGTTATATAAAATTGTTTTTATTTAATTAGCATTTCCATTTCATTCTGGAAAGTCGGGCAAATTAATTGTGTACTGCCTGTTTCGTTTTTATTGTGATGTTAAGTATTTTGTTTGTATCGTTTTTTCTGCTTTAGCAAAATCTATGTCTAAATATTTCATCGAATAAAATTAAACGGTTATACATTCTTCAATCGACTATCTTTAAAACTATTTGTTTACTTCCACTCTTACCTTTTCGCAAGAATATTTTGTATTCTTTCGTTAGTCATAATTTTTAGAACTTAAACATTAGGGGCTTTTGTATCGTGCCAAAGTTCTTAGCGCAGGAAAAAACGTTCTTTATTTTGAGCTGAAATATATTAAATGGTGTGGGCGGTTACTGTGGATACTTCATGCAAGATAATTCAATTTCTTCATGTGATCTATAAGTTGTTTCAAACCTCTGTAATTACATGGTCATATAGAAGGGTTTAAAAACTGGAAGGTAGCTGCATAGTTTGCCAACGATCTCATATTATTTATTCAAAAAATCGTTTGTTTGTAATTTTCTAGTTATTATCGTCTAGTTTCATAATAAATTGTTAAATTGAACATTCTATTTTTGTTTGAAACTCTACGAACAACTTTTTTCTAATATGCTTTTTCCCACACCACAAACGTCAATCAACGAACACCTTCACATAGATTGCTTATCGATTCTTAGAATTGCTGTAACAGGCTGCTTTATCAAAGCTTAAAGGTGTCAAATTTGTCACAGGGCTCTCAGAAAGCGTCATAATTTATCATTTATTTCTTTTGTTTAAGCATTCCTATTTTCTGCTTTTTAAGATATTACAGCTTCGATTGGGTTTTTTGTTGCGGCAACAGTTGTTTTTTGTGTGTTTACAAGATTTCGCTTAACCATTATGTTTGTGCAAAACTGACTGCTGATATCAACTTAATAAAATAAAGTCATTCTCGCACTGTTTTAGTCATTTGTCGATTCCTTTTGGTGAACAAATGTTTGCTCAATTACTCTTGTTGCCAGCTTGTTAACAACATACTGTGTTAATGACGTAAATGATCGTGATGCGGTTTATTGTGACAAAGTATTTTCGGATTTTGCTACCTGATACTATGGACTATGTCTATCCGCTAGAGTACCGCTTTATAGTTTCTGGTTACTGCTATGTAGATTTTTTGATGTTTGTACACAGTTACCATATGTTTTTCAGGTAATCAACATACACTCGTATAAATATTTTCTGTTTCGATTTTATAAACACTCAAACTAGAGTATTATTTTGTTTGTGATGTTTGTTTGTCAGTGTATTGTAATATATATTATTACCAACTTGCCTATTACGCGAAGTACTTCAACAAAATAGCTAGAAAGGTATTTTCTCTGTGATTTTCCGTCTGATGAGTTGTTTAAGTGATCACCGTTTTTAGATACGAGTATTTTGCTACGAAAAGATTCATATTATCGACGTAATTATTTTCATGATATGAAATGGTTTTTGTTGCAGAACCATTTTATTTATAGTCAAATATAGGTCAAGTATAAGTCAAAGCTTCGTCAATTTTTCGTTGTTGTAAAATTCATATTTTTTGAGTCATTGACGTCGCACAAATGCGGGAGATCATTACTTATATCGTCAGCTTCTTACCAAAGTTAAATATCATTTGCTACAACAACTTTTGTAATTTTTTAGACTTGTGGTAAAACTAACGCAGATCTTATTGTCAGGCGAAAGAAGAACATGGATGTTGAAATCTCGAGGTAAATGTTGGAAATGGTGTTTGTGTGTGGTGACGGTTAATGATAATAAGGTTCTTGACATATGCCCTGCTTGATGCAGTGCAGTTATTACAGAAACTCGATATCCTGTTCGATGACGCGACTACATCCACATAGTATTGTAATAAAGGTCTTCAACTTTTAAGGCATTAGTTTTTATGATAATAGTGCATATAAATCACACAACTTATGAAATATTAAAGTTTCAACTGTATTGCGGGACCAGCGAGTTCTGAGTTATTTGAAGTTTGTGAAGGGCTGTTTTGTATTAGGTTTAACATTATTTGTTTTCAATTATTTAACTCATTTTACACAATAATCAGGTGTTTCAGCAGGATTTGTTTTTTTGGATTTGGACTAACAAAACCAAACTGTTCCTAAGGAGTTTAACCACTAAGTCCTGATTAAAACATTTTATCAGCAGGGGTATTGGTCAATTTTTTGTGTTGTCAAAGAGTTGTGATTTCACCAGATTTTACCGTATTTTACAAGTTTGATGAGAAAACCTGTGCAAGCCGATATTGCTGTTTGCGCGATGTTAAAGAAAGAACTCGTTGCTTATTTTCTGATTGTAACGTCATTTTAGCATTATATAGTTTGCAATTTTTCACTGGGTGATTGTAATTACTTCATTAAAAAAATGATACAATGTTCCGATGCTTGCATAACTTTTGCATTTTGTCGCCATTTTTTCAATGTTACTGTTACCTAGTGATAATCTTGATGAGATAATGGCACGATGCCTTGTTCATGCATGAAATATTCTGTTAACACACAACCGACTTGAATGTTATAACCGCTGATTCAGAATTAATAGAATCTAACCAACTCTTCTGTTCATTCTATTCATTGATGATTTTATTTGACGTGATCATTTTACCAAATGTTGCAAATATTACACCATTATTTTAATTAAACAGCATTGATTGCTGAAGATAATGAATAAGTATGATTCTAAATATATATTTTCCTCTTTCTATTCTTGATCAATTTACTTGTCATGGAACCTTATGTGCTTGCGTCAATTTTTCGCCTCGTTTCTATGTTTTTGTTTTTATTTTGCATCACTCGAAAAGTGTCTGCGACAATTGAGTGCGAAGAAAAGAATGTGATAAGCAGATTCTAACAAGTATTTATAGAGAGGAAAAGTAAAATTAATCAATGTTTCCGGAGTTTCTTCTTCCGTGCGAAAAAAAATTCTTTTGAGTATCTAATGTCTGTTTGCTTATCCACTGATAAAATCCAGAGGATGATGACGCATTAAATGCAATAAGCTGTTATCAGTCCTATGATCTGATTTATGAAGGTAGCATTGATTATTGTAAAACTGATTATGATAATTTCATCTGATAAAACTCGTAAAAATAGTCAAAGTCTAGACAGCAATTCAATTATTCTTCTCTTTTTTTCATTATTGTTTTACTGTGAGTTTTATTTCCATATAATGATCATATTTTCATAATGTTTGTTTTCATGCAGTATTTATCAAAATTTGTTCATTTTTGCCTATATTATTATTGCCTATATTGTTTCATTCAATCTTTTACGACTTGTAATCTTTACAGAAGAGGGTTGTTTTATCAAATTAGTATCTACTGCATTGCTTTTCCATTATGATAGGAACCTTCGATGTTTATCCCACGAGAAGTGATGTCTTTAGACCACGGGCCGCACATTTATTAATTTATTGAGACCCTACGTATTTCTTCAAATCCTATTTGACTCGTTGTTAAGGAGTTTGTTCATTTATAAGTCTTTTGTTCAAAGTAATCTGTAAAATAGTGGAGTACCCGTAACCATAGTGTTAAACTTTGTAACTACATTCGAAATTGATTATTTGTAAAACAAAGTAGGTCTATCAGTGGAAGTCACCATAATTTGTCTTATTCATTTCTTACTATACTATATAGTTTATATTGTCAACAATGGTTTGTTGCGATTTTGGTTTGTATACTACATCGTAATCAAAGTTGATTAGATTTTGAAATATTGTTTATTTCAGCCAAACAAACACAGCTTTGCCTTCTTCAGCGCCAAAAACTGGCGGAATTAAGAAAAGCTTGTCGTTTACAAGGGGTTCAAGCAACCGGGCTTCGCTTAAAAGTAAAAAAGGTGAGAAATCATTTACATATGTGATACTTGACCTAAGCCCTTAGCTGTTTTGATTGTGGTTTATGTAGCCAATATTTGATTGTGAAACCTCAACAAAATAAGTATAAAAAAAGGTTTGACAACGCGAAATACTTTCATCGATAAGAAAATTTAGAAATGCCATCAATATCCATCAATGTCTTTTTGAAGCCAACACATTTCAACGCAATAAAATTGTATATAGTATAAATGTATGTTTTGATTTCTTACTGTACATGCACGCACAATCATCGAGCTAATATTAAGTTTAGTCAGCAATATAGCTAAATGATTAATGGTTTTGATGAACTTATCTTACTATAAATGTTAATCCACGAATAACTTTCACTCATGTTGTCGAGTTTAGGTCGCTTATACATAACGCATTGCAGGTAAACTTTATGGTTTAGCAACATTAGCATTTCAAAAATTGTTTAAAACACGCTTGGAATGTAAGGATTTCGACTTAATTATTTCAATGCTGCGGTCTTTAGTGAGCTAACACATTGTGCATTTAGCTTTTTCTTTCCTCTGTTTATTTTTCAGACCTGAATCTCTTTCATTAGAATGTAAATTTAGTATTGGCATCATTTAAAAGCTGACAAATATAATATGTAGAAATATAATTGCACCGGCTTGCTCTTGTATCGAAACAAAGGCAGTGCAAGTGTCTATCAATTTGTTTTTAACAACGTACTATAATATTATGCAAGCGTTAATGTGTCATAGTCATAGCAATTACTGTTATGATGCTATTGCGTTTTGTTTTGTAAAAACATCTAAAGAATAGAAATTCAACAATTTTTACGAATATAGTTTGTACAATTTCTTTCTTTTTTCCATTAAATAGTTTATGATTCATTAACATTCATTTGATCATTATGCATCGTCATTTGCTCTTGTTATGTTTTCTTAATCTGTTTTCTTGTCTACAATTTTGAGTTGCTCTTCAATTACTTCAATCATCATTGAAGAGGAAGAGCTAATGTGTTTACCAAAACTACCAAACACACCTGAACATAGATACTTATAGTTGTATATTTTTACGTATCTTGTTGTCTGCGCCCCCAAGTGAGCTCGTCGTGTGTTTTGAAACGCTCTTTTATAAACAATTAAATCGGGTTGATTGGATCAGCTTGAATGACTGTCGTTCTTCTTTCGTAGATTTATTGTTTGTTAAAAATCTGGTTTCGACAACTTTTTTGATCGTCTTTCAAACATGGCTAATTTTAGTTTGATGTTGTTTTCGCATTGCTGTGTGTTGAATTAGAATCTTGAGTTACTAGACAAGTCGTTCACATTTGAAACACACGGTATTTGCACGACGCAGTATATAATAGTCAAGGTTATACGATGTCGATTGAAATATGTGTTACCCATTATGTGATCCACGCAATATATAGAAGCTTTTGAAAGATATAGTTGGCATTGACTTGGATTATATTGTTTATGATATAAAATGTCTTTTGGATCGGTGAAATTGTTTCTTACCAGTGGTACAACTAAATGTTTGAAATTTGTTTTTGAATGAGAATTTGAATGCTCAATGTGTCGTATTCATCTCAATGTGTGTTTTTTAATGTGTGTAGCTATGGAAGGTGATGGAAACAAAGGTACATGGCACAGTAAGGTTGTTAATAAAGTGAGGAGAATTGGAAATACGACAAGTAATGTTATTCCACCATATCAAGCTCAAGGTAGCTATGAAGGATTTGTTTTTCTTGTTAACATTGTAATTATACTAAATGGTTTGTTGTCATCAAAATGCTTGCTTTATGTCCTTAGAAATGTACTTTAATAATATTTTATACAATTGTTACTTCTTCGAAACATACCCATGTTTATTGAAAGCAAATGTAGATGTTGATTATTTATTTAGCCGAACAACTATTCAAAATTGTCTTTCAAACTCAAGTAAAATATTGTAATTTTTACGACATTTATGTATGCTTTATTCATGCATGCTTTATATACATGAGCCAATGTTCATATTTCTATCCAAATTGATTTAATGATATGCCTAAGCCGTGAAAATGCTGTAAGCAGACATATTTTTTTAATTTTGTACGGTTTTGCACCCAGGAACGCGTGATGTGAACATGAAAACTGAGTTTTATATTGATTTATGTGTTTACCGCGAATGAAATGTTAACCAAGGTCTTTTGCATTTCCTCATGGTTGTCGATGTATAAAGAGTTTGATAAAGTTAGATAGTATAGTTCAATTTTCATGTTATTCTTTTCAGGTTGCTTATCTTGTACTTCACTGGAAGAATGTCCTAAATCAAAATTGAATTCGGTAAAAAGTTTTTAGATTTTGTTGTAGTTAATTAAACTGTCAGATGATTGTTTAAATCACGGATTTCTTTGAGAGAAGTGTTTAATCAGCAATAAATTGCCATATCCGAGCCACTATAAGGAATTTTTTCATGATAATGTTTTTCTGCTATTTATTGTCTTTTTAACCCGCAAAATTGAAGAACTTTTTTGAAACCGAATAGTCCTGTTAGCTAGTGTGCTCACGATTGGACGGTAGGGGATTGGGGTGAATTTTGGTGTTTTCGTTTAAATGAAGCAAGCATCTTCACAAACTAAAGCTTTTCAAAAAATGTATGATTTTTATCGATATCATATTATCGTGTTTGCTAGCGAATGCAACGTGTCACTATCATGTAAACTTATGCATCAAAGTTTTCAATAGCCGCACACACAGCTTCCTGCCTCCTACATGCATCGTTTTGAAAGACTTTACAAACTCTTTGTTTGTAAAGTCTTGAAGCTGTCATGAAATGAATTAATAGCGGTGAAAAGATTGAATTTGCAATGATCCTTTATAGTTCATAGTCATGTGTTAGTGAAGTGTTTATTTTTAACTATTTTAAGATTTTAGTGCGTATTGTAAATGTCTTTTACATGTCTTTTGATTTTTTTTTGATAATAAGTATTGATCAATGTATATTAAAATTATCCTACTGACATTTATTGCATGATTGGTATTTATACATATTTGTCATATTTTAGGCCCTGCCACTACTTGTAGAACATTGCTGTAATGTTGTTGAAAGTAAGGCTCTTGAGTCTGTGGGTATCTACAGGTAACTGAAAATGCTTTTCTTTTCGCTTTCTGTTTTTGTGAGTCCTTTAATTTTGCCTTCTGCGTGGCGAACAACCATTTTAAAATTGCAGATATGTTAATTGTTCATGTTTCTGTGTCTTGCTGAGTCCTCGTTTATTCCTTCTGTCGTTTCAATTCGTTCATTTACTGAACTTTTCTCTGTCATAATTAAATCTTTGGGTGCTCTATAAAATAATTAACACATTACATGTAGAACATCTTTCGCTCTTTGCCTGTTTCTCTTTGAAAGTTTCTTGTTAGATTGTGGATGTAAATAACTTGGGACATAGTTATAAGATGTATTTCAAGGACAAGTTGCTCGAAGGCCGGATAATAGCTACTCTTCAGTGAATAAAGCAATGTTTTTGATTTTTTAGAAATCTCTTACAAATATATGTAATCAATAAAGTAAAACGTTAATTCTAAGATAAGCCAAGTTTTGTTTTTGTAAAGACAAAAAAATATACGCACTTAGTCACACGCTCAAAAAGTCATAATCCAATTGACAAGGCTTAGTGCTATTATTTCCTGATTCATAAAATCTTAGATTATTAGGACGTGATTTAATATGGCATATGATCGTCTACTTTCTTGATGGAATACACCATCGTGTTGATCTACGTCATTTTTCGCAATTTGTGTCGCTTTCAAAATTATAATTTCAATAGTTTACTGCAAACTTAAACAAAGTTTACCAAAAATATGTATGCAAAGCGAGAATGAATTGTCAACTTCCTTTTCGTGTTTATGATTTTTTTTCTCTCTCCTTAACATATTTTCTTTCTGTAATTTCCTTAGAGTTCCTGGGAACAGTGCCATGGTTTCATCATTGGAAGAAGAATTAAACTCTAAAAGCCCGGAAGAAATTCATTTTGAGGAAACGGTAATAATGATGTATTATTCCCTTTTATATAGGCCGCAACTATAGGAAATGTTAAAGCGACTTCATTTGACTATTTTTTGATACTCCTTTATTTGGGTTTATAAATATTCTAAATCAAATTTAGTTCTGCTTTGCTATCACTCATTTACTGTTTGGTGGTTCGTTTTACAAAGTTTATATTAGCTTCAAGAACAGTTAAAAAAGGAGAGAGGAAAATAAAAGGGTCAATGTTAGCATATTGTTGCATCTTACCGTCTTTAGATTATTTCTATATCACCTTTAGTTTATCATATCGTTGAATGATTACCCCGTCTGCGCGTGTTACATACTTTGTAAACATACGAATACTCTGATGCGCCGATGGTCTAACTTTCTAAAATACCGTTTGTTCTCAGAAATGGAATGATGCGAACAACATGGCCAGTCTTCTCAGAAATTTTCTTCGAAAACTGCCAGAGGGTCTTGTGACATCTCGTAAGTTTATTTCTAGAAATTGTTTTATACTTTTCATGCAGTAATGTCATCGTTGTATCCTGAATTTGTAATCAAGAATACAAAATTGATGTAATACGATGGATTATTGGTTTTCAGAACTTTATGAAAAATTTATCAACGCCAACCGAGTTGAGGGCAAAGATAGAATGTTGTCATTGAAAAAATTGGTAAGTATACGTTTGTGAATATTATGTTGTGTTTTTCATCAAGTGATGATTATCAGTGTACAAAAACTCATTTCCATAATTCTTCTCTACATAATTTTTATATGCAGTACAGCTTAATTCACACTCTCTAAACAAAAATCAAAAATATTTCACTCTCTTTTAATCAAAGCCTAATATGAGAAAAGATTTTTATCAATCTATTTCATTTAACCTGGATCAAGTAATTTTTCTTAAATGATGTAAAATTTTTTATTTACCATCACGTGATTGGAATAATAGAAAATGATGTAAGCGAGTACTATTTTAATGACGTCACTTAGAAAGAAATATCTTTAGTGATGCACTGTTGAGCATTTGCCTCGTGACAACATGTGACGTGTGAAGATTTTTAATTTCGAGTTTTGATTTGTTAAAAAACGTTTAAGCAGTTTTTCAACAATTACACTTTTCATTGTTTACTTTCAACTACATTTTATGGAAATATAGGATTGCCTGTTTTTAAATATTGGCCAGTGATTCAGTACACTTAAATTATGTTTAGACTCAGCAACTGCCCCCAGCTTATGGCGAAACATTGAAATTTCTCGTGAGGCATTTGAAGAAAGTTTCAGAACACTCAGAAGTGAACAAGGTGTGTGGTTTTGTAGAAAATTTATTGTTTTTTGGGTACATGACATGAGTTTACCAGGCTTTCTTATTGTAGATGGAAGTCAGAAATCTTGCGATTGTGTTTGGACCAACAATTGTTAGAACTGGCGAAGACAATATGACAACAATGGTTAATGATATGTCTGATAGGTTTCGAATTGTTGAAAGTTTCATTAACAATGTAAGTAAATATTGAATTGGGGAGATTCGGTGAACCCATTTCACTGTTTCTTTAAGTTTCAAGTCTATAATTAAAAAGTCAATTCTCTTTGTATTACATGGAAATTATAACATACAACATAATCGCAAAAATATAGGAATGTCTTTTCCATTTCCCCTTTTTCCCTTTCCATTATCTTTCAAAAGTCATTGTACATTATATTTTATTGTATAATATATTTTATTGTATATTATATTGCATTTCATCATATCATGCTCAAATTAAAATTTTATTAAAGTACTACATTCTGCAACAACTATGGATAATTTGAGTTTGAAGTATAATTTCTCGTAGTTTGATTGGTTCTTCGATGAAAAACCTGTCGCTGCTGAAAATGGTTCAACATCTCCAGTAAGTTGAAGGAAATCCACTACAAAATTTTATTAAATAATTTGTTGATGTTTTTTAGGTTTTTGATTATATCAATAAAATTCTTAATTTGAATTTAAGAACTGTCCTCCAACTGAGGTATTGTCACCTGTACTTGTATCCTCTAATGCAATGAACTCAATTGAACAGGCAGCAGTAAATTATTCTGGTAAGATGACAAAATTTACATTACAATACGACACAACACAGCATAGTTAAAGTGTAGAACTTCTTTCAACGTAGCTTTTGTTGAATTTATGTTTTGACTGCAAATATTTAACTTTAAATTTTGTTTTTTTTCTTTTAGAATCCGATTTGACATGGCGTAATAAGGTAAAATGTTGAACAACTTTTCTTATATTTTCGCATTTTTGTGGAAGATTCAACTCGACGTTTTATTTTTGATGATCACATTCTGCCTCAAAAAGAACATTTATAAAGTTTTGTTAAAGTTTAAAATAGCTCTTCACAATAAAGACAAAAAATAATAACACACAAATCTTAAAGTAAATTGTTTGAACCGGGAGTATCGTAATGATGTTACACAAATCATACATAGAGAGATGCGAGCAATAATATAAAATGCACCATGATAAACAAAACGATTATTGCTTTAAATGTTCTGGCTTTCCTTCTAGGGTGGAAGCTTAAAATTACCAACATTCAAGAAATTTTTACGACAACAAAGCTCGGACAATTCTAAGACTACTGGCGTTTCCAAAAAGACTGAGACGACTCAGGAACATGTAATGACAAATGGCAAATGTTCACCAGTTGATGTATCTCCGCGTTACATTGGTACTTCACAACCAAATTCTCCAACTTTGGGAAGACGTAAGTTTATAAAAAGACATCACTCCAGCTCAAACATTGCCATGACAGAAGCCAACGACGATGTTGACTATAACAAATCTGAGGGTGAAGACGAAGAGAATACGTTTACTAATCGGGCTTACCATTCCGCTAAAGCGTATTCTTACGCTAGGCCCCCACCTCCATCGTATAGGGAGGCGCGAAATAAAACTCGCGGCCCCAGTAACTTACAGCTAAGTTATAATAACAAAGAAGTACCTTCGGAAAACGCTGATTTCAACTCACTTAGTGATGAAACGAAGCGACGACTTTTGAGTTTTACTTTACGAAACAAGGTTAACGAGAAAAAGATGAAACAAACAGACGATGTAGTAGAACCGATTGAAAATCTTCGCAAAGATATGATAAACAAAAAAAATGGAAGCCCTTCTCAAGGCCCAAGTAATGCTTCAGACGATAATTCTGTTGTCATTGAACCTTTGTTGTCCCCGAAAGAGGCAAGAAAAAGATTTGAAACAAATTTTGTCAATAATCAAACATCTGCTTGTGAGGTACCTTCAGCTAAAACATTTTCTAGTGACGCTGTTAGAAGACGCGATGGATCCACGTCAAGTTCTTCAAGTCGAAACTTTAAAATATATGCGAAAGGCGATTTGACGATTAGTCATTGTCAGCATCATCAGATAAACGAGTGGATGAGAGATTTGGCGATAACTGCCGAAGGAGGCAGCGAACGCGGACGAGTGCGAGCAAAGACCGAAGATCTAAGTAAAATATTACGAAGATCTTCGAGTGTCGCTCGTTCATCGTTCACAGAACGTGAAGCTTTTGTTGTAAGACGGAGAAGTTTATCCTGTCAAGACATCAATGTCGCTGATGAAGAAATAAAAATTCGTGAAAAAACTTTAAGTCAAGGAAGTGATTCAACGTTATCGTCAAATGAAGGAGATGATCCCATCGAGGCATCTTCCAAGGAGTTTGATGAAAAACTTCGTGGCTTAATGCAGAAGCTGGATAGCAAAAGTAAGACTGAGTTGCTACAGGTTGGGCAAGCTTCTCAAGCTTCAAGCTCACCCAGCTCGCGCAAAATCAAAACATCCGTTGAAAAGATGAGAGCCCTGGATCCTAACTCGAATATTCAGTCGGGAGCTGTCAGTTCAATGAAATATCGCTTTGAATCTGGTGTTACTCAACAGCAATTTGGTAAAGTAAGATCATCATCTCTCAGTTCTGGCTCTTCAGCTTCAATATTATCCACTGATACATATAGAAGGTCAACTTCTACAATAAGTGAGGGGGATGTGAAAAGAAAGGTTTGGGAAACAGGACATGTAAAATCAGGAGAAATGAAAAAACTATGGAAGGAGCCGGAGTGGATTGCACGAGAAAGAGCAATGAAGAATTTGTATAGTGGCAGTGATTCATCTATTCAAGATGATAATAACAATTATGTATCAAAAAGAAAGCAATTCAGTACAAAACCTCCATACGCACGTAGCATGTCTCTTCCAATTAGAGATTTAGATTATGTTGTCAAGGGTGTCACTGTTGAAACAACTCATCCATCTAATAATGGAGTTCTCTCACACACCAAGAAAAGTCGTACTCCTGAACAAAATGTTGGGGCAAATGAACCTACCCATCGCAAAGTTACTAACGTGACTTCGGTAGAGTATAAACCAGATTCCCCCACTTTAACTAGAAACCGTCGCGTGTCTAACTCAAGCGAAAGTAATCACAACCCAACTGCAAGAACGTCTTCAAAAAGTATTGTGACACATGTTTCCCCTGGAGAGTACAAAAAAGATCATTCTACATCCGGGAAAGATGTTGAAATAAACTATAAAAAGCCTATACATATTAAGGAAGATGGTGGATCGGGAGTGCACGAAAACAAGTCTGAATTTAAGCGTAAGTCAGATTTAAGCAACGGCCCAACAGTCGAACCAACGTCTTTAAATGAGAACAAACATCGTCAAGTAGAGAGCTTAAATCTTCGGCCTGTAAACCCAAAATCACATGATATTTTTCATTCAGGCAAACGAGCTGGATTGAATTCCTCGAAAAGAGAATCTGCCGTATCAAACTCCTCTGTTTTAGAGGAACATGTTAAGACAAGCGTCAGTCCACGTCGACGAATCGTGAGCGATACGAATCATGGTGCATTGCCTGGACATCGTCCGGTTGGACGAACTTTTACCGCTCCAATTCTTGGAGCAAAAGTAACAACTACTAATGCTATAGAACTTGCTGGATTTGCAATCAAACCAGAGAAAATAGATCGTTCTAAATCACGGTTAGTTCGCCGCTCAGAAAAGCAGGCTGTTGCTGGTACGCAGGCTCAAACGAGAAAACCCTCTTCGAGTGCATCTGACAATGTAGCACATTCATCGCTTACTATACCTGAAAAGCTCTCTTCATCTGCATACGGTAGCCCTGGTATTCGTCGAAAAACTACCGGATTAACAGTACCGGAGATTGACGAGTTGAAGCGCTTATCAACAGACAGGACATTGTTAGAGCAAAATGCGTTACATATAAAAGAACTCTTGGACGAAATGAACTCAGAGCATTCTTTGAAGATGGAAAGGCAAAAGTCCGACACAATCTCTATAAGTGCACAAAAGGCAGCTAAGAAGAAAACTAGATTACGAAGACGTTCGCTTGGACAGGAAAGAGAGAACACAATGGGTCTCCCCTCGCGTGTTTCCCACGCAAGTTTGTTGAACGAACGTAATCGAGAGGATACTTCAAGAAATGTTACCACTGTGGAGTGGGTAGGTGTTAGCGGTTGAGTTGTTTGAAATTTTCATGTTGATTACTGTAAATCAAGGAAAATCAAGAGGAAACCACGAAATACAAGATGTACTTTGAAATAGCTTCAATTATCGTGTTTTCTTATTGGATAGTTAAAAACTACAAAAATTCTGTTTATCCGAGTATTTTTAGGGTTGTGTTGAATCAACATGTCAGGTGCATAAGCTAGTAAGCACATATTTTGATCGTGGTGAATTTAATTTGTTTGATTTTTAGTAAATTTTTAAATTTTGTTATATTTCGTTGTATGCATAGTATGCTATGGGTTGTAAATATTTATAATGACATATTTAAAATTTATATATATCTATATTCTTAGTTTCCATGTAGTCATGTATCGTTCAATAAACTCTCTTTGTAAAGAACAACGCATTTGTTTCAAAAATATTTTATGCAACAAAAAATGTCAACTACGACACACCGAAAATTCCTGTTCGAGAGCTGCACTGCTATTCATTATGTTGAACATTCTATGTATGTAAGCTTTTGTTCGCAATTGACAAACAGATAGCAGAATTCTTGTAGGTGTCAATTGGTTTAAAATTCAGTAAACTTTGTAACGTGTGTTTCTGTTGCTGCGTTTCATATTTCCTTAAAAATTCCATAAAAGTTAACTAAAAATATAATTTAAACAGCGGATTGCAGGTTTCAATTCAAACATGACTTTCATTTTCGAAAGCGCTTCGGGTCTATAAGAACTTGGGTTTTATTTTATAGTTGCATGAATGGGAATCGTTATCATGACTAATTTAATAAGCAGTTAGGTGAATATGAAAGTATAAGTTGTTGAATTCTCGTCTATCCTTTTATCTTCCTATCTATCCCTCACTCATCTTGGTGTAAGGTATTATATAATACGGATAAAACATATAATGGTTGTTCGAATTAGATGTAATTATTTTCGGTATTTTTAACATCATTTGTGCGTATATTGTTCGCGCTATTTTCTGTTTTATTTTGTAATAATAGCAATGTTTACATGTTTGTGCACTCACTTGAGGCAGTCTCGAAGAAAACTTACATTACGAAAGTTAAACTAGTTCTCAGCCATCCGATTAAAATTTCTAATGACGTATTTCCGGTCATATGACAAAATCAACCAATAAGACTGCAATAAACAAAGAATTAACCAAGCATGCTGTTTTTTCGTCATTCTCTTGCCCCTTTCAACGACGAGATGGCACCAGATAAAAGATCTATCATTACAGTCTTTATGTTACTATCGCTATTTACGTGTACTTGTGTTGGTAATTATTGCTCGAGTGATCATCAATGTTATTCATGGCAAAGTTGCTGTTCTGACTATCGATGCTCCGGTAGTTGTATGGGAAAATATTGTAGATCAAACTCAAACTGTGGCTCAGGAGAATGCTGTCGTTCAAATTTTCGTTGTGGCTATTGTTGGAGAATATCTCATAGTAAGACAGCATCAGCGGGTTGGATTTTTGCCGTGATTGTCATCAGCATTATCGTCATACTTGTTGCAATTATTATGTGTCGTTATTGTTGTGTTTCTTCGAGACGTCAACATGGTCATGTAATTGGTGTGCCGCCTGCTACAACGGGAATGACTGTAATGTCTAACTATCAGCATTTGACACAGCCACCACAACCAATATATTATCCTCAAATTCCAACATACCCTGGTCAACCACCTCCGTATGAGCCTAATGAATCTTCTACACCTGCTGTTGTTGGAATGTCGTTGGAGACGAAAAAATGATTTAACCAATTTACTGTCTAACTTGAACAAACTAACTTTAAATATTTGTTTGCTCAATTCTACCACTAAAAAGACATGTATCCATTTTTTATTTATATTTTGGTATGTTTGCACTTTATTATATTTCTGTTGAACTAACTGAACAATTTGAATTAATTGTAATATTTTAAAGACTTGTATCTCCATCGTAAATTTTTTTCTTTAGACTAACCGTTCCGTGTTTTGTCTGCAGTATTAACATTTACTAATGCTTTACTGCCTATAGAAAATATTTTTCTTTGCTCTTCTTCATCTGTATCACTGTTTCTTATTGTATACAGACAGTAATCAAAAAAATATTGTAGATGTACATTTGTAAATAAATGCATACATGGTGCTTTAACACCAATATTCACAAATCTTAGAAAGATAACTATGGACACTTCACAGATAACTTTGAGCAACAAAGTTGTGCCAAATTTGGTTTCCATATGAATGAAATGAAAGAGTAAATTTACTTTTGTGACGAGAGGGAAACTACTCCTATCAGCAACCGTCCTGTTTCTTTTTCACTAGTTTATCCAATTAAGGCGCTTCTTACGTTGTTTCTTTATTAGTATCACGAGGAACGCTACAAACAAAACCATTTTTTATGCTTCGTTGTGTTGCTCTGGATGCTCCAAACCCACTGAAACTTTTTGAATTCTAGAGAAGTTTGCTTGAAATCTTAAATTTTTATTCATTGAGAATCTTCTCAATTAGGCGTTTTCTATCACATTGCACTCTCCATATCACTTCCAATTAAAACATTGTGTTATTTTGGCTACACCCGATAAACAGATACTTTAATAGTTTAATTTATGTTATGATTGATAAGAGTTGGACAAGTGACAGGAACTATTTTTAGGGATGAGAACGAGTGAGAAAAACATAAAAACGATAGCATGTAAGGAGGCTACTATTTATATTAAGAGCGAAATTAAAAAAATATTACGTTGGCGACGAGGATGACAGAAGCAGACGACACTGTACACAGTACTATACAGTCATCACTTTATGTACAACCGATAGCGGAATTTAACCCAGATATTGAAATTGGTGCAAGCTTGCAACTCGATGGAGCACATGGCTTTTGATGACGTTGACTTTGAGGTGGAACAACAGATAATCATGGCGGGATCTCCTTCGCGGATACGAAAGAAGGCACTAAGAGATCCCGAGTATAAACTCAGGTATATTTTGCTGGACGGCCGAGGAGCAAAGCACTTATCAACGAAAATTGAACGAAATTGAACGATGTACATCTACGGAAAACAAGCGTACAAGCTTTTGTATATACAGCTGACAAGCCCGTCAACTTTATCGGAAAATCGAAGCATTGGTAGAAACACGCAAGCGCATTACCGAAGCAACGTTTTACGTGATGGCTAATAGTCCAGATAGTGGCACAGAATGCGGAAAGACCGAGAAATTCTACAACGATTTCAATAGGAACGAACAATGCACAAAGTACACCCTATACGGATTTTTCAACCGACACAAATAGAAGATCAACGAGAGACAGAAAAGCGCCGCAAAGATATGGAAGCGCATAATCGTTTAAAAAGGGGGGAGTGATGTAGTAAACAGATACTTTCATAGTTTAATTTATGTTATGATTGATAAGAATTGGACAGGTGACAGGAACTATTTTAGGGATGAGAACGAGTGAGAAAACACATAAAAACGATAGCATGTAAGGAGGCTACTATTGATATTTAAGAGCGAAATTAAAAGATATTACACGTACAATCAGCATTGTTTATGTGCTCACCATTCTAGCCAAATGACAGCTTATTTTTGGTTGACTTTAGGATAGAGTTGTAGGATCTGCTCTAGGAAAGCATTGATTTTTTTAATATTTTGAAAATTTGTGCCAACGCGGATTTTAACCCAGAAGTGGAAAGAAGAGCATAATCACCTGTAATTATTACTGCATTACAAATATCCTAGGAGCAATTGCAGTTACTGACTCTGCGATTATTCTAATTTACTTACTTGAATGAATTTTTTGACATCAGAGTATAATTCTATCAAGAATAATTAATGGTCCAATGAAAATTGATGGAGATTTTCTACCATGATCAAATTTAATAGAAAAATCTCCAAACAGAAAAGCTTACCTATTGGTGAGCCAAGTACAGGTCAAAAAAGCTACCCTAGTCACATGGGAAACGAGCCTTTTTTGGGGGAGGGGGGGGCTGGACTGCGGAGAGTGGATTATCTTTTTTCATTAAATAATCCCAAGCGGCAAGCATAACGCTATGTTTAAAAGTGACCAGAAGCACAAATAAATACGCCATACCACTTGTATTCTCGTTAATGTCTCCTTTCATTTACTCATATAATTTCATTCCTACCATCAGACGAAAAGCCGTTTTGTAATTGGAATTTTCTTCAACTAATTTTGCTGGACAAGTTTTTATCAATATTATTGCGTCAGCGCATTACGCATACCATGATTTCTCAATATGCTTTATTAATCAATGTTGAATAAATATAAATTTATCTTATAATAAAAATTCCGCATTTGTCATTTTCAAACGCAGAATGATAAAATTGAGGCAAACAAAATATTATAAAAAGAAATAAAATGAGTAATACACGTAAGCATTGAATGACGCAAGTCTGAGGCAGATAAAAAAAATATGTCTTTGACGATTGGTTTCCTTTGATCTTGGGAAAATACTCTTTCTTTATTTTCCTGCTTGTGTTTATTTTGATAGTGATAACCATTCTTTAATCACATTTCACCAACATAAATCCAAATAAATCAAATAATATTTGTACTAAACTTTGATTGTTGTTTTAATAATGAGCATACAACTATACGTCTAAGCTAGAGCGGTTTTACTTACTCTCTCAAGCGCTTGCGCTATTATTGATAAAAAGAACTTCATTCTTTCTTACTGAGAAATATGGCTGCTGAGACGCCTACAGTCTAATTTTCATAATTGCTGTGAATTCATTTCCACCCACACCTTTTTCATCGAAAATTAGCTTTTGAAAAGGCAACTTGCTTTGTTTCCATAGTATTGAAATTCCAATCATAATCTTCCTCATTCTTGATTATAAAAAAGTACGACACGATAATTCTACGACAGAGTTAGCTGAACAATTACGAAAGTTATTTTTACTTCACTCCAGCCTTTCATTGAAAAAGATGGCAGACACGAAAAAATATATCATCTTTATACTGTTGTCGCTATGTATCTCTAGTTGTGCTGGCCAATCATGCTCAAGAGATAGTCAATGTCTTTTCAGAAGTTGTTGTTCTGATGGGAGATGCTCGTCTAACTGTCTCGGAAAATTCTGTTCATCAAGCTCGGACTGTGCTTCAGGAGAATGTTGTGATTCCGATTTAAGTTGTAAATCAAGCAATTGTACGAATCTTGCTGGTTGGATTATCGCCGTTATTGTAATCAGTAGTGTTGTCGTTACCGTTACACCCATTGCAATAATATTTTGTTGTTGTTGTGCTGCAAAAGCAGCATCTTCTACACGACGTGTTCAAGGTGGCGTGATAGTTGCTGGACCGGCTACAACTGGAACTACAGTAGTTTCAAGCAATCTACAACAGAATCAGCAATACTTTATGCAGACACAACCGACATATTATCCTCAAACTCAAGCATATTCCAACGAGCCACCACCATATAAACCAAACGAACATTTCAATCAATCAGCAGTTAGTGGAATACCATCCTAGTCACAAGGCAATTTTCAATAAATTAATGCCTGAAACCTGTTTGCCTTATCACTGTAACTTTTAGCTGTATGTGCACTTTCTCATTTTGTTTTTTTTATGAACTTTTAACGTTTTAACAAAATATTTAAATGAACTAATGTGTTATAATTTTAAAAACATAACGTGTTTCAACAAGACAAAAAATAATTAAAAACGTTTCCGATCCAACACTGGCTTTGTTCTTTTTATTCGTGACAATTGATCATTTGATCTGACAAACGTATTTATTATGTTGATATATATAAAACAATATGATAAAATTAACGTTTGTAGAGCTCCGGTATACAGCAACTTGAGTGATCATGGTGTCAGGATCTTATTCACTAGCTACAACTGATGTACATTTGAATCTTGCTACGTCAATTTTATATGTTATATTTCGTTGTATGCATAGTATGTTATTTTGGTATGTTTGCACTTTATTATATTTCTGTTGAACTAACTGGACAATTTAAATTAGTTGTAATATTTGAAAGACTTGTATCTCCATCGTTAAAATTTTTTTCTTTTGACTAACCGTCCTGTGTTTTGTCTGCAGTATTAACATTTACTAATGCTTTACTGCCTATAGAAAATATTTTTCTTTGCTCTTCTTCATCTGCATCACTGTTTCTTTTTGTATACAGACAGTAATCAAAGCACCATGCATGCATTTATTTACAAATGTACATCTACAATATTCTTTTAACACCAATATTCACAAATCTTAGAATGATAACTATGAACACTTCACAGATAACTTTGAGCAACATAGTTGTGCCAAATTTGGTTTCCATATGAATGAAATGAAAGAGTAAATTTACTTTTGTGACGAGAGGGAAACTACTCCTATCAGCAACCGTCCTGTTTCTTTTTCACTTGATCCAATTAAGGCGCTTCTTACGTTGTTTCTTATTCAGTAAGACGATGCACGAGGAACGCTACAAACATAACCATTTTTTATGCTTCGTTGTGTCTCCACTGAAAATCTTTTCAATTTCAGAGAAATTTGCTTGAAATCTTAAATTTTTATTCATTGACAATCTTCTCAATTAGGCGTTTTCTAGCACATTGCACTCTCCATATCACTTCCAATTAAAACATTGTGTTATTTTGGCTACACCAGTACTAAAGTAAACAGATACATTAATAGTTTAATATATGTTATGATTGAAAAGAATTGGACAGGTGACAGGAACTATTTTTAGGGATGAGAACGAGTGAGGAAAAGATCGTGACTAAAACACCACACGAG